GTGCGTAGTTCGGCATTAAAAGCTCTACAGCGTCAGCGAGCACTGCCTCAAGCCATGGACGCTAGCATTAAGAAGCTTAAAGACCCAGAATATATTGTGCGTGGTGAGGCGCTCAGAGTTCTGAAAAAGGAAAATCAGTCAGCACTGCCTCAAGCAACCGTTGAGGTAATTGTTGAATGCATGAATGATGATGTATGGTATGTGCGAGAGACTGCGCTCGACGTGCTAGCGGATCAATCAGTATTGTCGAAAGCAATCGTTGATGCAATCGCCAAGAAGCTTGCCGACAAAAACGCTTATGTACGGAGGGCTGCTGTGCGTGCTTTGGGGGCCCAGTCACCATTACCTAAATCAATCCACCAGACTATCTCTGGACTACGCACAGATGAAGATAACAATGTGCGACGGGCGGTCCAAGACGTTCTGAAGCAGCCAGTGTTGCCTCGGGTCCTCATTGATGCTATCATCCAACGGATGGAGGATACAGCAGAAAGTAGCCATCGTGCTATTGAAAGTATTTTAGAAGACCAAACAAATCTACCTAAAATGGCCTTCGACATAATCACTCAACGGATACGAGTCGCAGGTACAGAAATTCGCCAAGCTACTATCAAAGCTCTCTTAAGTCAGCCAGTGTTACCTAAGGCCGTCATCAAAGATATGAACGAACAGCTCAACGGCACAGATCCCGATATACGAAAAACCATATTGAAGGCCTTGATGCCGCGGTCAAAATTGCCTGAAGAAACTGTGGTGGCTACTACGGAGCAGCTTGAAGATCCAGAATTTGCTATACGAGAGGCCGCGTTGCGAGCCTTAAGACATCAGCCAGTATTACCTTACCCAACCGTGGTGGCTATTACGGAGCAGCTTGAAGATCCAGAACTTGCTATATGGGAGGCCGCGCTACAAGCCCTAGAAAATCAGCCAGCATTACCTCACCCAACCATAGAGGCTATCATTAAGAGGGGTGGGGCCGCCGGAGATTACACTCAATGGGAGATTCGTAGAATACTAGAGCGGCAACCACTTTTTTTTGAAGTGGCTACAAATATGTTTGCCACGCGTGTTGGTGCCGACGAGGGTACAAGACAACATCTTGAGTCTACCACGCATTCATTCGATCAAATCCTAAGATTTCTTTGCAAAATTCTTCTTGAGCAAAGTTTTGAAGAGTCGCTAAGCTATTATACTCACAAAGATATCGTTTGGGTCGACAACGGAAGCGGTCAGCTGAAGTTTGACTTCAGCCATAATCCCAATATGGTTCACCAGATACGAAGTGCTATAATAGCTTCTCGGCCTGAAGGATATCCGTCGCATGATCCTGTTTGGAAGAAATCCCACGTGGTCGAATGATCAATGGTAGCGACAAGACCAGCAGCGCGCAAACCTCATCCATGCGACAGACGACAAAAAGTCGCCGACTATGGAGATTCGTCTAGCCAATGCTGACCCTACGCCATCCTAGGATTTGACTGGTCAGAAACCGCCATCATAGCTCATTAGACATCGACTCGGAATCCTAAGTTGTTGATCCGAGTGCAATGCCATGATTAGCGCTTCGAAAAGCGGTATATCTCCGTCCCTTCCCATCTTGAACGCAGCAGAGTGGAGGTCTCACACGGTTGCCGACATTCGCAGACAAGAGGCTGTTGTACATTCAAAACCTAGCACGACGCTACCGCGCAAAGTCAACGTTGCGTGCAGGCAACCTGGTGGCAGCTTGATCACATCGTTGGTCGTGACCAGAAAGGATCCCCTGTCGAGCTTGTCGTGAAGCTGGATGAAAATATCATTTTGAGCGCATTCCTTAGCATATTCGTATGGAATTGAGCACTAGCGGTTGCATTTAGCAAGAGAAGGCTTGCCAGAATCACAGCTTCCAGAGACATTAGAAGTAGACATGTTGCCCCGTATGAATAAGCAGGACTTGCAATTCATATACGCACTGCTTGGTTTGCTTGTTCAAGTAACACAGTGCTTCGTCGATGATATCTGAGCTAGCGTCATTAACCCCGAAAAATTTGGGGCAGTCCCTTTCTACCCATAATGCAGCAAGCTCTACAACGGACAAGAACGGTGAGATGAGTACTTGAATGACCTGAGAAGTGATTCATTTGTCTTGTTGGATGTCTGTTCTGGGGCCTTTTCAGATGACGCTTCTGGAAAATCCATTTCAAGTGCCAAATTTGATGAGTTTCTGAATTGGCATTCAAACAACAGCCACTGCGACAGCTGCCCTTCCAAGCCTTTCCGGAGTTGAGTGAACATCGCAGGCTCGGTTTTCGATGATACCTCATTCAGAACAACGCGTGGTGAGCCGTTGATGGACCCAAAAGATCGCGGGGCTGCTCCTCCATGATTTTATTGATGCAGAAAATTTGAGAAACATTGACAGCATTCAACCGGCCGGCGATAAATCGCCAGAGTATGTCGAAAAGGCGCGTCGTATTTACGGTCTCGAAGGAAGGCAGTCAGCTCTAGTTCCTTGGGGCCTCGGCTGTTGAATGTAAGAGATTGGAGCGTCTGCGATTTCTCCCATTGTTGAACAAAACAACGTGCTGCAAATGTGCCAATAATTGGTAACGTTTGAAGCAGGAATTACGACTTGTTCTGGGGGGAAGCGTTGCGGCGCATGCCTGGCGGTGACGACCTCTTGAGCGCCTGCGTGAAGAGTTTGATCACCACTGAAATGGAAGAGCAAGCACTATGGAGCACTACAGATTGATATGTAGCATGGCGTGTTAAAAAGCACAAGCGGCATCTCTGAGGATCAAGCACGTTGTCATGACTTACCCGACCTACTTGGGCAAGGATGAACGAGACCAAGACTTCGTGCGCTATACTTCCTACATAGTTGGCTGGGTCCAAAGGCTATGGCCCGATGACATCGAGTTTCACACGGCGATGGAGGGCATGGCTCTTGCGCTCTACATCTGCGAACCGTTCCATGACGGTCTTGCCGCGTGCGATTGGCAAGAGCCGTGGCAAGGACTAGCTGAGGTTTGCGAAGGCGGTTATGTGAATCTACTAGTAGTCGTCATGAGAGGCAGCACCTTGAATCTCCAGCTTTGAAGCTGGGGGTTCGACTTAAGGATAAGGACACGATGATTGATTGCCAGTCCAATTTTGATCCGGAGTGGCACTTGGGTAAGTCACGAAAAGCATGTGCTGTGTTGAGCTATGAGACTTGAGACGCAAAGATTTCAACCAATTATTTGCTGGCAGTGGTTTTATTCGTGGTCTGAAAAATGGAAAGACTCCCCATGTGCTTGATATGAAAATGCACCATTGACATTATGCGGGGATGACCCTAGGATACAGAGCGTTTCAGTGACTAGCTACAGCCCAGCTGAGAGTGACAGTGTTTTTCAGTATATCGATCTTTGTGCAGCTGAGAGCAACTGCCAATTGTGACTGGGCTGTCACCTGGGAGAAGAAATGATCCAAAGTCCCATCCTAGACCGCGAGCGCGATGTTTGACTATTGATCCAATGCCTTTTGCCCTCCATGTGTATAAGTGCATAGCGGAATTCAGCGCCATCACGTTTGATTGTCAGCTGTGTTAGGAAGCCAAGTTGAGGCTGGGCCGGATCAGTACTCAGGTCGGTGACGACTGGGGAAAACCCGGTGTTTTATGTTTTTGCATTTTCCATCTACTCATCTTTTTGCCCCAGGGTTATTCGTTACCTTGGATGGTAACGAGAAGAGGTTGATACCGACATTCCATTTTGAACGTTGGTGTCGTGTGTTGTGGGGCTTCTGACAATTGCCTATCTAGGGAACTACTGCCAAGTGTCATCGACCGGGACTGCAGCAGCACACGATGCATCGACAGTGTACTGGCGGTTCGGGTCGCTCTCCCAAGAAACGTTGCCAGATGCGTCGACCTGGATGTACTTGTACTCGAAAGAAGTACCGGCGGCAATGGGGACAGTGACGGACCAGGACGAGCCAGACGAGGTCAGGGCGACGGCGGCCGAAGTGTCCCAGCTGCCCAGTTCCGCGATAGATCCGGCCACCTTGACGGTGATGCCCGAGTCGACAGTTACGGCTTCATTGAAGACGACTGCGCACCCTTCAGACGTGGGAGCGGGAGCCGTAGAGGTGGTGGCAGTCGCGGTCGCGGTAGCAGTGGCAGTGGCAGTAGTCGAGGGCTGGGGATCTGGGTCGCTGCCTCCAGTACCGCCAGTAATGGCAATGTCAGCGCAGCCAAGGTAGATTTGGCCAGTCTGGAAGCTGTTCCACTTCCATGAGAGCAGGGTGTGATCAGAGGTAAAGTCATCCGGGAGCTTGATCTTCTTGGTGACGGTATAGCCGCCGGCCGTAACGGTGCTGCAAGAGTTGAGAGCTGCGGCGTCGACACCAATGCAACCACCGTTTCCAAACTGGTCGCATGTGAACCAGGTGTTGTCCCAGCAGGCTTCTCCCTCTGCGCAGTCGGCACTGTAGTCGCAAGTCTGTCCGTCGACATCGGTACAGGCCAAGACGCCAGACTCGAAGCAGTCCTCTGCAGCCTGCTTGTCGTCGTCGGTTGGCGTGTAGCTCGGGTCCAGGAACTTGTCAACAATGTCCTGGTCCTGGCAGAGGCGGTAGGTAAACATGCCACCGTGGTCGCCATTGGCATCAATACACCAGACGACCTCTACAGTGTCACCTGCGGCATAAGTCTCGACGACCTCGCTGCCCCAGTTGGCTCCTGGAGGGTTGTAGTCGACACTGACTCGGGCATTGTAACCGCACACACCACTTCTGCTGACTGGTGCCGAGTTGAGGTCGGGCCATGATGCAACAGGCTCGAGGATTGTACATTCGGGGCAAGTATCAACACCAGCCTTGGGCTAGATTAGTAAACTTTCAACAATCAGCATGTAATCACTCACTTCATAGTTTAAGCGAACTCGACTTGGGGGCTCCCACAGGTAGCCATGGCCATTGACCAGAGTCACGAAAGTGAGTGTAGCAAGTGTCTTGACAGCAGCCATGGTGTTTTGGTAGGAATGGTGACCTGGTGAGTTCTGATCACGACTGATGCTGATGGAGAAAAGGTCAGATAAATATAGCCTTTCACGCAAAGATGCCTCCGAGGTCTTGTAGTCGAGCTCCTGAGGTTGTCACGAATGATAAATGTCGATCATTTCCTCACTGACGATTTGGGCAGCGCTCCTCGGCCATATTATGGTCGGTTCCCAGCACAGATTGCCCGACATGGCGCCGCTGGGTAACCATGGAGAGACCACGAGGACGTCTTGAATATATTGAGGCATTGAACTGTCCCTGGCTAGAGCCAAACCCGAACCCATGAATACCAAAACAGGAGATACTTAGTCAGACGGAATCTCGATAGGCGACCGACTGGGCCAAGGGGAAGCCGGCGCTTCATCGGCACATCGCCCCCCATCCAGCCCGTGACCCCGGACTCTGGTTCCGGAATAGGAAAGCTCTTTGAGATTTCCCCAAGCTCGGGTTTGTGGGGAAAGCTGGAGGCCGCACTCTGCTTGCCGGGACTTGCCCCAGATTTAGCCCAGATTCGGAGCGCGGCCGCCAATGCGTGAAAAGTGTCTTTGTCAGGCAGGTGAGGTGAGCATGTCGGAGTTGTCGGCGGACTTTTGCCAATGCCAACATATGCTCAAACACTTGGGCTACTGTATTTCTGGACAGAAATTCCATGTGTTTGCATCTGATGCAGCTGGTTTATCATTGACCATGAACTGATAAGGCACTATATTGGGACATGAACCACGTGCCAAGTATTATTCAAAAGGTATCTATCCATTTCATCATGTCAACCACGTATGATTCCGTACCAGACGCAAGCATACGCGCTTACACCTGTACATACTAAAATGCGCTTCTCTCCCATGACCATGCGATACTGTCCAAGAAGGACTATGCGAGTTGTCTAAACGCCAGTGTAACCCCCACATTCAGTGTAACGCACAATGCGCAACCCATTCATTGCTTCTATTAGGATGCGTCGTGTCTAGTTTCTCTCCTGGACAACGTCATCTGGTAACATTCCTATTCCCGAGTCGAACCGTGTATGCGTGGGGCTCTTTAATCCTCAGAATTGGTTCTCTTTGATTCTATCGTGCTTGGACTGGTCGAATTTCCAAAACACGCGATAGTCGTGGCACGGCTCATTCTTTCCTCTAAGGGCAAGCTTTTCGACGGATGCGTCGTCGGCGATGGGCGTAAAGTATCTCTGCTGCCAGGACCGCCCTTCTCGTGCCTCTTCTTTCCGCAGAGCCCGTTGCGCGTTTTCAATCTTGCCCTTTTCGTGGCCAATGGCGAATATGTCGCTGTTGTGAATGGCATCAATGACATGCTGCCAGGCTCGGCCCGTCTCCAAGGGGTGTTGCTGCTCAACTGGAGCAACCTGCAGAGATGTCCTCTTCAACGAGCCAAGATCGACAGTCTCAATGACCTTGCCCTTGGAGTTGGCAATGGTATAGGTCCCATCCCAGCTGCCAGCGGCAGTGTAGAGTGGAGACTTTTCGGCGCCATCGCGGAACAGCGTCGCCTTGAACGAGTGGCTCGCTCCTCGGAGCCAACCCTTGGAGCAGTATTCAATCTTGGTAGTGTAACCTGACGAGCTGTGGATGTAGGAAGTGCCGCCCAACTCTGGTGCAATCTGGAAGGTCATGATGCCTTCTACGTGTACCTTGGGCATGGTAAAGACGTGGTCTTCGTTGTATCTGTCTATTCTAAAGGTGCCGAAGCCTTTTCGCTCTATGTTGATGGTGTGAGAAAAGTACGATCTTGGACCAATGTGTCCTTCAACCTGTGCTCGTGTCAGCAAAGACAAGGTCATGGTCATGGTCATCTCGCTCGATACGTACCGACACCCCATGTTCCTCATTCCATATCCGATAGGCCGTCTGGGGAGGATGATGCGATACTTGTTCGGAGATCAACTCGGTCGTACCAGAATCATCAACCCATCTGCCAAGGAAGATCTCTCCCAGAAAGGGGTTCAGAGGCTTGAGCTTTTTGCGTGTGCCGTCTTCATTACGGGTGGCCATTTGTCGCCTTAGACCACTCAAGAACCATTGCATGACAAGCAGCGCCCTCTTTTCGGCATTCTGTTCCTGGGCGGGAGCCACTAATAGGGCCGGATGGTCATTGAAGTATTGACTAAATTGGCAAATGCTGTCTGGGGACAATAGAAATGGTGGTGCCGATAGAGAAGCGAGATCGCCCTTGAATGTGGCAACAGACTGCGCGATATCGTGTAAGCCTTTTGATTATTCGTGGAAAAGTGACTCATTGTACCTTCATGAATTGAAACCATCCTGATTTGTGTTGTTGGTCGGTCCTTTGCTTGACATCGTCGCATGCCACGGGGGTTGGTGGTAAAGACATTGCTGCCGGTATCAAGTATAGATAACAACCCTCACTCACTGTTCCGCAAGTACCCTTATTCTAGTTGCTGCCGGGAATGAATAGAATTATTACCTGCTTGGACTACTAATTAAAGTCCAAGTCACTCAGTTGAAATCTAGACAGAGTAAACAGAAACAAGAAGGAAACGCATGGGACATTTTGAAATGAAAAGAAGACGGCACAAATATGGCAAGGCAAGGTACCTGTCGCTCCCGTAATCCGACGCAAGTCAAGCTTCAGCCATGATGCGACGAACAACTCACGGGCGTGTGGTTGGCTGGGCCCGCTGATAGTACCGGGGGGCTCAGCGGTAGATCAGACGCCGCTCGTCTGCTAGAGATGAGCTTATCGTGCAATGGGTCCCATCATCCGCGACTAATAAAAGCACATGGAGTATGCAGAAGCAAGCTTGCATGTCTGCTAGCCTCAAGTCTCATACAGGGCTTGCATCATATTTCTACAAATGGCATGTGAGACCTGGGGGATCTCGTAAGGGGTCCCAACGACTCCTGGTGTTTCAACTTTTAGGGAACCCTTGGCGGGGCGCTTCGGTCGCAAAACCACGTGCGTTCATGGTTGATGCGAAAAGACATGAGGATGATAAAACTCTACAACCACCGACTAAACTTGCAATGTCATTTTCTCGTTTCTTTTTCATTTCTTCATTTGCGTCAATGAGCGATACTTTTGCAGTAGAGGATAATGGGTATCATACATTGTGATAATCTCTGCTCGACATCACGGGGACAGTGGCCAAGCTGTACTGCTTTTCGGAATGCTGGTTTCCGTGCTTAGCGGCCGGCACTGCCACTAACACGACCTGATTATTAGCGGCCTATTCCGTGCCCAAGCCAGCGCACCTCGACTTTTAACCCAAAATAGACAATGAGATTGTCGCCAACTTTTATTGATTTATCTACAGAGGGAATAATTCTTCAAATGCGCAGTGATTGAGCAACCGTGGACATTGTTTACGTTTTTTTCATTTTCACTTCTATTGCAAATTTACCGAGTACCGATCAAGTCCAATAATCCACCGTGTCTCGGCATACCTCATCGTGACCACGACTCGTACCTTGGACCTTGGTCTTCCACCCCCAATCATGCTTTCGCCATAGCGTAGAGCTCATCAAGGAATGACGATGCTCGACGCGTACCTACAGTGCCCCAGGACACTTCCACTCGCTCCTTGACCAGCGTAACTGCAGTGCTGGGCGCAGACGCACCCTTATAACCCTGCGGAGTCCAGATGGTCAGACCCGGTGCAAGGACGCAATGCTTGACCAGTTTTGTCTTGATGGTTTCCACCATTGCCTTGCTTATGTCTACAGGCTTGTTATCCACGTTGCGCAGTTGCAGACCCGCCGCGTGGTCAAAGAAGCTGGGGGCGGTGGTATCCCATTGACGGACATAGCCTGGCTTGCCCTCATTCTCCTCCCCGTCAATGAACTCCGTGTAATCTGTGTTCATGCCCGTAGGTGCTGTACAGGATATGCGTCCCTGCAAGTCCAGAGCCGGCGCAATGACGGTTTGTTGGAGACTTCGGCTCGCATCATCCAAGCGTGTAGGATCAATAAAGACTGTTAGAGGCAGCAGTACCTCTTTCGCAACTGCGGCAACTCTGTCCTCGGCCGCTTTCACATACTTGGGATGCATTTTCATACCGTGTAGTGCGTTGGCGTACCACATCCTGCATTCATATTCGGTCATTTTTGGCTTGGAGTTCTCCTCGAGGGACGTCAAGACTGCCTTGATCTTATCTTCGGTCACGGTATTGACGCCTCCCAGGGCAGAGTCAAAGATCCTGGAATGAACCATTCGGATGAGGAGACCCTGGAGGGCAGTCTCTTCCTTTTCGTGGAATCTCGAGTGAATGCGATACTCGGGATACTGGTCGCACAGCTCTTTGAAGGCGCGCACGCTGGCCTCGTAGGCGGGATCACGGGCTCGGTCGGAAATCGGAGTTGCGTCATCAGCAATATCATCGGTCCAGACAAAATCAAACACCCACGCCATGGCGTCTTCAATCACTTCGGTAAAGCCCTTGCCTGCTTCTCCTGACAGACACTCGTTTCTCTCATCTGGCACGACGGTTGTCCCATGGGCAATGAGTGCAGTTTGCGCCTCTTCGAGTCGCTTCTGAAGTTGCTCAATGTCTTTGCGCATTTTTCTATTCTCCTTTGTCGCGTCGCCCGAGGTTCCCGTTTTGGATGACGAGGATGAAGTAGGGTCTTGAAGTTCTGAAAGTGTATGAATCTCGTCCATTCTCTGACGCAAATCTCCATTCTCCTTTGCGGCGGCATCCCGCTCAAGTTGCATCTTGGAAACGGACGACATGTTTGCTAAAGGTGTTGTGGTGGTAGATGATGTTTTTGCTGGTTTAGTATCTTTGTGATTTTGTAACTCAACTTGTAGGTCTTGTTTTTGCTTGAGAAGATCTAATATTTGCGTCTTGAGGAATTCGATCTTCTTATATTCCTCGCTGGCCAAATGCACCGTTAAGCTAACATTCACATCTTCTTTGAGCCCTTCGCTTGGCGACTCTTGCTCAGCAGGTGTCTGTTGTTCTTGTTCACGACTTTGAATAGATTCCGACGCTTGACTTTGTTGCCTCTTCCTAGTACGATGGCCATTTTTGCTAAGCTGTTGTTAGTTCATAAAAGCATTGTTATCAATTCATTACCAACCTTTGTGATCGGTTCTGAAGGAGTTTGGCGCTTTGTTTTTCGGAATCCATTGTATGGTTTGTTTTTATACTTCCTGAACATGGAGACGCTTTGTCATGAATACCGTCACAATCATGGCAGAATATTGCAAACGTTGGACTGTGAAAAATGAAAGGGTATGCAAGTATAGGCTTTAGAGATGACGAACCCGTTTTACTGGATATACTTCCAGTTCTCTGTGAAGAAACATCGTTGATGCTCGATCCACCATTTGATGATTTTCTTCCAGAATGAATCCTTTGTAGGACATGACGAAACTGCATGATGATAGTATCGTATGTTGAAATTTTTCGAAAGCAGCTCGAGTATAATGATTTACCGAATACTATACTGGCGGGAATTCTGTGTAATTATAAATTCTCCACGGTCAACATACCGACTGCCATTAACGATGGATAGATTAGCGTTCAAGCTTTGCAACTTCCAGCTTGTTCTCCATATCGGCGTTCCCGAGTTTGGATTCATGTGGCTTCAGCAGTGTCAACCATGTTAGCGCGGCCATCTACCCGGGGGTTCACATAATCACAACTTCTCACTATCCATCCCCAACTAGAATAAAGAGCTAGCAATGCCCAAGCTTCAACTATAGGCACGTGTTTCAAAACCACCAGAAAAGAAACATTGTGTAAAAGTTTGGAATCCCTGTGGGAACATTCATTGAGCCAGCGTGGCACCTAGTCTCATATAAAACACAAACACTCCCTGCCGAAATTCATGGTCTTTGTCAACATGTACATGGTCTCAAACCAATCGCTTCATAATGTGTGAATCTTTGTTCTCGTGTTTCGAGTCAACCAGCTGCAAAGCGGCAGTTTGATCCAACGCAAAGTAGGAAATTACAGATTGCCTGTAGATTCCAGTGTCAACCAACCTTGGTCATACTAAACACATGATCATCATGGGCTATACACCTCTAACACTGGTGTCTTGACTCTTTGACCCTTGTAGATTATGACGGAGCAGACTGACAGGACAGAGGCTGTAACCAAAAATGAAATGTACAAATAGATGATAGGCGCATCTCTATTGACTTTACCCAAATATATCCACAAGCACAACATCAACGATAGCGATAACTTGACAGTTCTCACTTCGGATCCTAAAATCAGCAAAATGTTCAATACAATTTCAAAAGTGACTGCTGCAAGAAAGGCAGCTGCGGCAAACGCGATGGCCACAAATGCAACTCCAGAGCCAACACTGGTCATTGCGATTGACTTTGGTATGTCCAAATAAGGAATAAAGTTTTATAGATAAGGATCCATTCTATAAACTCACTGTCACTGATACCCGTTCTCAGGTACTACTTCCACTGGAGTTGCGTGGGCAGATACTTCGCGACATGATCGCAGGTTTACCATTACCGAGTGGCCAAGCCTCGGCGATAAAATCTTTACTTACCACAAGGTGCCAACCAAGGTCCGCCTACTACCCGACGGCTCGCATCAATGGGGACTTTTGATTACAAATGATGCTCACCCCGACGAAGTGCTCGAGTGGTTCAAGCTCGGATTGGACCCTGACCATATTCCCGGCGACAACCAGAGTCTCAAGGCCAAGCTGCAGAGCTTCAACATTGACGACTTGGCTACACGCTACTTGGACAGCCTTGGAGAGACGATTTTGCCAATGATTGAGGAGAGACTTGGGCGTGCTGTATTTGCGGCGTTGCCTGTTCATTTCGTGCTCACGGTCCCCGCCATCTGGACGGACCGAGCCAAGCAGAGGACCCTCCAGATCTTTGAGGCCACAAAGAGCTTTGGCGATGACGAAGCTCAGCGCAGCTTGGAAGGCCGGAGCAAGCGCACTGTGACGCTTTTATCAGAGCCTGAAGCCGCTGCCATGTTTGCCTTGGATGATTTGGTTCAAAGCGGCCTCAAAGTCGGTCAGACCATTGTCGTCGTGGACGCTGGAGGTGGTACGGTTGACCTGGTCAGCTACAGAGTCAACGCCTTGACGCCGCACTTTGAAGTCAGCGAGGCAGCTGCGGGCTCTGGTGGCATGTGCGGATCCGCCTATCTTGATCAGCGGTTTGGTCAGCTTTTGCGAAAACGGGTTGGCGGACTAGACGAGTTCAACGAAGAAATCTTTGACAAGGCCATGGATATATTCTCGCAGAGAATAAAGCGACAGTTCACAATGGCCTCTCTGCCAAATGGAAATTTTAGCGTTCCAGTGGAAGGCCTCCCGGATAACCGAGACGCCGGTATCAGGCGTGGGCGTATGACTATCAGGGCCACAGACATGCACGTTATTTTTGAAGAGGTAGTCTTGAAGGTGATCCAATTGATCAATGAACAGATTGCCGCAACTGGAGGCACGGTCGACAAGATTCTGCTCGTCGGAGGATTTGGAACCTCTGTATATCTCCGAGAGAGAATCCAACAGGCCATGGATACAAGGGTCGGCAGCAAGGTGGACATTGTTTCGCCCAACTCTGCTCAGCTGGCTGTTGTCAATGGTGCTCTGTTGAAGGGTATGGAACTTACTGACCCAGTCCAGCTAACCAGAGTCAAGGTCAAGGATCGCGTCGCCCGTAAACATTACGGCATGGAGACGTCTGTGCGCTTTAATCCAGTGGCTCATCACTCGATTGCAGAGCACAAGTACTATGATGGCATGGATGGTCATGATAGTGTCGCTGTCATGGACTGGTTCATCAGAAAGGTAGTTACATGGTAAGACGCCTGGTGTTGGAGTTTTCACTAACAAAGCATGTCGCAGGGTGAGCGCATCACGGAGGCTGTTCCTTGGCGGAAAAACTTTCTCCAAGTCTCAAGAGTTTCCGGGGGTCGTCCTGAATCAATCAAACTCGAAGTGTATTCAGACGAGACCTCTCAAATAGCACCGCTGAGGAAAAATGGCAGTGTAAAATCACTCTGCCTTGTAGAGGCGAACTTGAGTGCTATTCCGGATGCCGATCTGCCTATTCGCCGAGGTATTGATGGTCATGATTATTATGACATTGATTGCGATATTGAGGCAGCATGTTAGTTCCCAGTTCCATTGACCGCGAGAAACAAGATTCTAGTGGCATACTGACCTTACCACAGATGGATCTGCCATGACGAGCTACACTCTGATCTATAGAGGTGTACGTTACAAGACCGTGACCGCAGAATATGTAGGATAGGTGGCTCACTCTGTCCAGATGATTGATGGGTGAAAGTGGGTTAGGTTGTAATTATGCATGGAAATTCATAATTAGATTGATATTTCATCTCCATCTCAAAGTATTCCACTGGAATCTTTGTCCTTCTGACTCGTGACATTGAGGCAGCAACAACACTGAGCATTACCAGGGCATTCATACACGCTGAACAATGGATTCTTTATTACCTCAAACACCACGATGGAATCAACAAGAACTTGAACGGCCAAGATTGATTGATGGTGGCTTGGGTCTTGACAATTAAACACCGACGAAGAGAGTACATAAACATCTGTCAACACATATTTATTTGATTTCGTCCCAAGATGTACACTCAACAGCTTGATTGCAAACACTGAAACATTAAAAGGTCATCATTTACTTCGTCCGACGATCGCGCAACTACAGATATCGCAGCACCCGATTCATAGCACAATGCAAGGACAAACAGGGTACGAGATCTCGCTTCATCAACAGCCGTGGTTGCAAAGGAATTAATCCGCAGACAGATCTCACAGCCAATATCAGGCAGGCGTCCGGACTCATTCTCACTTTCTTGATTGGCTTGAATCTGGCGAGCCGCTGACTACACCTCCTAGGGAGTGCAATTCTTGCCTCGAGGATAAACCTCTGACTGACTTTCCCATTCGTGGCGTCACGTCAAATTGCAAGCATGCGCTCACTACCTGCATCGAGTGTATTAGGACGTCGATCCAAACGCAATTGGGATCCAAGCAATGGCAGGACGTTTCATGCCCCGAGTGCCCTAAACGAGTGGGCATTGACGACATAGCACTGTACACGGACGCAGACACGACCGCTCGGTAGGCCAATCATTCATGAATCATGTGCCAGCCAAGACTAACAGGTCACGTAGGTACGCAGAGTACTTTCTCAATAGGACTCTGGGTGAGTCCAAGCAATTCGTATGGTGTCCCTTGCCAGGTTGCTCCTCTGGGCAAACGCATCACGCAGGAGCCAAGCAACCCATCGTCTTATGTGAATCATGCCAGCGCCAGTGGTGTTTCAACCATCAAGATGCGTGGCATGTCGACTATTCCTGCGAGGACTATGATACTTTTCTAGCCGACCGGACCTTTCAGACTCGTGCGCAGCAACAAATACAGCTCGAAGATGCCGAAGATGAGGCGGCACGCCAGCTCCAGAGGGCCATTGAGGACGCTGGTCAATTATTCAATCAGGTTCTTCTCAATGAGGAGGAAGCCGCTCAAGAACGGGCCAGACTTGAGCAGGCTAGGCGAGAACAGGAGCTGCGTGAAGCCCAAGAACGTGCGAGGCGCGAGGAGGAACGAAGGAGGGTCGAGGAGGCCGAGCGGGAGAGAGCGCGTAATCGCCAGGCCGAGTCTACAGCGAGTGAGAGGTTTGCTAACAAGACAACGAAGCCATGTCCAAGCTGTGGCGTCAGAATATTCAAGGATGGCGGTTGTGATCATATGCATTGCTCTCGCTGTGACACGGACTACTTTTGGGAAAGTGGTATCATATGGGAGGATGAGGATGAGGATGAGCATTGGTAGAATAGCTATATGAGGCGATTGTCCGTCATGGTGAAAAATTGCAAGCTGCGGTAGTCTGAGCGGATGCGAGTGATTCGCTTGCCAAGAGAAGTGAGTCGTTGTTCAACATAAATTGGCTCGCTTCCTTGGTATTTAGTATATTCCTATCAACAAGAAAGAATTCGTCAAAGCGGGCATATACAGACCTTTACTCGGTTATAGTATAGCTGGTATTCAAGCAAAGCACGAATAAAATGTTGATGGAAATCATGAAATATTGCAACACATTCTCACAAGTACCAAAGCTGGTCCCTCCTTGTGATCGCCATCCCCTCGAGTCGAGACCAGACCTCGGCCGCGGTGCAAGAAGAAATTGATCGTCGATCGATTGAGATCTCTCTCTTTCACGGACTTTTTCCACGGGATTTCTGCTAGTCGGACAGTCGGGGCGCCGCACGAACAAATATTGGCCCCGTCGCCCCTTATTTGAAGTAAAGTTTTAGTGGAGATCGGACGGGTCTTTCGGCGACGGCGTTCTTAGCTGCGAGTTTTCTTCACTGTCTTGTCTCGAACAAGGCAAGCTCCAACGTCTGGCGCGGCTTTATCATCGTGGGATTCCCTGACAGAGCCGCATCCGCCCGGAATTTCCGAACACTTGAATTTGTGCTAAAGCGAGGGAGGCTGCAGTTCAAAGTCGGAATAAATCACGCTTGATAAAGGCGGACAGATTCTACAGATTGATTGACCAGCGCCGAGAAGATGGCGTCATTTCCAAGCACGTCAAAGAAAAGAAACCTCGGTCGTATGAAGAGATGAGAGAAACGAGCCAAAAGTCAGCACTTGAATCGCCCCAAGGCCAGGTCGATAGCGTAAGAGTCCTGCTCAATTGAACGGTAAAGTTGACTGGAAACTGGCTGCCTTTGAGGAGCTCTGCAATACACACTCACCGTTCATGAATCATGAATGACGAATCTGTCATTTCAAATGATTACCCATCTTCCGAAAGCCGATTAGTTCTCGAGCTGAAACGGGTCAAACTTTTACATGAGATGGTGTAATATTGTTCTGGAAATCCCGTATCCAAGGACTTGGGCGTCGGAACCCTCCGCTGTCGGCTGGGCTTTAAACTTTGATTTTACCCACTTCAACCATCAGCAGCTTTCCGTATTCATCCTAGCCAGGCACACAGAGCCCTCTTCCTTGGCATATTGAAAGCTGAGGTCTGGATTAGCATCCGACGATCCCAGAATGCGATATAAACAGCGGATTCCCGTTTTGATCCAGTTTTCCTGACTGAGAGCCCACTCGAAATCAACCGAGTATGATTCCAATGTTCCGTTGAGTAGGATGATATAATTGTGTGCTGCTTGTTTCAAAATAATTGAGCGCCTAGGATTCAATCTCGTCTTGCCATGATGGGAGACTGCAAACCAAGCAAAACCGTTGCTGATCCGCAATCGCCGAATTCAAAATGCCATGATTCAGGCCATTGTTAGTAGTCTCCGGCACTATCGAAGAGCTAGTTGACGGATCTACTAACATTCAGCGCCCAATCCAGCCAGCTTACATTGAGATCCGGTGGCTTGGTTTGTTGATCATGCACCATTCTTGTCGATGGAACATCTTATATAGCATTCGCCTCCCGCCGTGTTTCCCGATGGCCTGTTCCGTACAGTTCAGCTCAGTCTTTGTTGCCTGACCGTCGTTACGTTTTATACCAATTCGTGGTAGTTACACTCGCTCTCCCTCGGGAACCATACAATCCTTTCAACATGCATTTGTCAACCATTTGCAGTGCACTCTTTATTGGTGCAGCTGCTGCTGTGCCATCTTCGTCGCTCAAGCTCCCAGTCCGCCCCCTGAGACTCAGAGATGACAACCGGACCGAGAATGCCGGCCCTACCCTCGACTACCAGGACATGAACCCCTTCAACGTCACCTCTGGAGTTGTCAACAATGGAACCAAGCTTTCTCACAAGATCTGCTGGTCTCAGGGTGTCCTGACTGATGACATGTTTGTCAACTGGACTCACTTCAAGGCCAACGGTGCCAACTTGGGAGGCTGGCTCGAAAAGGAAAAGACTCACGATCCCATCTGGTGGGCATCTTTCGGTGGTGCCGCCTCCGAGGCGTCGGATGAGTGGACTCTGTGCGGTGAACTCGGCGATGAGTGTGGTCCGGCCCTCGAGGCACGATATGCCGACTTCCTCAACACCTCGACCATTGATCAGCTTGCCAGTGTCGGTGTCAACACCCTGCGTATCCCTACTACCTACCAGGCCTGGGTCAACGTCCCTGGATCTCAGCTCTACCACGGCAACCAGATCTCCTACCTCCGCGAGATTACCCAGTACGCCATTGAGACGTACAGCATGCACATCATCATCGGTCTTCACTCCCTGCCCGGTGGTGTCAACAACCTGGACATTGGCGAGGGTCTGATGCGTGACGGCTGGTTCTACAACGAGACCAACCTGGACTACAGCCTGCAGGCGATTGACAAGATTCTCGAGTTTGCCCAACAGAGCGGCGCCCTCAACGCCTTTACCATTGCCCCCATCAACGAGGCCAGCGACGACCTCTCATCCTTTGGTACCGCTGCCGGTCTCTCGGACAATGCCACCAGCTGGATCCTCAAGTACATGGATGGTGTCTTTGAGCGTGTCGAGGCCGTCGACAAGCGCATTCCCGTCATGCTTCAGGACTGCTTCAAGGGTGCCTCCTTCTGGGCCCCGCTCTTCGATACCTCCAAGAACCTCGTCTTTGACTCTCACGTCTACTACTTTGCCGCTGCTGGAACTTATTCCGCATGGGTCAACCCCGCAGTGTGCGGACAGGCCGAGTACATTGCCGAGGAGACAACCTTCCCCGTCTTCATTGGCGAGTGGGCGCTGCAGGTCATGTACAACAACACCCTCGATGGCCGCAAGTCCATCTTTGATACCCAGCGCTACGCCTGGCAAAAGTATGTCTCTGGAGGTTCTTTCTGGACCGCCGTCTCGTACGCAACCACAGAGGTCGACGGTGAGGGCACTCAGAGGGATTACTGGAGCTACATTGATCTCATCAACGCCGGTGTGATTACCAGTGCTACCAACAGCAGCTACTGCTAAGGAATTACTGGAGCGTAGTCTTCGAGTTGTTCCTAGAATAGATCAGTGGGAATTGGGAATCAATGACAGCCTTTGGCCACACACTAGCTCTCACAGCAAACAAGCCTCTAAACGATTTACGAATATCTATATTTAATCAATAATATATAAACTCCACCCATTATCCGGTGTTTCACTTCAAGTTATTCCCATTCACTGATGCTGCAGTCAAATCTTTGCACTGATTAATCCAACATGATTTGTTGCATTTGGCTTACCGTCATGGTAGACACATGACCATGGTTCTGACTAGTCAGCCACCAACCTGACCATCCGCAATGACAGGTGAATATCACCAGAACTTTCCAACGCACTGCATCTTATAGGAGCCCTCCTGCCTTTTTATCGGCATACTTGATACTTACGTGATCAATTTACAAGGGTTTGCCGTATATGGTCCTACTTTCTTTCTTTTCCTTTTCTTCTTCTTTTTTTTTCTGAAAAAAAAAAAAGCAGAAATCTTTGAATAAAAGGGAGGAAGCAGAGACGGAAATTGTAAAGAAGTAGGGTTATATATGGGTACTTTTACTGGTCCAATCTACAAAGGTAGAGTCTGTCAGCAGGGAAAATGTTGATTATTTGATCTCACCCGAGCCACAGTGAAGAAGATGTGCTCGAAGAAGCGTCTGAGAGATGTCCGAGTCTGTCCCGAAGTATGAAAGAAAGGTGCTTCGCTGCTATCTAATATACCTGAGCAGGTCATCTGCGATGAATACTGACCCCGCTGGTGCAAGAACTGGGTGCATGGTAGTTTGTATTCTCATTCAATCCTCATTACCTCTGAACCCTTGCACGCCGACTCCATGAAGAGATCATAATCATGAACACGAACTCGGATTAACCCTGTCCTCACCCAATTATTAGTAGAGTCATTCTTCCTAAGAATCAACAAATGGAGTCCCTCGTATCCAAATGCCAACATGGCACAACGCCACTGGTCAATCCTTGCGGCCTTCATGTTTTCCGAGAAAGAAATGTCTGAGATGGCGCCTTCCGAAAGATTCGGTATGGCTTCATTGCCGCCCAGTCTCCAAACTTTCATATTCAACCTGCCCTTCGGGTTGTAGGTCAACGAGGATAGTGGAACAACCAGAGTTGTCAACTTCAAAATCCTATATGGGCTGTGCTCATGGTGTATATCTTCACCGAAGGACGACAAAGATCTGATCTCTCCTGTAGAAGGGTTCTCCAGTTCAAGGCGGCAGGTCCTGCTTTCGAGCTCAAATTTATGTGTAGCATCGTATGATCTGAACCTTACTTCACCACACCAGCCAGCCCAACTCCACGAGGGAAAACCAGGCCGCCGTCGAGTAGCATTCCCTGGTTCCCAGCAGTCGGCCGCATGGGCCCAAATCAATGAGCGGGCAAAATACGAAAACTTTTCATTATCCGTCCCGCCAGTTGGGTAGGGTAGACCCCAAATAGCCGAAATCGCCTGCTGCTTTCTCTTGGCAAAGCGGCGCACGACTCCAGAAAAGGCCGTGTACGAGTCGGAATCATATCGCAGTTTTCGCGCAGTGTACTGCTCTATCAAGCTGATATACCACCTGTAGAGTTTGGGAAGGTGCATGGAGTCGACGCCGAAGAAACCATATACATCGGCGTGTTTTCTGTCAAATACGCCCCCACGATAGCAGTTATCCATGTGCACCTTGCTAACGGCGTGTAGGCGATCAAGGGGATTGGAGGTGCTCTCGTAGCAGCTCATGGCGTTGCACTCAAAGTAGACCTGATCTTCGAGGAATACTAGTCGTCGTCGACTCAGTACTGCTTCTTGAAAGGTCCATCCCCGGGTTGACCACACGGATTGCCGAATCGCATGGTGCGGGTCTGTGGCTGTCCATACTATACTGAGATCATTGCCGATTGAAACCTTCTCTGGCCAGGGCGCATGCTCGCTTGTCACACGCGGAAGGCCGTGAGTTTCATCCTCACCGGCAGCGGCAATGATGGTCAATTGTGCATGCTCATAGATGACGTCCATTTGTTGTATTTGTTGATGTTTTTCAATTGCATTTTCTTGGTCAATGCACAATTTGTCAATCCACAGATAGCCATATCCAAGAGATTTTGTGGCGCTGATTGCATCAGAAATAACTTTTGGAGACTTTGGCAGCAGTACCCGTATACCATTGTCATCGCGCACGACATAATCCCCGACAGGGTTGGATTGACCCCAGACGTAGCTGAGCGCAACGTAGCGGCTCTCAACCGTGGCTTCTTCCATGGTCAGGGTATCACAGTTGAGCAGCTTGATCTTGCAAGCCTCGGATTTGGGAGCCAGGCAGAGTGTTGTGTGGTTGCAATCACAGTATTCCATCCATGACAAAACTGCACCGGGATCGAATTTCGTTGCGGGTTGACAAGCCAAGAAGAGACTCCCTGGCACATCCTGCTGAAGTATGGGGCATTCTTGAGTGCTAATATGTCGTTTAAAATCTCCTAATCCTCCAGCACAAGCCGTCGGGACGATTAGTGGAACCAAAGATTGGATTCCTTGCCGTTCTAAGCCGTGGTTGACCAAGTCTATCGTTTCCACAAGTATGTATGCTCGTAACTCGTCACCTCTGTCGATATGAGAGCATGATGTGTACTGGCAACGCTCATATGTGAGACGAGATCGATATAGCATGGCGCACAGCAAGCAATCGGCGTCTTGTGGAGGGGCCCGAAAACGTTGTCCAACATTAGCAATTGGAATGCCACCAGTGGCGATGGAAATGCTACTAATGGCGATGGAAACGCCTCTATCCTCAAGGAATTTGGGATCCCTTGCAAAAGCAGCTTGAAAGTCAAACTGGGAGCAGTCATGACATAGGCGGTGATTTGCATTTGCTGGCTTTGCGGCAGAGTGCTGGGGCGGGCTGTTCTTGGTCTCCAATATTTTCGGAACCTGGCGGAGCTGCAAATCATCTTCAAAAGGCGCTAGACGAAAGTCGCCGCTGCGCTTTTCAGGCATCGTGTGCATTTTTGTCGGTTCAATGAAGATGGAGTGGTATGTTGAAAGGGTGATACCATCATTCTGAGAATCGGAAAGACAATTTTATTTTGCACTGGATGATAAGGGCTGACGAGTGGCTGTGCATGTGTTGTCATGACATCTCCGCAATACTTGTCTGTATGAATTGGCGGCCGTCAGTCTCCGCACCGTCGCCCGGTGATTGGTGATGGAAGGCGTATGTTTATGATACTGCACGGCTAAAGCTAGGCACATTTTCAAAACTTGTTGATTGTTAGTATGTAAGCAATAAAGCAGCTGCGATAAGTTCGATTTCAATGGTGCAAATTAAGCCGACCGTGTAAATGTTTTTTACATTTAGCATGTTGGAAATCTAAAGTGATGTTGCATGGCCGTTTGCCGCCCACTGAGCTAATATGGGTCAGTGCCAGCTGGGCCTGACATATGGTGAGGCGCCTACTACTAACTTTACTGTCTTGGACGCAACCCAGCCTCTGCACCAAATCACCTTGAAGTAAGAGAGCCGATTCCAAAAGGCATCCAGAGTGTTCGAGCTAAAATGATTATAGGATTCTTATTATACGTAGCGGATATCTGGTCGTGGAGGCGGGTCCATTCCGTAGCCTAGAAAGTAATCAACATGATGAGACTGCGGATAACCTTTGACAGTCATGTCATTACGATAGGCAGGATTGTGTGCCAAGGTATATAGACGAATGTCGCTTGGAATATCCGTGGTAAAAATGATCAGCTCGTCGTAATCTTCATTCGTCACGATGACCTCCTCCCGCCAGTCGCCAAGGATATCGCCAATGAATCCAGGATTGGCACCATTCGTGTTGATGGCCCCATAGGCCCATATACGCTCCAATCGTGGTAGGCTTGTAGATGGGCCTGGATTCTCCCAATCCCACTTTTCAATGGCTCCCGTGTTGTAAAGTTCCATGAGTTCGTCGCCATCCCACCAAAGTCCAAGATGCGGCCAAGGGCTATAGTCGGTGTTGGATTCAGTGAGCTGATTTGATTTGGCATTGTAAACGCCGGAGAAGGACCAGACCTCCATACCGCGATAGTTGGGATCAATGTCGCCGGCCATGCCACGACCAACGTCAGAGATCTCGGTGCCAAAGTGCTGCCACAGCATTCGTCCTTGCCGGGCATCGTAGTAATACTCTTGGAGGAATGATGGATTGTCCTGTTGGACACCGTAGCCTTGCAACCCCTTTCGATCGGGATCCATTTTCGCAACATGCCAGCGGTCACCATGGACGATGCCACTCGGGCCTAGGGCATACCGCAGGCTTCCGTTTCCCTCGAGACAAAACCCAAGCTCCAGCACCTCGTCCACACCGTCTCCATCCACATCTATGATTCTGGTATTGTGCCCATCAGGTGTGTCTGCCTCACTGTCACGAAGCCACTTCCAAACCAGTTTGACCGAGCTTCCATCAAATGTCCAAGCAGTCTCCATGAGATTGAAAGTCTTGTCTTCTTGTCGGTTCTTCATGTAAGAAACCAGGTGTGGCGTTTCGCCGTCCAGGTACCCAACCCCAAACCGCGCCCCCATAGGACCGTCGTCAATAAAGTCCGTGGGGATTTGAGCACTTGCGCGTAACGCTCCAGTCATGCCGTCGAGGATGGCTATGAATTGAAAATCGTCGTTGGAATTCTCAAAGGTTGTGCCATCGCCAAATACAACGCCATTTGAAATTCGTACTGCTACTTCGGCCTTTCCGTCGCTGTCAAAGTCATAGACAGTAACGCCATCCCAATGGCCCACGTCGATTGCCGAGGAGCCAGGTGAAATATTATCCTGATTCTCGCTGTTAGGGCCCATGTTGACAACCCAAAGCCGTCTGCCACTACTGCTGTATCCTTCAAGTGTCTGCGGAGAGGTCTGACGGTCCACCACGAAATCATACTCTCCGTCGCCATTCAAATCTCCAACCCAGACGAATTTTATCGGACCACCGGAGTGAATGGGGATTCGCACAACAGGTTCTTCAGCGTGGTCTGCCGTCAAAGTGAAGGAACCACTAGCTGCATGCTCCGTACCATCAAAGACGGGTCGTACAAAATATCGATTGGCCTTGGCGAGATCGGCAGAAGAATCAACGTAATTAGTACCGGCAGCGAGAACTTCAGTGTTCAGCTTGGTAGCAGCGGTGCCGTCTGTAGAGCGATAGATGTTAAAGGCAATATCGTCAGGATCAAGGCCCAGCAAGCGCCAGGATACCAAGACTTCAGTATTACTCGATCGGACTGCCACTACTCCTCTACCCAAACTTTCCATTGGTCGTGTGCTACTCGTCAAGAGTGGAAACAGGAAGACGACTACCGCCATGATGGCGGTTGTCCCAAGGAAATGCGTGAACAACTTCATGTTGAATTTTGTTGAACATTCAGATATGAGGCAAGTCTGTTTGGCTCTGACAGATACCTAGCTTAGTATGAAATGGAACAGACTTTAGTATTTCAATTTCCCTTTCTACCAGGCAGCCTGCTTCACAGGTACACTGCTCTGTCGCAACCATGTGGCCGGTCCTCGGTCCAAGTCAATGCGGCAATGTGTTGCAGCCACCCTCCATTCCCTCTCCTTCCAGCCCGGAGCGCCATAGAATAGTCCTTGTCTACAAATTTCCCCAAATTGACCGATACCATTACTCCGAGTTCTTGGAATTTATCCAGATTCTCGCACCATATTGCGTGAAAGCGAATATCTGGCGCAGAGAGGCGTACCAATCTCGCTGACTAGACATTGATGAAATGGTATGGCGAAGCGATGTGGTCCGTAGTATACAAATGTACCTAGGTAGCATCTTATCCCCACCAATCAACAATTGGTGTTGTTGGCCCTTTGATAGGCTGGAGCAACATTTCCTTGCGATAACTTGTGCAGTAATTCGCGACAATCAGTATAAGTTCAAACTCACATGTGTCTTTTTCAAGACGAGAACCATGGCCTATGACGACATGATTTATATGGGAAAGTGATGCATTGCCTGCAATGCTCGTTGTGTAGAGACTTGGAAAATAATGATATTAGGCCACTACCTAGATTCTACCTCTCTGTAGGAACTTGTCTGGTATGTCGACATGTTTGCAGCGTATGTACTCGCACAAATTCTTGCCCAGACTGTCAAAGCTACTCGTCGAGTTGAAGCCCCGGTCCAGGTGATCCTTTAACAAAAAGTGTACTGCGCGAATGTTGGGAAACTCGCATCGGTCAATCTGCTTACCAACGTCATCCTTGCCCAGCAGCTCCCGGAGTTTCGAGGCACTCAGCATTGTCCGGAACCAGTCCCACTCATCGTCGTGGCGGACAAATAGGCCGAGGTTGCAGTTGGAGCTCTTGTCACCAGACCGACCGAGAACGACGTGGCCAAGCGGTGCACGGGTGGTGGGACCAAAGCAGCCGAGATCAGCTGGGTTCGCCGTGTCGTAGCTTGGCTGCTCTCGCTCATACGTCTTGACGTTTGTCGGAGCAGGTATATCAATCACTGTTCCGTTAGGTAGATGGGCCGTCTCGTGAACAAATGTCTGTGGCATCAGGGTGACCCAGTACTCAAAGAAAGGACGGCCGATTGCCGTGCGCATGTCCACTGCCATGGTGCCACCTGGGTAGCTCTGAAGCAGGTTCTCAATGCAGTACCGAGCAAAGGAGCCACGATCGGAGTCAACAAAACTTGAGCCAGAGAGAATATCGGGATCTGCTGTCTGAGCAAAGATGCGACAGTCCACGGTCGCTTCCTCTTGGCTGCTCGGATCTTGTGGGACAGCTCCAGCAAGCATGAACTTGAGGCATGAGAACTTGTTCACTTCGTCGCCCATTCGAGCTTTGGTTTGCCGTTCTATCATGGCAAGCTTTTCGTCAATATCAAGCCCCGTCAAGTAGACTATTAGAGAAGAGTTAGTACTGCGTGCAAGATATTCCCATGTCATACGCCAACAAGGCCATTGTTGAATACGTATAGGATGTAGGGTTCGGCCACTTGCAATGAAATTCTGCCTGCCAGCCACCTTTCGCAGTGAATCCAACTAAAGTTACAGATTAGCCTTCTATGCTTGAAAGATGTCAAATCAGGTGATCACTTACCCTTTGTTGTTGCCGGTGGTGGAAGCCCCTTGACTCCAGACACGTGGACTTGGTTCTTTGCAACTTGCTTCAATACTATGTCCTCGATTGAAGCCGTCACGTCCGAGTTGTAATAGAGCGGACCTTGGATCTCATACAATAGCTGACTCGCAATTGTCGCAATCGTCACCAATCCATCTTTGCCTTTCTCCATTGAAATGACTGCTTCGCCTTTTTCGTCAATCGCAGCGATGGGATCTGTTGCTATGTGAGCACAAATTTTCAAAATAATGCACCAACACCAAGAGGCTACTCACAGCCCATGTCAGTATCATTGACTCCCAAGTCCTTGAAACCCGAGTAGTAGCCGCCAGTGGCATACGTGCTGCACTCGATTATGTGGCCAATCATCAAGGCCCCGGCGAGTTCCTTGAGGTTATCTCTGGTCCAGCCGTGCCACCACATCGCTGCTCCTACAGTCACAGAGGCATCCGCGACGCGACCGCATAGCACAATATCCGCACCACCTTCAAAGCATGCTGCGATGCCGGTGCCTCCCAGGTAGCATTGAGCGCAAATGGGTTCAAATCCCCAGTCTTTGATGGGCTTATTTGCAGGAAGATTCAAAAAGGGCTCTCCTGCAAAGGTTGCATAAATTAGTCTATAGGTCTGTGACATTGCAATTTGGACATACTTGCCTTGACGGTAAAGCTCCAACGCCGCATCTGTTACATCATCACCATCAACCACACCAATCTTGAGATCAACACCGTGCTTTTGGATCAGCTCCTTGACGGCTTCGGCCAAACCGTGAACGTCGCTGGCACCGGCATTCACGGCAACCTTGACACCTTTTTTGGCCAGCCAGGGAATCGCAGGGTCGATTTCTTCGAGAAAGTATGGTTCGTAGCCCTTGGCGACCATGGTCGACCCCGAGCTCATCTTTTGCTTGGCTAGACGGTCGCGCTTGTCGGAGCCTCGCAGCGTCATGTTGCATTCGGACATCCAGTCGCCGGTAATAACGTCAATGTCTTCATTCTTGGCCATGTCATGCATTGCTCGTTTGCGGTCATAGACGCCTGCACACTGTTAATGGTGTTTTCAAAGGCCGAGATGAATGACATACCTCCGGAACATCCAGCAATCCGAACAGGCCGTTTCGGCTGCGTGCCATTGCCATTCCCCGCATTCACCCCATTTGGGGGGTCTTGACTGATTGGTGCCATAATGTCAGATTTACTGATTTCCAGGTCAGTGAAACTAGAATGATTGAGAATAGCACAATTTGCATCGTAACATCTGGGCATACAATACCTTTGGGGGCTTATAATGGACTCACATGGTTACACATGGACGATCCATCCATTGCGGAGTTTGATTTCCTGTCATCCAATATCTGGCCACCCCAATTATCCATTGCACTGGAGGACGCTTTTTTGGTGTTTACCATATACCGGCGCTAATGATTCAGTATTGCCACTGCTACGAGAGCTGCATTTACGGCAGTCTATAGCCCCGCACCTGCGACTGCCAGGCTACTGGTCAGCACTTGCTATAGGTGTAGACCCGCTGTATCACCATGCCTCTTGGAGGAGCTGATTCATCATTATTGGGTTACCGGAATTGGCAGGAAATCTCATGCAATAACTTGTGTTCACGACTCGCGATCGATAACGTAACAATAAATTGACAAGATTTGGTATTGGTCATGCTCGGGTCTGAATACTACTAGGTACCTATCTAAGGGCTGTATACCCCGATGTAAGCTGGTTGGGGATCATAGAGTGTACCAAAATAATGCAGTGACAGCCTATCATCTCAACTCTAGAGCTTAGACCTAATGGGTTTGTCCAACGAACACAACCCGCTCCTCATTTGCACCATCTCCTTTCGCAAGATCTTGCCTGTCGGATTCTTCGGCAGTGCCTTGATCTGCCACACGCCGCCTCTCAATTTCTTGTAGCCACTGACTTGACCATCAACTGCTGTCTGAACCTCGCGAAGCGCTTGCAGTACCTTGACATCTCCATTGAAGCCTTCCTTGAGAATGACCCATGCCGTAGGCAACTCGGTCAGCTGGCTTTCATCCCAGATTGCGCCGACGCCACCCTCCACCACATTTGGATGCGAGTTCAAGTAGCTTTCCAGCTCTGCTGGGGAGACTTGGAAGCCTTTGTACTTGATCAACTCCTTGGTTCGACCCACCACGCTGATTCTGCCGGCGGCGTCAATCGTGCAGACATCACCAGTATTGTACCAGCCCGGCATTGGAAACCCCTTTTCTGTAGCTTCGTCATTGAACGCATACCCTCTCGCGATATTCGGACCACGTAGCCATAGCTCGCCGGGTCCCCCCTCGTGAGTGTCCTCAAAACTGCCTTCCTTCTTGAGACACGCCTCGATATTGGGCAGAAGCCTTCCCACAGCGCCTTCGGGGACATCCTCTCCGAGCTTCTGATAGGCAACGTAGCCGGCAGCCTCTGTCATTCCGTAGACTTGAATGAGACGCCACGGCGCGCGCTGATAGAGCCGCTCCAACAATTCCTTTTTCAGCGGCGCGCCTCCGACATTGATGATCTTTGCGTGGGAAAAGTCGTATCGGGACGTCACGTCCGAATTGGCCAATATGAGGACCACACTGGGGACCCCTTGGAAACTGGTCGCCTGGTTCGATCCTACCAAGGCGGCAAACTGCTCGAGATTGTACGACGGCATGGCGTGATGCAGCATACCGGTCCAGGGACCAAGGAACAGCGGCATGGTGGTCATGGCAATATGGGCCCAGGGCGTAAACGCGACCGTCTTTGCGCCCGGGTGAAATTGCTTGGGATCATGATGGTACAGTTGGTAACAATTGGAAACAAAATTGTAGTGTGTTAGCTCGACTCCCTTGGGCTTGCCGGTCGTACCGGAGCTGAGGTGAATGGAGGCTAGACGCTTAGATGTGTCATTCCAGTGAGGAATTGGAAGAGGCTTGTCCGTCCAAAAGTCATCCGGGACATGTCTCAGTCCGGGTGATTTTTGGACTATCGTCAACAAGTTTGGCTTTGACCAATCGATGCCGGAACCGATGAGTTCTTCCCGACCCACTTCTATCGCCCCTCTGACCACCGACGCGATTTCGCCATAGGCAACGACAAATTCTGGTCGAGAAACGGCCAAGGCATGACCTATTTCTGCAGCTTTGAGTGCATGGTTGACTGGACAGACGACGCCCCCGGTCCATAGAATGGAATGAAATATCTCTAGAAAGTCGACACTATTCGGAAGGATAATGGCCCATCTGGCCTGGTCTGGGGGCTTGAACGCAGCATAAAGGCCACTTGCAATTCTTCCAGCACGAAACCGGAGCTGGCCAATCGTAATGCTTCGGTTGGTGAGATTGTCTTTTGCAATGAGATGAGACTCTGGTAAGCTTTCTGCGTACGCAGAGCTGTGCAGCAGTTCTGTGAGATTCTGATCAAGAGGAATAGAGATTGAGTCAGAGCGATAGATCTTCATTGTTCGTGATGCATTTGCGACTGAGCCAGCTTCTGTCACGATTCTGCACGTTTTGGGAGAGTTGCCCCTAAAGCCTCACTCGGCGAAAACATTGTACCTTGATTGGGCTCTCATTCGACTTTCTCATATTGGATATTATCTTCCTGCTTATCAGTCTGTGAACCCCAATGATAGCCACCCCGTCGCACGCGGCCAGAGATATCCTCATGCTTGGACGCTTGCTGATCGACAGCAATCAGGTGATATAGTACTATTTTCTTGGACGGTCTCTGCATAATCCATGATCCAATGAAAGTGTGTCAGTATCGCTCCAATATCGATCCGGGGTCCCCGCATGTGAATGCGTATTCGCCTATATGCCGCAGTGAATCATTAGTACATTGATCCATGCCAGTGCATCAGTCGCTCAGGAAGCCGGAACCATTTTCCGAGAATACCATGTCGCGGCAGTCGGAAGTACCATTTGGGCACAATAGAGAATCATTCGATACAATTGGTCAGTAACATTGCTCTATACGCCGCAGTGTCAACACCATTCTAAATGAGAAGCCAACACGAATTGAGGTCTATGAACAGGTTCATACTGACCGTGACGACAAGATGAATCCATCTCACCCAACAAAAGAAAAGCAACACTGCCCGATTAGAATTGGCAATGCATCCGGAGCCATTGGCGATGGCATCGATCAAGTATACAAGCTGGCAAAGTCTGGCAAAGTCGATGCAATTACAGCCGACTACCTGGCCGAGTTCAACATTGCATGGAAAGCAATCGAGCTTTCTCAGTATCCTGACCTAGGCTACGAGTCCAACTTCCTCGAGCAGCTGGCATGGGAGAATGGTGATGCTGCTCGCATTGTAGCCGAAAAGCGGATCAAGATTGTCCATGATGGCGGGGCTCTCAATCCAAAGGGCTTGGCCATCAAGGTCGACGAATATTTCAAGAATCTGGGGATACTGGACGTCAAGGTCGCTGCTGTCACTGGTGATGACGTGACAGAGAGGCTTCGAGACAATCAGCTTGGCACTATCAAGCATCTTGATAAAGCTGGAACGCTTCTTGATGCAAGGAAAGAGGACATACTTGCAGCAAATGCATACACTGGTCACTCTGGCATAGTTCGTGCCCTAGAAGAGGGCGCCGATATTGTCATTTGTGGGCGATGCTGCGATGCAAGCCCTGTGACGGGCCTTGCGTCTTGGTGGCATGGCTGGGGCCACACCGAGTACGACAAGCTTGCCAGTAGTCTCATGGCTGGGCACCTCATTGAATGTGGTGCATACGTGACGGGCGGAAATTTCTGCGGTGCTCAGGAAATTGAACAGCTTCATCATGTTGGATACCCAATTGCGGAAATCTCAGAAGACGGAGCTGTCATCATCACCAAACCGCCGAATACGAACGGAGCGGTCACCGTCGACACGTGCAAGGCACAACTACTTTACGAGATACAAGGCCCAATTTATCTAAATCCCGATGTGGTGGCCGACATTGAACAAGCGCACCTTGAACAAGTTGGCAAGGACCGCGTAAGACTGTCTGGCATCAAAGGCTCCGCACCGCCGCCTACGACAAAGCTTGCAGTGTGTCTGTTGGGTGGCTGGCAAGCAGAGATATCAGGCTATTGTGCTGGCCTCGACACAGACTTCAAGTTCAAACTCATAAAAGACCAAGTCCAACGCCAGATCGATCCTGATGATTTTACGACGTTTAGCATAGAAAAGTACGGCGCACCTAGCTCGAATCCATTGTCTCAAGCAGAATCGACAATCCAGATTCGCTTGTTTGCTCAGTCGCCCAAGAAGGAGGCCATGATGCAATTCCGACGAGCCATCTTTTACAATGGCATGCAAGGATACTGCGGACTTCATCTGTCCATGGACTGGCGCACAATGGAGCCCAAGCCATACGTCAAGTATTTTCCTGCCTTGATTCCACAATCAGAGATTCCGCTACAAGTGGAGATGATGGGAACAGAGAAAAGGGCTATTGATGTAGAGGCTCGACAGCGCTTTGACTGTGCCCCTACAGCTCCGACTCAAAGGAATTACGAGGTCAAAAGTCCAATCGATATAAATGCCAGCTGGCCTCAAGCTACACTAAGGCCTCTGGGCGATCTCGTGTTTGCCAGAAGCGGTGATAAGGGAGGAAACGCCAATGTAGGGTTTTGGGTGAGGGATGAGAGGGCCTGGCCCTGGTTGCAATCTTTTCTCAGCAGTGACAGATTGATTGACCTGCTGGGAGACGATTGGAACAACAAATATGACATTGAGCGCTGCGAGTTTCCATTCTTACAAGCCGTTCACTTTGTAGTCAAGGACATATTGCAGGACGGCGTTAGCAGCTCATCGATACTGGACGGCTTTGGCAAGAGTTTCGGGGAATTCCTCAGGGCTCGACACGTTGCTCTCCCAAATGAACTTGTTGAAATGGAGGATGATCTGAGGATACAATCTCGAAAGCACCATTTTGAACCTAGACTATGATGGAAACAAGCAAAATTTTCTTGATATGATTACCAATTCCTGTGCTTGCTGCCTGTCAAAGAAACTATTGCAGTGGCTGAATTGTACAAGTATCCCAGCTTGTATGGTGACTTACGATGAATCGCAATTTAGATAATTAAATCGACTGAGAAAAAAACATGAAATGTTATTTTCTTTACGTCTAGAATGTCTTGTTTGGTCCCAAGGATTCCATCAGTGAGTACTCCTATCGTACGGGGATATTGGGCCGAGGTAGTGCCTGTAGGTGTGGGAAGGTTAGTGGTTCAACCACTAAGACCTCGCCCCAGTCCTTCCTTGCGACACTGTCCACCGACGTATACCACGCTATAAAGTCTCCAGGGACATCATTATAGCACATCTTGTCCTGCTGCCCTCATCAGTGCACACTACAACACGACTTGTTCTGCATTACCAGCTTTCAACATTGCCGCGAAAAAGTCAACTAAAGTCAAGACTCGAGAATGGCTCAAGATCGTCCAGTCAAGAATGCTTCTGGTCGCTACGATAATGTCGACTTTAGCAAAGCCGCCGGTTTCAGATACCCTCCCATCAAATGCAGCTACAACCGCCGCGATGTTTTGTTATTTGTGAGCCAGACCAAAACGCCTGTCATATGGACACCATCTAAACTCTCCACAGGCCAATGCGATTGGAGCGCAAAAAGACGAATTGCATTTTCTCTACGAACTGCATCCCAAGTTTGCTGCATTTCCAACCTTTCCAATCAATCTTGCATTCAAACAGACGGACCAGGATGTATTTGACTTTATTGCTCGGACTGTGAGCGCTGATGTCCCCGGGGTACCACCATTCGATGCGCAGAGGTCCGTCGATGGCGAACGGGGGATCAAGATCTTGCGACCATTACCGGTCAGCTCAGAGGGGCTCGACTTGGAAATTCGTAACCAAGTCGTTGGAGCCTATGACAAAGGTTGGACCTGACACTCATTCTGTTCAGAGCGCATCACTGACATTCAGTACCGACAGGCGGGGCCATGATTTTGGAGACTGAAGGAGAATTAGTTGACGTCAAGACGGGACTCGTCTATGTGAAACTCACATCTACCGCTTTCGGCATTGGCCAAGGAGGATACGGAGGGCCGAGAGGACCGTCAAAGCCAAATGCACAGATCCCGAACCGCTCACCAGACACCATCCACAACTTCAAGACTACACCCGAGACGGCTCTGCTGTACCGATTGTGCGGCGACTATAACCCCATGCATGCAGATGATGAGTTTGGGCAGCGTGCTGGATTCAAGGGCTCGATCTTGCAAGGCTTGGGCACCTGGAATATTGCAGCACATGGTCTCTTGAAGGAGCTGGGTAGCTCGGATCCGACCAGGCTCATGGCATACAGCGCTCGGTTCAAAAGTGTTGTGTATCCTGGTGATGAGTTGGAAACACGAATGTGGGTTGTTGGAACAGACAATGGCTGTGATGATATTCTGTTTGAGACAATCGTCAAAGGCGACGGTAGAGTGGCACTCTCCAACGGACAGGCCAAGCTAAAGCAGAGCGGCAGCAAACTGTAGTGAGATATACTTGGAGAGGAACATTGCAAATAAGTTCATGCTTCTATATCCAGAATACAGATCTATGGGTTGACTATAAATGAGAAGGTCTCCAGACTGGATCCCTCTTTTCGCGATACGCCGCCAGGCCTTCAGTAGCATTGGGACTTTTTAGCATTGCCTCGGCGTATATCTCCTGGCCTCGCATAGTCGCTCGACTGATGCCCGTTTCCCAAGCCTCTCTAGCACCGAGGCGAGATATGATGACACTATCAGGACACAACGCCGCAATCTCGGATGCATAGTCGAGTGTCCGCTCAAGCAGTTTTTCCTGCGGCACAATCTCCTTGACCAGGCCCCATTCCACTGCTTCCTTGACAGTGAGAACCCGCCCAGTAAGACACAAGTCCATGGTTCTGTGGTTTCCGAATAAAACCATGCAGCGAGGTAGTGCTCCTGCAAGTGCCACGACACCACGAAGGACTTCGGGGAGGCGGAATGTCGCATTTGGCGAGGCAAATATGACATCCGAGTTCAACACAATTTCAAAGCCTCCGCCTGTCCAAAGTCAGCCGGTGCACTCGCAAGATTCAAGAGGACTACTACCATGCGCGTGGCCATTGCACGCGATAATGATGGGTTTTTTCCCAGTCCGATTCGCCATTCCGCCAAACCCACCCTGTGGATATTCATGCGCGACAGAGTTGGTGTTTTTGATGTCCAACCGCTGCTTCAGATCCATGCCGGCGCAAAAGGCCTTGTCCCCTGCGCCGGTGAAGACGGCACACCGCAGCTCGGGTTCCGAGTCATACCACCTCCATAGGAAGCTAAGTTCAATAGTCGCCTCTACTGGCAAACAATTTCTAAATTCCGGGCGGTTGATGGTGACGAGAAGGACATGTTTTCGTGGAAACGATACTAGACTGTGTTGCAAGGCAGGATATGGGCTCTGAATCCATTCGGGCACCGGATTCGTTGTTACAGGGCTTGCCATGGTGGAACGGTTGTGGTAAACGACTCCTCGCACTATGATTGATAGATTCTTGGGTATGCAACCATGTCCAACCAGTGGACAAAAGTCTAATAGTTCATACTCGGTCTTGCCTGCTGCTATGCATGGCTGTTTCCCGGCTCCGACGTTCGGTCAACGTTTGCCGTCTTGCAGGTTCGCACATGTAGGACGACGACTGCCTTCACCTCCATGGATAGAGATTGGCTAGATCCTTAGTGTTGCGACCCTGATAGCGCTGAATCATTAGACTGGCCCATGTCTTACTCTAGGTTTGCGGGGTATACATCAATAGACGAGGATTCTGCATAATGGTAAATGATTGCCGAAATTATGGAGCTAGAACTGTACCAGGGGTATGATGAGGGTTGCATATGCGGGCTGAAAATACAATACGCTGCTGCAGGGATGAATCAAGCGACAAAGACTAGATGGTATGTATTGTCGAATGGATGGCAACTGGCAAAGGCTTTAGGTTTTCAGATAGGGCTCTGGTTGGTCACTGTTGTTCACGTAGATATTGTCAAGCTTTGATGACTGTTGCTAGACTCTGCTGAACCAAAGACTGGTGACAATAAAGTGAATACCCAAGAATCGTGCCATCCACAGTATCTAACAGTCTTTGCCGCAATTTTCAGAATGCATCCTACAGAAACACAACCGCCTCCGACACCGACATTCCTCAAGCTTTCATATCCAGCGCCACGAGTCCTTCTGATCCGCATGGATCGCCCTAAGGATCTCAATGCCATGTCAACTACGGCGCAATGGGAAATGGACTCGGTATGGAAATGGCTGGACCTAGAGCCCAAGTTGAGTGTCGCAGTCATTACGGGCACAGGTCGAGCCTTTTCCGCGGGGGCTGATCTCAAGGAGTGGAATAATTCCATGTCAGACGATGCAAATCCCAAGAATCGAATGGGCAATGCGCCCGCATTCAAACCATTGTCACGGCGGTTAGGAAAAAAGCCCGTCATTGCCGCCGTCAATGGGCTGGCTATGGGAGGTGGCTGCGAGTTTATTGTCAACTGTGGTAGGTTTGCTCTCAGCGCAGTCGAATGGGATTAGTTCTAATCGCATGTCAGATCTGGTCGTGGCCGCCGAGGATGCTTATTTTGGGCTTCCCGAAGTGAAACGAGGACTCGCTCCGATAGGCGGTGCTCTGCCGCGTCTGATAAGAACCATTGGCCTGCAGCGGGCGTCGGAGTTCGCGCTGACGGGAAGAAAAGCAAGTGCGCAAGAGTTGTTTGCGTGGGGCTTGGTGAACAAGGTGGTTCCCAAGGAGCAAGTCGTGGATGAGGCCGTCAGGTACGCAAAAGACATTGCCGCAAATAGCCCAGATGCTATCATATGTACGAGAGCTGGGTTGAGGCAGGGCTGGGAGACGGCTTCGGTTGAGAGAGCAGTGGAGATTACACTAGAAAGAGAGTTTGCCGAGCTTCAGAGGGGAGAAAACATCCTCGAAGGATTAAAGGCATTCTCAGAGAAGCGAGAGCCGGCGTGGAAAGGAAGTCGCCTCTAAAATTCTCTATTCGCCTGTATCATCTCGCGAGTTGGCTCGAGCGGATTACGAGTTGTAGAAAGATAAGCATAGGTTTAGACGTGTTCACATAGTATAAAATGTCTAGCGACGCTGTCTTTGAATGTAAAGCATGTTTAGCCTATGGCTTTACGTGTATCATACATGATGCCACAGTCGATAGTATGCAATCAAAAAGGTCTGATAAGAGTAGGGCTATTCAGTGCCTCTAAGAAGCCTTGGTCACACACCAAGCCTCCCCATGCGTATTCGCTTCTTGTTGCCAGCCGGGTCAATTACTAATGATTCAGCATCACCCTTGCACCAGTCCAGAAAGACCTCCCCCTTGACTATTAGATGGGTAGGAATCTTGTTCCGTGTGGCTCAACTTCCCCGCCAGATCTAGTAGATCAGTCAAGTGGGGGTAGCATGCCTGTTTCATTCGTATAGTACGGTCCTCTTCCTGCATCTTGGAAGCTTACGTACATGGTACCCGACAATAAGACGGCAGTTATCCTATGCAAGTTCTCTCCAGAGTCTGAAGATTCGTCTCTCGATCCCAAAAGCACCATATTTTATCCCCAAAACTACCATTATCTTTGAAATGGAATCTAGAAAGGAAGAAGCCAGAGCTGCGCAGACGGAAGAAATCGAAAAGATACAAGAAGGGCACAACAATGAAGACGATGCTTCTTCCATCAGTCCGGAAGCCCTGGGAAATGACTTGCCGAAAGGCTACTTTTACTCGCTACAATTTCTCGGTGCCATGACTGTAAGTGGCGTGAGTGCACATACCGATGGCCATGTCTAAATCTAATTAGGGCTTCTGTCTGTCTGCAATCTCAGCCTACATATTCCTCCTCTTTCCGACAAACATTCTCACGTACATTAATGCAGACATTGGTCCAAGCCCGTACATCTCCTGGGTCAACATTGCAAGAACCCTAGCACTGTCTTTTACTTATACCATTCTTGGACGACTATCAGACTTGTTTGGGCGACGGTGGTTCTTTATTGGCGGCAACATTGTCGCTCTACTCGGCATCATCATCTGCGCTGTAGCCCGGAATGTTAACACGCTGATAATCGGCAGCGCCGTGTATGGTCTGGGTGAGACTGTTCAACTCAGCTTCAATGTTGCGGTTGGCGAGTTGGTCCCAAACAAGTACCGGCCAATGGTTCTGTCATTCATCTTTCTTACCAATGCACCGTTTGCGAGTTTTGGTCCAATCATGGGTAAGAAAAAGCAGCTCTTTCTAATCGATCCGAGCCCAGCAGAGTGCTGATCTGAATACAGCACGAAAGTTTGTCGAGATTCCGTCCCTTGGCTGGCGATGGTGTTACTACATCAACATTATTGCCGTTGGCCTCGCAATCGTGCTTTTATACTTGTTTTATAATCCGCCCACGTTTGAATTATTGCACGAACGCAAGGGTAAGCGGGAGATTCTAAAAAGGCTTGACTGTAAGTGAGGACAGAGTGTCATCAAAGTGATTCGGGATTCTGATGGCGCTTAGACCTTGGAATCTTTTTGTGGACTGCCGGTCTCACCTTGTTCCTAATGGGAGTCTCTCTCGGCGGGAATATCTACCCCTGGGCATCAGCACCCGTCATTTCCACCATCGTTATCGGTATCGTGTTGCTGATTATATTGTTCATCTGGGAGACCGTTGCCAATCTGGAATATCCTGCAATTCCAGTCAAGTTCTTTCGCAATCGTGGCTTCATGAGTTTGGTCTGCTGTGCTACAGTTGGAAGTGTGAGTGTACACCACGATATACTAGAAAGTCTACTAAGACACACCAGATGACCTACTACTCGGCTGTACTGCTATGGCCCCAACAAGTACAGGCCCTCTTTACCAAGGACATAATCGAAGCTGGGTGGCTTTCGGTAGGTATGGCTTGTCTCCTTCTGTCGACATGAGACTGACAGAGGCGACAGTGTACAGTCGGAAGTGCAACCGCCCTGGGTCAGATATGCGCCGGTGCCATTGTCAAATGGGGAGGCAACGTTCGATACTGGATCATATTTTCCACATTTGCCATGGTTGGGTTCGTGGCGGCTCTGGCAGCCGTTACTCCAGACACTAGGAATATGGCCGTCGCTCTAGTCATTCTGGGTCCATTCTTTGTTGGATTCATCGAACTCGCATCTCTGGCTCTCGCTCCTCTCTTCTGCAAGCCTGCAGATATCGGTTTGGCCTCGGGGCTGCTTGCTTCCATCAGGTCTGCCGGGGGCTCGATTGCGGTGGCAGTGTACAGTACGATACTGTCGAATCGTATCAAATCGACCATACCCGAGATTGTAGGCCCAGCTGCAGTGGCAGCAGGTCTTTCAGAAAGTGAGGTAGGCGCACTGGCAACAGCCATCGTTGGCGGTAAGCTGTCGTCATTTTCTGGATTGACATCGTCTGTTAGCGCTGCTGTCAGTGCAACGCTTCCCACGGCATACGCACAGGCATTCAAGACAGTATATTTGGCAAGTTTGGGATTTGGTGGGATTGCAATTGTCGGGTGCCTATTTTCCAAAGACGCACAGAAGCATTTGACGGACAGGGTCGACCGAAGGATGCAGAACGGCGAGGTTGATTAGACTAGGTGCACTCTACCATGTGCTAGACTCCATGACTCTTGGGTTTTTCCGGCATACCGACCTCCATAACAGCAATACCATGCCTCATACAAACACCCCAAGATAGAGACCATGCTAGAATCCGAACCAAAGCCCGTATCTGTGGCCCCATTCGCTATGCGCTGGACGTTTGGCTTAAGTGCTGTACTGCTGGCCGTCTCTCGTTCTGGTACGAGGCAAGGGCGCTGCGATGCTTGGCAAGGACCAAACACGGCAGACTCGGTTGTGGATTCTTCCAGAACTAGAGACTTTGTTAGCAACAGGTTGAGATGGATGCAAAATAAAGAGAAAGAGGAAGATAAGAACGAGAAAGCAAAAACTTCATACCTCATGTCAATGACCCTTGGCTATGACTGGAAATGACGGCCTGACTCTAAGCTGGGGAATACGTCGAGTCTTGTAAACAAGTATGCTCATTGCGAGAATCAAGAGGAGGACAATGACGACATCCATGTCAATGGTAATCAGTGTGTAGGCGCAAGCATCGCGGTTGATCACCTTCCATGCACCTTTGCTTGCCACGTTATTGATGGTGACGATGGAGTAGTGGTCAGCGTCGCACTTGAACATTTTGCCTGTATTTCGCTTAAAGTGTTTTGCTTGTATGTCTTGTCTCTTTCGCTTTGTGATTCCCGTAGTGTTTTGTGGTGGCAGCGGTTTGTTTGCTGAGGCTCTTGCTTGTGGTGTTGTTTGCTGAAATATTTGGGACTTGGAGTTATCCATCAATTGAATAGGTCTTCGTTCCTTCTCCCACTCGTTTCAAACGTGGATTGTTTGTGGAAAGTGCGTCTCGGCCATTTTCAGTCTCAGGTTTTGGTGTCTTCCATAATTAATTTTTGAACGCTCTACAACTCCTCGCAAACCGGAATTGAGTGGCAGGAAGGCCGATTGAAATCCACCTTGATGTATCCCGAGGTCGTGTCATCGTTGAGCTCAATTTCATAATGGCTTCAGTGCTTGTGTTCTTTGATTGACAAGTACTGCCAACTAGAAATCGTACCATGGGCGCTCAAGATACCTCACAGTTTTCCCAAGTACCTCATTTTTAAGAAGGCGTCGTCAATAGGATCGATCTGGATTGTATCCATCGGTAATTTGGTGAATTTCCTGCCCAGATGTATTGTGCAAGTCCTTGAGCAAGTATCGATGACAGGTACATGGGTACTGTCCACTTGGGGAGTGTGCCTCTGCCCCCCCAGCACTATTTGGTTCTAGCTCAGCACCCCGCGGCGCCAAACACTTCAATTTGTAGCGGTCATCCCTCGCAAACTCGAGCAGTGCACCTGCTCTTGGACACTACGAGTGTGATGGAACCTGGCTCAATCAATAATTCATCCTCTTGTTGTTGGTTGGGAAGAATACATTGAAGAGTATCAAGCGCGCTCGCTCGATCTCGACATGCCTCGTGTGCGCCATCAATGCTCAGACATTGGTACTTGAATGGTTATAAGCTTGATACTGTTGCGAAATGTCACAGCCAACAGCCGACCAAGGTGTGCACTTTTCGCTCAGCACAGGCAGGGACCAAGATGTCTCGCAAGCCAATGTTGAATTGCATAGAAAGCGGGCTCGCGACCGAAAGTCGCAGCAGGCGATGCGAGACCGGCAGAGGGGTCTGATCCAGAGCTTGACTGAACGAGTCGACTTCCTCACCCGCACACTAGATGGCACTCTGAAAGATGTCGGCCTGCTCGAGTCAAAAGTCATCACGCTCGAGGCCGAGAATGCGCAGCTTCGTGCTCAGAACGCCGCCTGGCAGCTGGGTCTACTTGGTCGTGCTGAGCCTACAGAAACAGTAGCGCTCAAGTCCCTAGAGCCTTGGACCATACCTCCTCGAAATTCACCGCCGTGTTGTATCGCCGATAACATTGTTCAGAATTTCATTCTATCCAAGCGTGCCGAAATGGCGTCAGTACGACCCAACGAGATACACGGCAGCACAAGACTAAAACCAAACCCCGCTTCTCTCCTCTCCAAGCAGCATGGGACGGTGGATGAAGTGAGCAACGTGGTTGCTGATCTTGTGCGGTCATATCCAGAAATCGAGTCCCTTCCAAAACAAGTTGCTGTATTTTACATCATGGGGCTACTGTCCAAGGTCAGTGCACGCAAATCTGCATCAAGTTCATCTTGCGACTCTAGGTTGACCTATAACAAGTGGCTCATTTATCTCGACAAGGAAAGTTGGGATCTCATGCCCGAGTGGCTACGGCCGACCGAGTGTCAGCTTTCGACGGTTCATGCCGCGTGGGTTGACCGAATTCCATGGTAAGAACAAATCAGTAAAGAAATCTGGCGTGGTGATGAGCTAAGTTGAACAGGCCCAAGGCAAGGAATTATCTAGTACAGCACTCTGACATAACGTTGGATGATTTTGCATCTACATACAGCTCTAGCTTTCAGATCAAGTGGGATTTCGATCCTAGCCATGTGCTCATTACGATCGACTCGAACAAGGATGAGCCAAAGCAAGTGCTTTTCAATCCCGTGTTTGAAAGTGAGATACGCCAACTCAAGAATTGGACCGTCGAGGAGACATTCCGACAGCGTTTTCCCGAAATTGCAACGCTTATTGACAAGGATACAATCTTGGTCTAGACAAATCGTGTAGTTGAACCAAATATGCATTTGTAATCTGTGCCTGGAAAGAAATCAAGTGAATTGACATGAGGAAACCAGGCTATCGTGAGTTGACCCAGTCCATAACTTCACAATTGCTCCTGTCAAGCAGACTTGAAAAGCTTGAAGCCACCAGGAACTCGAGATTGGAAAACACCCTGGGGATCGTACTTCGTCGCAACATTTCGCATGAGCTCAATGTTCTCTGGGCCATATGTAGACAGTGGATCTTGACTGCCGTCTGCGTATGCAAGATATTGCCACTCTATATCGACGCCAATATCGATGCTGTACTGCTTCAGTGCGTCGCGCATCGGAATCAACCTCTTGCGCGCCGCGGCCTCTTGCTCAGCATTCCGAACCATGTGTTGCATTTGGTACAGAATCGCGTCGCCTGCTTCGCGCTCCATGCCAGTGACGTTTCCACCCCTGTTGACAGAGCTCTCAAACAACACTTTGGGCATTGATTGGATGACCACAAAGTTGACAAAGTCTGGGTCCTGGTCCGCCTTCCAACTAGCAATAAAATCGCGTTGCGCTTCTAATGCTTTTTGTAGGAAACGCCCATCATTCTTTACATTCATTGTGAGCCATAACTGTCTGTACTCGGTTGGCTCATCCAGCTCAAACGTCATGTTCAAATGACTGTCAACACGAAGCGTGTTACTGAGCTGGGGAGTGATGGAAAGGAAGCGGTCAAACGCAGGCGCATTGACTTTTCCAGTGGTATCATGGATTGCCATGGAAACGACAATATCTGCACGGGCAGGGTCGTAGAGCCAAAAGGTTATGGCCGAGCCCTAGGGATAGCTGCGTATATTGTCCACCCAGTCAACGTACGCCGCAATATGCTGCTCGGTCGTGGTGAGAGGATAGACCACCTGACCACCCCAGAGATCTCCAATGGGAAACGCTTGAACGTCGAACCGGGTCACGACGCCAAAGTTGCCAGAGCCTCCCTTGAGCGCCTTGTGCAGGTCCGCATTGACCTCCCTGTTGGCGTTGACCACCTGTCCGCTCGCGAGCACGACCTCGAAATTGATGACACTGTCGCAGCCAAGACCAACCATGCTGCTAAAGAAACTGTTGCCACCGCCCAAGAGGAATCCGGCAACGCCAACTTGAGATGCTCGGCCACCTGGAACCGTAACTCCGAATGGCTCCAGAGCTGTATAAACCTCATGCCATCTGCCTCCTGCGCCTATTTTAGCGATTTGACCATCGGCGTCATACTCGGTCTGGTTCATCAGGCCCAGATCAAGTGTCACGCCATCGCTGACTAGGAAAACCAAGTCAGCTCTCGTCTTTGAGGGCCATGGTTTGACTTACTGTTGGATGCCCCAGGGTATGATGCATGACCGCCGCCACGGACTGCCCATTTACATGTTGTCTGTGTCTTCAGGATGGTAATTGCCTGCGCAACCTGCTCAGTGGACCTAGGCTGAACTATGCAAGTTGGATTGATTCGCGCCGAGACTGACCAGTACGACTGGTTTCGAGCCGTATAGGCCGCGGTATTTGGTCGAAGCACTGTCAAACCAGCGGCCTCGAGAATGTCGCACTAACAATATCTGTCAGCGCATCGGACAACGGTATTCACCACAGGTACACACGATCAATCGAAAGGATCATTCCTACAACAGTAGTCGCCATGACGCAACAATGCTTGCAAGATTCAGGTTGGAATGTGATTGAATGAAGAAACGCGAGCAGGAGTCCTAAACACTCTATATAATCGCGGTAAGTTCTTTCAGTACTCGCCGCAAGGTCACCACAGGGACAAGTCGATGGAGTGTCATTGTTGAAAATATTAGCAGAAACGCATCAGCGAGCACAATTGTTATCAAGCTCTTCAATTGTAGCACAGTCCCTCGGTTCGCAAACACTTTCCTCTTCGTTCTGTTTCACTGATGGATTGGGCTCTTTCTAGTCAACCAATCATTCAATTGATACTTTCAAGTGGTGTAGTAGCATGCATCAGGATAGGGGATGCTTCAATACGCGGGGTCGGCTTACTGAGCAAGTATATCGAGGCTGCCGGAATGTGCAATCAACTATCTTTGGGATATCCTTTGGGATATCGTATGGGCAGATCACGGCAGATCACGGACCGGAGATACTTGATCAGGCGAACCACATTCTTTGATGGCCGGGTATCTGCACAGTGCTGAATAATGGGCTTAATCGCTCGTGATATGCGTTACCAGTTTAATTTTTCAACTCCCACCAGAGACGTTGGGCCAACTCCAGTGGTGGTAGGTATATGTAGGCCGCTCTACGCCATGCAGCATGTCGTAAAGTGGCCCGATACATGACTTGATCCTTGGCGTGATCGCCTGTCAGTATAATGGCAAATGGAACCATTTCTACTTGCTGTTCAATGTATGTTTGCTTGCCAAAAAGTCCACTCAGTCTCAGTTTGACAGCATGGGGCGCAGCGAGCCATCAAGGCGACCGTACGACTTGATATCAATGAGGCCCAACCCGATCCCTTTCAAGCATTTTCGTCATGGACAGCACGGCAGCCTGCATGCACTACTTTTTAACATCTGAGGAGTAGAATCTTGGTCCAAACATGGTCATCCGAGCAGGCAATAGAACACAGGTCGTCTGCCCTGGATAACAAAGTCTGCCATTGCCCGAGTTTCAAGAACTTCTGTTGGTGTGGCTGAATTGCACAAACAGCCTTCTCCCAATGATATTGAAAAACTGCATTGTAATGCCAAGAATATCCATGATGCTGTATATTTGCTGCCTGTAATCAAACTGTCAAGGGAAGTGATAATAAGCAAGCAGAATAATCTCTCATTCGTACAATTGTTACCCGTCAACAGTCATGGGTGAGACCAAAAAGCTGATGAATCAAGTCTAAAGAGGGGTACGCCCTGTAGGGACGCCTGGTGGGGTAGCTGCTTGCCCACCGCAGATTAGTGTCTTTCAGGGCCTGTGAGGCTGCGCTAACAAGTGTACTTTAGTGAATCAGGTACCTAATATTATTGTAAATGGCTGGTTTATGGCACATGTCGCTCTGAGCACACCTCAACTCTGCCAAAGAGATTAAATACAAGTGTTTATCATATTAATATGATTCAAGAGACCAAGAATACTACTTTTCAATATCACATTACCAGAAATCTGCTCACACCATGCTCGAGCTACATACCAGGCAGTAACATAAATGACGTTCTGATTACGTGGGGCAACATCCCAGCCCCCAAGTTCGCATTTGCGGGATGCACAAAGCTGCAAGCATCCCGATCTACGCGCCATCAACGCCATCAATCGCAAGCAAGACAGGGCCAGGCAGATCTCGGTGAAAAGCAAAGAGCCGTCTTGTGAAATTTCCTCTCCTCGAAACCGAGCTGAAGTCTTGCAGCGAATAGAGGTTTTTCCGAGGGCTCCTGATTGATTGCAAAGGTTCCGAGGCAGTGTTTCGTTGAGTCATCCGTGTCTACCGAAAAGCCAATCCATATCCGCCGCACACAGAGTTTGGGCTCGCATATTGTTTGCGCCCAACTAATCAGTCATGGACACTCAACGCGATGCCATGGTGACTCGCGGCCTCACCCAGCTGCATACTGTGAGTCCAGTCAATTGCGCCTGGATTGACTGCATCTGTATCTCTCCACGTCACTGACCATTGCCTCAACACCAGGGTCTCGGCATTCTCCTCGGAGCTGGTCGGATATCAACCGCCACCCATGAGCAAATACTTGCCCTCATCAATAACAATGACGACAATCCCAATGCTTCTAACGCTGGTAAAGAGACGCCAATCTCTCTTGTCTCGAATGGCCTGGACAATAGTTTCGAGTATGAGCCGGCATCAACATTCACATTCCATTCAGTTGCTGATTGATTGTCCAGTAACTTGAAGATTACCAATAAGCCTCCCAGAGGACCTAGTGCATCCATCTCGTCGGCTTCACCTCTGTTTCCAAGAGAGAATGCCTGGAGAACCCAACCAAGCCTTACCCCAGCTCCCAAAGAAGTACACCCCGAACCACGACGCTCCAATGTCGTCTGCCCTTGGTTTTGGACGCCTGGCTATACTTGCCGCGAAAAGGAAAAGGGCATGTGTGCTTGGCTACATGAAGACTGTTCCGATGGCGTCAAGGATCCTCTCATCTGTGCCTTTTGGGCTGACGGCGAGCGCTGCACCAAGAGTGCAGAGGATTGTCGCTTTGCCCACTACTGGGCCGCCCATCGAGAAATTGCCCCTCAGCCAGGACCCAAGTACAACCCGAAGTACAAAAAGTCCAAGAAATTTTCGACCTCATCTAACAACGATGCTTTTTCCAAGTACTCGGAAGCTGGTGCCGGAACACTCCTTGACTAATGGAACGATATAACCCCAGGCTTGCGACCGAGTCTCCTAATATTTCTATCAAACTATGGCACGGGCGTTTGACATAATCTATCCCCGTATTATCAAAGTGGAGGGAACCGAGTAAAATGGACGTTATCATTCAAAAGGGCTACCATCTTTGCTCACGTACGGATTTCTACACGGAACGAAAACCACCAAGATCCGTCTTATTAGAGTGCGCAATGGTCAGGGAACCCACTAAATCTATAGCTGCGATTCTGGTACAAGGAATCAATTGCTCTCTGAGCAAAGCCTTAATGGTTTGATTATCAAGCAACGGCACTCAAAGAGTTTAGTAGAAAGAATTTTGGTCCGAATGCTCTCGTGCGAAATGCTTAGGCAATCGCCACACATGCGTCCCATGTAAATTTGATGATTTTATGCCGTACAGGGTAAACAATTGACTTTACTCTTCTATCAATGGCGGATGAATTATTGTCGTAATGAATTATTTGGTTAATTAGGAGTCAGTGCATCGGTCAGGTGTGTACTGAAAGTCGGAGGCAGCGTCGAGATGGAATCAGAATGACTTGGTTGGGTAAGTGCACTTCATATGACAGTGTCCTGAATAGCGAAGCAAAGCATTGGATGCTTGCGCAAACCCGTATCGACAGAGTCATACTGAATGTGCATACTCACAATGACTCTTGACGTATCAATTATTGCATGCATGTGGGCATAATTATAAGAGGTATGAACTCAATCTGGGACTACGGAACACCACCACGACCATATGATGATTTGATTCAAGAATGGCAGAGCCAAGTTCAACTAACAACAAGTCATCAAAGAAGCGATTGGCGTCAGGTAGTGCCGCCAAGTCTGCGCCCACGGATGACGACTGGATTATGATCGTTCAAGATGAGATCCTTCATGACGAACCCGAAAATGCCCCCGCCTATGAGGTGTTGCTCGACACTCTTGTCGACAATGGTTACATTTTGATGGACGAGTATAAGACGGTGAATACTGCAAAGGCCTCCGGAGACGACCTGAGGGAGCAGCCAGTCGTGAATTATATCATGGGCACGATCCAGATTGGGCTTCGGCCCAATGATGCAAAGCAGATTGTCATGGAATCACACTCCCTTATTCTACAGGTATTGGCTGAGAGGTCGGCGAAAGAAAGAGGAAAGAGGTGCGACGGCAAGCTGAAGGAAAGCGACGCATCATCGGTAGATTGAACTCTTCCGTTCATTGCCAAGCAAGACTGTTGTTTGTACATCTCACAGGCGAGGGTGTGATTAGACCATGTTCGAGCTAGAAGATCAAGCTGGTAAAGAGCCTCTGCAAAGACTTGACAAACGTTCGCATGCCGTACTAGATGGTTTCACGTTATTGAATTGCACTTTTAGAGGTCTAATTACCACTTGACTCATGGTCTACTGCCCAAGGATCTTTCCCAGCTCCTCACCACGGCTAGTCGCGGCCTTGACAGCCTTGTCAACAATTTCCTTGAATCCCGAAGCCTCAAAGCTCTCCAGCGCAGCTTGTGTGGTTCCGTTGGGGCTGGTGACGTTCTTGCGCAGCTGGGCCGGGCTGTCTGACGACTCAACCAGCATCTTGCCGGCACCGAAGCAGGTCTGAATGGCCAACCGTGTTGCTTGCTCCTCCGATAGACCCAGGCTCGTGGCGCTGGCAATCAAGTGCTCAACCATGGCAAAGAAGTAGGCGGGTCCAGAGCCTGACAGACAAAATTAGAAAGGCATTCATGATCGAATTGAAATTACATTTACTTACCCGACAGCCCCGTGACAACATCAATGAGCTCCTCCTTGTCGACCCACTCGGTCGCCTTGCTGAAGCTGCTCAAGAGACCAGTGACGAGCGTCTTTTCGTCCTCGGTGACATCGGAGCTGGCAAAGAGGCCCGAGGCTCCCTCACCGTACAGGGCCGGGGTGTTGGGCATGACGCGGACGGCGTGCGGGGTGCGGCCGTCGGCGCCCTTGAACCAGTCGACGAGGCTGACGAGGGTGATGCCGGCGGCAATGGAGACGACGACGGGCAGCGAGCTGCGGCTTGCCCACGAGCCGCCGAGCTCCTGGCACACGCCCTTGGCCACCTGCGGCTTGACGGCCAGAATGACCACGTCGGCGTCCTGGGCCGCCTCGACATTGGATGTCGTGGTGCGCACGCCCAGCGCGGCCATCTTGTCACGGTTCACCTCCCACGGCTCCGACACGCAAATGTTGTCCTTTTTGGTGCCCTTGGCGAGCAGGCCGCCGATAATGGCTGCGGCCATGTTGCCTCCGCCTGCGCGACCGATGGGGTCAGTTGAGATGCTTCATGCACGGGTTCGAGCTTGGACTCACCAATGAAGCTAATCTTGCTTTCTTCCAACTTGACCATTTTGAATGAAGCCTGTGTAATTTTTTGGTTTGCTAGAAAAGGAAACAACGGCAATCTTGTAGATGTTGGCAATTTCTAGTTCACACGAGTCACCTTTTACAAAGCCGCTACGTTATCTGTAGCTGCGATCTCGGGAGCGGTACGTCTTCTCCACACCCCCCTGCCGCTGATATCCGCCCACTAAAAATCAAAAAGTCGGGGCTCCGTTTGTCCCACTTTTTAGTGGCCGTGGTCGAATACTGCCCAAGCCACCATTCAGAATCGTGAGGATAAATGAGTGAGCACGACACGACTCTATTACCGAGATGGCCAGCCCGTCTGATAGGCAATTTACGCTTGGGATGTCGGCCAGTGCACAATTCGGGTTCGTGTCGTAGAACTTTCTATTACACTCCTTCCTGAGCACTTGGTTGGGGAAGTACTTAAGCAATGTTAAAGAAGGTACCTACATACAACATCCATTAACATGGTTTCTTGGCATGATCATGAAAGAGGTCGCCAACGAATATCATGTTTTAGTCTATCGTGAATGAATAATGGTCGGTCACTGCCTCGCTGACAGTGTTCAGGGGGAAGAGCTGCCATGGCAATTCGTACGAACATGCAGGGGCTGAAAATCGTCGTCCAACCTCACGATGCGTCCCTGCTCCGTAGTTCCAAGATTGACATCCTCGCCAACATCCGCGAATATCTTCAATCCGTCTCTCAGCAGTACATTTTCTACATTCGAGTCTTCAATGCGTTCAATGACACTATTTATTTTATCCAACTTGTGCTGTGCTGATCCACGGGAGAGGGATTCGCTCCATGATGTCAAATACCAGACGTATTGAGCTGTGCCCCTCACCTTTAGGGGGGCGTTCGGCCGCACTCCAACGTATATGCATTGCCCACTGGTCGTGTATATCAATATTGACATCAAGAATGATGCTTGGCTGCGATTCGAGTTTCCGAATCTGAATATTCCCGAATGATCCATAGCATCCTCGGGCATTGTAGACACGATGATACCATGTTTGTGCTTCTCTTCGAGAAAACACAACAAGCCGAATTTAAATGAGGAGTGCAACCTCGGGGTGTTTGATAAGACAGCACCAGTATAGGTCATAAACCGACTGGGACGAGACTCGAGGTAAAGGTCCCCTTCCTGTTTGAAATATCTGTCTGGTAACAACATTGGTCTCTAAGGCACATCGCACCGGCAATAGAGTCCTGAGAAATTCTTATGTCTTCTTCTGACAGGTAGGCAAAGTGACTCGAATACGCCAGCACCGTTCCAGATATTTAGCAAAATCCAACTGTTCCCAAATGAATGTGCCAGAGGTAATTCAATGGACAGCCCGACATTTGTAATGGAATAGGAGGTCGAATTCCTTTTCGAGTATGCAAAAATGTTGGCCGCCTGGCTGAAAGTGCTAGGTGATGGCGCAAGAATACTGGTCCAGTCGGACGGCACGTCGTCGTTCCAGGTCCAGGCGAATATCGACTGGTCACTTGACGTCTTGATGATTTCTTCCTGAAGTCTAGTGAACGCTTTGCGCCCTTCTCCGTATAACAGCGGCATGTTCAAATCGAAAATCCCAAGCATGCAGTAAGCCATATCCTCTTCTCTTGTAGTTCGGCGCCTGGACAGCCATGACATTTTTGCCGCGACACTCGAATCCGACATTTCTTTAATGGAAGAGAGTGCTTCGCGTTTAATACCAGTGACCTCGCTTATGGCTTGAAGAAGCAAATCACCATCACGACTGCCGAGCTTGACCCAATCGCGAGAGTAGAAGATGACCTCTCTTGGAGCCAGAAGTTCTTGCAACGTCCAACCACGGGTAAACCATTTGCTCTCTCTGAAGGCAGGCTGTTTTCCCACATCGCTGTTTTGTTGGAGGGATACATCTGCCATGTGAACATAACATTCAACAGCAGCATGGTACCAGGTGAACATTGAATTGATGGCCTCGCTCAATTCCGCCGAGCTAGTCTTGTCGATGCAGTTGGTGTCTACCCACATCCAGTCAATCTCGTGACTGCGTGCAATCCGGCAGGCGCCTATTATCTTTTGGTATCCTGACTTCTTTATAAGTGCATCTGTGTGTGGTGCAATCCACTGCTGGTACGTGACCTCGCTATTCCTTTCCCAGGTATGCGAGAAGATGGCGTATTGCGGTATATCAGAGCCGAAGAACTCGCTTAAGATGAGCGTGGACGTGTTGATCAAACGCATGTCGATGGACCGGATATGATAAAACTCTTGTGTTTAGTTTTGGAACTCGCGTGGCACAATTCAATTTACCTAAACTAGGTAGACCAACGAAAGAAACAAAAAAGGAGCAGAACATGAAGTTCAGTAACCGCTTTGGGGCTGTAGAATGCGGGGTTCAACAGGTCATTACGTCTTTATCTACCAAATGAGACGTAGCCTTGCATAATCATTATATGACGATCGGCAAATATCTGGTCCTCACGGTCCACCCTCCTGTCTTATGGGTAACATGCGTATCATGTGAAACAGTTCTTTGTTCAGGTCTTCAAGGCCGATTTGAGACAAAAGTTGCCAAGTATGATCTGATTGAATGAATATTATGGTTTGTGTTTACATCAATCGTAGACGTCTTTGCAAGAGTTCTGAATCCCCATATTTCAATCCAATTAACTGTTGGTATCGTTGCGAATGCTCCGAGACTTTCTGTCCTATTATAAGAGAAAGAGTTATTGATACAAAATTGACGATGAAGGTTAAGTTTCTTGAATTTGAAATTCACAGCCTGTCTTGTTGTTGATTATTCATGGCCTTGCTAAAAGTGAATTTTGGGTCCAATCACAAAATCTGACGAGGTCATTACAAACCTTGTGAAGTAGAAAGATATCGTAACTCAACTAAAATGGATATCATGATCGGCTTTGGTAAAATTCTGGCATTTCTCTTTGGCCCCGTGGTTGAGATATGACCTTGCTTTCAAACTCACATATACGGTCCTGCCTCGACACTGAGCCTTCCGGAGCACCAAAAGAAAAAAAAAAAAAAAAAAAAGAAGGGAAATAAAAAGAATTAACAAAGGGCATGAAAAGAAGAAGAAGAAAACCCCTCCCATGTGAGAACTATTATAATTCGGTAAAAGTACATTTCGTCAGAACATGAACAAATGACCTGTCTTGATAGTGTTCTTGACTGTAAATGGTCACAGTATATGAAAAGTAACAAGATTCAGTTACGTCTAGTCTTCTCACGGTACAGGGGACCAAAGGCTTGTCCTAGTCTCGACATGGGAAATATTAACCTCTGTACTGCTCAAGAAAGGAACATACTTGGGTTAAAAGTAATACAGTGTTCTGATCGGATCCGAAACCCGCTATATTGCAACGGGCTTCGGATGAGTGATTATACTTTCGGCCGAGAGGGAGAGAATCCTCCTCTGCCAAGTTGTGTTACTCGACAGACACATCTGATAGGTACTCAGCAGAGAGCTTCCATACGAGGAATCCCACACCATCAGGATCTACAAACGGGTACAACCATCTCGACGGAAACATGGAATACCCCACGTGCTGTCAATGCAAGCATTTGGAATCAAATTGATGCCAAGGATCCAATAGGACCATTATAAATATACCAGATCATCAATAATGAGCTTTGATATACCACCAATAATGTTTCTGACAATGCAGGTCATTGACAGCACATGGCTTGATGCTAAGTTTGTCTCTAGCTTACCCCAGTTTCGGGCTGCCTCCTCTTCTCGAGCAAATGTACCAGGATATAGCAAGTTCCCCCTCACTTATCATATGGTGCTAGCTAGGAAATGACTACTATCGAGTCTAGTTTCACTTACAGGTTTCCCTTTTCAAACACGGTGACGGATGTCAATATCCGCCTCTGCATACCTTGGCCGGAATCCGTCTCACCAATTACCTTGTCCAAAGCTTTGTCGTGGCGCCAATTGATGCCATACAATGGCCGCGATTCAGCATCCGTCACATACGCACATTCTGGCAAATATGATCGAGAACATGCTGGCGCGGAATAACCATTTCAGCAGGTATGGAATCCTTTATACAAGCCTCGGCTGGGTCAACCACTCAGGACAAAACTTGGAGTGCAGGCCAGGTATCAAAAGACGAAACACTAGTGAGCAAAAGAGGGCAACGACTTCGCTTTCAGCCCATAGTTTGCCAGAGTATCGACAATGTGACGCACCCCAGATGTTGGGCCTCGGCCCCTGGCCCTATACGACCATTTCATTGGTTCCCTATAAATTCCCCGGATTCTGGTCAGTGAGGAGCTCCACTGAACCGCTGTCCGGGGCACAACTTGGCTGCGGGGAAGCCCCTGGTCAATGGCGTCGTCTGTCGCCTCCCCACGAGATCCCATCGCACATACTCGCATGTAGAGAGTCGAGACCCGCGTCACAGCGCGATAAAGAAAGTCCACAGCCTATCGCTTCCACATATCAGCTACTCGAGGCGTACAATGATAGACCAGGGTGAGGAGTATGCAGACGTGCGGACTCGTGCGGGGTGTGGGATTGTATCACGGCCTATATCAGCTACGAACCTCCTGATTCAGCTTCAACATTCAAGTGTAGTAAAGAAAGCTGGCTTACATGGTCAGCTAAGGAGATATTGTTTTGAGAATCTGTAGCTACAAGTTTTCAAAATGTCGTCCCAACCCGCAATCGATACCAAAGTCACCCCCCAGGTTACTCCGCCGAGTCCTGACCACGAAAAGGCCGAGGTCTCCCAACTCGAGCAGGTATCGACTCAAGAACACCCGCCTGGCAAAGGGCACTATGTTGAAGAAGATGGACTTCGTACAGAAGGCAAGTTCTGCTGGTCATGCAGTTGGTGTCAACTTTGGCATGCTAATAATTGGCGACTCCAGGGGATGGAGTGATCCATCAGGATACACAAGTAGGCAGCACGCATTCGATATGGTCCTTTCGTGGGCAGAGCTGATCCAAGTGAATACAGATGACAACAAAGAGAAAGATGGCTCTCGTTGCCCAGGTTAGCGAACCAAGGAGCATAGCTGAGCGCAACGACTCTTGACTAACCTCTGCCAGGCATTCTTGTGGACCGGCTCTCAGATCCCAGTTTACCTATTCGGAGGCGTACGTATGTTCAAAAATGTACGAGAAGAGTCGCCTAACATTGCTTAGATACCTCCATACATCTATGGAGACCTAGGCGGGACTGACAGATGGGTGTGGTTTGTTCTCGCCAATTTGCTTTCCTTGGCGGGAATTTGTCCATTCGTCGGATCAATGTCCGATCTGCTAGGGCGACGTTATGTTGCCCTCCTGGGTATGAGCTTCCGATTCTCATCATCATATTGACAAGTCTTGATACTGATTGCGATCCAGGGGCCTCGTTGATCGTTGTTGGAATGATCATCTGCTCCACCGCACAAGACATTAACGCATTCATCGGTACGAACATCCAGCGGCTTCATAACAAGAAATGAAATGGTGACTGACAATGTGAAGCTGGCATGGTCTTTGCTGGTGTCGGGGCCGGTATCAATGAGCTCACAGCCCTGGCAGCCACGTCCGAGCTCGCGCCAACCTCAAAGAGAGGCATTTATGTCGGTGCACTCATCTTTACCATTGTTCCGTTCTGTCCATCAGTCCTATGGGGCCAACTGATTGCGTATTACTCGACTTGGAGATATGTCGGGCTGTTCTGTGCTTTGTGGGCTTTCATCGGTCTTGTTCTGACTGCAGTCTTTTACTTTCCGCCGCCTCGTGTCAACTCTGATGGCCTAAGCCGGCGCGAGGTCTTGAAGCGTATCGACTATGTTGGTGGTTTCACTAGCATTTCTGGAATGATCTTGTTCATGGCTGGGATGCAGTGGGGAGGATACCAGGTAAGCAAGCCATCTTTGACATTGCTGGCGCCCTCGTATCGCTAATCATGGCATGTCAAGTATCCCTGGACCTCTGCTCATGCCCTCGTACCATTGTTCCTCGGAGCCGCACTGCTGGTGGCGTTTGGAGTGTGGGAGGCCAAGTTTGCACCGTATCCCATGTTCCCCCGCCGTCTCAATCAAGCCCCGTCGATTCTTATCTGGACTCTGGTCATTACCTTTATCTCGGGTGCCAACTTCTTTTCCATTCTCATGTTTTGGCCGGTGCAGGCATTCAACGTCTACGGCCACGATCCCGTCCAAGTGGGAATTCGCGGGCTTCCTGTCGCATTTGGCATCATGTTTGGTGCAGTCATAGTTCTCGTCCTACTCTCCGTCTTTCGTGGTCAGAACAAGACGCTCATGGTAGTATCATCGGTGCTTATGACGACAGGATGCGGCGCCATTGCCGTGGCCGACGTTGATAACATGGCACAGCTGTGGGGTATTCTCGTATTGGCAGGACTAGGCATCGGCGGTATTGTGGTGCCGGCATCCATCATCACCACCATTATCTGTCCCGACGACTTGATTGCAACCGTTGCGGCATTGACGCTAAGCATTAGAGTTATTGGTGGCAGCATTGGATATTGCGTGTACTTTGTGAGTCCAATCACGATTCCTGGCCCCTCACTTCCCATTTGTTGCTTATCGGGCCCGATGGATGGAGTGGTGTGGTTCGGTATGCGTGTTCCGCATTGGTGCGACCGATACGAGAAGACGACACACGCGCGAACCACGCCATGGCAAGGGGTGGTCAGAACTTTACTTCCGAGCTGACCGGAGAGCTAACGGCAAATACTCAATCACCAGAACGTTTTCGTGAGCAAATTCCAGCCTGCCTCGATCAAGTACATTGGGGATGTTTTGCAACAAGCCAATATCACGTCGACGGAAACGTTGACCGAGGTCATTGGCCTGACCACCGAAAGTCTGATTGACCGCATCGCCGACATACCCGGGATCGCCGGCAACCAGACGCTGTACGAGGCCGTGGTCAAGGCCGGACAGATTGCCTATGCGGAGTCATACAAGTATGTCTACTACAGCAGCATAGCCTTTGGTTTTGTGTCAATAGTCGCTGCACTATTCCTGGGGGATATTAGCAAGTTTATGGATGACCACGTTGCAGTGGTTATGTAAATCTGTTGGTCTGGTAAGCAAAGTTGGTCAATGTAGGACACAGCTTGTAGGTGCCTGCCTGCATGGCTACCACCGACCTGGATCGGACGATGCAGGTACGGAAATAGGCAGTAGCACGAAAAGTGGAAGAGGGGTAAACTGGAGACTTGGGTAGGAGATTGATTGCGTGGGCAAAGAGATTGGATGATATGGGCGGAAATTTCAGAAAGAAAAAAAAAACATGTCAGAGCTGCGTGGGAGCTGAAAGAGAAAGACGCCGGTGCAAAAGTATATACACGCACGGATACGAAGTCTGGTCTCGGTCTCGTTCTGGGTCTCGGTAGGACTTTGGCCTGTATCCACTCTTCTTCTATGCGAGAGTCTGGAGTGTGGGATGGGACTGACCGTTGGCCTGGGCTCGGTGGTGTAAAATGGTGACATTTTGATCGCCAAGTCTTGGCGTAAATAGCACACATCAAAGCACCATCCTGGTTGTCAGCTCGGATGATTTTTGGCGGCGCCGAAAGAAAAAGAACCTTTGCTGTGTGAAGCTGTGCAAAGAAGGGAAACGCGTATTGCTGCTAGGCAGTACCTAGTTCGACTAGTAAGCGGCTGACGGTTGTGGAGGCGTCGGAGGCGGCCTAGGACATAAAAAATTCCATAGCGCAGACGGGCGCAGACGGGCGCAGACACGCGCGACCGACCCACTGGTAGCGCTGCTGTTTCTAGCTGATTGTCCCACTAGTGGATTAGGGGTTTAGGGGAGGTTTGAGCGACACGTCCAAGGTACACGGGTATAGGGCTGATACAGAAGGACCCAGAGTTCTGGATGCAGCTGAAAAAAAAAAAAAATAACAGAGGTCCAGCCTCGAGGTGCAGATCCCTTAAAACTTTTGCCCTCCCCCAGTTTTTTATGCGATACCATATTCTGTTGCTGTTATTGTTCTTGTCAGCTGGGACTGACTTTCTAACTTTCATCACTTGCATACTGGCCCCTGAGATCATAATCGCCACTGCTCTCTTCCCCGGCCGATCAGTGCAACCTGGTCTAAACTCTATACCCAGCGCCAGCCAATTGACGGCTGTTTCTCCGACCTGGAGTATATTTGCCGTCGGCAGTGGGCACCCTCCCATTTACGTGGGCTCGACGAGTTGGCCTTGTTTGTTGATTTATTCTTTTTACCATTCTTACTGCCGTCTTGTACAAAATGTCGGAACATTTTCGTTGCATCATTGTTGGTGGTGGGCCGATGGGTCTCATCACCGCCCATGCCTTGACGGCGGCGGGGATGGACTGGGTGTTGCTGGAAAGAGAAGACGACATTGTAGTACAAGACACTCCCTGTGTCGTCATGTATCCCGATACCCTCAGAGTCATGGATCAACTCGGACTTGTCGATCGGTTATTTCGAATCAAGACAACCGTTGACCGTACCCAAACACTAACGCACGACGGCGCCTCATACAATACCACATATCCTCATGACTGGAGCATGGAAAAGTACGATTTCGCTCAAAAACTTCACGTATCCTTGTCTCAATTCACATGCTGACTATAGAATCCAGTCATGGCAGAGGGAACTGGTATTTTCATCAACCACAATTGGTCAGCGTCTTGTATGAAGCTCTATCAGAGAGCGATCGAGCTCGCGTAAAGACGTGCAAAGAAGTCACAGACATTGAAGCAGAATCTGAGACGATAATTGTTCACTGCTCGGATGGTACGGTTGAGGAGGGCAGCCTTGTCATTGGAGCCGACGGAGGCCACAGCATTGTCCGGGACATGATGAGAATAAACGCACTGGCCGAGGACCCAAAGGCAGCCGTCAATGCCACGCTGCCCTTTGCTGCCAGCTATCGTGTATTATGGGGCACGATACCAATGGCCGAGAACATGAAGAGCAACGAGGCCTGGGAGTGCCACGGCAAGGGCTACTCGTCGCAAATGTTCTTTGGTCGTGGCCGGGGCTGGTTCTTTGTCTACGAGAAGCTCAAGAAGCCGACGCGCGGCCTGCGCAATTACACTGAAAAGGACATGTACAGCTGCGCCGCCCGGCTCGCCAACCTACCCATGACGAACAAGCTCCGACTGCGCGACGTCTATGCCGTTTCGCACGGATGCGGCATGGCAGACCTGGGTGAAGGCCTCGTGCGCCGCTTTGCCTGGGGCCGAACAGTCCTCATTGGAGAGGCAGGCAACAAGCAGACCTCGCATCTCGGCCTGGGCCTGAACAGCGGCGTCCAGGACATTGTCGCGCTGACCAATACGCTGTCAAAGCTTGTTCAGCATCACGGAGAGCGGCACGAGCTGGTCGAAACCGAAGCCATTCACCTGGCCCTCCGCAAGTACGACGCGATCCGTCGCGGTGACGCGCTTCATGGCTCAAGGACGTCAGCGAGGGCCGCTAGGCTGCATTCTTGGAATGGCCGCGCACTACGTCTATATGACAGGTATTTTCTCCCAGCTGGAGGATCCAGCAAAAAGAACTACGATGGTACAATAGGTGCCATAGTCAGCCACGGTATGCTCTTGGATTCACTTCCAGAGACAGATCCGCAGCATGGGCGGATGCCGTGGCTTCACCTCTAGAGACATTCTCTACAAAAGTTGACGATTTTGCGAGACGATACCGATGGAAAGCATTTTTTGGTTAGCTGGCGTTGGAACAATTTGGGAAAATTCGGTTTGTGCACATGTCAATATGAATGATGTGTCTAGCAGTCATGATTTATGATTTCTAGCCAGCGTTTTGATCTTGGTTTGGAGTTGTGCAATCTGGTTAGTGGATAATAGGGCTTGATACGGTGACACACCTGTCGCTCCAGAAATACATACTTTTGTCATTTGATTCCTTCTGCTCTAGTTCATGTGATCACATTGTGCTATTGGGGAGTGCCTATATTCACATGTTCCGCGACTATCCCAGCCCTCACATGGTCGGTACAAGTCCATCCAAATCATGTGATACCCTAGAAACTCATTCTGCCATTTGCTTGCCTTTTATTTCATTATTTATCGCTGTGCCTGGCATGCCCCTCGGTCGTATCGCCACCAGGTGCGGCCGCTGCAAGTTTTAAGTTGGACTCCCACCGACGGCTCCCCTGGTAGCTATTACTATTTCCGGGCCGAGAGTCTGCCAATCACTCTTTGCCCAGCGTACATTAGTACTGAGCCTAACAAATTCAGCCAATCAGTCATTAGCAATGGAGCGCATTCCATGCGCATCTCCCCTATAGGCCTTAGTGTAGCCAAACGGTTCATGGTAGATCAAAGGCAATTAGTAGAGTTCAATAACGTAAATCTGACAGCTATACACCTACCAGCTACCTAGTAGATTCCTGTATATGAGTCGCGTACACTATGCAATTAATCATTGCAGAATCAGGACTGAACAAGTGGACATCCCAATAGTCCCCAATCACTGACGACACATGCTCTTGACTTGACGGGCAGCTTCATGTGACAAGCTTGTGATTCCAAAATGAGCCAATGCCTGGCGGGTGCAAGTCACTGATACTCGGGACATGATGCATCCGATTGTTAGTTCTTCGGTCTGGTACCCAAGCTAGACGGTCAATTGATCAATCAGTGAGCATTACCATTGAACGTGAAGAGTCTCTCCAGCAAGTCCGGTAAGTGATACACTAGAACGATATTCAGGTGTTGCATATACCGAGGCACTTGGCAGCAAGTTTGTGATTCCTGGGTAGATCTTGTGAAGAAATGTGATCCATTAATCGATTTTGGTTGGGTACTATCATCTGGGATTGTGATGAGTTTATCAATGCTACGTTGGGTAGAATAGAGTGTGTAGTAATCATGGTGCCAAGCTCCGGGAAGCATTAGCACGTGCAGCCACTATATAAAGTCAAGTCTTTCAGTGCTCTCGGATGATGCTTTCCCTCCATCTCCCCGGGTAATTGATCCTGCATGCGAGCATGGGCGCTTGCAGATTTAGCACAGTGTTCGCTGCACTTGTTCGCTACAGATCATCTCGAGTCCGAAGAACCCGAGCCGTACTCGCGCCGATTGCGAGATCTACACTACGTCTTCCTTGATCATACCCTGGTATAATTGGGGTACCCCACGAAGTACTCGTCTGGCAGCTTGTGGGAACGGCTCCAGACAATCACTGATATGGACTGGGGCTTGACCACGCCTTTTCCTCAATAATGGGTGCCAGAACTCGCTGTCTTTTATGTTCTGACGCCTGAAGATCTTCAAATAAACTACCCTGGTATAACCAATAAAACGGCCACTATAACAAAAGTGGCTACTCGCAGTCGTAGCTAGGCATACTCATCCGAGGTGCCGTAGAATGAGGGGTCCGGCGTGGCCTGCTGTCAACATCACCTCCAAGTCTTTCCAGGAACATCCGGGTCAATAATGTGCGAGAAATGGCTTGGCTATCAATGTGTATAGGTTATATACCAGCCGAATGCTTTGGTGCCCTGCATTTCCGTTGATATGAGTGCTTACATGTTTATGTCGCAGGATTGAATTATTTGCCTGGGTCGAAATCAACAAAAATGAATCTTCCATGGCTCATTTATATCTTACTCTCACCAAGCTTTTGTCTTTTAGTCACCACTAGTGAAGCTGCTGCAGATGGGGTGCCGAGTTTCGAGGCGCCGCCGCTGCTATACCGACCAAAGTTCCGCTACTGGTATGTGACAAGCAGACACTCATCTCCCAACCTTTGTACTAGGACTAAATTATGCAAGGCTTCCTGATGCCTCGGTATCTCCACAGTCGATTGTTGACGATATCAATCACATTGCTTCTGTAGGAGCGGGTGGACTCGAGTTTCTTCCATTCTACAATTACGGCCTTGGCCCGGCACTGACAGACTGGTCCATCTACGGTTTTGGCACAGAGGCATTCAAAAATGTCTTTTCATCTGCCTTGAACGCAAGCGTTGGCCATCAATTAGCCTTTGATTTTGCCTTTGGCGCCAACCAGGGTGCCGGTGTACCTTCTACAGTCGAGACTCTCGGACTCGCCAAGGAGCTTGTTTATGGAAATACAACGGTTCAATCTGGAGAAGATTACAATGGATCTGTACCAGAGCCAAACGTCGAATACAATAAGCTTACCGGATTTATGAATACCCCTGAACCATGGGGCTCAAACGAGCTGTTTGCTGTGGTGGCCGGAAAAATCGTCACTGAAGTGCTGCTTGCCGAGTATTTCTACTTGTCTGTCCTCGATGAGGACAGCCTTGTCGACTTGACAAATCTGACCACACAAGGCCATTTATCGTGGCGTGCTCCCGATGGAAATGATACTTGGGTAATCTTTGCCATCTATGAACGTTTCACCAACCAAAGAAGTTGCGTCGGAGCCTCAAATGCCACGACCATGTTGGCCAATGGTTCCTGGGTGGTGGACCATTGGAGTGCAGCTGGTGCCAAGAAGACGACGGACTTTTGGGACCAACAGATACTCTCCGACGAGGTTATTGTAACGCTCTTGGAAGATGCAGGCGAATACGGTAAGTATCAGCCGATCAAGAAACGTGCAGAACTAACCATGTGTGCCACTAGCATGGGAGGATAGTATGGAAATACAAGCCGCTTTGCCTTGGACCCCCGGCTTGTCCTCTCGATTCGAGAGTTTACATGGCTACGGTGTCATCAAGTATTTACCAATTCTTTTCCATGCCACAAATGCCTGGGATGGATACCTCCCTCCATATAATATAACATACACACTCGGCACATATGTATCAGACGGCGGCCCGTATGTGCAAGATTACAAAACGGCACTGAGTCAGGGATATCTAGAATACTTGCAGCATTACGATAAGTGGACTGATACCAGAGGTCTTGAACTATCGAACCAGCCAGCGTATAACATGCCAGTAGACATGGTGAGTCTTTCCTTACCCACTTGACATTTTCTTTCTGCCTCCATGCTTCAATGAGATTGCATTGAGCACTAATTTCGTACAGACTGAATCTATACCCTTCGTCCAGGTCCCAGAGCTGGAATCACTAGGCTTCAAAGAGAGTGTCAACATGTACCGTCAATTCACCGGCGCGGCTCACTTGGCAGGCCGGAATGTCATATCGACAGAGATAGGAGCTGTTCTCGGCGGCGCGTATAAACAGCGCGTTCCCGAGTTGAAGAGCCTCTTGGATGGTTCATTTGCTGCTGGCGTCAATGTCATGGTGCTTCATGGGTATGCTTACAGTGGTGACTATGTGGGCACAACCTGGCCAGGGTATACTCCCTTTCAGTACGAATACTCGGAAATGTGGAACCCGCGACAACCATCTTGGCAGCACTTGGACGACCTCATGCTGTATTCGGCGAGGAACTCAATGATCATGCGAAGTGGCGTTCCCAAAGTGGACCTTGCGTTTTATTACTTTGAAAATCCGTACCGCTTTGGCGTTGGTGTATATCCTGAAGGAGACATGAATGCGCTTGGTACGTACTTTACCTTGGATATTGCAACAGCAATGACCATGGCTGATGAAGTACAGGATATACTTTCGAGTACTTGGGTCCACAAAACCTTGTGTCGGACCAAGCCAGAGTTACCAACAGTGTCCTTGCCGCTGAAGGCCCCGCATATAAAGCCTTGATCTTGTACAACCAAACTCAGATTACGGCAAACACTTCCGCAGCACTTGTAGAATTTGCGCAAGAGGGGTTGCCGATCTATATTGTAGGATCTATACCAAACACCACCGTGGGGTCAACAGGTCAGGAGGAGGTCTCTGCCAACATGGCAAATCTGATCAAGTACGAAGTGGTACACCTTTTGAGCACCGAAGACTTTTCTCCATCCACCCTCCGTGCAGACGGTATACCAGCTCGTACCAGCCTGAATGACATCTATAACGCTTCCGGCCTCTATACGTTTTGGACTTCAGAGACCGAGTCCAAGTCTGACTACGTTTACTTGTACAACGCAGGCGATGATGCTACATTTAATGTCTCGTTTGCCGTGACATCTGACGTGGAAGCGGTAATCCTGGACGCATGGAGTGGTAAGCAGTCAACAATGGCAGTATACGAGACATCATCAACTGGTATCACCACCAAAGTCAGCCTCAAAGCAAATCAGACCACCATCATTGCTCTACAGCCTCCACAGGGGCCTCGAGCGGCAGTTCACGCTGTCAATTACTCCTCCAACATCGATGCCGTTCACTTTACAGACGATGGACTTTTAGAGGCCTTGGTCAGCGACTCCTCGGAAGCATGGATGACTTTGAGTAACGGATCTCAGGTAATCCTACCCAGAGACAGCCGCTCTGACGAGATGTCAATAATCTTGGGCCCATGGGATTTGACTGTCGAATCACACGGCCCATCTCTCGATAATGACACCTTGGAAGGGAATACGACCATCATCAAGATCGGAACACTACCAGAACTCACCCCCTGGACCAATATTGATGGACTTGAGCAAGTCAGTGGAGTAGGGACATATTCAACCAGCTTCCAATGGTTCAGGGACAGTCAAGCAGCTATTTGCATAGACTTTGGACCGGTCCTGAATACACTGAGGGCTTGGATCAATGGAAATCAAATATCCCCTGTCGATCCAACCAACCCCACGGCGGATATCTCCAATTTTGTCGTGAACGGAGAAAACACCATTCAGGTCAAAGTCACGAGTACTCTCTTTAACGCAGTCAGAGCAAATGTGGATCGAGTATTTAGTATAGGATATGGGCCGTCGACTCCCGCATACTATACTGAGCAGGACTGGCAAGAATTTGGGCTCATTGGGCCTGTGGAGCTGCGGACTTTCAGAAAGATAATTTTAGCTTGATAGTATCATTAAGCTGTCCTCAAATTGCTCATATATACCCATATTATAGCTGTCCTGGCAACATGGCCCTTTGCCTATGGGCTGAGATGAAATGTACTTAATATGTCTCTCATTCCAATTCTGAAAAGACAAACACTATCGTGACAGGGCATCAAACGTCTTCAGAACCTCGTCTATCATGATATCTTGCATGTTCTCCGCCGCAACCTTGTCTACCATGGCACATTTGGACCTTAGCACAGACTGTTCCGAACTGTTTGCTGCTTTGATTGTCTTGTAAATGCCCTGTGCAGGATACGCCATCAGACCAAACATGGCTACCTACTCGTTAGTCATGTACGAGGTCACGGGAAGGTTGCGGAATATGCTTACCAGCGCCTGGTTTGGTAATCAGGCCAACGGTACCCTTGCCAGCTCCTTTCAAGAAACCCGGAGTTCCTTCTTCCTTGGCCCCCTTGTATGGCTGCGTGACAAAACCGGTAATACCATGGTAGAATCCTGACCCGAAATTCTGCTATTGTTAATCTCACGGGAGTTGGCTCCTGTATGATACTAGAGAACCCACCTTGGCAGCAACCTTTCCACCACTTTGCCAATCTTTGACTTTTCCATGGTCTTTTACCTCTTCACCATACAAACGAGGCACGTTGCGGAGGCCCTCTGCCAGCGCCAACGGCGTGTTGACCAGTGTTCCCTTAGTCAACGCCCCGCCCATGGAGCCGAAGCCGAGGCCGACTTCTTTCAGAGCAGCTCCACCATATTACGAACATGCACCCTTGCAGGACAACCAAGGAAGGATAAATACGGCCAGGAAAAGCGACCAAAGGCAAAAGACAAAACTAACCCACCAGAAGTCACGTAACGACGTCACGTGCACCAGGATTAGTTGCTTAGTTATGCTTAATTAAAATTAACTAAGCAAAAGTTAGCAATATAAAGCAATATAATCGGGGCTAATATTAATAAAAAAATAAATAGGTATATATTATAAAAGGATTTCTTATATAAATAGTTATTACCTTAATAATTAATTTAAGCATTTATTTTATTTATAAATAAAGCATTTAATACGCTTTAATAATTATATTTATAAATTAATTCGATTATCCTTATTTTTAAAAACCTATTATTTAATATTTTTTTAAAGCTATTATTCCCTATTAGCATAAACCCTAATACCCTATACTCCAGGTTTATTTTAAAAACCCGTAATTTAATCGTTATATTTTAATTACTTTTATTTAGGTACGTTACCTTTAAAAAAAACCTTAAGCAATATTTAGCAGGATATCGTTAACCGGAAAAACTCTTTTTTTTTTATCTAAATAATCCTAGCGCATTTTTACGCAAAAAATAAAAAAAATAACTTCGAATTTACGAAAAGGCAATACGATTTTATTATAGCTTAATTACGCGAATTCTATAAAAATAGCGTTCGAAAGGATTAAATTATTTAAAACCTTACCGTAGCTAACTACGTTATAACCGGGGTAATTAATATTATTAACACCCTAATTTATTCTGAAAAGCTTAAGCTTAGCATTTTAATAGCTTTTAACGGTACCCTTAGGGCATTCCGAAAATATTTGGCTTAAATTCGAGCTTATTAAATTTTTTACGGTAATAAATTTATAAAAAAAAAATAAAAAATATTTTATGCTTCGTTTTATCTTAAAAAATAAGCATTTGCTTAATTTAAACCCTATTTTTTAAATATAACTAAGCATAAATAGCAAATAAAGCTATATAAAGCGGAAATTTAAAATATTTTCCAAGATTATATAAAATACGAAACCGCGCTCCGATTATTATTCTAAAACTTAAATAAAAAACGATAAGCTAAAAAGGAATTTAAAAACCTTAAGCAGAAAAAATCCGCATTTAATTATACGGCAAATTTTAAACGTATTATTATTAAAATAAAATATACCGACGATATTAAAATTATATTCTATTATTAAAAATTTAAAAATAATATTAAAAATAAATTTAGCAAAATTTTTAACTTATTAACGGAATTCGGGAAATATAGCGAATTTATAATTAAAATCGATAACTAATTATATGCTCGATAAAACGAAAAAAAAAAAGCAACCCTATACTACGGTATTAACGGAATTACGCTAATATAAATAAATAATAAAACGCCTAATAACCTAAAAATAACTAGCGTAATAAAACCTCGTATAAAACCTATAATAAATAAATAAACCTTAACGCTATTTAGCGCAAAAATAAAATTAAAATTAAATATTATAATTACGATAAAATAAGATATTACGCGAATAAGTATCGCTAACCTAAAAAGCTTAAATTTAAACCTATGCTAAAAGGCAAAAAATAATTTAATAGTACTAAAAAAAAAATACCTTACGAATTATTTTTATAAACGGCGTGCTTCGATAACGCTTATCGAACGCATAAATCTAGTAAAGACGATAATAAATAATATTTTTAAAAACGGAAAACCTTAGCGGCTATACGCTTAGGACGGACCGTTATTTTTAATTTAAAAAAATAATTTTAAAATAATAACGACGATATAATATCGGACGCTTTAAAAATAAAGCCTACCACTAGACGCAATAGGCCGAATACCGGGTCTAAAAAATAAGGTTAAAAAGATTAATCGATAACACTAGCAATAATAATAAAAACTTTAGCGAAATCGACCTTTACGCACCTAATAATATTTATAATATCGATAAATTACTAAAAAAATAACGACTAATATAATAGCTATAGATTTTAAACGACGAAATTTTCGAAATTATATTATAACACAATAAACTAATTAAGCTAAATACCTTTTATATTATTATAGCAGCAAAATCGTATAGATTAAAATAATAATTTGCGGAAATCCTCCAAAAAACCATAAATACGGCATAAGAAAAAAGGATCCTAAAAGCCATTTTCGGAAACGATCCAAAATTTAATATTAAGCATAAATAATATTATTAAATTACGTAAATAGGATATATCGATTTAAAATGCGACGAATACTTAAAATTAAAGGTTTAATAAAGAATTTTCCCCCTAAAAATAAAAAAACCGTTATAAATTACCCCTATTTAGCGGGATTTATAGGAAAGGCAAAAATAAGCTATTGCGATATTCGAAAATACGTCGTATTCGCTACGCACCCTAGCTTAAGGTAATGCTTAAATACGGAAAAATAAATATAATCGAATTATATAATAAATAAATATAATTTTTATATAAAAAATAAGGCTAAAGCATAGCGATAAATTAAAAAACTACGGGCTATAAAATAACTTAAAATAACCCTAATTCGTTATACGATAGCCGTCGATAACGCGATTAAAATAACGTAAAAAGCACCGCCACGATATTTTTAATTATCGATAACCTAATTAATTATTTCGGTTAAAAATATTATAAATAATATTAATTTATTAAAAATAAAACGACTTTATCGGGAATATAAAAATATAAAAAAGCTAAAAAAACCCTTTAAAAATAATAAATTATAAAAACGGACCCTTAAAACACAAAAAAAATAGGCAAATTATCCAAATAATACGGAAATCGACTATTATAAATTAGAAATACCTTAAATATATTAAAACGACAGGTATATACGGCCGCTAAATAGCGACGAATTAATAGGCGAATTAATAAAAGCCTAGGAAAAAACCTGGATTATTTTTAAAGCGGCAGGAATAATCCCTAAAAAAAAAATCTATATATACTACGAATAATATTAATATTAACGAATATTTTACGATCTAAATTAAAATTATAAACTAAAAAATATAAGCTTTAGTGGATATAAAAGCTTAAAGAAATTTTATTTCGCTAGCAATCGTTAACGCTTTATAAATATTATAAAAGCAAAAAAAAAACGCCTTACGCACTTAATATTATTAATAAAAAATTTATATCGTATAAAAACGGAATTATAAGCATAAAAACTGCGTATATTTAAATTTATATTTAAAACCACAAAAAAGGACTTACGTGCGATATTACAAAAATTACGGATTATAATATTATTTTAGGGATACCCTAATTATAAGCGAATAACCCCAGAATAAATTAAAATACCGGCTAATTTTAGTAAAATATATTAAAAAGAAAATTAGCCTTTAAAACGCGCCAAAATAAACCTTTAAGCAACCCTAAAACACTTAAATTTTACTTTATAACCAAGCATATTAAGCCGAAACTCGAAATTAAAATATTAAAAAAATACTAGGAATTTAGCGATTTATTTAATAAAATATTAAAAATAAAATTATTAAAGCATATAAAATACGATTATAAAATACTTTTTTAAAAAGGAAAAAAGCTATATTTTATACCGATATACCTAATAAAACCTTAATACGAAAAGGCACTAAAAGAATACCTAGCGGATATATTATAAAAAAAATGGATTACGGAATCCATTTTACCCGCAAAATATTTAATATTTTTTATACTAAAAAAAAATAAAAATAGGAAACCTAAATAAAAACCTTATATTAATTACCGTAAGCTTAATAATATTATAATTAAAAATCGATACCTTTTATTTTTAATTAAAGACCTACGCGATAAATTATATAAAGCTTAATAATTTATAGCCCTAAATTTGCTTAACGCGTACGGCTTAATACGTATTAAAAAAGGAAAAAAATAGAAAACCGCTTTCCGTTATAAATACGGATATTTTAAATATAAAATTATGCTTTTCGGATTAATTAATATATTAATAAGCTTTTAAAATATAATTAATAATATTTTAAAAAAATACCTTGATAAATTTATAATAATATATTTCGACGATATATTTATTTATTTTAAAAATTTTAATAAATACTAATAATACGTTAAAATAATATTATAAAAATTATAAAACGCAAACCTGCTAATTAACCTAGAAAAAAGCGAATTTTATAAAAAAAAAGTTATTTTCGTAAAATATATAATATCCCCCGGAAAAATTAAAATAAAACTATTTAAAATTTTAATAATAAAGGATTAGCTTACCCTAACTTTAGTAACCGAAATTAGATTTTTTTTAAAATTCGTAAATTTTTACCGAATATTTATTTAAAAATTCGGAAATATCGCTATATTATTTACGCACTTAATAAAAAAAAATATACTATTCGACTAAATACCTAAAGCGCAAAAAGCCTTTAAAATAATTAAAAAACGAATTATAAATAAACCCGTAATATATATAGTAAATTTAAAACGAGAATTTAAAATCGAAATAAATACCTTAAATTACGCTATAAGCGGATAATTTATATAAAAAAATAATAACGGAAAACTATACCTAATTGTATTTTATAATAAAAAATTTACAAAAAAATAACTAAACTACCAAATTTATAACAAAAAACTTATAGCTATTATCGAAGCATTTTAAAAATAAAAACACTATTTTAGCGGAATTAAATATTAAATTAAAATCTATACTAATTACAAAAATCTAGCTTTATTTATTATTAATAAAAAATTTAATAAACGATAAATTAAATAGGCAGAATTTTTAGCAAATTTTAATTTTAAAATTATTTACCGCAAAAAATTAAAAAACGGAAAAGCCGACGCTTTTAGCCAAAAACTAAATTATTTCTAAAAAGTACCGAAAAAAACTAACACCATCCTTTTAATGGATAATAACGGAAATTTAATACCAACTATAACTTTATATATAATTATAAAAATTAATAACAACCAGAATTAAATAAAAAAAGTTATAAATACGGCACGACCATTATTTTAAAACCTATTTTATAACCTAATATTAAAAATAAAAAAATTCGAAAATATCGTTAAATATAACGGTAAATTATAAATTCCGGAAAAACTCCGAAAAAGCCTTGTTAGAGATTATTATAAATTATTAATTTACGGATATTAAAAAGTTTTTAAAACCTTTAAGTAGATTTAATAAATATTTAATTGCCTAAATTTTCGATAAATAATTACGCAGGTTATTAAAAAATATAACTTATATAATAAGGCAAAATTAGCATAATATAAGCAGTATAGGGAATTACAGCCTATACTACTACTAAATAAAGCATAAAAATCTATTACGTTAAATTTTATAATAAAATTACCACTTTTATAAAAACCTTTAATTAAGACTTTTTACGATAATATCCTAGTATTTATAAAATAATTTATAAAATACGCTTATTTTTTTCCGTATAAAAAAGCCAATAACGCAGAAAAATTAGCCTATACGTTCTTTCGAATAATAGCTAATCAATATAAATTGCCAAATAAAATTATTTCGGATCGAAATAAGCTTTTTATATCGAAATTTTAAAAATCACTTATTAGCCAGCTAAAATGCGATTATAAGCTTTTAACGGCTTTTTATCCGTAAATTAACGGATAAATAAAACGAGCTAACTAGGTATTCGAAAAATACTTTAAATATTACGTTAATTACGAATAAAACAATTAAATTATATTATTGCTATTCGCATAATTTATATATAATAATATAATATGGGAACCTATTAGAATATTATTATTTTACGCTAATTACGGATACGAACCCGATATTACTAAAAAACCACTAAAAAGGAAAAAACTTATATTATACGCTATTTTACGCGTTAAATAGCTTAAAAATCTATAAGCAAAACTCTAAAAAACCCTTATTGCTATTTAATAAAAAATAAAACTCTAATACGATAAAAAAAAATTAAAAAACCAATTTTTTAAAAAAAAATAAAGTTTACCTTTTACGCAAAAATATTAAAATAAAATAATTAAACGATAAATTCGATTTTAAAAAATTTAGATTATTTAAAATCGATAAAAAAGTTTCGAATATTAATTACCGATTTAAGCTATTAAAAATTATAAAAAACCATAAAACCTTTTATATTTTATTATTCGAACTAATATTAAAAAACGCTAAAATCGACGAAATACTAAAAACCGAATTAAATTAGCAAAGCTATAACGTCGAAAAAATTATTAATTATAAAAAGGTCGGATAAAAATACCAATTTTACGTTAAATAGGAAAATTACCTACCTAAAAAAAATACTTAAAAGCTTAAAAAATATATTAAGGGCTGTGACGCTTTTAATTAATATTTTTAATTTTATTAAAAAAACTAAAATTTATAAAACTATTTTCGAAATCGGAACTCCCGAATTTAATAAAAAGGCTAGAACTAAAAAGATCGCCTTCGAAACTAATAAAAGCCTAATTAATAATATTAAAGCCCGGTACGGAAAAAGCTAAAATAAAAGCCTCCGCCTTAAAGCGCTTTTGCTCCTTTAGCTTTTTAAAGGACTTAAGGCCGCGCTATACTAATTTTATATTATTTATACGCGCTATCTCCTTTAGCTTCCGAAAACGGATTAAATAAGCGACGGCTTCGTTTATTTTTTTCTAATAACGACGTTATAATTCTAAAAAACGTTTTTCCGCAATAACCTCTTTATAAAAAAGCCTTTAATACTCCGCCCGTAAACGCTAAAAGAATAAAAAAAAACCCCCTAATTATTATAATAATAACTTAAGCGGAAGCACCGCTTATACTTTGCTACCCCTTTTATTATTATATATTTTTCGTTCGCGTTAAAATAAGCAAAATACGGCATAATTTCGAAACTAAAATTAAAAAAAAATTCTAATAAATCGTAATAATAAATAATCGAAAAAGCCGGAATAAAACGAATTTTTTTATTTATTAACCGTTTCTAAATACGGTTAAATATAATAATTATATATTATAAATTATAAAAAAAAAAAAGTACCACAAAAAAAATAAAGCGAAAGGACCTATTTATATAACCTAAAGATCTTTTAGGGATAAAAAATATAAAAAAAAAAGCTAATATTACGAATATACACCCTTATAAAATAACTAAAAAAGGATAAATACGGCTAAAAAAAGCGACTAAAGGCAAAAGATAAAACCAACCCACTAAAAGTTACGTAATAACGTTATATACACCAGGATTAATTATTTAATTATATTTAATTAAAATTAATTAAGCAAAAATTAGCAATATAAAGCAATATAATCGGGGCTAATATTAGTAAAAAAAATAAATAAGTATATATTATAAAAAGATTTCCTATATAAATAATTATTACCTTAATAATTAATTTAAGCATTTATTTTACCTATAAGTAAAGCATTTAATACGCTTTAACAACTATATTTATAAATTAATTCGATTACCTTTACCTTTAAAAACCTATTGCTTAATACTTTCTTTTAAAGCTATCGTTCCCTATTAGCATAAACCCCAACACCCTATACTCCAGGTTTATTCTAGAAACCCGTAATCTAGTTGTTACACACCAGCCGAGCCATCATTACCTTGCCTCTTTACGCGCTTGTAAGCTTTGAAGGGATCGATAAAGACACCTCCGAGGGCCATGGTAAAGTCAGTCATGGTGCCTAGCGTCGAAGCTGCACCGCCCGACAGCGGATCCCATCTACGGACGTCGGTATCATATTCCCTACTTCGAAGCCTAGTTTAATGTTAGTCCTTTGAGAAGTCTAATCGAAGTGAGGTACAACGGGTTTTTCTGTCACTCACGGCTTGAACTCATCAATCTTGAACTTCTTTTGCCTAATCAATATCGCAACTGCAGCATCGGATATTCGTATACTCTTCTCACACTTAGCAAGAACCCACCGAGCAACTTGGCCTGGGATAATCTCGCAGCGTATGTTTGCTAGTGGGAGCGCTTTATGAAACGAGGCCACCGCAGTATCAACTCCTTTTTCCTGACGCATCTTGGTTGCCAACTTCTCAGCGGCATCCTTGGCAGCCACGGAAGTCGCAAACTCAATGGCCTGGACGAGACGGTCGATGGTTAATTCTGTTTGTGGAATAGGTCTGGGACCAGCTCCTGCATTTGCCACTACATCTGCCCAAAAAGGTTGACTGTAATGAATGTCAACAACCTCACTGTTATCGAGAGTCCTTGGATCACTTACTCGCCAAAGAATGGAACAATTATAGTAGGGCGTGCATTCACCAACCCACAAGCTGTAGTACCGGCGCCTCCATGGTGCAAAACGGCCGAAACTCTCTTGAACAGCCATTCTAACTCCAGCGTCAGTAGGCCGCCCGTTCTGCATCTCGAAAAGGTGTTTATACTCACCGTGAGGGCAGTCCTCTATGTAAAAGACGTTTTTCGAGTTTGGTGTATTGCCGCCTAATTTGCTCCATCCCCTCGAGATGATGAGTCGCACTTCACATTTGCGAGCAGCATCCAAAATGACATTACTGAGACGCTCAGGGTCATCCAGGACGATGCTTCCGAAGCCTACATACAGTGGAGCAGGTCCAGATGCAAGGAATGCATCTAGCCCGGCTGGAGGAATATACTTGGGCTCGTCGCGTAAAAAGAAACCACACACATCTGACACCCGATTGTCAGCTAACACTTGATTCAAATTGATACGCTACTTACCTATCTCGGAGCCCCAGTCAGTAGGTTTGGCAACCAGTGCTGGGGACCAACAGTAAGTGTGCGGTATTCGTAAATATTCCACGAGAGACGGGCCCATGGAAGCTGGAATCTCTTCGAGACGGAGTTCATGCTTTCTCCAGGCGTTGATCACATCGCCCAGCCTAGAAACAATGAATTTTCAACTTTTGTATTCCATGAAAAGCCATGTTCAACTCACCCTTGCCAGGTCATTAAACCCACCACTCCATAAGAAAGCCAATTTGCAGCTGCGGGTTCCAGGTCGCTTTGCTGCATGTTGGCCAGCGGATGAGGAAAGGCTCTTGTGGCAGTCCACGGCATGGTGAACATGATATGAACGGGTATCCCAAGAGCCTGAGCACAATGAACATGAGCAAAGCTGGGCGGATTAGCGACTATTGCATCGGCGACAAAAGGTGCGCCGGAGACGGGGTCTGTGTCAATGCACGACTGCCAAAATCCATGAAGCATTTCCTTAACCATGGCTCGCTTTCGACCAACATCTCCGCCCCGTAGGGACTCGATAGAGGGAATCAACCCTGGGTTCTTCACCATGTACTAGACGACACGACTGATTAAATTTGTGACCAAGCTTGGCGATGGGGACCCAAGGCACATTGGAAGACTTACGGCCATGAGATCCTTTGGATCCCCACCAACCGGATAGAACCTAATCCCGAGTCCCTCACGAATTCTTCAAAAACGTTGTGGGTGGCCAGACGGACGCGATGCCCCTGTCGCTGCAAAGCGACTCCATATGCAATAAATGGTTGCACGTCGCCTTCACAACAGTATATATATGTGAGAAAAATGCTTATATGCGCATGTTGTGCAAGGCTTACCTCGGCTGCCTACTACATGTATGACAACATTCAGGGCGGGACATGTTGCTGCTGCCTGGGGAATGGGTTCCGTCTCAGCCTGTGACACCGGTAAAGCAGGTAGAAGCTGCTCTATGTCTTGGGGGCTTTTCGAGGAAAAGGCTATAGCGATTGATCCATCCTCTGTGTTTACTCGGATTAGCTAATGAACATTCAATGCATACAATGCGGTATACCTTGTATGGTCGCTGAGCTGGCCAAGACATGACCTGAAGACTGAAGCTCGTAGGGTGGTGGGGGTTCCATTGTGATCAAAGAAACAATACCTATCAAGTGCCAGATAATCTCTTGTCTGTGGCATTCACTGGACTAGGACCATGACTTTTATGTAAATGACAGGTTGAGCGTGCAATGCCCTCTCGCCAAACAAGTCAGTAAGTCCCCACAATCTATGATTATGAATGGTTTCCAATTGAAACTAGAATGACTAGTATCTCGGTCAATGAGTACGGGAGTGCCGAGACCACAGAATGAATGCGGCTCAGCTAAGCCGGCTGTCTTGTGGATCATTATGAGTTCTATTTCCTTTGCTTGGCGACCCTCCCCACCGACCACTAGGCGGAACTTGCCAGGACTAATGAGCCAAGCGCATCTGTCTCGCATCCCTCGTATACCATCTCGGGCTATTCGTATTGTAGGGATCAGCTTCCAAGTATGATCAAAACAGATGCATCCTAGTCCCAGCCTGTTGGTTCCCATCGCCAACGGTTCTGCGATATAAGTGAGCCCATGGAACTAAGCTTACACCCCGACTGCGTTCTCAATTACAACAGACGATAGAGTTCACCTAGACATTCGTTTCCCATTCAAACCATGGCTAGCCAGAACAACAGCACCGATGCCCAAGCTGCTGCTGCTGCTGCCGCCGGTGCCTTTGACTTTAAACTTTACCGTTACACGCCATCACTGCCAGCAGCCATTGTGTTTGTGGTGGTCTTTGCGATCCTCTCCTCCCTTCACGTTGCTCGCATCCAACGGCACCGATCGTATTATTTCACAGCGTTCACCGTCGGCGGATTTTGTAAGCTGGCCCAATTGGAGATTAAAATCTATAGTGTGTGCTAACAGTGATTTCGCAGTTGAACTAATCGGCTATGCCGGTCGCATATGGTCTCACTTCGATACGCTCTCGATTGGTGGTTTCGTCATTCAAGCGATTCTGATTCTCGTCGCGCCAGCCCTCTTTGCCGCCTCCATTTACATGATCCTCGGACGTTTGATTCGTACTCTACGAGCCGAAGAGCTCTCCCTGATTCCCATTGCATGGGTCACCCGAGTCTTTGTCATAAGCGATGTCATCTCGTTTTCCCTGCAGGCGGGCGGAGGTGGCATCCAAGCCGCGGGCACCCGGGAGCTCTTTCATATTGGCGAAAAAATCATTATTGCCGGACTCTTTGTTCAGATTGTCGTGTTTGGGTTCTTCATGGTCACGGCAGTCATTTTCCAGTACCGCTTTGCGCGCTCTGCCATTTTCGCATCGGCGCCCGCGCCTGTCAACTGGAAACGCCACCTCAATGTCTTGTACGCAGTCAGCGCCCTGATCCTCGTCCGGAGCATTTTCCGCGTCATGGAGTATCTGCAGGGCAACGACGGGTATCTCATCTCTCACGAAGTATTTCTATACGTGTTTGATGCCTTGCTAATGACTGCGGTAATGGTCATCTTTCTGGTCTGGTATATCGATGACATTGAGGTACGGCCAGGTAGTAATGAATTGGAGCTTTGTTCGGAAGAATGACGAGGAATATGATGGCCAATAAATTGATATATTTCCCAATTAGATTAGAACAAACAAAATATAGAGCTGCACAAGTCTTGATTGTATAGAAACCTGACTCAATGTTCCATCTTGTTCTAATAAATCACCTAAGGTATCCAACCCGTCTCCTGCAACGGCCATTGTATCCAGAGCCTGTGCTCCTCATCTAATAAATGGTATGATTTGGCAATCAAATGGTCTGCCCATCCGTGAAGATACCAGTGCTTTTCCATTCGTTTCAGTAATACGGCAAAAAAGGCAAATATCGCCACAGCCTCCTGCGTTGGCACTCTCAACAAAGGGAGCAGGTCCTCGGCAACCTCAAAGATCCACACGAATGCGTCAGTCAGATCACACGGCTCACATCCTATTCGATCGAGAATGGAGAATGACTTTTGCAGCTCGTCGATTGCCCGAACGTAAATGTTGCGCAGCTTTGCGTCCGACTGGCGGAGCTCAATCATGGAGCGCATGCCAGTCAAGTGCCGATTCGCAACGTCTAGGGAAGAATCTGGACCAGCCTGTCGCGCGAACCAACGATCGGCACCATGGTTCAAAAGAGGCGCCATGAGGCGATTGCTTTGATCCCCCGCAATGCTCATGAATGCCCGCGTACCCTGGAGCAAGAACATCCACTCGGGAAATCCGCTTTCTTCAATAAACAGTGGACCATCATCTTTTCGTGGACACGCCAGGGCAAAGTAAATGGTGAGGGTTGAAAAGAGAAAAAGTGACTCTGCAGTTTCGGGACTTGGGTCTGTTATGAGTGCCACTGCAAGTCGAGGTTAGCCATTTCTATCAATATCACGAAGGAAAGCACGGTGTTCTGGAGCATAATTACTGGCATCTCTTGTGGCAATCTGGTGTTGCGCCATCCCCAGCGATTGGTAATGATCCCGCCTTTCGACATTGTGATGCGCGAGATGCAATGCCGATATCGCCAACAAAGTCCTCATGATGTACTCGCATTGTAGGCCACGCTGCACGGCACTGAACCGGTAAAAGTCTCGTAGAATGAGGCTTTCGGAGAGGGTCACATATGTCCTCGTTGTAAAATTGTGCAACAACTCCAAGCTTGACATGTCCAACGCCTGAGAAGGGCCAGGGGACAGCTTTGACCTGGGACTGTCGAGACTGAGAAAATCACAATCCACACTATGCTTGATACAGTTGCCACAGGCGGGTTTGGCCTCGTCACACTTGAACAGATGAATCAGCGTCATTGTCGTCGAGGATACGAAGAGAAGAAAATGAGAATACAATAATTAGTCGTTTTACATACTTTGATCTTTCTCGATTTGCAGGTTTTGCAGCCTTTGCGACTTTTGGGATGCGATCTCCTAGAGGCGGCACGAAGCATCGGCTCACCATCCATTGGCGCGATCATTTCTGCGAATCCTATCAGAGTTCAAGGGTCAACTCGGCAAACTCGAATTCAATGACTTGGAATTCGATATTCTCGGGAATTTCTGGCAGATTTAGGCGTCACAAGTAGTGAGACTGAGGGCAGAACTCGGGAATCATCCGAGTTTTACTATACTGTGTACTTGGTACAACTTGCAGACGTTTCTATATGAGCATCACGACAAAGGTCTAGAGTACGCAGCGCTAATTGGCTACCAATCTACCGAACGTTGGTCTTGTTGTGGCCGTGCAGCAACTTGGCGGGCGGTTTCTAGCGCATGAGAGCCTAAAGACGGGCTCGTAAACCTCGCAAACACGATTCCTCTCGTACTCGCTCGTACTCGCTCGGGTTCGGGTGCTATAGCGAGCGCCTGCTCCACTAATAAACGCGATGATCATTGCAGACGGTACTGTATTTAGGCGGATAACCACGTACAATCAAGGCGGAGCGGAAATCTCAAACAAGGAATTCTGTCTCTCTTTGCATACAGCCTGTCAAATAATTCACTTCGCCTCAATGATCAGCCGAGCGTACAACAGTGTAATCAGCCAAGTAGGAATAGATCTAGAAATACACGCTGGAACATTGCAACCACATTCTTTCACCTTGACCTTTTCCTAAACAGTACCTTGAGCTTTGTATCCGGGATGCACATGGTGGCGATGAAGAATGGCTCTGGTTTTGTGCCAGGTGCAAGTTTCAACTCGTAGCGCAGCAGAAGCTGGGCAAACATGATCTTCATCTCGTGTACCGCCAGGAACCGGCCTGGGCTTTTAAGTTTCCCAATTTAATTAGCTTTGCCCGACATGGCTTTTCGGATCACACTGGACTTGCCATGGATGCCGCCCATGTCCAAAAAGATGAAAGTTGGTCCCAGTATTCACCATTGTGCTCGGCTTGGTCTCTGATGGTTCTGTCTGGTAAAAGCGAAAGCCATCAAACACGTCGGGGTTCTCAAACACCTCGGGATCTCGTTGCAGAATTCGAGATACGGCACCAATCTTTGCCCCCACCGGGATGACGGTCCCATCACTGAATTTGAACTCTTTTCTTGCATTTCTTTGCATTGCCACTGTGTGCGCTTCTCGTCAGCAGTCGGTCGCGAGTGGATAAGACATGTCAAGATGCTCAAAGGCGCAAAAGTTCTTACTAAGCCCGGTGGTGTTGAATCTTCCAGATTCTCTCAGAAAACTGTCCATTTTCGGAAGCTTTGCCAGAGTGGCTGCAGTAATCTGCCCATTTTCCAAATTCTCAATCACTTCGTTTCGGAGAACTTCTGCGTACTTTTCGGGCTCTACAGCTAGACTGTACATGGCGCTGGTAAAGGTCTGGGGTTTGATGGTGGAGTATTAGCTTTTGTCCCCTCTCCATTCACCCACCTACAGTCCTTGTGTGCTCCTTACCATGGTAGTCGTGTGTATCGAGGCTACATTCAATGCCATGACCCGTTCCGCAAGTTGAGGCACCGTTTTCTCAATCGGAGGCGCAGCATCGATCAGTCTCTGGACGAGATCAGTGGGCTTTTGTCCAAGTCGGTTACGTTTTCCATCCAATCTCTCTTGAATAAAGCTTCGCAAAAAGTCCTCCCCCTTTTTGCGATGGCGCATCACTGGCATAAACCTGATCAGAATACTAAAAATCTGTTAGAAATTTCTCTTTCTACGATTGCGTCTCAGTTTGCCTTTCCGATACTGAAAGCATTACGGGGTGAATGCTACCTTTTGAGCCAGTCTGGAAAGGGTCTGATTAGCTCAGCCGTCAACACTACAGCTTGAGCATAATCTGCCGCGTTTGTGAGAAACTCTTCATTTCGACCTATGCCCCAGAGAGATGGACGTCTATCAGACCAGATACAATGCAGCGTCATGAATGTCTCCTACTCACAAAACTCGGTGCCGACATAGATTCTGTTGGCTATACGTGCAACCGTCATGGCTATAGTGTCGTACAGTGCGATTGGCTCATACTCTGCGTTGATCATTAGTAGAAGCCAATTGGCCATCATCTGCCCGTCAACTGACCAGTTGAGCAATGGATCAGGTCATCAAGGGCCAAGCCGCACTCTTCGTTCATGAGTGGGGTCCAATCATTGATGCTCTGCGTTATGGGACCTCGTACAACTGCCGTGTGGTAAGTACGATGGCCGATCCCATAACCCATGGTGAACGGAATCTGTTGCTGCTGCATACAGTGAAAAACGCGTGATCAGCTCAATACCTGCAAACGGGTGTGCTACTCTTGTCAGTTTCGCCGCCTCAAGTACTCACATCATTCGATCCGTCCTGCGCATTCAAAATACTGTCGGGGGCTTTCAGGTACTCGGCAACCTTTTGCCTATCAGTTACCAAGATGTATTCACCTTGAATCGTTGCTATGCGCAAAAGTCCGTTCTTGGACTTTGCCATTCCATCGTATATCAACTTTGTTGGGTTGAGTAATAACCTGACAGCACCAACCCAAGGTCCAATGAATGGCAATGACACAAAACCTAGAGGTTCCACATGTGGCTGAGAGAATGCGCAAATTAGCCATCTTTTTGCCAGGAAACGTAGAGATAGGCGGAAAAATCTCCCAATTTCTTGACCAGACTTACCGTTCTTGCCCAATATTTATATCTGTTTACGGCAAGATATCCCAAGAAGATGACGACCAAGATACAATTTGCATTTAGTGCAGGAATATATGCCGCATCGAAGGCGGGCAGAGACCCGTATGTCATCACGTTGGCCTTCATGCTAAGAACAGACGTACAAGGACTGTATAACACTCCAGGTAGAGATGGTGAAAATGGACAGAATACAAGCTAATGGGGATATCGAAAGCTTTCGGCCACAAATGTATGATAGGCCAACGACGAGATGCACTATGGCGAAAGAGATTCAGGCAGTGTAGAAATAAAAAGACTTTGTTGGACCTACTAGCGGTGAATCAGAGCCCTACATATGTATCATTTGACCGTGGCTGATGAATACCGGAATTAGCTGGCGCCCGTCTAGCCGACCCAATCCATGACATTTCAGGACTCAGTAGCAGATCTGCATGAAGCAGTATAGATATCCAGGATGATGCAGCAAATAGACGAAAAATATTATGCATCTTCTCTCGACACTCTGAGCCTTCCGAATACGAATTGCTAGTCTCGGGCCATCACTACCCGAATGCCACTGCATGGCCCAGACCGTCATCGCCCTGCATAAACCTCATGGCGAGTACTTTCCCATTCCAATGCAATGAATGAGTCAAGGCAACATGACTGGAGAAGATCCAGTCCTCCTCAAAGTATTTCAAATATCAATCAATACCAAAAGTGTCGACTCTTTGCAAGCAAGCGCGTCTTCTGACTGAATCCTGGGTGGCGAGATACACAAGGGCAACAGCACAGGAAATGGCTGCCTACACCCGGCGACTTGCCGCCTACACACCAGCACAGAACAAGCCCGTCACAGAGATTGCAATCTTCAAGTTGAACCCAGAATTTGCCTTGGACCATGCTGCAGCAGCTGTCGAGTTCGAATCACAGGTGGTTCAGCAGACGGCGCCGGGAAAGACATATGCCAAGGGCATCCGGCGGATTAGCTGGGGATTTTCCAGGAATGATCCGGAAACTTTTGTCTGGATGCTCGACTGGGACAAAATCCAAGACCACTGGGAGTTTTGGCAAACGCCTGGGTTTCAACCAGTCAGTAATACCATTAGCAAAATGTTCAAGCCGGGCCGCCCGCTTGTGCGGCATTATGACTTTGGTGGCCAGGGAATGATCGAGGCTCCTTGGGTCAGGTTGTTTGTTTTCGATGAGAAGAGTGGAGGCACTACACCAGAGACGGCGCGTGCAAAGGTTTTGAAAACCGACGCCTCAACAACCATGACCGCCAGACAGGCCTACGCAGTTGACCTAGATGAGACAACTTGGTATTGTCTCCTGCTTGGGTACGATTCTGAAATTGCTGCTGCAAAGGAACAGGTACACACTGAATTGTCAGGCGAGGATCATGTTATCGAGCTCAAGTATTCGAGTCAGCCATAGACTTGGGAAGTATGGATAGTAAATGGGGCTGGCCAATACTATGAATGCAAAAAGACAAAAGTTTCCCAGTGTTATTTCTCTAAGATTATTTTCCATGCGATGTATAAATGACAGCTCTTATTGTCCTAGATCCTCCATCACAATTGTTGAGAATTTTCGCGATGCTGGGTTCAGGTCATCCACGTATTGTACCAAAAACGTTCCCATCGTGACGAGCATCAACGCTGCATCAAAGAGATACAAGAAGTATTCACGCCGAACAAGGAATCCCGCGTTTCCTTGTGCATATTCTACCACGCGAAAGGCACTGCGCACCATGATGAGGCAGCTCACGCAGTAGAGAGCCCACATGTAACTCTTCCACTGGATGCCGCCCTCCCTTGCCTCTGTGGTTGGGCGCAGAACCACACGCCGGTGAAAGACAATGGCGCAGACGATGAAGATGCCAAACATGACGATTTGGACAAACAGGCCGACGAGAATAATCTTTTCTCCCAGCTCGTACAGTTCCAAGGTGCCTGCTGCCTGGATTCCTCCACCGCCGCCCTGAGCAAAAAAGGACACAACGTCGCCAATGACGAACAGCTTGGTGAGCCACTGGATGGGTATGATAGAGTGGTGCTCTGCGTGAAGAGCTCGCATCGTTCGGCCGAGGATCATGTACACGGAAGCGGCGAACAAGGCTGGTGCTACGAGGATGAGCAGCGACTGCATCACGTATCCGCCAATGGCATTCTTGTCAAAGTGTGACCAGATTCGACCGAAATACCCTACAGCCTCGACTAGACACCAGGCGGTCAGCGTTAAAGCACCGTAATATGCAAAGCATCAAAAAACGTACAGATACCCCCAATGGTAAAGGGTACAAAATAAAATGACTTGGTACTCCAGAGCTTGGCCATATGAGCTAGCGACAAGATCGAAAAAAGCATTCCTGTTAGTGCCGCTGCCTCGAGAGATGGCGTGTATCGGTAGAGAGCAAAAAAGGCATCGCTATCATCACCGGAAGACGACATGCTGCGTATAATGACAGGTTTAGTGATGAAGTATATGTAATGAACGACTATAATGATGATTGACAATAGAAAAAAATAACGTGAAAAGCTGTGGCGAGAACCTAATGAAAGGGCATAGTTCGTCAAGCTTTTCCAATTCTGAGCGACAACGGTAGGTATTTGAGGAGATAAGTTAGCTGCCACTATGAGGCTGTACATGGTGTCAAAAGTCTAATCATACGTAAAAGGCCGAATAGCACCATGAAACCATCATCTTCAGGTACGGACGCCTGAGTAAGGTATCGTGGGCAGTGCTATGCATAGTGCTCGGCATCAACCGAGCTGCGTAGCAGGCTAGAACTATCTAGTCGGACTCGCTCGGGACGGTGGAGCTTGTTTGTCTTGGTGGCTCAACTGTCGCTAGCATTGTCTTGTAATTTCTACTACTTGCCGAGAACTTAACAGAAATTTCCGCTTCTGGTAGTCAGTCACTTGCATATGATCCGCTAGCTGTGGAGTCGCAAGAGTCAAGGTTGAGATACTCGGTATAATGTAGGCGGATAGTCCGTATGGTGCATCCTGCCAAGCCATTGACGAGCATAACCGAGAATAGTGGTGACCACAAGTACCAGAAAACCGCCAACAAGAGGATCTTTCATGGGTAGCAGGGATCGATGATCAAATTGAATGACATGAGCCTCTCACAAACTGTGATGCATTGTGGAAGAGGAATTTCAGGGCCCTAATCTCCGAAGCTCACTTGCACCGGGTATGCGCTAAGCCTTGCTCTATAGTCTGAAGAGCGCATCCGAATCCGAGCGAATACGAAACCATTCGTATATACTCGGCTTCCCATCATGCCAAGAAGCGCCGGGCCGGCTGGTAGTCAGGGCAGCGAGGCACGACTCGGCTTTCTGCGATGGGTTCTCTCGGATTCGTTCAGCCGGGACTCGTAATTCTTCGTACCTTTTTTTTTTTTTTAGTATTAAACTTTCCCTCTTCTCCAAGATCGGTGCCGTGCGCGGCGGACATGCCGATCACAACAGGGGACCTCCAAGGTCCATGCCATCGAGGACATTTTGAGCGGCACTTCTCGGGTATCAACAGAAGATCGAGACATGTCAAAATCAAGGTCATTACGGACTAAACTAGAAGTTTGAGGCTTGGAGAGTGGATTATCGTCTCCTCGGCCCCTTGGACATGTTTGTCGTCATGGTGGATTTGCGCTTGGGTTGACAATTGAACATTATATAGTCATTGCTGCTGTCGTATAGATTCACGCTGGACATGAGCGGGGATTGATAAGAAAATATGCCCTTCTTGAAGTCACTTTTCCCGTCGTTGGCCCTCTTGGCCCTAGCGCAAGCCCGATCCGTCAGACCGCGACAGTTGGCCATCACGAGCAACTCCTCAGACTTCATATCAAGCACGACCGAGATTACCACCATAAATGCCACAGATGGTTCACCGGCAGTGGTGATTCTAGACTATGGATGGAGCGTAGAAGGTATTCCATCCTTCGAAGTCATCAGCAAGGAGGGCGATACATCGACTTTTGAAATCACGTATGGCGAAACCAGCGCCGCCCTCAATTCATACATGGTGCGTAGCACCTTTATTTCTAGATTTCACATTGATTCTGATTCCTACAGAGCGATGGCCCGCTCCCACTTGCTGCGACCATGGACACTTACCGGGTCAATCGATACAATGTCAGCCAAGTTGGGCAAGTATCGAATCTTCTTATCCAAGGCGCCTTCAGATACCAGAAACTGAACCTCAGCTCGCCTGGAGCTCTCTCACTAAAGAACATAGGAGTCTGGCCTACTATTGATACAACTCCTCTGACCAATGTACCTGGATCATTCGAAAGCTCCGACGAGACAATCAATGACATTTGGACTGCTGGCGCGCGCACTATTCAGATGACTGAAATCCCAGCAAATTCAGTTCCAGAGTTCTGGACAGTGACTTCAGAAGGCGCTCTTGTTGACAGCCTTGCCCCTCAGGTTCTCGGATCCGCTACAGCCGCTCAGCTTACAATTTATAATCTCCAGTTCAGTGTCAAGCCTTTGGTAGGCGGGTTCGGGTTTCTCGTGCTTGCCGATACGTTGAATTCTGGTATCTACTTTTCGTGTGACGTTTCTCGCCGCGAAATCACGGTCCATGCGGGAACAACAAGCGAAGATACTCTTCTCCAAGCCATCGATCTTCCCAAAAACACGACCATTGCCCTCGGCTCCTGGAGCACTGTTGCCGTCACCGTCGCAATGACCGAAATTGCTGTCGCCATCAATGGTGTCCGGGTTGTACAGATATCGCAGACTACTAGTTTCTATGGTTCTTTCGGACTCGGAGCATCATTCGGTCATCAAGCACTATTCAAGGACCTGTCCGCGGATACGACAGATGGGCAGGAAATCTATTCTCACTCTTTGACCGACACGTCGTTCCTGGCAGACTTCTTCATGGGCACTAACCCAGCAAGCACCATAGTTGATGGCTCGCGTCGTGACCGCATCGCCTATTCTGGAGATCTCGATATTGCTGGCGGCTCGGCCCTGGTAAGCACTCACGGCCTCGACTTTATTCTCGGATCGCTCGATCTGCTTGGGTCGTACCAAGCCTCTCCTGGCTTCTTTATACCCACCGCCAAGATCCAACAAGAGCCTCTTGACCAGCAGCTCAACGTCAGTGTAACTGGGCTCATCGGATACTCGTTCAACTTTGTCACTGCCGTCGCTGCGACCTACATGCACACTGGCGACGTCGAGTTTGCAGAGAAGTGGGCCACCAAGGTGCAACAGATGCTGGATTGGGCCGACTCCCAGGTACTCGAGAATGGGCTGTTCAATGTGTCCGAGTCTTCCTTTGCCGGCGACTGGAACTATTACGATCCATCCCAAGCCGGCGTGTCGGCCAAGTTCAATGTCTTGTATGCCTATGCCTTGCAAGAGTCATTGACACTCATCGCAGATGGTGGTATAGACGCCAGCGTATATGAGAAGCGACTTGATGCGCTGCGCGATGCCATTGACAGTCAACTCTGGAGCGATCATCTCCAAGCCTACTACTTTTCCGACGCTTATACCGACGGTTTCGGCCAGGACTCCAACGCCATTGCCATCTTGGCACAGGTGAATAGGAATTCCAGCCACTCGTCCGAGACCATCCTTTCAACCTTGTCCAAAGATCTCGCGAGACCGGCAGGATCCATGGCATTCTCGAGTGGAATGATTGCCTCGGGTTTTCAGCCGTACATGAGCCCTTATGCCTCGGCATACCACCTCCGCGCCGCGCTGGCCTCGAACAATAGCGACGCTGCACTCGACCTCCTGCATGGCTTGTGGGCGCCAATGGCCGACACCACCAATGCCAACTATACCGGCACGTTCTGGGAGACGCTGGACGAGGAGGGAAGACCAGGCTTGGGGCTCACTACGAGCTTCTGCCACGGCTGGTCCGCGGGTCCCACGGCCGAGCTGACCAAGTACGTGCTCGGTGCCATGCCAACGCGTCCGGGCTGGTCCGAGTTCAGCATTGCTCCCGTGACGCTGGGACTCAAGTCGGCGAGGGGCCGTGTGCCGCTGGTGGGGGGACGACAGGTCCATGTGGAGTGGAAGTTTAGCTGTGATGGTCTCTTGACGATGGAGGTCGAAGCCCCGGCGGGCACCATGGGCACAGTCACGCTTCCGATGCCGCTGCTTACATCTACTGATACCTCCGTGTTTACGCTCAACGGCCAGGTCATGAATGCGACGAGTTTCGAGGTTGTTGGGGGTGCATCATTTAAGCTGCAACAGCACCATGAAGTTTAATCAATCCACGTGGTAGAGCGCCCACGTCGTGGGACGAGCTAAAAGTGTGCAAAGGCTCTGAAAAGTCTACATTCAGTGTACATGAATCATTATTGTTCCATAGTTCTTGAACATATCTACTTTATTTTATTTTTAATATTTCAAGACAAAAAGCAACAACATACATTGATTTCCTTCATCTTGTTTAGAGCATCGAAGACTGATTTCATAATCAAGAGCTGCACTGGTCGCAAAGGCATCTTTCTCTCCGACAAGTCTGTAGAAAAAGGCCGTGAATACGAGACTACTCCCAAGACCGCAGTCTGCACATTCAAGTGTCTCTTGGGCGTCTCTTGGGCGTGGTGTCTGAGTGGCAGAACAGAGGAGAATAAACACGTGCCCACGCGCCTCGACGGAATTGACGCGTAGACCGGAAAACCACGACACGTTCAGGCCTGATGAAATAAAGTTTGACAGTTTATTGACAAGCAGCCACGTCCCTGATTTAAATGGGCCCATCCCTCATTCGACGGCCCTGGCCGAGGGCCGGTTGAGCGGCTAGCGAACTGAGTTAAGACAAAAACTGTTAGCACATTTTGTCAGGGGAAACATCAAAAACAGTGAATCGCGACTCGATTTTGTGCCTCAAGATGCAGTACGGGGTTGCATATCTCAAGGCTTTGATATCTTTTTCTTCCAAACACGGACCATTCTTGGCCTTGGCTTTGATGAGTATAATACCTATAGTATAACACATCTGGACCCATTTCCATTATATTCCATCTTGGCCCTGGTCTGTGTGAAGATCAAAATCTCATCGTCACCGCACCGAGTTTGAACCACAGAAGAAGCCATTAGATATTGGACCGACACAATAATGTTTCACCAACAGGAGGATTTCCACCTCTTTTTCAGCCCTTTGTGGCTTCTCGGATTGCTTACCGACAGTCTACAGTTTGTCATGTCGAATGAATTTGCGAAAACTCGCCGTTATGGATCTCGTGTGAGTTGTCACTACAAAGTCGGTGGGCTATGCATCAGAAGCGCCACATTGCACTTTCTTGGCAAGTGACAACAACCACTCAAGCCAGCGCACTCATGGGAAATCACCGACCGACAAGGCAAATTGAAGCCGCAGCCCGAGTTGAAAGACGATTTGAAATTGCCAGCTGCTGTTGCGCACGCGCGCAAGTTGACGCCTTCCTCTAACAAGGTAGAGACGCGCTGACGGCACGGCGACTAAGTAGACGATAGTGCGGAATTCGGATGAGCTGAGCTCTCTCGCGCCTCTTGGCAGGAACGAGGTCCCCTATTTTGTGAGCTAACCACCAATGTCCAGTCTCGATTGATCATATTTCCGCCAAGCTTTTCCTCTGCAGATCTTGGACTGTTTCTTCCTGACAAGATGGTATACTACAACAATAACAAGACAAACTCAATCCGTGCCTATTGTATATTCCTATGTACTCATTCTACAGTTGACAGCACCTTCAAACAGCTGTTCTTTCTTTTTCAACTCTTTTAAATACGGTGAGCATCACTTCCCCACCTATACCTAACTGGACGACAGTGGATATTTATGGATTGAAGTGGATGCCATATTACGAAAATGAATGAGGATCATCCAGAACACGGATCACCGAGTGGCAGCGCTACCCCTGCAAGGAACGCCGCAGACCGATTCGATTCATATGAAGTCAGCAACGAGAAAAAATTCAAATTGGTAATAAGTTTGTGTTTATTTTGCCGTGGCAAGTCGTGGCTGATTCCACTACTTTGCCTTTGTCTTGTTTCTCGAAACACTCTGCCTTGGATATTCTGCTAATTATACCGGATATCCATCAGGCCAAGTCCAAGTCGAGGCAAGTCAGGATGGGAACCGCCGGAACCTCATCCAACGGGACGAGCCTTGTCGTGCCCGAGATCAGGGACGATGAGAGCTTTGGAGAGCTCGCCCGGAAGCTGTCACTGTATGTCTGATACTCCATCTAGCAATCTATATCCGCCTCAACAGCGGATACCAAGCAAATATTGACATCTTGGCAGCTGCATCATTGATGCCGTCCAATCACCCCTGAGCTGGGACGACTTGCGCAGTAGCAAGCACATCAAGACTATTCAGCCGTTTATTGACCATCTCTCAACCTCGGTACATCACCCGGCGTTGGTCGCTGCTCTGCTTGCACTCAAGGGCCATTTCGTGGCCATTGAATCAGATGATGATTGTGGTATCAATTCTTCGCGTGGCCTCGCCTGCGAACTTATTGCATGGCAGTTTGTTCTGACATTGTCCGAGCGAGACACTTTGGACTACTTGCTATTCGAACTTCGCAGCGATGGTTCCTTTGCACCTCACGATGAAGACGAAGAGGCTGCCTACGCCGCAGCACATCACATTGAGAATGGCTCTGTCCGTTCGACCACAAGGGGCCTCCCAGCTCTGCCACACGAGCGTACCGCTCTGCTTCCGGGGCGAACTACTGGCAACAGCAGCGCCGCCCAGTCTCGTGCCTCGAGCGCAACCTATACGAGCCAACGCCAAGAGTGCAGCGATAATGAGCCTTCAGCATTTTCGAGACCTTTCGTGGACCTCAACACCCTGGAGATTGCCGCAGTGTCGAATGCCAAAAAGTTCTTGTCACAGCGTATAGTCCAGGACCTGATTGATGCCATCTGGCGCGGTGATGTTGTATTCTGGGACGCCTTGACAGCTCGATCGATCAAGAAGCCACGCATCTATCGGCGCAGCGAGGCCCAGGGCAGAACCCTCATACGCCATCTCATAAAGGGACCAGAGGGTACCGATCCCTGGACGCGTCTCCGCGTGCCGAGGTACATGAAGGCATTTGAAATGATGTTCTTTCTCATGCTTCTCGGTCTCTTTCTTATTGTCAGCTTGGAGCGAGTTCAGGGTTACGTCACCCCCTGGGAGATTGTGTTCTATGCCTTCATGGCAGGCTTTACTCTTCAAGAATGGAACCAATTCGTCGAAAATGGTGCCCATTTCTTCAGCACGGATATCTGGAACTTGTGGGATATAGGCATCATTTGCATTGGAATGACATTTTTCGTGCTACGCATGATTGGCACAGTGATTGGCCATTCCCCTGTCAGGGATGATATCGCATTCGCGGTATTGGCCCTGCTCAGCTTGTTCTTGACTCCTCGCTTATTCAGTTTAATGAGCTTGAACAAGTACTATGGCACCCTCGTCCCCTGCCTCAAGGAGATGGGCAAGCAATTTGTTCGCTTCCTGGGTTTTGTACTCATCATTCACTTTGGCTTTGTCACCACCTTTTTCCTACTTGCAAGAGGTCACTTTCCCATCGACAAACTCTTCATTACCACTCTCAAGGTCTTCTTTGGTGCTGGTGTTGCCGGATTCGATGTTGCTCCTCAGATTTCCCCATACCTGGGTCTACCGGTCATGGTCCTTTGTAAGTGCCTGGATTTTTTCACGATTGTCTTGATTTCTTCGTTCGTCTTTATGTGAGCGAGTCACAGCAAAAACTAATCTAGTCCACAGTTGTCTGTTTGACCAACCAGTTGTTGATCACGAGTATGATGGCCCACATCAGCAACAGTCTCCGCCAGGTACTTGACTCTAGCCGTGAAGAATATCTATACGTGTACTCCGTTTATGTTCTCGAGGCCTCCAACTCGGACAAGCTCACCTACTTTTTCATGCCTCTGGTGAGTTGTGAATTCCAATCATTCTCTGTCGTTGCGACAACGTTTCTAACTTGGTTCAGAACCTTGCACCAGTTCTCACCCAGCCTTTCCTATTTTTCTTGCGCGACGAGACTGCCGAGCAAATTCGCATCGTGCTTCTCAAACTCACCCATGCTCCAATCATGGTTGCCATCTGCGTGCTTGAGCGTTGGGAGGAATGGCAGCACGGCCGTCGCGCACACCAGTTTGATAGCCTGCGCTTCTGGACCGTGAATGGTGTTGAAGAGCGCCCAGTCCAGGCCCTCAACAAGCACACCAGTGGCGGAAGCCGAGTTCCCAAGTTTGGCCGCCAGCCTCCCAAGGGCGACGGCTGGCAAGTCCCAAAAGACCTGGTGCTAAAGTCGAGAAGGCCGGCAAGAGATGCCAAGATACTTGCCAATGGAATTTCTCAGCCTCCGCCAGCATCAGCACCATCTAGCGGCAATGGCAAAGTAATTGAAGCTCCTAAACCGCAGCCCCCAGTACTTCCTCATGCGCAGCCGGAGCAGCAGACGCAGCTGTGGAACCAAGTCAACGCGAATGAGATGGAAATGTTGCGCATGCTCAAGGAGCTGACTACTCAAGTCCAAGAGTTGAAGGCAGAGCTGGCTGCTCAGAAACAAGACGTCGCCCCTAAGAAGGAGGGATCAAAGAAGAGAAAATGATAAGTTGACGAATGTAACATGGTCACGGAAAACAAAAGGAGGGATCAGTGTAAAATATTGGGAAATTGTAATGTATTGAGAGTACCGACGTTACTCCATGATTCAAAATCATCTTTCAATCTCGTAATGATTTCGTTACTGTGCGTTTCACTTGGACAAGTCGAATTTCCAACGTCTTGAAATAGCTGCAAAGCTTTATTGTCGAATGGCGCATGTCTAGGTTGCTTTTCTAGTCCTGATATACTACATTTGGTTTTATATTCATTATGCAAAGAGCAGAAAAAGCTTCTCATCATACTTTCCGCCGCACCAATCCCTTGAAAAAGTCGAAACTGTTTTCATCACTCTGGAGTGCCCACATCTTACCCGTCGGCTTGTCGTCACTGTTCAGTTCCTCTGCCATCAACATGCCCCAGTCTCTGGTGATACCAACAATCCTAGCCCTGACGCCGCCCTCGGCCTCGAGGGTCACTATCTGCCGGCCGTGAAGCCAGTGTGTGTAGTATTTTCGTTCCATCTCGGTGCTGAAGCCTGTTCGCACAAATTCGCCATAGAGAACCTCGAGCCGGGTGAGAATCCTGGCAATTAGCCTTTCGATCCTAAAGGGTGGCAGATGACTGGGCAGCAAAGCGTCCAGCGAAGTTGTAGGCCGGCCATTGGTGGTGTTGATGCCAATGCCAAGGACAATCTGGTACGATCCGGCCGAGTAGGCGCAGTTACTTAGAATACCGCCAATCTTGACGTACTGAGGTGCATCATCGCCGGCATGGCGCGGATCCAGCGCGTAAATGTCGTTGGGCCACTTGAGCTTTACCGGCAACTTGTCGTAGCCCTTGTCGTAGCTCTTGACGGCCTCGACAATGGCCACGGCGGCGAGGTACTGGATAAAGACAATGGGCCGGCTCGCGGCCAGGTGCGCCGGGTGGTTGATGACGGTCGACATGATGAGGGAGCCCGCGGGAGCGACCCAGACATTGTTGCCACGGCCGCGGCCGGCGATCTGCGTTGTGGCGGCAAGCGTGAAGCCTGTCGGTAGCTGGGAGAGCAGCTTGTAATTCTTCTCCAGCAGGGTGTTTGTGCTCGTAACCACCTCACCGTACATGAACTGGTCACCCCAGGTCCGGGCCTCTCTGTCAATCTCGCGGTACGACTTGAGACCCGAGTAAAAGACATGGTGGTTAAAGTAGGGCGTCTCCTTGGTGTCGGGCCACGTCTCGTCGTGGATCAAGACGCGTTTGGTGATTGTGGAATAGTCAATGATGCCTTCGCCATTGGCAGGTTGGTTGTCGTGCGAGAGCGTCCGCTTGAGAGCTTCCATGTTCCACTTTGTATCCGGTTTCTCGAGGTGAAAGGTATCGTGTTCTCCTTTAATGTACTCTTCGCCGTCTTCTCTCGTAATGGCTTCTTCCAAGCCGTGCAGCAAGTCGTCTACATCGCTGCTGTTGAAAGCGGAGAGGTGCATGCGCGAGAGCGAGGGAACACCAGTGGTCTCTTGGTTAACCTCAAGCCCGAGCTTGACGAGACAGGCCTTGAGAAATGTAGCGCGGTCCTTGTCCGCTGCCTTGAGAGTGGCAATCAAATCATCGTAACCCGGAACATCGTTCTGCGGACTCAAATTGGCCGGTGCAAATTCCGGGTGCGGTCCCGTGAGCAGAGCAGATCCCATGCCCACTTTGCAATATACCAACGCCGCCTTCTTTTCGCCACCATCGACGGCTATCTCGTCAGCATAGCTGGCAAGAACCTGATATTCGTCGGTTCCATTCGACGGGGGCACAAAGACACCACCCCCGTTGTAGTAGGAGAGCACCTCGTCGGGGAGAGCGCCAGCCTCCTTGAAAGCATCCCGATCAACTCTCAACCTGGCCACCCTGGCGCCCTTTTCGCTGTGATACTGAAAGCCTTTGAATGCACCACCTCGGCAGATTCCTGGAAAAAAGGCCAGTTCCCTCGGGCCTACCACTTCCATGCCACGATTACCGACTTCGAACTCGCACTTCTTGCTTCCGTAGTACCCGCCGGCGCAAAATCCAAGATATGCGCCTCCCCTACGCACATACTGCGCTATAATGGCATTCCCGGCGCCGTTGAGGACGCGGCAGTAACCGAGGTCTGCGCCGCCCGGAAAGACGAGCAATGCGCAGGTCGAGGGCCACGGCTCCTTGAGCAGGGCGGTCTCGTTGATGGGTATGACAGCATAGTAGTTGGGTGCTAGCAGGCGGCGCAGTGTGTAAATGGCATGTTTGACGGACTCTACTGTCGTGCCCGTACCCGTATATACGAGCACGTTGAGCTTCCGAGGCGCCATGGTCAGCACGCGGCCAATTGGGCGAGTATGGACGTCTGAGAGGCGAGTATGTGCGGTGAGAAAAGAGAAAACCGAAAATTTCAAAAGTACGATCAGTCAAATGTGAATATGAACCAATTGGCTAAATTGCGCAATGGAAACCAATTCTCATGTCCAGCTGATCTGCGCCGTCTATTCTCTCAACGATGGGAATCCCCAACAGCTCGGCCTGGCTGAGGTGAATCCACAGCGGAAGCCCGCGGACCTCAACGGCAAAAAGAATAATGACTGGGGCCGCCCCAAAGCCCGCTAACAATAGACAAGCCGCGCTCTTGTTTTCGGTACCCGAATCACCTTCACCCCATTCTGATACACCACAACCATGTCCAACGAAGAGAGCAAGCAACAGGCTGCGGCTGCAGTTGATGATGACGAGCCTGATGAGTGGTAAGCTGCAAATTTATCTTTTGCAGAATCTCTGCAGGCAAGCAAACTTGCCGCCCAAATGTCAAAAGGCTGATGGATCAACGTGGCGATATGCAGGGACAAGCGGATCTTCAGCACCGGATGCGCAGGTACGAAAACCAGTTCAATGGAACCCCGGCTTCTTTTGCTAGGGAAGCTGAATATGAGCTTTGAGATGAACTTACACTCTCGACTGTATAGATGAGAACATGAAAATGACTGATTGTTATTTTGAAAAGAAGGACTGGCGAGCTTGCAAAAAAGAGGTGAGTGTATATACTCCCCTAGTCGTCCAACATTGACCTGGCTGCTCTTGTAAATGCAATTCAGCTTACACCCGAGTTACTCAGATGGAGATATTCAAAGAATGTTGGAAGAGAAATAACAACGACGAGCGGACGTCTACAAAGGATGCATAGATGCCGCGCCTTTCAAAATCCAAATCTTGTACAAAACAACAAATCAATTCCCATTTCTCCTCATAACATGTCAAAGTCATTAGCATCATGATACTCCAACGACTGGTTTGGCAGCAATTTCAGTCTCTCCAATGCTACGCATGGGGCGAGCTCAGTGCTTGGCGCCCACTAGAGCGCTAAATGAACACAGATCTCGGCCCGCATTGGCCCGGCCACGGTGCCTGGGCTGTGCACGACCCTGCTGCTAGCTTTGGCATTACAAGGCAGATGCCGTCACCAAAATTTCCTATCGTGAATACCTTTCAACGCCTGGATTTGAGAATCGCCTCGTACTTCCCCTCTCATTTTCCTACATTGCCGCCATTCTTTTTTTTTTCTGTTCCCATTTTCTTCTCCTTAGAATAAGTCAAAATGGCTTCTACAGCCTCGATACCACTGCGACTCGCCGGCAGACAAATCAGACTTGCATCGCGACCCTCGAGAACATTTGTATCTGCTGCGAAAACAAAAACAGCTCCCACCTCTACAGCCTCGCGGCCCGCCGCCATCCCTTCAAAAACCTCTTCGAGACCTGCAACCTCGGCGACTACATCTCGAGCATCTCCAGCAGCCGCCAAGCCAGCCGCAGCCGCCGCCTCAGCAGCGCCCACCTCGCCTCCCGCTGGCGCGCCGGGCTCCCACACTCCCGTACCTCAAGTATCTGGTGAACCACTACCAGACGTGCCCTCGTCGGCGCGAAGCGACCCTGCAGGCGCGCCCATTGACTGGTCCTCGTCATTTCACGGTCTGGGCACGGCAACCTTTGGCCCCGAAGTCGCAACGGTCCTGCAAGCGCCGCTCGACGCCGACGATATCGAGGTCAAGCCCGACGGCATCCTCTACCTGCCCGAGATCAAGTACCGGAGAGTGCTAAACGCCGCCTTTGGCCCAGGAGGATGGGGTTTGGCGCCTAGAGGAGATTTGCAGATCCAGGACAGGCTCGTGTATAGGGATTACGCATTGATTGCCCATGGAAGGTGAGAAGCTCCTCCTTGACATGTTTCGATATTACCATGACAACAAAGGCATACTAAATATGGATCCGTCTAGGTTTATCGGCCAAGCACGAGGAGAGATGCAGTATTTCAACGAGGACGGAATCTCGACGGCAGCCGAAGGATGCAAATCCAATGCTTTGATGCGGTGCTGCAAGGACCTGGGTATTGCTTCGGAACTATGGGACCCACGCTTTATTCGCAAATTCATGAAGTCTCATGCGCAGCAGGTCTGGGTCGAGCATGTGACGACCAAGAAGAAGAAGCAAATCTGGCTGCGGAAAGACGACGAGGTGCGATACCCATTCAAAAAGACGAATTAATGACTAGAGGATCTTTCATCAAGAGCATCTTTGCGCCAATGATCAAGACTGGGATCTTGAGCATGTGAAATACACACCAAGTGGAACATGTACGATACGGAGGATTACATATGGGAACATTTATCCAGCAAATGGAGGTATCAACAACGGCACAAGGCGTCACGCATATGGAGTTGGCCCTTGGTGCACGCAATTAGTCCGGTTCGGCGCGGACGATAGACGAAGCTGGTCATCATAGAATAATGATACAAGCGCACATGATAGTGCAGCCCTCTTCTCAGTATTGATCAGTAAAGTCGCTGCTGCCTTCCTCACTGCATGTTACAGTCAAGCGTCCAGCAAGTCGACAGTGGTAGAAATGAATGGTGTAAGCATAAAACTCCCAACGCCCCTATTCCTGACCCCAACCATGATGACCTCGTAACCGGGAGCGGATACATTGCCCCGGTCAAAGTTCTAGTAGTACTATTTCGCAAACTCGTTTGAGGGCGTTTGAGGGTGTGAAGGCGTAGGCGTATCCGCGCCGGTGGTACTACCCCAACCCAAGAAACTCCAAGGACCCTTACCACTGGCGCTTCGATCCGTCGGAGGCCTTCTCTGCCTCACCTCCTCCTCCAAATCTTCCTCGGCTCCGCTCTCGGCCTCGATCTTTTCAAAGTCGACCTCACTTCGACTTTTGCTGAGAGCGCTCCACATGCTCTGCCCGCTAGGCGGCCTAGATGTACCTGAAGCGTGTCCCTCGCCTCCGTCAAGGCTCATGCTCGGAAGCCTCTGCTCCGCTCCTGCTGCCTGACGCTCCTGCTCGGATTTTTCCAGCTGATTAGCCTCCTTCTCCAGTGCTGTCATCAAGAACGAGAGTTTCTCCCGCTGGTTTGCGATAAAGTTCATCTTCTCACCCGCTCCTCGAATGTTGTCTGGAATCAAGTTGCCACTGGTCGGCATATCTGCATCCCTCTTGGCACCGCCGTATGCGCCTGCGCCGGCAGATCCAAGAGCGCTGACTCCAGTGGCAGCGCTGACAGCTCCCGCCAGCATGTTGTAAAAGTCCTGGCCGGCGCCCGTGGCCGAACCTCCCACGTTGCCCCATTTGGCCGTCGGCACGCTGAACCTAGCGAGCAGCGACTGCGTATAGGTCTGCGGCGCCTCCTTGGCGCGGACGTCGGCGCCCTGCTCTTCTTCGCGGGTGGGTGGCATGCCCAGAACCTTGGTCTTGAGCATCTCGATGGCTTGTTTGAGGTAGGCCATGCCGGCAGCCTTGAGGCGGTCGTGCGCGCTGGCGATAAAGTCCTCGATCTGGGTTTCGTTGTCTTCGAGGTACGGGTGCAGGTAGGTCTCGTACAGGTGGCGGGCGCCCTGGGTCTGGGGAAGGACTAGATAGAGCAGGAAGAGCAGTCGTATATAGGCGTAAAAGGGCACCCAGACGAGGATGAACTCGAACCACGACTCAACCAGCAGAGCGCACGATAATACCGACCAGTACATGAGCCATGGTGTCAGCTGCGCGGGGTCCGAGGTCTTGAGAGCCTTGTACGAGGCAAAGAGGGGAAAGAGGAAGGAGGCGATGGACGAGAGGATCTTGGGAAATATGTCAAACATGGCTGACGGTGTTGTTTTTCCCTTGAGACCTCTCGAATTAAACTGTCGCTCGTCGGGGTATAGAGTGTAGGTATAGGTATCTAGGCGCTATTCGCTACGGCGAGTGGTGTTATCACGATAGCGCAATCGCGATAACCTATGGGTGTTTCTTTTGGCGTTCCGAACTGGGTAGAGCCAAGATAAGTACGGGGCAAGAGAATAGTAGCAGGATGATAATAAACGAAGGGAAAAAAACAACAATAACAATATCGGATCGGGTGAGACGGCATAAACTTTCAGACAAACCTGAGGCGCTGTGACTTTTAGGTGAGGCTTGGGCTTTCTAACCTACCCTGTCCCAGGCCAGCGACCAAAGTATGATGCTGAGGTGCCTGATGACGACGGTATCAATGAGGGCAGCTGACGAACGGGAGGAATGCGGAATGCGGGGCTGAGCTCCTTGGGTCCCCGGATGACCCCACGCTCGAGGGGTCTGGTAGCTTCAGCTTATCGCGCCTGACCACTAACGCCCTCGACCACGAGTCGCAGGCTGATTTCTAGCGCTTGGTAGGTGAGGGGCAAAGGGGACTTTCTTACCGCGTAGCTGCTGTCTAGTTCCGTCGATAGCCTTTGTGCGTGGTTATGTCCGAAGATGAGGTGGTTCACCTAAATCATCACCTGGGTAATAAGCGATGTGATTCGGGCTGACGGTCGCTGAAACATTACAGGGTTGTTTGAAGAATGCGTTGCCCGGTGCAAACAGACATCTTTTATACCCAGGATGCGAGTTGTAACTGCTGCTTCTTCATAATGGACAGATGTTCGCAAGCCTGAGTCCAAATCCATGTCCGATTTCATTTTGACAGCCTAGAAGCTATTTCAAAGCTATTACGCAGCCCCATGGCGGAACGAATCTTGGTGCCTATTCGCAATGGTTCCGTGTCCACTGTTGACACATTGTCTTTTGCGACAGGAAGGCTGTAATTGCGATCTCGGATTGAATGAATCCCAATTGCATCTTGATGTAAGCACACTCTGGTTATGGGTAAATTGACACCGTCGCGAGCATGCAAAAACCGTCGCAATCATCAGGAGCATCGTCACCGAGAATTTCCAAGCTTCGAGAAGTATTCTAGGTTGCCCCTAGCAGGAAACGGTGATCTCGGGCACACGGCTCCATTATCACAAGCTCACACTATCAACGAACAAACCTCTGAGCAAGAAAGGTTTTATGACGAACGGTCCAATTTCATGCACATGAAATTTCATGTTTAGCTCTTGAGAAATCTCTTAAGGTTTGCCAAATAGCAATCAAGGCACCTGGTTTGGCAACCTTCCAGGCTTGACGCAACCAGGATATTCGGATATGGATCTACCATCCAACCAGGCCATCTTCTTTTTCCGCTGACGGGAACTGATACTGTGAGTACTGACCATGCCTCAGAATCGATAACATTGAAATTATTCCATCAACGTCAGATTTCTTGTCCTTGAGATCAAAGCTCAAACTCTTGATCCCCATTATGAGCGCGAGTGCGGGAATGGGCAGCGCCCCGAACTCTATGCTTGATGAGTTGGCCGCACAGCATAAACACAAGAAGGAGGCCTAGCACAATGAGTTGGATGCCACTGACGACGAGATCAAATTCTATAATCGCAGCCAGACAACGATAGGTGCCTCTCAGATCTCTTTCCCCTGTGTCTCGAGTGCTAGTGTCCTGCTCCCAGCCGAGGATGTAATGAAGGGAAAAGGCAGCAAGAGTGATGTGAAGAGCTACAGCGGTGGCCAGTCCCATATTCTTGCAGCATTGTCTTGAGCCACTGTCTTCGTCTTGACGCGTCATGTGCGATGTATTGACCTTGAGCAGCTTGCATAACAATAGATAGATGATCCAAAGCAGGGCGCATCCTGCTAGCAGTGCGTTGGCGAGAAAGAAGAGGAGGATACGACTCGAGCGCCTGTATTGCCGGGATGCGTCGGTGGAATCAACGATTGGTAGAGATGGTTGAATAATGTTCTTCATCAACCAGTAGGCGTACGAATTGATGGAGACGTCGATGGCTAACACCATCAGGACAAAGATGACGACAATTACCCGCGAAGTTTTTCCCAATAGACTCTGACGTGCCATGATTTTCGACCACGAGAGGATGGTGCAGAGACAGTGTTCAGTGATTGCAAGCCGAGCTTAGCTTTCAACTTTCTCAAGACATGGAAGCATTGAAGATGGGTGGAATCGCATTGTCTTGGGTATCAAGTCGGTGCTGTGAAATATGCTGACCTTCACACATATCCATGACTGAGGTTTTCAGAACTTATGCCTTCTACATGGGGAAAGAAATGTAAAAGTGTAAGGCAAAAAGATGTTGAATGACTACGTCCATGGCGAGGTTTGTTACTGAGGATTGGAGCGGCAGCCAACATGGTCAACCTATTTCATCGATACCCATGTTGTAAATAGTACCTGCAGATTCTACTAACACGGAAACCACAGAGATTTCCGGAGTGTAATAAAGCCCCCCTCCCTCCTTACCAGTCAAGCAAGCTGTCAGATATGCACAAAGCTCTCCGACACAATTTGCCAACGTTATAACAAGTGCTTCTGTTCCATTCAAGCGTCTCATTCAATACCAACGTTGATATTAGCTATCAAAACACTGATAATTGGGCTCCGAAGGGGAACCTAAGTTCTCCCACAGTGCACTCAGTCTGTTAGATGCCCAAGAGAAATATATACCCACTATTTGTCGACAATTCCGAGCTCACGAGTATACTCGTCCCATTATTGGCTCATTCACGGCAACCAATCGCGATGCGCGTCAAGCATGCATTTGCATCAACCACTCATACAGCATTTCACTGCAGGCCAAGGTTTGACTGCGCCACGGAGGCAGATTGCAAGGCTCTGAGCATTCATACAAACATATCCCCTCCTCAAAACACCGACTCGGAATGTGAATCCCACCCTTCGAATGCCTCGCTCAGTACACCATGGCCGATCCCATATCTTTGGTTGGGACGGCCGTTGGTGTTGCATCGTTTGCTCTTCAATTGTACTTTGGCATTTCCACCTATATCGAAAGGATTCGATGTCGGAAAGAGGATCTCGAGTCGGTCGAACGACGGTTGCAGAGCTTTCGGGTATCAATCACCGCAATCGAGGCGGTTGAGCAGCGACTGCACAATGGCGTGCCCACAATCACCTCCCCGACACCACTTGCCGAGTGCATAGAAGGCTGCAAAGACGAACTTGTCGCCTTGAAAAGCTTTTGGGAAAAGTTCAACGGCCAAGGAATTCGCACTTCTGATTTGAGAGATAGAATCAAAGAAAAGGCCCGGGAGATATCCTATCCGTTTCGTCGGGAGGACCTCTCTCGCCTGGAAGATCGCCTTGGCCAAGCCACTCAAATCTTGAATACAAGTCTACAAGCAATCCATGTGTATGGCTTTTCAAATGTCTTTCTCCTGCTTTCAAATCACTAACAATGTGAGGACAGAGATCTGGAGCTGTCAGAGGCTCAGAGTATTGATCTTATACGCGACGACACCCGAAGCATAGCGACTCGAATTGATCATGTTTCAAATACCTTGGAAATGGTTGGACAAGGTATTGGGGGCGCCTCTGGAAGATTAGATGGCATGTCAACAACATTGGCCTTGCTGTCGCAAAATTATCAAAGCACGCGCGACGCCAGCAGGCGCATAGAACAAGGTGTCGGGGCCCTACAAACCCATTATTCCGCCTTGCAAGAAGTCGTGAAGATGAATTCGGAGGAGCAGATGGCAGAGTTGCGGGAACTCATTCATATGCTGCGCGCATTGCATAGCAACATGCTAGGGCAACAGAACGTTTCGGAAACTCTCGTCAATCCATATCACACAGTATGCGATGGCTCCAAATTTGAAAATTCCGAGGTATCTCAGAGTTCTGGAGTATCGATGAGAATGCAATTGATGCCTCGCTCCAAACCATCTTCACAAGATCGACAACTACGCCAATCCGACTGGGAGCGTGTGCCCTTCTGTACCTGTGCTCATACGCACCCGAAATGGTTTATTTGGAATATATCAAAGTCATTGTGGTTTCAGGGCGATTTCCAGCGTTTCCGCCATCATCAAGCCTGTCCCATGGCAAAGGTACAGCACCTCAGGCATCAAAATAGCTCCCGACTTCGAGTCGAGATGGTCGGAATCATACAGTCATGGAGAACAAGCTTTGCACTTGCTTGCGGCTTTGGAAATGGTATCGAAATTGCCCCTTCCATAGCTTGTGTCAGAGTGGTAGATGACAAGTCTCCTTTGGCATTGGCAAATCACATTATACTACACGCTCGTGTGTGTGGCTCCATTGCGCAAACAAAAGTTTATGAAATCTTGTTTCAAAAGCTGAAGCAGCTCTATAGAGAAGGAAGAGCATCCTTGATGGATGTCCAGAAGAATGGTCTGAGTATCGTGGATTGTTTGGTTCTCGCTTTGAGCATGGTAAGTGGTATCCAAGGAGGTGTTCGAGAAGTGTGACTGACCATGTTGTGTCAAGTGTGTATCTGAAGATGGCATAATGACGCAAGTGGGAACGGTATGCCAGTTTTTGAACTACATATCAGAGTTTGGTGGACGGTTAAAACTTGCTTGCAGGTGGGCCTTATGTATGAAATACTTTGAAAGAAACCCCTCCTGACATTCCACAGGCCGACTTCGTGGGACGTCCTACTCATGGTTCTCTGGCGCCTAGAGAACGGGCGAACGAACGAGAATGCGGACGGCATTGTCGCTTGTCGTCGACTGATGAAAAGCTTCTCAGACGTTGGATGTGATATCGAGGAATCATCCGTTATCCATAAGCAGCAGGGCAGCGGTTGGGGATTGTTCTATGAAGTAACAGCTTTCAGATACACGAGCAATCTTACAGGTAAGCGTCATTTTCTAATTTTCACAGCCATCAACTGACAGAGTCAGAATACATTTCTTCCCCAGTTCAAGCAGCCATTCAGGAGCGGGACTATGAAAAGCTCCAAGAAGCACTTTGCAAGAATCCAGCACACCTAAAGCGCCGCTTGATGCCACTAAATCTCGGGGTCTTGGCCATTTCAATCACTTGGCCACGCGGTCTCAAGCTAATGGTGAATACTTTGAAGGAAAATGACATGGTTGAAGACCAATTATTCGAAATTGCCCAAGCACTGAGCTTTGCCGCACATTGCTACCGCGAACGCCTCCTGTCAGAAGCCGCCACAAAGAGAAACATTGACAAGCCTTGTGAGCATATTGGATGCACCGAGGTTTTGCAACCATTACTGGACCTCGGGATTCCATGCGACTATCACACAAAAGTAGACTACTCGATGCTTTTCTGGGAGTGCGAGTATGGGCAAAAGATGTTGTTAATGAAATTGAAGGCGCAGCGGGATGAACTCAGCCGCCTTGCAAGACAGCATCTCGACCCTGACATTCTCTCAAGCTTTCGAATAACTGAGCATACTGTTCTAGATGCGGAAGCGGGCCATATCTGTCAACAGCTCGAGGCTCACCATGTTCGTATTCCTGGGTTACTTTGTGTTCCTTTAAGTTGGCATTCCGTTTACAAGGAGCTTCGCTGCGAGGCCGCTCCTGTTACTCTTCTCCAAGCCATATGGGATGCTGGTTTTCATGATCTTGGAGCCGACGATATTGTCAGTCATGCCTTGTGTTCAAATCCATCCTGCATGGAATGGTTTCTGGACCATGGTATCAACCTTGAGCACACTCTTGAAACGTCCGAGGGATCTTTCTCAGTTGCTCATCTTTCGGCTGCTGCTATTGCCATGTCACTGCGTTACACTCACAAGGCCAAGCGAAACAACTCTGGGCTTTTCGAATATGTTTCGCGCTTACGAAAAACCGACATGGTTGACAAATGTGGCTGTCATTGCTCGCCTGCCGGGTGCTCGCCATTCAAAATATTACTGCACACAGTACTTGCCTTGAGTGAATTCTCGTGGCCCAGTGAATATTTGTCCCGCGCCGAGACCCTTGGCATCCTGATGAATACTCACATGGGTCAACGGGGTATTTCTGAGGGTGTCCATGTACAAGTAATACGGCTGTTCACCTTTGAAAAGCTCGGATTGTCACATAGCTGTTGCAGCCGCGTCAAAAATGACCGGCGACGGTATCGTTCATCTTACGGCTTGTCTTCTCCACGTGAAGAAGAAGATGCACGAGAAATGATGGAGGAGGACGGGGACCTACTTCGCCAACTAGATGAGCTGATGGTCGAGTTTGAACTGGAGTATACTCGTTCATGTGAAAGCCTACAGGAGTTCCTTGAAGGTTACTGGACACGAAGGATGGACGGTGTTCTGAATGCATTGAGCAAGAGCACCATGAGTGCTCAACAGCGAAGCGCGGCTGAAGACGTAGGTGTCATTTGGGAAACAGGCAAGATTTCCGCGAAAAGATCGACACGAGGCCCAAAGGAAGATTCATCTCTCCTTCGTCTCGGTCAGTTCGAGTACTGGGCAAAGACAATAGATGGATTGTAGAGATGGCGTTAGGAACAGTACCGGTGTGAGAGCTGACGCCTTTTGATATAACACCTCCTTGATTGATGCCTGAATAATCGCATTACAAAAGTCATTCTATGCCGTACTGACGTGCGTTCAAATATAGCAAGTGTCTGATTCCACCTCTGAAGAAACACTTAGATTGCAAATAATACATCCAGATACCTAGTAGTCAGCCAAGTCGTCTCGGCAATACAATACTACTCTGAGTAGACAGAGTCTACCTCAACAATCTTTGACAATCAACGCAGGTCAGCACGTATGTTTCCCGCCACATGGATTCTAGATATCTTCCTCCTTGTAGGAACAGATAGCGCGCTCGGTGCGGTACCGACCATACACATACGCGGGTGCGTCTGCGCGTATGTAGTAACGGTTATCATAATGCTGCGAAAAGGAAGGATCATATTGACAATTCTCTTGGGTACTGATGCGCCACAGTATGGCTGGTTGGTGTGGCACCCTTCGATGTACACTATCTTTAATTTTATTCTTTACTTTGGATACTGGTCGAATAGAGTACTTAGTACCTTGGAACTCTTAGATTCAAGTGGTTGCTGCAGTAGCGCCCAGCTATCAAGCATATCTCAATGATCTTGTTGAAGCCAGCATACCTTGCAAGGAATTCCTTGACAAGCAATCGGGTCTGTCGCCACACATGTGTGGACTTGAGGTGCGTGCTACTGAAAGCGGGAGGCGAGGGAGGTGATTGGTGATTGGCGACTGCCTATGAAGCTTCATGGAGCATCAGCCGTTCATTGTTGCTAATGAACCACCTTAAATGTGCTGTCATTAAGGTATCTATCTACGGACCTGTGCGCGCGGGCAAGCGATTTCGCGCTGGCTGCCCTTTTCACACTCAGCCCTACAGCTCGGTCGCAAGCTAAATCGCGCCGCATCTGATGGGCTTCCGTCATCAGGCAGGGATCGGCATGCCACACGGTACAGATTTTACGGCACAGTACACTCAGTCCTGCCAATAACTTGTTCCATGATATTTATTTTCTTATAAAACGAGACTTAAATGCCTACCTCATTCATTATCTGAAATCCAAAATGTCTGCACAAACCACTCAATCATGTCACCATCGCTATCCCTCTCCCCGGAAGTGGTGTTGGGAATTGCCATCGGCATACCCTCTCTCGTGATGGCCCTGGTCTCACTGTATCTCGGCTATCTCTCCTTCGTCCACACACGACTAACAACACGAGGCTATACGCCAGATCCAATGCCTCTGCTTCCACGGCACAGTGGAGATTTAGAATTGCCAGAATACCCGCACCTCGAAACATCCATACCCGATAGTCCACTACTTTTGCCGACTTTTCCCTCTTCTCAAGCCTGAGTCTTTGTATAACCATAGACAGAGCGAGTAGCTCGGGCACGACCGTATGTACTTCGTATACTCAACTTCGGATCCCCGTTGATTGGACATTCTTTCTAATATGTATAACTTCACAGCAGCCAAGCCATGCGCCATTAGAACGTCTGAGCAACAAAGAGGTGTATAGGAGTGCGAAAGCCGCACTATGTCAGGATCTATGATACAAAACTTCAAGCTTGGCGTTTTCCTCAATGCCCCTTTGGCCTCAATAGACGCAGTTGGGTGTGTGTGTCTTTCGGCGAACAACACATTTGTAGATGATACGACCAGTATCTGAAATAAAGAGTAAAATTAAAGATGGTCTACATCTACGAAAATAATGTGTGAACAAACAGACTTGATCAACCCTTCCCGTTGTGTCACCCGAAGGGTGCCACACAACCAGCCACACTGTGGCGCATCAGTAGAATTGATTTTGCCTCAGGGTCAAATGAATATAGACTTTCTTCTTCTTTTCCCCCTGCCCCCCTTAAGGCATTGCTATACCACTATTTTCTGTATCAACATGTACCCACATATGAACACTTGACAAAAATTGAATCTGGGTCCATATCTAGCTCCCGAGATACTTTATCGAGATAACAGGATTGCCAATTATCATGGTAAAGTCATCTGCAGTCGCTAACTAGGCAGTATTTTGCTATTGCTGGTTGATGGCCCTTTGATGGCTGAGTATTGAACCCCACATCCTACAGGAAAAGGAAGGAATACAACAATCCGATCGGCGCTATCCCTGTGGCCTGATTTGTGCGCGCCCAAGTTGACGCATCTACAATATTCGGTATGAATGCGATGCTATGACTCCCCGTTGGAAGTATGGTTTACTACCATAGCGCTGATGATAAAAGTCAGCAGCCACTCCACCCGGCCAGAGGGTATATACTACATACAGGCTACTAGGCTCCCTGCACACTTGGCAATATCAGGTATTTCATGTCAGCTTGATCCCTTTACTATGAAAGTCGCAGCTGGGTTATTTTTTTTCTGTTCTTTCTTGTCTTTATCTAGCAGCTTTGTGTTGTCGTTGCCAGTAAGACGGGTCGTGGGATTAGCAGACGTGAGCTCTAAAAATTCCACTGGTGGGTGTCCCGCAATTAGGTATAAATAGCGGATAGTCGACCCTTTCACAAGAACAACAATCAGCCGAACCACTAGTCTCCAGGCATTGGTCAGTCAAGTGTTGATAACGTCCCGAAACGAGTCGAGTTCATCTCTGGACAACAAACATGTTTCTCATTCCAATAGTGGCGTACACGGATGCTCCTCAGCCCTATTTCTGTTGCGTGTTTAGGTACATGCCGATGCGGCCTGTCGTCCTAAATCGTTGCTTTTTTTCTTCATGGTCATAGTGATGATATACGGCTGGTATGCTAGCCCCATCAAACAAGGTTCGGGTAACGCATCCGGGTTGACTTGCTCAAGTTTTGCGGCGGATGAAAAAATTAGAGTCACGCGAGAAAAATTAGGAATATCATTAAAGAAAATGCCAACTTTTCTGTCTTGTTAGCCAGCCATATATACTGATTCAATCAACCACCTGGTACTTGACCACATCATTGTTCAGACCTTTTACTTCTGTCTGAATGAAAAGTGGAAACATTACTGGCGCTCTATACTCGCAACGATGTCAGTAACCATCTTCCCAACATTGATCGATTCATGTGATCTTCCTTACTACTCCAGTCTGAGCGCCTTGATCGCTACAGATGAAGCCGTTCAGTCCTTCTGCACTTCAGTGTTCTCCATAACAGCGCCTACAACCACGACAAGTAGGTCGACCAGCTGTATCTCATATGGTGGAAAGCAATAGCTAATATGGCTTCTATAGCCTTCATGGAAGATGCAGCAACCACTATAACCGTTACTGTCATTAACACATCTACCACGACAGCGATTGCAACCACCACGGGTAAGTCTGAAATATTATTTTGCATGCCCATGTACACATTTCACGCACAGAAATTGATCTAAAGCATCTTGTCTTTTTTCAAGTCCCATGTCCCTCTCAATAAGTCTCACGCAAGCTCATGCTTACCGTTCTGATGTATCCCAGATGAAGAAACAGACATTGCGACTGTGACAGAGACCCCTGTTACACAGACAACCACGACAACAACAACATCTACTGAGACAGTGAGACCATTTGTGTTCTTTTCTCTCTCTTCTTTATCCTTTTTTACTTCCCCATGCTGGGTTTATTCACCATGCAGTATTATGGTAAAATATCACAGTCAGCTGTAAAGGTAGCTGATAATCCATTCCCTAAAAACAGTATACCATAACCAACACAGAGACGGAAACGGAGACAAGAACGGATACTACCACGACACCGGGTACACAAACTGTTTGCTTCATGGAATCCCCTACCATGAAAAGGCGAGATAGTCACAGAGCTGGGTGCAAGGGTATTGAGGCCACACGTCCTCTTCTGGGCTATCCCAAGCAAACCTTGCACGGCCTAAGCGGCTGGAATCTCCACAGAGGCCATGATTCAGATGACCTATATCGTGGTAACAGTGAAGCGGGTAGAGGAGGCGAAAACGACAGTCAAAGAAACAACAGTGGCTACAGCTATAGTAGTGGAAAAGATGATGATACAGCTTATCATGACGATGCGAGTCATGGCGATGGTGCGGGCCACAGTCTGCAGAGTAATGGAGGTGGCCACACTGGCCATGATGATTTGGGTGATGGTAGGAATCCAGACTATGAAAGAGGACGAAGAATCGGTCAAGACAGGAGTGGAGTTTCACACGGCAACAGCGATACTGATTTTTCTCGGGCACAAGACACTCAGCAGCACAGCATTGATGGATACATGGCGCAATACGGCTCATTTATCAGTGCTTCTGATGCTATTGGCTCCACCAAATCCACACAAGCGACTTCTTCCACGGGTATTCAAACAAATACGGATAATCCGACCTTTGATTCAAGCACTGCGACCAAGACTACTACACCCAACGAAACAGTTTCTTCTATCAGCACTCAGACAAACACGGATAATCCGACTTTCGAATCAAGCACTGCGACCAAGACTACTACACCCAACGAAACAGTTTCTTCTATCAGCATTCAGACAAACACGGATAATCCGACTTTCGAATCAAGCACTGCGACCAAGACTACTACACCCAACGAAACAGTTTCCTCTATTAGCACTCAGACAAACACGGATGACCCGACTTCCGAGTCAAGCACTGCAATTAAGACTACCGCATCAACAGAAACAGTTTCCTCAATCAGCACTCAGACAAACACGGATGACCCGACTTCCGAGTCAAGCACTACGACCCAGACCAACACGCCATCTCTGGACCTGACCATATGCAGCTGTATTGCAACTACAATCACGGAGACCACAACAGAAACCGGCCCTACTTCAACGAACACTGTGACTAGTACTTCTACCGAGACGGCATCAACCTCTACTGATACGACCACAACCACTGTCTCTAGCACAACAACAGTGACTCCAACAACGACAAGTACTGCTGAAGCCACGGATACTACAAGTACATCAGTAATACTGACGGCGATAATGACAACGACTACGACTACGACCACAACAGCTGCCTTTACCACGACAAGTCTGCAGTCTGGTGCTTACACAGCTCCGGCGCCGGTACGTTTGCTCAACCACCCTAGATCCCAACACGGCATGTTTTCATCAAAGATGGGCGCAGCTTGGCTGTGGGGTCGTGTGAGATTGTGTGATAGATTGTAAAAAGAAAATACACCCATGAATGGTGTAAATGAAGCTGACGTTACTTTTCCTATTTTAGGGCGGGGACGGGTGTGGATGTACATTTCTCATTGTATGTGATGGCCATCCACGAGATACACCCTACTCCCGGACGTACGCCGCGGCGACCAACTACCTCATGTGCATCGACGAATGCAACCACGATATCTTTTGCCAATTGAGTGCTTTTTCCCCTGACGACAAGATATGCTACATCGTTGGCACAACAAACCTCTACCATGTCCCTGAAACCAGTATTCTCAACCTAGCCTACAGGTCATCATGTACAAGCACGCAGCAGATCAATCCCCGATGTACTACTGTTACGTAGGTATGGAGCCGGCTGACTATATGAGGCAAGAAAAGCTGGTGTTATTTGGAATCCGAATGTCTGTAGAAACCACTCAATCATGTCATCATCTCAATTCATCACGTCTGAGTGTCACGAATCAGAGTGAGTGGTCCTAGCACAATCGCATATACTTTGTAAACTCAATTTCGAATCCCAGTTTATGGAACGTTCTATCTGATATGTACAAGTTTACAACAGCCAAGCCATGTGCCATTGTTTGAGCGTCAAGGGGGTGCATGGGAATACGAATAGTGCACTCTATTAGGACCTACGATACTTCTCTCATAGCTTGGCATTTTTCCTCAATGGCCCCGTGGTCTCAATTGATGCATTAGGGAATTGGTACCTTCAAATACGGCGAAAATACTTGTAGAGTTGTTGTGCTTGAGGTTTATGAACAGTGGACAAAAGATGAATCCGAATCTCGAGATAACTGGTTCGAGAATAACAAAAGTCATGTACGATCATCCACTATGAATACAAGCGTCTTCTTCGCACTTTACGGCATTGCGATTGAATTTTGCTGCACGTTTACAACAAGCCATTATTAAAACAATACCAATCAGCTGCACAAGCCAGGCAAGAAGATATGTGTGTTTGCAGTGTATGCTATCGCATATTGATCGGCTCGAGTTGATAGAATTGATACGCGGGTTATACTGGACTGCGGATGAGCGATGATGTGCTTGCGAAACGCGCCCATCGACGAGCGCCACATTACTCACTATGCAGCTAGCTGCCGCAAATAGTTGTATACTGGTGCCTAGGGAGGTATTAAGGCTCTACGTGGGATTCAAGGCAACGTATTTCCCAAATCTTGCATTCGCAAGAATAAATCAAGTCTATTATTAGCAGGAATTGACTTGATCTATTGGTACCTAGCAGCTTGCAAAAGGCAGCCTGGAGCATCGAAAAGCCCCACCGGACAGTTTTCTTGGGCGTTTGACTGTATTGAAACCCATGTAGAACCAAATGATTTTCCATATTCAAGGATATTATGAGTTGAAATCTTGTCGCTGAAGCCTCAGACATTTGCGGCGTTGACATTGGAGTATGATCAAAGATCGCGTGCGAGTGTCACATGGACCACTTACACTAGATCGGTGGTTGACTCCAAAAATGCGAGGTGCCATCCGTATTCGTACAGAACCCCGCGGCGGCTTTGCTGAAACGCGGAAGGGCCAACCGATGATGCCTGGAACGACCAGGTCATAGATAATACAATCATTCCCATCTGTCCTTTGCCAACCCTGGTTTCGGCGTCCATGATTTCATCTCTTTCCTGGAATTTCACAACAACACCTAGCGTTAGATAGACCTGCACCCTCATCTCCCAAAGTAAATCATGGCGACAGAAACATCATCACCACACCCGCAGTCGGACCTCTCGACTCGGTTGTATAATGGTTTCTCTATATACGCCATACAAGGCATAATTTCGCCCATCCGGTGGTTTAGAGGCTGGAACGAATGGATGTGGCCCACCGGCGTGGCGCCAAATTTCATCAAGACCTATGAATGTCGACCATATTTACCAACTCGGTGAGCATTCATGTCGCCCTGATGTCTGCTGTGCAAGATCTTGCTAAAATCATGGAGCATCTTCTTTCCCAAGGATTACGATCAGACTTCTCCAGAAAACTTGCCTTTGCTTTTCAGTATCCATGGCGGCGGGTTCTGCATTGGTGGGCCAGAGGATGACGACCGTCTGAATAGGCGCTTTGCCGATGAGTACAAATTTCTGGTGGTTGAGCTCAACTATCGAAAGGCACCTTGGTATCCCTTTCCTACAGCAGTGTACGACCTGGAGGCTCTGATGCTCGCGGTTATCGCCGATGAGAGTCTGCCCATTGACAAGTCCCGCGTGGCCATCACCGGCTATTCGGCGGGTGGCAATCTCACCCTCAGCGTGGCCCAGTTGCCAAGTATCCGCGAGCAGGTCAAGCCCTCGGCGTTGCTCCCCGTGTACGCGGCCACGGACATGGAGGTTCCGACCAGCGAACGCCTGAAGAGGCGCTACTACAAGCCCGAACTACGACCCAGTGCTCGAGGTTTGCCGACTGATTTCCTAGCCACAATGTCACCAATTTTCAAATGGAGCTACGTCAACCCAGGACAGGACCTAAAGGATCCTCTGCTGTCGCCAATTCACGCAGCACGCGAGACGCTCCCGCCAAATATCTATGTAGTGGCGGCTGAACTGGACCAGCTGGGTCACGAGAACTGGCGACTGGCCTGCAAGCTGGCCGGTCGCTCTGAACCTACCCCCGACAACACCGTCGGACAGAAACTTCCGGCAAAACAGGAGGGGACCCTCATTTTGGATGACGAGCGCTTTGCATGGCAGCAAGATGGACCAGACGGCAGCATACGGTGGCTGCTTATACCTGACCAGATCCACGGCTTTGATCATATGCCTCCCAGGTGGTTTAAACACCTTCCTTCGTGGGAGGACGCGCAGACCAAGACGGAGCAGTATCAAAAGTTGCTGGCAGAGTGGCTTCACCAGGTTGTCTGGAAGAACTCGGGAGCCAGATCAGAATAGTGTCAACTGGTTTGTAACGTCTTCGAGTCCCGTTATCCACGTACTTGGCAATCGCGGGGATGTTGTGGGAGGGAAGTGTTGCACTGGTGGTGCTGATTATCCGTGTACACCGAGTCGAAGTCGCAAGACGGGAGCAGTTTGGGCCTTCTGAGCTTTTATTTGGTAACAAGCAGCTGCAACTATTCAGGTTTCTCTCTAAACATGTCTGTGCTCGAAAGATATGTCGCAGTGCCCAATGCCACGGCCGTTGGTCTCATTTTTACGAGTGATGTTTCTTCCAGTGCGGGTCTCAATTGTTTCCCCGTTATAATCAAGTTGCTAATCTGATCTTGTCTTGGTATGCGATGACTTTTCCTGGAATCCATTGGCGCTCGACTCATGAGATGCTCGATGTGGATGAGATAATGGGATTAGGTTAGCTAATATGTATACTCTATGGGATTCCTTTGTTCTCCGCAAGGAATGCGTTTGATTATGGTTGACACGAGAGAGATGGTTGGATAGGTGTAGCTCCCAGCGTCGCTGGCACTGAGAGGCAATGGGCCAAGGCGCCAGGGCTCAAGGCGCACTGGAACCTTGAGAGGACGGACCGAAGCGAGGGGGGTCCCTTGTCAACCAGGAGACCCTGATCAAGTTGGACTGTTACAGTGGGCATCCCCAGCCACTGGTTTGACTGGTTGGGCAAATAGTCAATCAGAAATGATTATCGTGTTGCTTCATCTGAGTGACCAGTCAGCTGAGAAATCCTCTCAGGTGGGCATTCATTGTGTGTTGTCAGATTGATTTTGTGCTGCCTTTATGAATGCACAATGGCTTGAAAGGAGGCCAATGAGTTGACAGGCGTGCATATTGTTGGAGGTCATTGTGACTGCACATGTGTTTTTTTTTTGTTGGGTCACTGAATAACCAAGCATAGGGAGCCATGCCGACGTCATCACGCGTCCCGTCTTTTAAGCTCCCGACAGCCACGAGATCGGCCCCGCAATGGATCGTGGTGGCATTGGTCCGTGAGTAACCTGTCACTGGAAGCCCAAGAATGAGGATAGATCTGAAAAGACAAAGAAAGAGACAAGGAATATTCTTTGCCGTTGTCTAGAAAAGTCTTTGGCATGTCACCATGTGCTTCCGCAACACCAAACGAGCCCGTAGGGTTGCAAGAAAGCAATGACTTTCAGCGCCCAATACTAATAGTAAGCAGATGGATTGCTACTAATCCGGTAGCTAATGTGATGATCTCGCTGCCCATGGGGATGGGATCTGGAGCAGAAAAACATGTGCCTTGACAGTATACTAAAAAGTAAATTGTCGATCACCAAGATGAGAGCGTTGCGCAAACTTTGCCGGTGCTTTCTAGGACCCGAGTACGGCAGTAGTATATCCATGGCTGTTCAGAGCCCAAGGAGTGCCCAACGCAGGGAAAGCCCCAGATCGCCACGCGCAATGCGAAATTGGATTTCAGTGTCGAGTTAGTGCGCTACTCTCACCAGCATCGTCGCCCCATCCACAGGAACCATCTAGATCATGTCTCCTGCCATATTGACAGCCAGCAATGCTCGTTATCGACTCGGGTACCCTACTATCGCGCTGCCATTAATGCTTCGACTGGTTTACAGACTGCCTAGGTACCTACCTAGCCCATGCATCTGGGAGGGGGTTCGGGAGCCAAACCAAAGGTTGCTTCGCTCGTCCACTTGGTCTCTTTTCATTTCCGGTATCGAACAAGACAAGAACCAAATGGATGGGGTATTCCTCATTAGCCAGCCTCCCGATATATTGACAATTGAAAACTTTTCTTTACAATTGACTTTTGTTTGATTTCTTCAACTGTCTGTCATTGTGAAAATAATTCTCAGTCTGCCTCGACTCAACGTACATCAGAAGGGTGTTACAGTACCTACCTACCTACCTCGTGCTTCCAGAACCAAGCAGTCCGAGGTCACACGCAGTAGGCGCGGGGTGCGAAAGTCTAAAAAACCTGGAACGTTCGGTACGCTGGATTCTAGATTCTGCCGTTGCGCCCCTCCAATCCGATTCCACCTCTCGACGCTCAGCCGGAAGAACAACGCATCCCCTTGACACAACCCGTGAATCGACTCGGGGCATTGCATTGATTTGTGTTGAACCTCGAGGCCACTCAAAACCACTCACGAGTCTCTTGCTGCCTTCTTGCCGTGCTACATCCCAAGGGGTCATCTCTTTCATTAGCACAGACTTGGTGGTATCACTGCTGCGCCCGTCGGCACAGTTAGACAACCCCGGCTCCAGCACCTGGTCTACCTAAGGCACTGCCTGCTTCATTAGTCGGGCCACTCCACCCATCCAACATACGCTATCAGCGCCAACCAAACAGAACTGGAGACACAACCATCTGGCATTCGAGCCCATACATTACTTCTACTTTACCCCTCTGTCGTCATAGCCGCTATTTCGACCGCTCTACATCCAACTCAATCCTTCCCTCCGTCTTCCTTGGCCGGCAGTTTCACTCTACCACATTCAGCATAATCCTTCCGGCAGTTGACTATATACTCTTTCTTCTTATTCATCTACACTTATATACCCAAACTATATAGGCCGTATTCCATTTGCGTAACCGTTCTTGTCGCAACATGGCATATCGTGCTTCCACAAGCGACTTTGTCCGGGGCGGCGATCGGTGGGACCGCGACCGGTTCACCTATGAGCGGGACCGATACGGCGACGAGAGGGAGCGTTTCGAGGAGCGCGATCGTACCGTGGTCCGTGGTCCTGGTGGACGATCTCGAGAGACGGATTTTGACGAGAGATATGAACGTCGCACCTCGCGGCCGTACGACGACGACCATGTTCGTGACAGGCGGTACTACGACGACGACTACCGGTCTCGTCGCTCTTCCCCTCCGCCCGAGGTTGAGCGCAAGGTCTTTGTCGAAAGGGAGCGCGAGTATCGTAGTCCATCCCCCCCTCGACGACCGGCTACTCTATTGAGACGCCAGTCGTCGCTCGATACTTTTGATCGACGCCCGCTTCCAAAGTTCTACGAGAGGGACGAGTACGGCCCACCCGCCCGCCGTGGAGACCACCGCCCCGAGTATCGCCCGGAGCCCTATCAGCCAATCCCACTTCCCCGATCGAGGGCCCTTCCCCCTCCCCGAGTCTATGCAGAGCGTGATCTCGACGAAATTAGGATTGCCGAGCCTGAGAGGTATGGCGACGAAGAGTTTCACTCGTACCCAGAGCGTGTTCGTGAGAAGGAGGTGACCCGCACCCGTCGCCGGAGAGACCGCAGCGGTTCTACATCCAGCCATACGACCCGCAGGAGCCACAAGAGCCGTCATACTCATCACAGTAGCCACCGGAGCAGCTCCAGATCATCTTCTACCAGCAGGTCCAGCAGCAGTAGCGGTACCACTGTGACAGTCAAGAGCGAGTATCCCAAGAAGGGCAAGACGAGAATTCCTGGACGACTTGTCTCAAAGCGCGCTCTGATCGATCTGGGCTATCCTTTCGAGGAGGAGGTAAGTTCATCTCAAGCGACCCCCGATAATGATTCGTTGCTAACGTAAAACTAGGGCAACACCGTCATTGTTCAAAAGGCACTGGGCCAGGAGAATATTGATGATTTACTAAAGCTTAGCGAGGACTATAAAAAGTCGGAGCTAGAAGTTCTTGCTGCACGATCTGAAGCTGGCAACTTGGTTGAAGAACGCCGGACGGAAATTATCGCTGTACCTCCACCACCGCCACCAGCATCCGTACCAGTCTATGTTCCACCTACGCCGGCCCCAGCTCCAGCACCAGTCTATGTTCCTGCACCCGCGCCGCCGCCGCCGCCTCCCGCCGAGGTGTTTGAGGAGACAACACGGGTAGTACGCGAAGCATCTCCTGTGCGCAGTTATCGGAGCTATTCTACTTCTGCTTCATCGCGGACGCCCATTGTCTATGAAGCGGCACCACGAGAGTATAGCGACGAGGTTGCTGTAGGACCTCTTGCTATTGTTGGCGACCGGAGGCGAGAAAGGGATATCAAGGCGGAAATCAGAGCACTGGAGGCTGAGAGAGAACTCATCCGCCGGGAGAAGCACCACCACCACCATCACCATCATCACAGCCACAGCCCCGGACGTGAGCTTGTACGAGCTGAGCGATTGAGCACGGGCGAGCTTGTGCTCTATGAAGAAACCGTGGAAAAGGTGGAGGAGCCGCGGCGCGGGGTGCGCATTGAAAAGGACAAGAAAGGTAGGATGTCCATCAGCGTACCGAAGTATCGATAGGTGAAGGTGCGCACACCGATTTGAGTCTTTGGGACCGTTGACTGACATCTCCAACCAGGTCCGCCTCCGGGTATCATGAAAGCAATGCTTGCGACCTTGACTTAGCAAATTCATCTGGCGCAACATGTGTTTTGAATAGGATGTTTGGGATGTAATGATTTCATACGAGACAACAGGGATATATACCGATAGAGCCATCTGCAGTGCAGCACGGAAATGAAAGAGCCACAAGCTCAGGCGTTTGAATTTTTAAGGATCTGCTCTTGCAATTTCCCCCCAATGTATCAAGACGACAATTCATTCGCGGGAAACCATGCAGCAGCACTGAGCAAGGACTTGTCGCAAAAAGATACATGTAACAGCATTTGGCGCTGGGATGATGCTTTTGAACCGGCGCAAAGGTCGGCTCCGAGGTGGCTCTGGATACGACTTTATGACCATTTCTTTTCATATAAATAAGAGGGTTTATATTTGAATCATGTATCATAATCATGTCCCCTGAAACTTGCCTGGTTGGCGACACTTAAATAAAATGTAAAAGACAAAATTTGCAAAAGGCATATACTACTATTATATTACGAATGCTAGAGTATATCAAGTTCGTTTTACATTGGCATCCCTATTGTTGAAAAGAACGGAGACGGTCAAAAACTCCTGTCTCTTTCAAATATCAAGAGTTGATAGGAGTAGGAGCGGGAAACCAGACAGACTGAGCTGAGTCTGGGTTAAGTGCACCGCCGTCGGCATAGTGAAAGGCAGCTGGGACGATATTCTCAATATAGGTGCTGTTGATACCGTAGGACATCCAAGCAAACAGGCCATCGGCAATCGAATCGCCCAACAGGGTATATTCGAAAAAGGGGTCGATATCGGCCGCCTCGGTAGCTAGGATACTGTCTTCGGCATTGGTGGTCAGCGTCTGGGTGTTGGTACTGTACGGCGCGTTGGCCTCAACGGCGGCAATGAGCGTCTGGTCAAAGAAGCCCTGGCCAACGTGGCTCGTCTGGATGTGATTGTTGCCCAGCGTCCCGTTGGGGAACAAGGTGGCGTTTTGGTGAATAAAGGTGTGAATATGGGTGGCGCGTCCCGTGTAGTGGCCCGGGAAGATGGTGCTGAACTCGGCCACGCCGTCGGCGTCGGTCTGGGTGATGCCGCGCAGCCAGGTCGTGTTGATGTTGGCCGTGTCGTTGGTGTCGCCGTTGCCGTCGGCAATGATGCCCGAGTAGACGCCCGTCGAGTTGCAGTGCCAGATCTCGAGCCACAAGTCGGGGTGCGGCTCGCACGTGTTCACGTCAATGACTTGGAGGTCCAGGTACAGGTCGATACCCGCTTGGTCTTCGGTAATGTCGCTGCGGATGAGCTCGCCGCCAACATCTGCAGAACGGTGTTAGTCACTCAATCATGGTGCATTATATACGCTGGGGGTACTTGCAGTACGGCCCTTGTGTGACCTGGGGCATCATGATACAAGCAGAGTCCTGCCCAAATAGAGTTGCGGCATCAGTGTTGGGTGTGTAACCAAGGCTCGTCTCGTTGTGCGAGGCGGCCAAGACCGAGTCGAGGTCGCGCTTCTTCAAGCCTCGACGGTTACGAATCTCCTGAACACGAGCAGCCCGGCGGGCAGCGTTGGTAGAGTCCAGACCCCGGCTCTTGAGCTTATTTGCGCAGTGGCTGAGGTCGGCACTCTTGAGGCCAGAGCTTTTGAGAAACTCCTTGCGTTCGGCCAGCTCCTGGGCAATGCTGTGGCTCCCGTGGGCAGAGACCATACTGGCCATAGCCGACAGGCTAAAGAGGATTGACGAAGAAATGTGCATTTTGACTTTGTCCAAGGCGGATTTCGAAAAGTTGAACAATATTTGAAGTGCCTAGAGGGGATTTGACGTAGTGCTCCATACAATTTCAGACTGGAATCAATACAATCCAGCTCGTCTTATATGCATCTCGACAATCCCCCTTCTCCTGATGCCGCAAGGGTGCATATTCATCATTCTCTCGGTCAGTACTACGTAGTATAAGCAAAACCAAGATAAGACTTGACCATTGTCCAAGTATACGATCCACCATTCTTTGTAGTGGATATTCACTTTCCAAATGAGTCAACAGTGCCCGTCCATGGCGACGTGCCATGAGAAATCGAACACATCTGAGTCGTCGGCGATGCCAAGCACTGGAGTCGAGCGGACTTGAATACCGTTGTATCCACGACAATGGAGCCCTCCGTGGAGACGCTCTCCGGCCCTTTTACCTGGCCCCCAGGCCGGAGCCGCAATCTTGGCAAGTACCTAGGTAGTCAGTAGATTCTCTCATGATCATATTTCTGCCCACTCTCGGGTACTGGATACCAGAGGGTGCCGAGAAGAGCCAGGCCTTGAGTGATTCCGCCTTGATGCTTGATTGCTTTGCTCCTTGATCCATCAGACCCGCACTCTTATCTTCAATTCTGCGGCAGCCGTTCCGCCGCACAGATCGCGAGTGGATATTCTCGAATATGAAAGTTTCGGCAAGTCATGCCGTTTGGACTAACAGAGGGCAAGTAGCTGTGCTACGTCTCTTGGAGGAATGTGAATCGTGGGATGTTGTTGGCAAGAAGAGGCAATCTAAGACAAAGCAAGTGTCTATTTGCTCTATGGAACTCACTGATTTTAGTATTGTTGTTGATATTCCCTTCCTCTTGAATACCAGTCAGGATGCAAAACATCCTTTAAGCTTATTCACACCAGTGTGACGTGGATCGACATTTCATAATAGTATGGTGTTTCCTAACTTCTGCACGGTCCAATCCCGGGAGAACAACTCCACCCCCACCACCCGAACGAAATGCGGATACCTTTTACGGTATACTGTGTAGAAATCATCCAGGGGCAAGGAGATATGCATTGTGAATAAGCAAACCTATTGAGATCATCATTGACGCTTTTCAAGGCGGACCGGTGTGATTTGACTGGGCAGCTACTTGGCCACAGACGTAAGAGTTTGAGGTTCCGGCCACAGCATATTCTTACCGACGACGCTGTATAATCCGTCTTCCGTGCAGTCACGGGAGTATAGTTTCCAGATCCAGATAATCTATACTCTGGAGATTCCCAGTTTCTAGCTACTCTCATTGGTGCTCTCAGTTCTGAAGCAAGAATCGATACGGGAGGGATCTGCCCAACCAGAGCCACCTGAATCAAGGCTTACTAATGCCAAAGCAGACATTTCAGGGCGACCCATAGGCCACCTCCACTGTCCGGTCTTGTTCCCCGGCAGGATTCCGCAAGTCTAAATCTATGCTTCTCGGAAATTACAGTTCAAAAACCCACAAGACTTTCCACACGATCATACATAGTAAGGCGGCTCAAAGCTTTGGAGCCAATATATCCACCTGGTTGATGAGATCGGGGTTGTGATTCACCGACCGACTCTGTTCTCGTATGAAGTTTACTCCGGGCTTCGACTAGAATCAACGAGACACGGTCCTGAAATCGCAAGGTGACTCAACACTGTTTTGTACGCAGTGTATATACCAAAGAACAACATGTGCCGCCTGGTAGAGTACAAAAGATCTAATCTTTGAAATTTTGTTGAATATGAAAATCATGATTTGTGTCAATGTAATGATTTCAACCAAACTAATCTATCATCATAATAACGTGGCCACATGCCAGCCGACCTTTTTGAACAAAGGAAACTCTCCAACAATATGATTACCAAAACGCCTGAATCTTGATCAAAAGACTTTGTGCAAAAAATATGAAAAGGCACCTATCTACTTCCACTCCCGTCTTTAGTGATGACTCCCTGCTCACAGCCGGGTGACAGCGGGCGACCACTTGACATTGACGCTCGTAGTTGACGAAGCGACCGAGCCGTCCTTGCCGATACCCATTTCGCCACCGACATTGCGCTTAACAGCCTCCAATAGGGCGTCACGATCTTCATTAACCTTGATAATAGCCGCGCGGGCACCGGCCCAGGCCTTGCGTTTTCCGGTATCAAAGAGACGAAGCAGATGGGGAGTGTAGACACCGTTGGCGCACATGTTGTAAAACTTGCGGTCTTTCCACCAGAAACTCCAAGCAGCACTACTCCAGCCAAGGTTCTCGTACAGACCGGTACCTGCGCACTCATGAACCCACTTGAGCCAGAGATGGGGCTTGAGCTTTCCCTTGTAGTGACTGGTAAACTTTTGGCGGCCATGCGTGAGCCAGGGCTGGTATTCATAGATCCACTGCCACATGGTCTGCGTATCTGGAAGAGAAGACTTGCCGGCCCAGATTTGGGCAACGGCCATGGCCGTAAGATCTCTCATTGTTCCACCGCTCTCGGGGACCATGGGGTAGCACAAACAGGCAATAGAGTCGGGGTATTCTGGCGGAAAGACGTTCTGGTACAGATTGGGCAGCGGGAACTTGGGGTCGATAATGGTCCAGGTCAGAGCGTCGTTGAGAACACCAAAGTCATTTTCATATCCGGTACCGAGAACAATGGCATCCACGTCATCAAGGAGTTGACCATTCTCAAGTTGAACCATCTTTGGACCAATGATGGCTTTGACCGCGGCGACTGGCTCAATCTTCTTGGCACGGCACAGGGGTATAATATCGTCACTGATGACGGGCGTGGAGTAGTCCTCACAGCCAGGAGAAGGCTCAAAGCCCCAGGCGGGATCCTGAGGGCCCCAGGCCGCCGCAACCATCTTGCTAAGGGCCCAATCGGTTAACTTGGCATAAGTCTTTGGAACATACTCGCTTAGCCAAAAGGCAAGTCTTGTAGCCGACCATGAAGAAGAAAAGTCTAGAGGTTTGCCCTCATTGTTGATACGAGGCAGAATCTTGGCACCTCGGCGATGGGACAGGTACGTCTTGGCTGTCTGAGAAGTAAGGTCTGAGGCAATGTCAGCGGCGGTATTTCCAAGACCCAGAACAATGACATTCTGGTCCTGGAACTCTTCGGCGTTGTTGTAGGCAATGGAATGAAGGATACGCCCTTCGAAACGCGCCTGGCCCTGGATCTTGGGCATCTTGGGCACAGTATCACACCCCGTGGCCCAAACAATCTTGTCAAATTCGCGAGGATATTCTTCGTCTTTGAAACTGAGAAGCCATTTGGTGTCGAGTTGGTTCCTCCTCACAGACGTGGCCGTCTTGTTGAACTCAATGTATGCCTCGAGGCCAGTGTCCCGGACATAGGACTGCCAGTATTTTCCCCAGATAGGGGCCGTGACGTGAAGAGGAAAGTCTGCATTCATATTGGGTGAGTTCCAGTTGGTCTTTGGATAGAGGAACTTGAGAGGCTTACCATCCGGAACCGGATAATCAGCAATCGGACAAGAAAACTTGCTAGTCTGATATTTTGTGCAGTGGATTGTAGAGACATGGTCGGGGTCCTCAGATAGCGTCCAGACACCACCTACATTTGGCCGTCTCTCAAACGCTGTAACATCGAAGCCTTCATCCAAAAGGTTTTTGAGTGCTGATACTCCGGCCGGGCCTGAAGAATTGATTAGATGACAAGAAATGTTGACCTGTCTGGTGATACTCACCTGTGCCGACAACGGCAATTGTGGCCGGTTTCGAGCTCATGGTTGCTACCAAGCTTTATATACAACGTTTTGGATTGAATTCCAACGTAGCTGGTTGACGCTCTAATATGCTACCTGCTCAAGACGAGAAGGAGAATGGAAGAAGTTGATGATGGTTGGTATGATGTTATGATCTCATAGAAAAAGCACTCTGAAACAAAAAGGCAGGAGCAGACTTAAATAATACCTGTGTTGTTTGGTAGGACTTTCTTGCATCGTAGAACATTTACGGAAATAAAATAAGGTGAGGCTTTCCACGATGTGCAAGGTCCTACGCTCGGCAGTGCTTCCCGCGCCATACCCGCAAGTTCTTGTTTCAAAGTTCATGATAATTACTGTGAGCACGGTAGATGGTAGCTCGATACTGCAAGAGAACAAAGCCAAGAGTTGGGTGATCGGCAATCCGACTCAGACGAGTGACGGTAGTTACTATGACCGTGGTCGTATAGAAGATGCTCGGAAGAGTTACTAAATATAACGGGCGGTTTTAGCAGAGTGCACATGTGCCGCTTGGGGCGTAAATATGGTAGTAGTAAGCACAAGGCCCTAGCCATTTGAAATGGTCGCTGTAGCCAAGGAACAAGCACTGAAAATAAGCTAATGGGCGGGTAACGGAGCATTTGACGCCCCTAAGGCCAGGTACCGAGGTACCCCTGCGCTGGGCACCTTGATCGGGGTTCAAGTCAGCCGCGATCCGAGAATGAGAACATATCATTTTTCCAACGTTTATTAGATCCACGACAGACCATTACAAGCTCAAATTAACTCCTCAGACTTTCCCTTGGGGCATTTGAAGGTAGGCTTGATACATGGGCACGTTCCTGGCGCATCAGGCAAGGGACAGCAATGAGATGGAGCTACACTGGCCAGACTGCCTCTATCCGTGCGGCCAAGATGAGTTGCTTTCTTTTCATGTGCTGGCTTTTGAGTAGCTGCTCTGTGAAAAGCAATACCTATCCTGAATCAATTGTTGATCATGGAGTGATGGCTAGATTCTCCTTGCATGGCTTAATAAGACCTCAAGCAAACTATTGTTCCCTTTATCTTTCGGGGTAACTGAAATGGAGGGGATGTTTCAATCGCGCCGGTGCAAAAGCAAGGATAGTACCAAGCTGTGGCAGTCCCTCCTCCACGGGAAGCTACGGGCAAACGAGCTGGGGGTTATCCGCCGGCATTTGCACTAAACCTGGGGGGGCTATCAAGGACGCAGGGCTTGTTGTTGTGCTGCTACATTAAATAATACTGTGACGGCCACATCTGTGAAAAGGTATTTTATCGAGAACTTCTCGTACAAACGAGATCTCGTGTGCCTCAATTTTTCACCATGAGGGCCAAAATCTCAGTTCTCACCAGCCGGTCGGGCGGCCGTTACAGAAAACCGGCCTATCGGCATCTTGATCGGGACGCCGAGGTATCCCGCGCGACTACATTCAGGCCACAGTTTAAAGATGAGACTCCCGAGAGCCACTTCCCACTACAGACGGTCGTTCGCCTCGACCAGCCTCGCTTCATCAATCGATACGACAGCAGAGAGATACTGATTGTCGTGGACGGAAGCTGCTGGAATAACGGGCACTCGGTCTTCCCAGACTTGCCCGCTGCCGGTGGCTGCTCCTTTGTCTTCAAGGGCGGCCGCGGCGGAGCTATCGCCACTTACCCATTTCTACAGGATGGCAGCGAGCCGGGTGGAACCGTTGGCTTTCCGCTCGAGATCGAGGGCCCGGACGGAGTCTTTTACGATCCCACCAGCAATGCTGCCAAGTTGCGCGCCGTAATTGCTGCTTTGGAGTTTCGTCCCTGGCATCTGGAAGGCTGGCGTAAAATTGTCATAGCCACTGACCTGGCCTATGTTGCCAATGGCGCAACCGAGTGGCTCCCCAGATGGGTCGCCAGAGGCTGGCGCAAAGGTCGCGGACGGGGTGGACTCGCCAACCGATCTCTGTGGGAGAAATTACATGGGGTGATCAGCAACCTCAAGAGTCACGGGACTGAGGTTTCTTTTTGGCTCATCACACGCAATAACCCAGCTAGCCATTCTGGCGTCGTTCGGGAGGCCAAGAGTGCAGCCCGGGAAGCTGCCTCGCAAGTGGGATTCAACTATGAATGGACCAGGCTAGCTGGAATCAATGTGTAGTCTTGATCATGCATCAGTAATGGCCGGAAACCTTCACCAAGCTTGCCAGACTTTCGCCTTCAATACTGAAACTTTACACGTATTGCTTATTGAACTTGTCGGCCTTGTTCATCAACGCCAACAAATCCTTCACTAACACGTGTGGCATGAAATGTCGACACAATATAATCAGCGCGGTACTTGACGACACTGCACCAAGAAGATGGCCATTTCTCCAATACCGCTTGTCACATCTGCAATCTTGCACCAATTCTGCTCAACATTGGCTACCGGTGATTAGCATTGAATCTGTGGAAAGAAAACTGGGGGAAATCCAAGGACAGAATAGTTGGTTTCCTAGTTCTTATCATATGGTCTGAGACGGGAAAATATCGCACACTTGATGAGAAACAATCTATCATTCGAAGCTGAGAGCGGCGGATAGTTTGACATTTTAAACCCATTTCTGCCAAGCCAATGTTCATCTTTGTACCAAGATCAACCAATGAGTAGTTAAGTTGCTGACCGACTGCAAATAGTCTATGATTGGTGGACCATGTGGCGGGGCGAGTGTAGTAATGCTGGATTTAGTAAAAGTAAGCCCGCCAAAATCTCTTGCCAGCAAGTGTAGGATAATGTCCACGCGCAACTACGAAACGGCACGTCGGTCGAAACATCATGTTTAGCCTGTGATTTCTTTAGCGCTTTGGTGGTATTTCAACATCATATCCATCTCACCAGTGCAAAGGCCTTGGGAATCAAGGCGCAGCTTCCCAGCAGACACAAACTGTCCGTGAACCATTTCCGTTGGGTCTCGTCGAGACACGAGGCTCTTGAAGCACAGTACAGTGGAAACAAAAGCATAGCAGCTCTTACAAAAAACTCCATTGTATTTTGTGAGTGCTGTCCTCTTTCAGCAAAAAGTGTGCTGATGTGAGCTTCAATCGTGGAGCGAATGCCTTTGGCCGCGTCTTCGATAGCGGAACGCAAGTTTAGAAACTCTTTAGTGTTATGGTATCCATCATTGGGGTGGAGAAAATCGCCGCTCCACAGCAGAAAGCTGGCGGTCATGATTTGTAAAGTTCTATACTCGTTTAGGCGAATTGCAGAAATATCTGTACCCTACGTCAGTGCTGAAATCCATTTTCAACATTTGCTTAGTATACAGTTTTACCTTTGAGCACATCAGCCCCAATGTCATGAAGCATTTCAACTGTGGGTACGTTTTTCCTCTTGGAGATCATGGTCGGAAACAATTCCAGATCCAGATATATCTTCTTTATTGAAACCCGAATCTTTTGCACATCAATCTTTCGAGGCCGCTCAGGAAAGCCATCAAAGAGACTTGTCGTATCAGGAAGGATCTTTCGGAGCCGGAGCTTGGTAACATCCAGCAGTCGACATGCCACCTCTGGATCTCCTACAGCAGCCACTGCCGACAAGTTGTTGTTGATATCACTGTCCGACTCGATCAACTTGACGGCTCTGTGAAGATGTAGTGTCGAACTCGAAACAGGCGATCGTGACACAAGACTGAGTAGTCCGTCGAGGTGCGTCTGCCATGTCTTGTCGTTTGGATCGAGATTCACAATCATCTGTTGCATGTCTTGAGCCGAAAGTCATTTTCATGGTTTCCAAGGACTGCTATACCTCATATAGTGCAAACAACAGCACGGGAAAAAATATTGAATCCGAGGACGAGCTGGACGCTAGAGCCTTTCTCAGTTGTCGTGTCGCCTGGCCGTACTGAGCCAAAAGTGTTCTTCGTTCTTCCAAAGTCTGTGTTTGGCGACGCAGGGCAATAAAGCCGTTGTTGACGACTTCAAATACAGACCCCGATGCGATGTCGAGCTCATCTGCCGTCAAAGTGCTCTGGCGCTGGGCAATAACGGCACCAGGCGAGCGGGAACGGGTGTTGGCGACCATGAGGTCAAGCGCTGGGGAAGCAAGGGCAAACGAATGAAGGATTTGTGAGAAACAATCAGACCTGGGCTGAAGAAGGCCTACTTGAGCATTACCCGGCACAATTACCAAACTATCGATCCCGTCGCGCTGCTCCTTGGTTGCGGCATAGCCTAGACAAATCCTATTTGACTTGACGCAGCGCTGGCAAACCGGTCGGGTCGTGTCACATCGGATCCGCCTGCGCTTACAAGTTGTACACCCCTTGCTCGCATGACCAGTATTGACCATGCTGCCTTGATTAGAGGCAAAAGAAGAAAGTGTAGCTGCCACAGATTCCAAGTCAGAGAAGTCAAGTGGGAGATCAGTATCGCGATTTTGATGTCGAGTTGATTATCAGCCTCTATTTCTTGGACCATGGGCAATGAAAGGTTGACTCGTCTGCCAAGTAAAGCGCCGACGCTAGCATTCTCGCAAAGCTACTGCACGAGCGCGGCGTCGGTCTGCAATGCAAGCTTACCCTGTACCTTGATGTAGTCATCACCTACAGGGTCATTCGGCTCCTACCGATCCAATGGCAGTGGGCTCTGGTTGATTCTGATTCTACTCATAGTCATTATATAATCGCACAAAGGCTGTCATGATGATATATCATTTCTTGGGATCTTGCGCTAGTGTTTTCGCATCAAGAATTTCAATGTCATGATTTCGGGAAAAGAACGACGCTAGTGAATTCGCAACAACATGCCGCTACTGCAGTACGATACAGCCGATGCATTTCAACGGTCATATCATTGGTAATACTCAGACGTCCCTTTCAATTATAAATATAGCATAGTAATACCAGGTTTGATGTAACATCCAAGAAGCAGCTGCTCAGACTTCATTTGTAGCGGCATTGCCATTAGATATTTCATGACCACGTCCAAAACTTTAGCATATAGGAAGAACATGGCCCTGCAACCAATCGAGCTCTGGGGACACTGGGGAGCCCCAAATCCATGGTTCGTGTCCACTTTTCAAGTCTTGAAATCCATGGCAACGCTGACTTGGTACAGGAAAGTTGTCCTCATCCTCGAAGAGCTCAAGCTGCCGTATATCATCAAGACGTTGGAGTTTACCGAGGTCAAGTCGGAGGAATATGTCAAGCTGAATCCCAATGGACGACTGCCGACCATTGTAGATCCCAACACTGGCATTACCCTTTGGGAGGTAAGATAGTCTTGCCCATAGCTAATCTTATTAGTGCAATGAAATGAGGCTGATGTTTATATGCCAGTCCGGAGCCATCATTGGCTATCTGATTGATCAATATGACAAGGCCGGCCATATCTCCTTTCACACTGCGCCAGAGAAATACTTGACTCGGCAGTGGTTGGCTTTTCAGATATCCGGTATGTGCCTTTTAGTTTGCCAAAAGGTGACTTGTCACTGACATTTTCAAAGGACAAGGGCCATACTACGGCCAAGCTATCTGGTTTGCACGCTTCCACCCGGAAAAAATCTCTTCCGCCATTGACCGTTATGTCAATGAAGTCGTAAGAGTTATTGGCGTTCTTGATGATGCTCTCAACAGAGGTGGCACTGGTTGGCTCGTCGGCGACAAGTGCACCTATGCCGACTTGGCCTTTGTCACTTGGGCCCATCTCGGATACGGTCTCCTGAAGCAGCTCAACAAGTTGGACCAAATTGAAAAGTACGAAAAGTACGCTGCATGGATCAAGTCTCTTGAGAGTCGTGAGACGGTCAAGAAAGTGTTGGACTCGATAGCCAAAGGAAGAGCGGAACATGGCTTACCATGAGCTAGAGCAATAAGACTATAGTATGATCCTAGCAAGGTGATATGGAAATAAAGGTACTTGCAACCAATAATCCGCGAATCTTTAATGCGCGTAGAATTGATTAGCAGGCAATGCACTTATAGCAACTTATTTTTAAGCTCCAATAGAGTTTATCAACTGCTGTGATTGCTGTTTTCCAGGTTATAGCAAAGTCCAACGTTGTGGAATGGGATCTCCAAGGCGGTAGTATGTTTTGCCTGTTATCTGTTACATGACTTGCCTCAAACTGTGGTGACACACGATCAGCGAAAAAAGCCCACTGGCACGATCGAGTGCTGACTGTGCCCGTATTCGTACACGTATAGTGTGTATTATTTTGGCTCAGCGAATCCCGCCGGCTAATACTCTGGTGCATGCTACCAATGCATAGTAGTTATGCATAAATATGAACTCTTGATCCAGGGTCCGGTCTTTCAACCATCCGTTTAATGAAATCATAAGATACTAGTAGTTCAATTTTGAGTATAATGTACCGAGACTGCACGAGGTTGCACACGTCATGCATGCCAATCTAGCGCGCAAAGAGATAATGCATCTGTGCTCGACAAATTGCCTGGCCAGTCAACAGACTCACGTACAAGACCAATCACTTTTTCGGCAATGATGTAACACCAGGGTGCGGGGAAGGGATGCTGCAGATCGAATCTTCAGCGGCTTCCTATAGGTATTCGTAGTTGCTACACCAATTTCTAGCGTCTCATCTTGAAAGAGCCGGACCGGGATTGGGCAAACCCGAATCGTCGAGTTATACACCACTACGCCTATGAGCTGGGCTCTCAAGCCTCTATTTCACAACTACCGTAGCAGTAGAACTCGACGGCGTGGTGAAGCTGTCAGATTCCCATTTTTTTCGCTGACATTGGCTTTAGTCGTTGCCGATCGCCTTTTAGTGAAGCGAACGAAGTGTGCTATCTGTGGACTCGTGCACAGTCTTAATGCTGAGATAAGTTCACGATGGGGGGATCTCCGATGGTCTGGGATTAGTGCAAACCTTGCTCCGTCGTCTAGAAATGAAATAAATACTTGCCTTTTAATGCCAAACGTGCATCGTGTGTATGTGCACGACGGATACTCGCAGTTCCGTTTCATTAACGGGTTTGAGGGGATTCATTCAAACTTCAAATGCCGTCTTCCCCTAAAGTCTCCTCCTTGCTTCACGTATCAACTACCTGGTCCAGGTAGGTTATAGCTTGGGCCTCAAATACAGATTTCAGAATTCACTCTTCCTCTCTTCACACTTGTACTCCTCTTCGTACCCTATGTATTGTCATTTTATTCTACAAGACGCCATGGAGCACTATATCGAGGTACTCTCGGATCGCAGCTCTGTGCTAATAGCCATCATCATTATACCAACCACGATATTCATCGTTTCGCACCTATTGAGCAGCGGAGCGGCGCAATTTCCCTTGCTCGGCGGGGAGCTTGGAAACTCGGAGAAGCGCCGAAAGGCTTTCTTTGCCGGCGCTGCGGCACTTTACGATCAAGGATATGCGGCTTTCAGGGACAAGCCATTTCGACTCACAACGGTTGATGGTGAGGCACACTGACTGTCTTTTGATGTAGTGCATTCAGCATGTTAACAGGATCTAGGCGAACGAATTGTCGTGCCGACTTCTGCGTTGGATGAACTAAGGCGTTTACCAGACGAAACCATTAGCAATAAAGAGGCTCTCAACAAGGTAGGACTTTTGATGCCCTCGGATAGCCCATTCTGTTGACATGGCTGCAGACTGTGGAGAACCGATATACCGGACTTCATGCAGATAACAAACTGCTCAACCATATCATACGGGCGGACCTCACACGAAACTTGAGTGAGTAATTCAAACTTGCGGATTTCTTGATGAGCACCAAGTCTGACTAGTGCAAGGCCGTTTGAACCCCCGACTCGGAGAAGAGGTGGCGCGCACCGTGGACGAAGTACTCGGTCCGTGTGAGGACTGGACTCGGGTGACGATACACCAAAAGTTTCTGCGGATCGTCGCCATTGTCTCGGGACAAATCTTCCTTGGACCCGAACTCTGCCGCAAAGAAGAGTACTTGTACGCCAGCATCAACTACACGGTTGATGTTTTTGCCGCCATTCGCAAGCTCAAGGCTTGGCATCATCTGCTTCGCCCCGTGGCCCAATACTTTATCCCCGAGATCAAGACACTCAATGAACATCGCATAAAGGCGAGGGAGTTTCTGCTGCCCATTATCAAGGAGCGCAAAGCGGCGGCAGCGGCCGGCCAAGAGCTGCCCGATGACATGTTGCAGTGGATGATCAACAAGGCCGACGAGTTCCAGTTCAGTGACCAGGAACTGGCGGATACGCAGCTGACCTTGAGCCTTGCTGCCATTCATACCACGTCGGCAACGGCGACTGATATCCTGTCTGAGCTGGTCGTACGGCCCGAGGTTGTCGAAGAGCTGAGGGGTGAGATCAAGGAGGTTCTCCAACGGCACGACGGTGTGATTCATACTCAGACATTATTCGAGATGAAACTCCTAGACAGCGTCATGAGAGAAGCGCAGAGAGTGTCTCCGTTTAACCAAGGTATGTAACCACAAGTGCATTGACGTGAACAATATTGTCTAATCCTAAATATCAAACCAGCCCGCTTCAGCCGCTACGTCAGCAAGCCCGTCACCCTCAGCAACGGCATCCACCTGCCCGCGGGCTACACCATTGAGTCGCCCCACGGGCCCGTGATGCGGGACACGGCCATTTACCCCGATGCCGACAAGTTTGACGCGCATCGGTTCGCGGACCTGCGGGCCGCGCGCGTCCCCGACCCCGTCAACTACAAGAGCCGCGAGCAGTACCAGTTTGTCTCCGTGACCAAGGAGAACATGAGCTTTGGCTTTGGTGCCCACGCCTGCCCTGGGCGCTTCTTTGCCGCCAATGAGATTAAGCTTATCCTCTCCCGCCTGCTGCTGCAATATGATCTCCGGCTGCCCGAGGGTACGCAGATTCCGCCTAGGTTGATTGCTGGTGCGCAGTCCCAGGCAAATCCAAAATTGCAGATTGAGCTCAGGAAAGTACAAACTGCCTGAGATACGGGAGCTTTTGATGGCATTAATTTCGAAACATTTTGACCGAGCGTCAGACATCCTGGAACATGAATAGGAAGAATATTATCACAGTCATCCAAGATAAGAAGTTTGATAGATTGAAAAATGTATCCTAGGTTGAAAGCGTCACGTCGATTCAAAAGTACTACATATTTCATGCCGCACTGCCAGATCTAGGGCTTCCATCGCCAGGCTGGATGCTTCCATTCTAAATCCCTGATCTGTTCGTCTGTGAGGTCGCTTAGCTCAGCATCAACATCGCGACCCCTCCTCTCGCGATTATCACGGTGCATCCAGAAATAAGTCAGTGTACTGAATATCAGAATCAGGCTCGACGCGGCAAGGTTGAGACTGTTTCCAATCTTGTAGTCGGGCTTGTCCCTATCAATGTAGCTCCAAGTCGAAATGAGCCCTCCCACATTGCCAAAGAGCATATTCACGGCCAACGCAACACTTCGGGATGTATCGCTCGAGGTTTGAATGGCGGCTTGTGCGTTGGTCAGCGCGCCCAGACCAAACGCTGTGCTCATGATCAGAAATGTGGCCACGTATCGCGCTGTCGAATTGTTTGTCGCTAGGTAAATGATGAAACCCAGCATCACTGGTGGTGCCGAGATGATGAAGAACTTTTGTCTCTTGTCCTGCCTCCAGCCCAGATACGGTATCAAGAGCGTGAATATGGCTCCGAAAACATAGGGCGGCGCAGTGAGCAATTGTTGTTGCACGATAGAGTAGCCTCGGCTAGCAGGAAAGATGTTGCTAATGATTGTCGGTAGGAAAAAGGCCAAGCCCTGCACAGTTATCTGTTCCAAGAGGAAGATCCAGCCAGTGGCCAGGACGACAGGGTTCCAAATTCCCAGCCAGACCTTGCGATGTGAGAACTGGTCCAGTAGAGCGGTTTGGGCTATGCGTTCCGATTTGACTCTCGCTATCGCGAGGTCTTTTTCCTCTTTGGTCAGCCACCGCGCTGATTCAGGGCGATCTGTGAGAAAGACAAAGGCCATGACGGAAATGGCAATTGTGACTAGGCCTTCCACGAAAAATATCATTCTCCACGAGTCTAGCGCTCCAATATTGGACATGCTGGTAATGGCCGATGCAAGGAGTCCACCGAAAGCGCCTGCTGTGGGAGACATTACAATGAAGACGGCGACTCGAAATGTGAACTCGGATCTGCGATACCTGTGTCATGTTTAGATTCCGAGAGTTTCCGAGTGTTGGGACGAGTGCTTTTACCATCGGGACAGGTAGTATGACATGCCAGGCATGACACCAGACTCAAACATTCCAAGTAGAAAACGTACGGCACAGGCCTGTTGTAGGTTCTGTACATAGGCAAAAGCCAAAGACATGGCACCAAAACCTAGGGTCAGAAACGGCAAAAACCACCCAGGTCCGATCCATTTACAAGCCAGGTTGCTGGGAATCTCAAAGATGATGTAAGAAACGTAAAAGAGGGAAGCCAATATGTTGTAGTCATATGCGCCCGTCATATCGAGGTCTTTTTGCAGTCCGACGATTTTGGCATTGCCTGGAGAACCATGAGTTTGCGCGACCATGGAAAATAATAGAGGTCATTCATACCAAGATTAGCTCGATCAATAAAGCAAAACAGGTACATGATTGCTACAACTGGTAGAATTGCCCAGTCGATCTTCTTCCTCAACCGTGACTCCTCATCCGAGTCGAGCGGCGTCAAGGGATGTCCATACCTGGACTCGCATCAGTACTGATCAAAATTGTGACAGCTTTGGTGTCCCTGCCTTACTTGTCTGTTGCGACGGCACCGCGCTCAGCAGCGCTGTGAACATCCTTTACTTCGGATCCCTTTCGGGAAACGTCTTCCTTGGATACTTCCTTGGAATCCATGATGCGCTCCAAAAAGCAGGAAAAGAACACAAAGACGAGAGAAAAAAGGACGTGAATACGAAATAGGACTGCCGTAAATGTGAAAGAATAGGTGACTACATTTTAGGGATGGTGCAGAGTATTTCAATCATGGCAAACCAAGAACCTTTTCCCGCTCGAGATTGATATTAGTAATTCAAGCCATTGCCAAGCAGGAACAACTAAGAGGTGCATGGTCGCCTGTCAGTCCCAAACGATGTCACCTTGAACATGTCCCGTCCTTTCCCTTCTCATCATAAACCAGTCTGGGCATTGGCTAGACTCGTATGCATCGGGGCACGCCTCTGGAAGCGCCGTCCTTCTTGGCTGACTCTCTATGCAGCCCTTTGCAGGACAATTAAGCTTTATAGTCCCCATGCCTATTGATCGAGGTCTAGTTTCACCTGTAAAGCCTCCCACAACTTGGGGAGGCGTTTAGAGTTTTAAGCCGCCGCGAAGCTTTCACATTCAAGCCTCCCCTGCATGCTTGGCGCAGGAAACCAATGAACGCCACGGGTAGAATAAACTGGGGCTCGACTCAGAAAGTGGTTGCAAATAACTCCGCAAGACCCGATAGTCATGCCGTTTATGCGAACGAGGATTTGAGCTTTCTTTCAGCTCGGTCGAATTAACCAGTCTCAGTTGTCCTTTAAGCGATTATAGACTATTCATCGACGATCGGCAAAGCGATCGGCAGAGGATGGATAACGCTCCCCGGCCGTTGAACATGACAGGCGGGCGGGGCACATGTGTGATATAGTGCAAGGAGACATCAGTCTCGTGGGATTTTGAACATTTTAAAATTGGTGCAAGGCAGCTAGTCAAAGTTGCAGTGAAAGACGATCCCGACGGACATGGGATTTAAAGAATGCCAGCATGGATTTCAACCAATCACTATCGATGCACTTGAAAGCAATGCGTTCTATTACATGGCCAAAAGAAGAACCGTGATTGTCTGCCGTGAAAAGGCTGAAAGACAGACAGACGTTCCGAAACCAAGGGTATCATTATTCATCAGAAACTCGCCCACGGCCGTAATGCGCCCCCCTACGCCACAATGTATCTCATTTCGCCCAAACACTATTGCCAGCTTGCATCATGTCTGAATGATGAGACTTGCAACCTCACCAAGCCCTGCTTCAGCACTAACGAGATCTTCTCCATCATGGTGGGCATCATTGTCCATGACCATGCCCACGTGGTCGCCATCCAGGGTGCTCGTGTCCGGCACAAAAGACTGGTCGGGAAATGTTGTGGTGCTGTTTGTGTAGGCGCTTGGATCAAATGGCTTGGCCGGCTTCTTCTCCCACTTTGTTTTCGGTGCCCATTCAAGCGCAGTGATATGTGGATGTCTTCGAAGCCAATGGCCAACCCACTGCTTGCCTAGCTTCTGACCGGGATTGCTCTTATCCAGGACCTTTGAAGCCAGCTCGTAAATCTGGTCCTTTGTTGGGGGAAATCCCAACTCGCATTGAGCGTGTGCCCAGTCGACTAGCAGATTCTCCTGCTTGAGCGTGAGACGTGCCAAATCTGCCTTGAGCTCCCTTGGTGGTCGGCCTCTTGTCCTCGAGTTGAGATTGCTGTAGGGAACGCCAAACTGTCTTGCGGCTTCTGAAGCGTGCGTCCCCGAGGCCACGGCAGCTACGGCTTGTTCCATGTCGGCCTCGGTCCATGTATAGCGGGTGGCTATCCGATTCTTTCGCGTTGCCTGCAGCGGTGGGAGATTTGGACAATTGTCGCCGAGCTTTTCGGCCAATGTCGTTTTTGGGACATTGTAGGTCATTGAAGCCTTGCGCAGCGACATGCCCTCTTCCCTCACAGCCCTCATGGCGCGCTCAAAGTCCTCTTGCGAATAAGCCTTGTACCTAATGCCGGCACGTCGACTGCCCGCGAGCGGACGCGGTTCATAAGGAGGCAGGTCAGGGGGAACCTGCAGATCCTGCAGACTCTGGTCCTGCAAATCCTCAGCAGCCAGGCTGGGATCGAGGTTACTGGTTAAGCCATCATTCAAGCTGGGATCCAAATTTGGATCCATATTGAGTAGACTCATGGCCGACTGATGGTATATAGACTTTCCAGGGATAGGTGCAAGATTCTGGACAGTATTCGGTCAAGCCAAAGTGGCCTGCCAGTGTCCTAAATCGCGCGTTCTGACGATGTTCGTTGCCCATGACAATTCAGCCAATCAAGAGCTGCGCTTGTGCTGTCGCCCCGCATTTACAGATAAGCTTTGCGATAATCGGCATCAGTGTCCCGTCATTGTCCAATTTGACAACGCAGATTTCCCATCAACTTATTTCAGTGTCCCGAACAACTTTCTTTGGACAGTCATACTAGCTTAAAATACAACTATATTCTCCATCACTAACGTAGGAACAATTGTAATAAATCAAGTAAACGTACGTACAAGTTTTGATTGCCGATTCATCCCAGTGAGAATCACCACGCCCAACAACTTCAAATCATTATGCTGTGCTAGATTTATTTGACCTTGCTTCAGCAAGAACACTCGCATCAATCATTGTCGCCAGAACATCCTTGGAAATCGGACTTCGTCGGTCTACTTTGGCCACCCACTGATCCTCGGGTACGAGCACGTCGAGTAGATTTGATGCAAGTCCTCCACTCCAGTCATGCACTGGCCAGACGGCCTTCACTACCGCCTCGTTCATATTCATCGTTTTCGCAACGCGGGGAATGACCGACGCTGATTGATTTGTGAATAACTGAGCCGTCTGGTCCAGAGCGCGGAGGTAGGCCACTATATCTTTGCGTGTGCTCGCATTCTGCAGCTTCTCGGCTGTCGTGTACAGATTGTAGACCTCCTGATAGACGGTCTTGTTCTGGAAAACAACTGCATCGGATCCAAGTACCTCAATCGCTAGCTCGAGTGTTGGCTCCCACATTCCAACCGCGGCAACAGATCCATGCGCAAGCATATATGGCAGAGTGCCAGCTCCGCATGGTGCCGAGTTGCAGTTGCTGCCAGACACGACCGTGTAGTCCGAGTCTGCAAGCCCGCCAGCGGTAGACAGGTATCGCTGCACGAAATAAGCGGCCGAGGTGCTTGGAATCGTCCCAATCTTCTTGCCCTTGAGATCCGACAGTGATGTAACGCCGGCTTTGTTGCTTGCTACAAGTCGGTACGCGACCTCCACCACGGTGTATATGATCCGGAGGTTCTTGTGGTTTGCATATTGCCGCAGTGCTTGAGTTTCGGCATTGCCAGCGAGATCAATGTTGGAGCTGCCGAAAAGATCGGCCACTCCTCCATTGACAACTTGCGCGTCACCCTTGTAGTAATCCTGGGTCGCAACAAGCAAGGGATTATACTCGAGGACATTGAATGAACCTGCAATCTTGAGCGCAGTAACCAGTGGTGCCAACAGGAACCACGCCAGTGCCGCAGCGGCCTGGAATTGTTTGAGAAGCCTACTCATGTTTATTGGCAAAGAAGAACACGACAATGACCTCTAATATCAAGAAACAACAATTTCATGAAATGGCGATTGCGAGTATATAACTACAGTTCTCTGTGCTGAATTCATCCAAGCGGGGCAAATGAGCCCGCGCCGGCAGTCGTATTATGAGGTAAAAGCCAAGTCCCGACTGGTTGTACCGGTTATTATTGATATTGGAACAATCTCACGAGACCGGTAGTTGCGATTGGCCGTAACAAGATTCAGTCCCTTCTCAAGTTAATATTTGTGTAGTACAGATGAAATCCAAATGACGATTTTAATCTCTGGAATCCGAAGGTACACTCAGCTTGCCAGCCAGGGCTTTCAGCAAGGCTATTGTGCTATAACGGATAATTTTGTAGCCATTCTATACAGACTTGACAGAGTAAGAGCACCAGTATATGAACATCACCATGTTGCTTTTTGCGACAGTCTATAGCGTCGACAGCATCTCAGAAATGATTCACTGGACGGCATCCGGTAAACTCAATGGGGCCGCAGAAAGGCTCCGCGAGAGAATTCGAGTTAAGGTTAATTTGACTCGCGTTGCAATTGGAGATCGCCATCGATGCAAGTTCTCTGAAGGCTTTGGAAATGATAACCGCTCGAGCTCCGTTGATTGGATAGTTAGATCGCAATTGAGTTGGCACGTAGTGCGTCAGCCAATCGGTATACTCGTGCATATTGGTCCTGGTTGCGTTGCGGTGGTACAAGCAAGTAGGAATGAAGGACCAGTCCTGGATATGCATCGGAGTGTCCCATTCTGTAGCTCAACACACCCACACATATGTATTGTTTCTCATCCCGCTGTTCCCACATTGAGTCCTCTGAGATGTAGCCTTACCATCACGACACGCTCTGAAATACCCAGATGCATGATGCCCCCGGTGTCGATACCCGTACAAATCTCTTCAAGTGTGTCCAGAACCTGCTTTTCCGAGACTCCCAAATACAGCTCAACTCATCACCATCGCCAGCGCTTTAGAACTTTTACTATAAGTCGCATGTCCATGTATCCATCATGTCGACATCGACTCCGTCTTCATCACCCGTTGTGATAGCTCCAACCGGCGTAACGGAAACTCAGGCAGTGGCAACAACAACAGGCGCAGGGGTTATTCCCATAACGACGTCCAGCGTAACGGAAATTCAGAATACGCAGACAAGCACAATAGTTCACAATATCACGGATATTGGTTTTACTAACACAGAGTCTTCAAGGCTATCAGCCCTGACCACGACATTTATTCCGCCAACATCCTGTTATAATCGCTATTATATAGATAGCTCGGCTAACGGCGGGGGAGTCATAACAAGCGGAACTCTGGACCCAATGTTCAAGTCCTGTCAAGGCGATGGCAGCGGCGAATTCTTTTACAGCCCGGGAATGTGCCCTGGAAATATGCAGATCAATGTCATGGAGTCTGATGGAGATCATTTCACAGAGTTTTGTTGCCAAAGGTGAGTTTACTTGTTTTCACGCTGCGAAAGAGGGATGCTAATGTTATCCTTGTCAAGTGGGTTCAGCTGGGACCCTCGAGGCTGTGCGTCACTGATGACCACCGGCAGTACAGCTGTCCCTATTCTCCCTGTAACACAATCCTTCACGACCACAATCACTGTAACCGGCTTTGTGGCCGTTCATAGCCCCGTCGTCGTTCTCTGGGCTTCTTCAGATTTAAGTCTATTCCCGGCCGACGTAGCCTCCAGACGATCCGCCCTGTTTCCGACTTCCAATACTACCTCGAACACTAATATAAATTCGATCGACTTGACTAACTCGACGGACTCGACGAGTTCCAAGACAGGTACAGGCCTGAGCCAACCGGCTAGGATAGGAATTGGCCTTGGTGTCGCCTTGGGCAGCATTACCATATTCATAGTTGTTTCAGCGTGGTTATTCAAAGTGAGACGAAGAAGAAAGCGGCTCCTCATGCAACCGCGCAATAATGCAGGAGAACTAGACGGAACGCAACCACTTTGGAAGCGATTCTTTGGTCGTGAATGGAGATCAGAGCTTGACCAGGATGGACCGACAGCCGAACTGGCGGCAGACCCGGAACCAGCAGAGTTGGCGACTAGCCAAGTGCCAGCAGAGCTACCAGGTTCCTACCGTTATCGTGAGCCTGCGACCGGAGCTGCTGAGAACAAACCTGGCGAGGGAAAAGTCAAAGAGAAGCAAGGCGACGAGAGGAAAGTTGATGAGCGAGCCAATGAAAAGAAGGACCATGAAAGGTCTGCATACTGAGAAGCTTTAGGTAGGGGTCGTATTCGATCGTGGCAAGCTCCAACGGAAACTGGCACATATATCCCAGATAAAAACAACGGACGACCAAGTACAAAGCAAGGGCATACTTTCCACGGTTGCAAAGAGAACCCCAATTGACACCTTGATATTGTGGCTCACACTGTATCAGTTGCTGTGACATTGGTGGTCAAACTCACACAAATAGCAAGCCCGTGCACATCGTGTGATTATGTAAAAACTCACACGCTGTTGTTGATTTGCCGCAACGGCGCTCTAATCTGCCCGCGGTCTTGTTCTGATATACACTTATAGTAGTTGTACAATGCCCCAGGTTTTCGTCTAACCAGCACATGAGCCAGAACCAGGAAAATCATGTAAACGTCCGAGCCATAAACGCCAGGCCATGCCAATTGCCAAGTCGAGTGAAGATTGTTTTGTAGAAGTTGATATTGCGGCAAACAGTGCCGCTTTTAGTAGTCGTGATCGTAACCAAATCATCGAGGTCGGTACGCACGCGCTTCGTAATATTCAAGTTGATGTCTCGGGCGATCACCGGTCCTTGTACACCTTGGGCTTCCACCCCTCTTGGACCTCTGCTTCTTGAGCAGCTTTTTCCATGGCCGGCTTAATCTCGGCCTCGTATCGTTCCCTCGCTCTCAGCACCTTGCTCTGCAAATAGAAGCTACCGCCTTTCTCTGGGTTGTTTGCGTCAAATAGCTTCTTGAACCGCTCCATGACCTCGTCCAAGTTGGCCTTGCCGCCCTGTGGCGGCTTAACGTTGAGGATTTTGCAGGCCTCATCGAGAGTCATGCCGCTGCTCAGACTGGCGCGAGCAGCGGCGGCATTTGGGTCGAGCTTTGCTTGCGCACGCTGGTACTGGGAGGATGCTTGTGCTTGCTTGTAGGCCTCGGCAAAGGCACGACCGATGGTACGGGAGCCGATGACGACGACTTGTGTGATGAGACGGTAGGCCTGTAGATGATGTTAGTAAGAGTTGTTGTGTTGGATGCCGAAGGCTTGCAAGGGGAGAATGGCTCGGAAATCTGCAGGTGAGTAAAACGTACCATTGCGCCGATGGATCCAAAGAACTGACAATGAAGTAGTCCAGGTAGATGCGAAGAATGGACAGGTGTCTGTTGCAATAAAGTGCACAATGCACGATGCGATAGTAGAATTGCACTTGAGTTGGGGCGGGAAAAAAAGAGAGTAGATCAAATGAACCCTCGGAATCGCCTCTTTCGCATACAACCGGCGGGCATGCGGACAAGCGCCATCGCTCGATGGAAGGTCAAAGAGGCGCTGGGGACGGGAATTTTTGGTCGGCTGGAAAATCTTTTGCGCCGATAATGTAGCGTCAAGCTTAACTACAGCGGCCGTTCCGTCGCATTGGATAGGTGCATGTGGTGCCAGGTAGGTACTCGTTAGGTAAGCAGGTGCACGGACTAGACTCCAGTGGACAGGCAAGCAACCACCATCCTTGCCAAAAGTGGTGAGCTGGCGTCAGGTTGCTGCTTTCCAGAGCTGCGGGCGCTTCAAACCTCCAATTGACACCCGGTTGCCTTTTAATTCTACAAACACCTTGTTCTATTTCCATTCTTACAGACGACATACTGCCGCTCTTGCAACGCTTGCACCACTCGGTCGCATAACTTCCATCATTATATCCCAAATTGAACAACACCAGCATTGTCTAAAGTTCAAGTCACTCATTCAAACAATCCTACGCCTTTGGCGCAACATTCCCTTGATTTCAGACCCTCTTTTGACTTTCCCCTGTTACATCACTTCACAGAGGTAGCTGCTTCTGCCACAGCACAATGTCGCAGTACTACGGAGGACCTCCTCAGAACCAATACGGCGGCGGCGCTGCTGCTCAAAACCTACAATTCTACCCGTCCTCCTACTCGCCCGGCATCCAGAGCCACGGAACACCGTCACAGTCGAGCTATGGCTACGGAGGTGGGAGCACAAGCTATGGAGGGTTTGGCGGCGCATCAGCACCCGGGGTCAGTGGACGTATGGGGGAGCAAGGAGGACTGAGGACGGGCTGGATTGCTGCTTTCTCGACAGAGGGTTACGAGAATGAGCCACCATTGTTGGAGGAGCTTGGTATCAACTTTGACCACATCCAGCGCAAGGTAAGTGCCCTACACCTGACGGCCTTGGGAATCTGTTATTCATCTCATGGGGCATATGCTAATACATGGACTCTCTAGACTTTTGCCGTCCTCAACCCCTTTGCCCGTATCGATCAACATCTCATGGACGATTCCGACCTCGGAGGCCCGATTCTCTTCTTCATCATGTTTGGCTTCTTCCTTCTTTTCAGCGGCAAGGTCCATTTCGGATATATCTACGGTCTGGCCTTGATGGGCTGCATCTTGTTACACTACATCCTGTCGCTCATGACCCCCGACGGACCCTCGTCGCCTTCGCCCTCACACGCAGCTCCTCAATACTCGGGCGGTGGATATCCTGGCGATCCGTCCGGTGCTGATGGGAAGGGACACCTGAGTAGCACTCTGACTCTCGCCAGGAGTGCTAGCGTGCTGGGCTACTGTCTCCTACCTCTTGTCCTCACAAGTTTGGTTGGAATTGTCTTTCCCATGGACACTGTCATTGGCTATGTCCTCACGAGTGCCGCCATTGTGTGGTGCACAACGAGCGCAAGTGGAATCTTTTGCGCCGTCGGCCGTATGCGTGGAATGCGGGGACTGGTCGCATATCCATTGGCTCTCTTCTACGTCGGCTTTGGTATCATGAGTATTTTCAGCAGCAGGGGTTCTGGTCGTCTTGGTAAGGCAGCGGGTGTACCATAAAATATTGGAACGGAACGACAAAAACGAGGTCAATGACTGACTGGGCAGTGCGGCGTCTTGAGGTGCGTTGAGCGTCGGTGCATATACAGTGGCGTCTGGATTGTGGTCTAGAATTAAATATTGGGAAGTTCAAGTAAAAGTTCAGATTCTGAATTTCGAGTTTTTGCTCGCTGACTTTGGTCTTAATATTATGATTATGTACAATAAACCGCCTGTTCGTTTTGCTTCAAGTTGGTATGATGGAGTTATATAAAGCGCTTCCATTGTACACCTAGTACTAGTAAAGAATGGGCCCTAGATATGCTTATATGATGCCTAGGTGGCAATAAATTAATTTATCTACATGTTCAAGGAATTATGGAACATAAAGCTGTCGATATTGCTAGGGGACTACTGCCCACTTGCCATAGGGGATTTGAGATTTCGGAGAAGGACGACTCCGCAAAGGAATATAGTGTCACAATATGAGGATGTTATTCCCGCAGTTTTCGCCCAAGGAATCAATGCCGACATGATCAAATCTCGGACATTAGGTATGACACAAAAATGTAGTATAGATATTGATGTTTGTATCACGACTTTCCTGCTGCCTCCGCATCTTCATGAATCTCCAGCATTCCGCGATTCTGATTGATGGCCAGACACGGTTGGGGAACATTTAAAGTCTTGGTAACGGAATATGAAAGACTTGGACCCGACGAAAGGCGCTGCACCCCGGATTCCGACATCAATTAGATGAATCATACCGCATCTGCATCAGCCAATCGGTAGATGTGACGAGGCTCACAGCTCGTAAATCACCCCGATCAGGAAATGCCCAGAAATGGCGGTCCAATCAACGAGCGCGCGGAAGAAGTTGAGGGCGCCTTGCAATATCTGACATACTCAAACCCATGCATAGGCTATTTACAGCCGTCCGTAGAAGCCCCGATTGTTTCCCAGGAATTGCCTCAGATAACGGATCTCGTGATGCACAACCCGCGGCCGGACAATTTCAAGAAACGGCCGGACAAGGCATTGATAGAGTAGTTCTGCCGAGGCTGGAGATAGAAAGGAGGCTACTATACGCGAGACTACGAAGCGTGTTGGTTGAGAACAGACATTGAATATATATTCCTGACATTCGCGCCTAGCGATTTTTGAGATTTGCTCCAGCACGCATGAGCATCGTTGACAAGTCATCTGCAAATCGTGACCAATATGAAGTTCTCCTTGGCAACAGTTCTGGCCTTGAGCCTCACAGCTGAGGCTCACACCATCTTCCAAGTGAGTAAACTCCCAGAAACGTCACTTGTATGATTGCCCTGCTGATCCAACAATGAACAGAAAGTCTCGGTCAACGGAGCCGATCAAGGCTCTCTTGTCGGCCTGCGCGCGCCAAACAACAACAATCCCGTCTACGACGTCACGTCCAATGATATTGTCTGCCAGCAAGCCGGCACTACTTCGTCTACAATCATCAACGCCAACCCAGGCGACAAGATTGGTGCCTGGTTCCAGCACGTCATTGGCGGTGCGCAATTCTCCGGCGACGCTGATAACCCCATCGCCAAATCGCACAAGGGCCCAGTGACGGCGTGGCTCGCCAAGGTGGACAATGCGGCGTCGGCGTCCAAGACGGGCCAAAAGTGGTTCAAGATCTGGGAAGACACCTTTGACACGTCGTCCAAGACGTGGGGAGTCGACCGGCTCATCTCCAACAATGGCTGGGCCTACTTTACCCTGCCCACGTGCGTCGCGGCCGGCGACTACCTCCTCCGCGTCGAGATTCTGGCGCTGCACTCGGCCAAGACCAGCAAGGCGGCCCAGTTCTACATGAGCTGTGCCCAGCTGCACATTGGCGGCAGCGGCACCACCACGCCGAGCTCCACCGTCTCGTTCCCCGGCGCCTACAAGCAGGACGACCCGAGCATCCTCATCAACATTTACGGCTCCACGGGCCAGCCCGACAATGGCGGCAAGGCCTACTCGGCCCCGGGTAATGTCCCAGTCATGAAGTGCTGAGCGAGGCCATGACAAGGATCGTATGTAGTGCTGGTCATGGCTGTTGGAAGTACTCGGACAGGAGCGTACCTGTGTATGACAATTGATAGATTGTATCAATTCACTTAATAAATCCTAGAATGCTGGTCAATGCTTCTACCTCCCCAAGTAGATTTGCACAATGTCTGTAAAAGCACGCTTCAGTTTGCATGTTGGGGTCAATTCCATTCCGTGATGCCTCCTGGCCACCAATGGGTTTGAAGTCGCAGTTATAAACCCGAGTTTTGGAATGTCTGGCAACGATTGCTTCAATCCAATCTCAATCGTACCGTCATATCCTTTTACCGTAGTGTTTTGAGAAGCCGCGCACATTGTGGTGGCTGAGCCAGCTGCAGTCTCAAAGACGACGTTTTTTCCAGGCAGCAGGGAATAGAGTGTAGATACCTACAGATGCAGGTACGAGGCGTATTGACGATAATACTACGCGACGACGCCTCTGCAGCGTGCGCACTTGCATACATGTACAAAATTGAGCCAAGGCAAAAGTGCTGATACGCTAGGACCTGATGCGGATTATGAGAATTCCTGGTGATTCATCACCTTGTGCCCCGTTGGTCAGAAGATTGTGGCCCATCCAGGGATTATTGCAGTAGCTTGTGTGCCAAGTTGAAATCCATGCGGCTTATCGATGGAGCTGAGAAACATTTCGATGGACATGTAGTAGGCGGGATATACCCAAAAGAACTGAGTATTATAGAATTGAATGTAGTCAACTGGACAGTATATTTTATCAATATTTAGTCTAAAGGACAATGAGTGATCGCTTGGCAGATTTCAAGTAACGATGAGGTCACGCCTTTCAGATACCTGTAGTCTCAAAAGTAGTTAGGCTACCGGGTTCTAGATTACAGTGAATCGCTATAATCTGTAGCGAGCTTGGGCCTCAACCCTAGGGTGGGAGCTTCTGTCTTTGGTGGGGCTTTTTGGGGGCGTTTTGGCGAGACAAGCTCCATTTCCCCAATAGCTATCCTATCGTCGATCATACACAGCCGTTTCAAATGCGACTCAAATTTGTCCTGTTCTGCTGTAATGGTCCGGACAAAACACAGGCGGGACGGCCTAGCCCTACACTTGGACAAAGGGGATCTGTGCCTGTGCTGCATGAGATATACCCTTTGTCCAATCGCAAGGCCACAATCCTCGGCATGACGGCACACATTCGAACAGATTGCCTGCTCTGCACGACAAACATCTGTAGGAGGTAAGGTGATAGGTACATAGGTGCTCTGTCCGTGTGGCTGGCGGCCTGGATGAGACTGCCTCGGGATGAAGCAAGCGACTACCGACCCTATTTGACACCTCTCCCACATCAATTGCCTAGACCTTTGCCATTTACAAGCTCTACTCCTCTTCTTCATTATCCTATTCCGTTTTCTGCTACTTCTTTGCCCGCCAATCGCTGGTCTCGAGCACATCTAGTGAGTGCTTCTGGGCCAAATACCTTCGTCAGCCCTGGTCTTGCATCACGCGACGATTATACTCCATAAGCACAGGGCAGTGCATCCAATATTGCCTAATTTGGACATTGATGGAATCAGTTCATAACGACGACACGACTCGCGCCTTGGTCCAAGAACATTAGCACTTGAAATATATAGTATTAACCACCATTATTTGTTTGCGTGCCCAGAGCCGCTTCACCCATCCCTACCGCAGATAAACAAGAAACACGAACAACCATGGAGACAACAAACGCTTTCGGGGAGCTAGGCCTCTCGATTATTGGCATAGCATCTCAATATCCTCCTCACTCGCTCAAGCCAGATCAAGTTCAGCATCTGGCAGAGAGATTCTACCCCGATAGCCCAGCGTAAGTCGCTCACTCTTCCTCGTGATTTTATAGGCATGAGCACTCATCACATGGACTTTGCAGCATGCAGAAAGTCCTGTCTATCAACCGCTACACAGGCATCGACACCCGAGCCTCCATTGGTACATCGGACCACCCTCTCGTCAACGCCAAAGAGGCTCCCTCGATAGCCGAGCTCCATCGCACATTCATGACCGACGGCGTGCCATTGGCCGTAGCAGCTTCACGAAAAGCCATCTCGGAAGCCGGCATTCAACTATCTGATATTACACACGTGGTCGCGACAACATGCACCGACAGCGCAAATCCAGGCTTTGATCATTTTGTCCTAAAGGAGCTCGGTGTTACGCATCAAGTCGAAAAGGTCTTGCTCCACGGCGTAGGGTGTTCTGGAGGCCTGGCTACGCTGCGGACTGCCGCCAATCTTGCTCTGGGCCATGCCGCGAGACGGAAACCCGCCAGGATACTATGCGTTGCGCTCGAAGTCAGCACTACCATGGTCCGGAGCGAACTCGACAGCGTCAATCAGACCCAGGAGACGAGGATTGGCGTTACTCTGTTCTCGGATTGTGGAAGCGCGGTTATTCTGAGCAATGGCCTCGGCCAAAGGACGGCGGATCCCGTTTACGAGCTTCTTGGCTGGGAACACAAGGTGATTCCCGACACGGACCACGATCTTGGATTCGATGTTGATCCCGTTGGCTGGAAGGTCGTTTTATCACCAAGAGTACCCAAATTAGCTGCGCAGGTTCTGCAACCAACCTTTTCGGAGCTCATGCGCGATGTTCCTGACATGGGGCCAAAGTATCGCGAAGCCGCAGATTTCGACTGGGCCATGCACCCAGGAGGTGCAACGATTCTCACAGGAGCCGAAAAGGCCATGTCCATTACACCTGAGCATATGCGCGCCAGTTACATGACTTATATGAATCACGGAAACTCGAGCTCGGCCACCATCTTTTCCGTCATGGACAAGCTGCGGTCAAAAGGTATGGATGAGATGGCCCCAGGTGGCAGAGCCAAAGACTTTGTGGTTGGTTGTGCTTTTGGGCCGGGGATCACGGTCGAAATGTGTATGCTCAAGCGCAATTTGGGCATCACTAGGCCGCATGATATCCAGACGCCTCCCGACACCGATAGCGAAGCCAGCGCAAGCGACGTCGATGCTACCTCGGAATGGGCGAGTGAGGACCCCAAGGAATCAGTGCCCGACACGCCAGAGCCCGAAATGATTGAGCCAGTGGCTTCCCACTCACGTGATGAAGACTTTATCAATGAAGCATTGAGCAGAGTTGAGCTCGATTAATCACATTAGACTAGACACGTTACGATTCTGCAACTTTATTTTCTAAACTACTGAGACTCGAAAGCACTCTCGGCATGGCGCAGGGCGCAAACTACTTGGACACAAGCAATACATCAATCGTAATTCCTAAAACATACAGTAATATTTGGCCAATGTGACCTGGGCTAGAAGTGAACACTTGTTTAAGGAAAAGCTGCCTCACGAATCTTTTGAGATTGTTGGCTCCCCGACTTTCCAGACCACATTTTCCCAGCCTTTTCTTCTTCTAACACTGGATCTCAGATCGGAACCTGCGGTCGGCCTGCCGAGCGTATTCGCGGGTAGAGGCATCGTGCGTTGCGGCACCTCCAAGGTTTCTCCCTCTGGTGTCGTGAAATCAAATCCCAGGAGAAAGGCAATCATCGTCCCCCAGTTTTCGGCATTTGCAAAGTCTTTTCCGGGACAGAGATGCTTTCCGCCTCCAAAGGGTGTATAAGCGCCCCTCGGCACGGGCGCCCCAGCGTTGAACTCGCGCTCGTCGTCCCTGGAATCGGACCGCAGGAACCGCTCTGGCTGGTACTCGGAGACATTTGCGCCCCAGTGTGCCTCATGCTGGTGGTTCACGAGCATTGACATCAATAGCGGCGTGTCCTTTTTCAGCAGGTAGGTCTTGCCCGGGTCCGTGGCCGAGGTCAGCAGCGTGTCGGACTTGACCCAGCGGTGGAGGCACCCGACGCCAATGGTGCGCTGGGTCTCGCGGTATGCGGCCATGAGTAGCGGGGCCCGGCTCTCAAGGCCCCGGATATCGAGCAACATCTCCTGTTTGCCGTTGGCCAGCTGAGGTCCCGGCACTGCGAGCGGCTTGAGCTCCTTACGCAGCTTGGCAACGAGGGCCGGTCTTGAGAAGAGGTGCATGGTGAACCAGTAGGCGGTGGGGATGGTATTGGCCAAGGCGCCCTGCAGAATAGCCATCATCATGGCTGCCTTGTCTTTGGCGCTGTAATCGTACTCATCTTGCAAACTGAGGGCTGCTATTGTAAGTTCGCTAACGTCGGGAGCTAATGGTGCTGCAGATGCAAAGTCTACAATGAGGCGTTAGAGAGTATCTCACAACGGTGGATTGAAAGAAACGCTACACTCTAGAGATGATTAGCCATATAGTCTCTTATATAAGGATAATATTGGTGGGATACTTACTACATTCGGTCAAAGCTTTATGTATGTCTGCACGCGCTTGGTAGGCGGATGAACTTGTTAACCACGGTGCTGGGCCAAGCAAAAAGTGATGTAGACACCCCTCCCATTCCCTAGAGACTCGTTAATGGAGAAGCACAGAAGAGCAATTTCCGGGGCTTTTCTTTTTACCAGAGCTTGGCGATCAAACTTCTGTCTTTGCAAAGAGGATTGTCCTTTCCCAGCAATGCAGTGATTGTCGAAGTTGTAAGCATCCCCCGCAGCCATATGCTCTATGATCGTCAAGTCAGCAACCAGGACGTAGGAAACAATGCATGGTATGTTACAGATGACTACACAAAGTCATGGCTTAAGTGATGCGGTACATGATCGTCATATACGGAGACTGATATGATGAGAATATTGCAGCTAGCTTACGGTATCTTCAACCTCCATATTCAGAGGAAGGTAGTTGATCTGTCGAAATATATCTCCGAGTACGACAATGTTCATCTTGAATAGATCAGTGCCCGTCATGGACGAGTAGAACAGCTTGACCCAGCGGGGCCAAAACCCATCACTGTTCAGGATGTCCATTGCCTTGGCCGAGATGGGAGTCGTGTACTTGATCGTTTTGATCAAGTGTGGGTCAAAACTCAGGCTACGGGCACGAAAGGCGGCGCTGATCAGCGATGGCTCGTTGATGATATACATCTTGCCGCCAAGCATGGGTAGTGTGCATGCTGGCATGGGATTTTCGTCACTGCCGCGTTTCTTGTGAGTATTCTGAATTCCATGATTTTGCCACGACGTGTGAAAGAGTGATCCTACTATAACATTTTCCAGTAGCCGTGCGAGTTGAGCAACATGCCTAGGAAGTGCCCAATCACGGGTATCCGGGCTTTCAAGATCGGAGGCTCTTGCGGATCAAGGCGAGGAGTAGAGAGGCGCCAGAAGACGACAATGAATACGCCTCCCAAAACGAGGGACATTGTGAGGCCATGGCCCCCAATCAAAGCGTCCACGGCATCGCTTAGGGCCATGGCGACGATGGCGGAACAAGACTTCTTTCGAGATGGATTGTGTATCGAAGCTCTAGATCAACGGGCTAGCCTTGACAGATGGGGTCACTACCCAGGGAGACGAATATGGAGGTGACGGTCTTGTGCAATGTGATCTGGCTTGAGAAGGTTCCACCAGATGGGGCCCCTTTCTTTATACCCTAAGTTAGGTAGTCGTCGGTTAGTCTGAAGCTGCTGTAGGCAATCAGCTCGCTGAAACGACCCAACACGACATTGCCAGCCCAACATACCGGTAACTGGCCTATCAGGTAGAGCTGGAGGCCGTGAGATGTTTGCCCAAATGATGCGATGAGGGCTGTTGGTTCGTCTGGCATTAAAACATTGGCTGCCTTGTACTACACAGAGCACAGGTCCCGAGACGTTGGTAGCGAATGAGGAGACGGAATCATGAATCCTACAGCCGTATTCAGACTATCACGCCCTTCATGGTGGAGGCGTGGCTGAGTTGTTGGTATCGAAAAATCGAATCACAATGATGCCTAGAAGTTTGTTTTCGATCCTTCCAGAGATTTTTTCCATCCCAAACCTCGACTAAAGTGGAAAAAGCAACAGCTCTTCGGGGTTAAGTTGTGTTATTCCCTTGCACTGCATTGTAAGCATAACTGTGGCGCTCAATATGTTGTTAATATTGTTAGCCAGCTGAATAAATGGTATGAAATATGTATGTTATTGGTCTGTTCTCAGGTAGGTGGTCTATATGATTATAAAACTAGAGCCAGTCCATACATGCAAAGTGGCGATTTTGATGAAATACCTTGTAAGTCAATTATTACCACCTACATAGCCAATCTCTTGGGTTCATCAGAGCGCTAGTGAGCCCTGGACGAGAGCCGCTAGGCAGTTTCTAACGCCTATCCGTTTCTGCGGTACTGGTACTCCGTCAAGGTTGAGCTGTGCCAGGAACCAGCATGGGCGGCCCAAGCAGATTGGCGGCGAGATCTTTGGGCGCCGGTCATGGCTTCTGATTCGTTCTGTAAACGTTGAAATTTAAAAGTAGAAAAGAGATAACTTCGACAGACCTCGCGGCGATCGAGGAGAATTCATGGCCATTTGAAATTCCGACATCTTGCCGCAATAAATCCCGGGTATTCGGCATCATCTTGCTCATTGTCCCCACGCTCTCCTTAGGGTGCCAAGATGTGCTTCGTAATTTCTGTCTTGGAGAGTCTCTCGATCGACAGCTACGTGTTTTTCCCTCATCAGCTCTTGACTTTGATTCTTGCACAAGCTCTGCCATTTTCAGTTCCCCGGCGCATTTCTTTTCGAATACAAACCTGTTTTCTCGGTGGTCTTTTTACCTTGCTCTGGCGTCTGGATCGTTCCCCGAAATGCAGATTGGACAGGCGATTGGCACTGCGTGTGCTACATTCGCCATCACCAACATCGACGATGCATTCGTGCTGGTCACCTTTTTCGCCGAGTCAGCCACCAGCAAAGCCCTGACGCCACTCAGGATCACCATTGGCCAGTTTGTTGGATTTACAGTCATTGTGGTAATCAGCATGATTGGCTTTGGCGTTTCGCTCGTCCTGCCATCCGAGCCGATTGGATTCTTGGGCCTGTTACCGATCATTTTGGGCGTTTGGAAGTTGTTGGAGCTTCTCCTGCCCAGCGCCGAAGACGAGACAGACAATGCCAGAGTCGCTGGTATGAAGGGCGTGTTAACAGTCGCTTCCGTCACCTTGATGAATGGAGGAGACAACATCGGCGTCTACATACCCCTATTCTCACAAGTCCGAGGAGCAGAAATCGCAGTGTACATCATTGTGTATTACATTCTACTCGGGCTCTGGCTCTTGGCTGCCTTCTTGGTGATGCGACAAAAGCATGTCCTACGTATTGTTGAAAAATACGTGCACTATGTCATCCCCTTCTTGTACATGGGGCTTGGCGCCTACATTGTCGCCAAATCGGAGTGTTATCCATGGTCTATTGAACAGATCGATGCTCAGCACACTTCTCATCCAGGTTGCGCCATCATGGCTGTCACCACTGTGGTTCTACTTTTAACAGCTATCGGAACAATCTTTTGGTATCGCTGGGGTCACAAAGCAACCCCGTCTGATACTCGGACGGATAACGACGCGCCAGCACAAACAAATGATGAGGGCCAAGAGATGACTGTAATTCAATCCAACAGCAATGCCGAAGATGCAACGAATCCCCAACATGTCGTTCACGACGGATCGGTCAATGCCGGCCAGAACCAGAGCAGCGGATAACCATAGAATAGAGGCATGGCATCCAAAGAAAGGTTGCGCTTTATTTTGCTGCGTGTAGTTTCGGTGCTAAATGGACGGTTGAGACTTTAAAATTTAATAAATGAAGAAAACAAGATATGTTTTTAGTGAGTCTTGATGCTTGATCGATTTGTGCAAAATGGCGCCAGCCGAAATATGAGCATCGAGAAGCAATCAGCGACGTCCATAGATCAACGCGAAGACTGAGCCATTTCGAATGAATATCATATCTATCATCAAATATCGTAAGAAGTTGTATCTCAGATTTCATTCATATATGCACTTCGTATTCGGGTTCAATCAAGGATCCGGATCAACTGTTCTTGCGGATATCCATTGTACAGTTGACCATGGCCCATAGCCTGCAATCTTGTTACCGTCGTCCTCAACAGTGATGAGTATTGGGTTACTGAGCGTCTCATGAGCCTTGCTACTCGAATGCAGGTCTTCCCAGTACAAGATGTGCCCAGAAACGTGGCAATCACTTCTTTGCAAAAGTTTCGGGCCAAGGAGTTTGGCGAAAACGTTTCTTCCGACGTGTTGAGCGAGGTGTACGACAAGATTAGTGGCCGTCTCAGATTCCTCGTTCAAGTAGGGAAATTGCGCGACATGTTGCGAGCATGCGACTCCATCTACGAAAAGGAGAAACGGTAGTTCTTGAGCCAGTGCTGGATCCTCGGAGAAACAAAGGATGATGATGCCGAGGATCATCAAGAGGCTTGCGCGGCAGCCATAGTGCTAGCGAAAGCTCTGGTCGATAGGGAAGATATGCTGAGGGAAAGGGGCGCTTTGGGTGCTCATCTTCCCGAGATTCCCCTTCACGAAGCCCGGCAGATTGTGACGCGGGCCGACTTTATTCAGCATCATGACCACAAGAATATCATCGCCATAGACACCAGGTCCATGGTAAAAGCCGATTCTGTGGCGATGCAAAACGTGTTCCGCGAGATATGTCGCCAGGAGGGTTTTGAGAAACACCTACAAGCTACACTTGACAGATTGGATGAGCTGGAAAGTCTGCGTCGCACGAGGGAAATAATCTTTAAATCAAGCGATTCCAGTGATGACTGATGGAATACTCGCTATCAAAAGAAGTATGTAGCCCCAGTTGGTACTTTGCGCACTACAAGGATTGTGAGAGGCTGAATCGGTATCTGGTGCGACGGAGTACAGAGATTCAGGGTGCATTCATGGTCAGCTCATTCTTGTCTCGCTCTTCCATCCACATCTTTGGAATCCAATTTTTGGTTCTCTTTAGCCACTTGTCCTCCTTCTCCCATGTGTGAACCATTTCCCGGCAGCTCGGGGATCTTCGCGCGACTGACCGCCCACCATGATGTAGGTATGTTGGTATGGGTCGGGTTTGTCGTGTTACGCGTTATGCAATCCTTCGTTCCCACCAGCCAAGCGACCCCGCAGACAACCGATAGACACATGCAGTCGGTCAGATCAAATGAACCCTTGAAAATAAATCCTAGTCGATTCTTGGTCACCTAGATTCTTTGCCTTTTTGTACTTGCTGCTTCATCTTTCTGCCAATTTCTTGTTGCCATTTGCATCATTCGTTTGTTCGGCTGTTGTGGTATTATTGCATCGTTCCAGTCTCATCATCATGGCCGACGTAAAGCCAAATACGGATTACTCTGAGCCCGAGTATGCAAAGTCGCAGGAGAGGGCCAAAGTCCCGTATTATCGTCCCAATATTGAGCACCGATTGGTTTCAGAGGTATGATATTGCTATAACACTAGAAGAGAGATAGGAAGAGAGAAAAGTGTCAAATGTTTCGCAACTAACGCATCGTCACCAGACACAAGAGTTGCTTGAGAAATACAGTCACATACCACCAGAGGACCAATCGGCGCACATTCACAAGCTGGTGAGTAGATAATGATCAAACAAGCAACAAATCAAAATCAACTGACTGCTCCCTATAGCGAGATGAAGCGTGGGATATCCGTGCATACCCTTGTATAGGTCTTGGCTCGTGGCTCACTCCTCAGCTCCGTCGCTTGCCCATCTATGACGAGATCCTGGATCGTGTTAAAAGCCATGGTGCCACTCTGGTCGACGTGGGAACCTTTGTCGGCCACGACCTTCGCCGTCTGGCCTACGACGGCGCGCCCTCCGACAAGCTGTACGGCGTCGATATCGTGAGCTATGCAGACGTTAGTTACGACTTGTTCCGCGACCGCGAGACTTTCAAAGGCCACTTTATCCAAGCTGATATCTTGTCCGACGAGTCAGCCGAGCTCAACGCCCTCAAAGGCAATGTAGACATAATTGTCGTCTCCCAGCTCTTGCATCAATGGACTTGGGATAATCAAGTCAAGGCCGCAAAGGCTTTGGTCGACTATACTAAGCCGGGCTCCCTGATTGTCGGAAACCAGATTGGTAACTCGAAAGCGTTTGAACTTACTTTAAAGACACCCCCAATCTCTATATGGCGACACAATGTTGAAAGCTTTACAGACATGTTCAATAAAGAGGTTGGCCCGGCCACGGGGACTACATGGGAGGTACAGGCTTGGCTACGATCCTTTCCTGATATGGGCTGGGATCTTAGTGATGCAGCCGTAAGCAACTTCCGATGTTATTTCTTTCCTTTTCTAGGTTGTCTCATGAGCAAGCATTGCCCATATTGGTGCTGCAAAAGAGCAGACTCAGACAAACTGCTCAAAAGAGCTGCTTCAAACTCTTCTATCTACCCAAGTAGGCAATTGCTAACATATGTTGTTGTAGTGGATGGAACCAGATGTTTGCTTGGTTGAGTTTGCAGCTCGACGACTCTCTTGAGGGAGTTATACTGCGCCAAGAGAAAAGTCGCAAAGACGATTGATCCATGTACGCCTAGTAAGTCAAGAGATCATGAAACCTGCAAGGTAGAATAGAATATATTGAGAGGCAATGGTACAGTCTGCAATTGGACCCGAGGCAGTGAGCATTAAGTCCATTGACTTGCTGCTTTTATCGATCAGCCCGGACCATCACAGCTGCTAAAATGGAAGTGAATCACTGCTCAGCGTGAGAACTGTGCTATAAAAGAGGCCAGGATTGATAGTAAACAAACGAAATTCAATACAGAAGACAAATATGTGCACTGTCCATCCCGTTCATACTTCGCTATATACCTACTCAATCGTGTTGGCATCATCTTGAGCTTACAGCCTTGAAGCTTGCCTACAGTCGCGCACACCCGAACGAAGAGGGATCATAGAGGCACCAAATCAAAAGTAGCCACGTCAATAGCTACATTGTACTCCGAATACAACGAGATGGATATCCCTATGAGAAGCATGGCAAGTTGCTACAGCGTGCTCCTGTTGTACACCTGGGTGACAGCCATTACTTCAATCGGGATGGCTCTGATCAACATAGCACTGGGGGATGCGAATTTAGAGGTTGAAAGGATAGGGATAACCGAGCTCATCTCATGTGCCCTGCTCTGGCTATCGGCACGGGTCGGCGCCCTCGTTTCCTCATCGTTCTCACCATTCTGGGGATCGACACTACCATCGAGAGAAGTGCAACTACAATGGTTCAGTAGCAGTCTGGGATTGACTTGCATAACCAATCTCATGAGTTTGGCTATTTGCACTGCTATTGGTGGCGATGAAGCTCAGCTGGTCTTGTTGAGTGTGTATTGGGTTGCAGATACCATGCTAGCAATTATCATGGTTCTTATCATGCTTCGGGGAAATTAGGGCCCGGTCCATGAAAGAAATATGAGAATACCTGTTCTACATCATAATAAAATCATTTTCTTGTAATAATATCAGTTACAACCTATACAAGTCTGCATTATGATTGTGCATCTAACTTGATTCGGAAGCGTTTGATAATTCTCCGATTCACATTCATGGTGCAGCCATCTCTACATGACTGACAGCTTTGTCATGATACATTCCCCAAAGTATTTCATCATGATTAACCATGGCTGTAAATAACATATACTGGCCGACGCCATTTCTTGCAGGAGTCCTTTCCTCGATGACCGACGATGGGCGGCCATTCTCGGCCCTAAGTCATGCCGTTGATTGCGTGTGGTTTCAATGAGCAATGATTCAAGGACACGCGACTAGCCAATCATCTAGTGATATGAGCGTCCTGGTCTGTTCGGCGCTCGGCTCTACCATGGAGATATTGTATTCGAGAACATGCCCAAACTTACGTGACGGGTGCACTCAGGACCGCATCAGTCAGGTCTCAACTTGCAGGTGGCAATGGCCAGTAGGATCCAGAGTCGGCATTTGTGAATAGACCAATGATATGACTGGTCCGTTATTTACCGAGAATCGAGTATAAGACAGGGACGTGGGTAATCAAATGCCAATATCCAGGGATAATAGCCCGGTTAATAAAAGTTGAAGCTGATTCGCATACAAATCTGCCGTGAACTCCATATACCACCAATTCTATAGCCCCATCTAGTCAAAGATATCGGGTACTGCCTCCGCCCTGGTCCTAGGCAGAGCGGCGAAGAAATTGGTCGCCCTAATTGATCAACATGACGCAGATCTCAAGTATAAGAGTTGGATGTCGCGTTCAGTGTAGCCTTGCCTAGCCTGCCTTTGCATACCTCTAGTTCTTGTCATCAACATTTTTCACAGCTTGAAAACGCCAAGATGAAGTGGCTTCTCGCATCGTCACTCGTGTTTATTGCACCAGCCCATGCGGGCCTGCGCTTCCAATGCTCTACCCTGACCGTCCAGCGTCTTGATCCGGTCGTACAGCCAGGCTCCAACCCCTCGGCGCACGTTCACCACATTGTTGGCGGCAATGCCTTCAACGCCACCATGGAAGGTGACGTGAGTTCCCGCGCGACTTGCACCACGTGCGAGATGGCCGAGGACTTTTCCAACTACTGGACGGCCAACCTCTACTTTAAGCATCCTACCAATGGCTCGTACCACCGCGTCGATCCGATTCCCGTCAATCCTGGCAACCTAGACGGCTACTCTGGAACGACGGGCGGACTCACTGTCTACTATACTCAGCATGATTTGTCCCGCGACATGATCTCCCAGACGCCCATCAAGTCGTTCCAGCCAGTGAGCACACTTGAGAGTATCATCCACGGTAGACCAAGAAGGCTGACATCGTACAGGGTTTCCGCATGACGGTGGGCAGCCCGAGCAAGAGTGGAACCCCTCAGGTCGGTCTGCGATACCAGTGCCTGACAGCCAGTGGTGGCAGAGGTGCGGAAATGAACGACTTTCCCAAGTCTCCCTGCGCCGGGGGTATATTTGTTACCAACCACTTCCCAGCGTGAGTATTGGTTTCTCAACGACTTTCACATGAACCGTATTGACATGCAAGACAGCTGTTGGGATGGCAAGAACCTTGATAGCCCGGATCATCAATCACACATGTACAACACCATCACCTCGGACGGCTTTGTCAATGCCGGACCTTGTCCATCCACCCATCCGGTTCGGATGCCACAGGTGCGTGTTACTAAACGATGAGTTGGAAATAAACTCAAAATTCCATGTGTAAATGCTAAGTAATAATTCAGGTCACCTATGAGACTGTCTGGGATACCACCAAGTTCAACAGCATGTGGCCTTCGGGCGGCGCAAACCCCTTTGTGTGGAGTTTCGAGGGCACGACCGGCATCAATGGGGCCGGCACTCACGCCGACTACATGTTTGGCTGGAAGGGTGATGCCCTGCAAAAGGCCATGAACAAGTCTGAATGCTTTTACGATGGCTGCGGCTCCCTGCAGAAGCAGCAGATGAGTAAGGCTGGTCAATGCACCGTAAAGGACATGGTGGGTGAAGAGACTGGAGGATGTAAGTTCTCGTTGCCCGGCATACCCCCTAAAGCATGGCATGCTGACTCGCTTCAACAGGGCTCGCCAAACTTCCCGGCATGTAAGCAGCGAATTGCGTTATTCACGGTTCAGAGATCGTGGGATGTGTGCCACGGGGAGTTCCGATTAACTGAGTATAAATTCATGATTCCAGACCATATTATCAACTTCTTAAGCGGAGTTCTCATAACAATGTGATGATTAAACACCAATACCCATAGAAACCTTGTAGTTGTGGACAAATTTTGCCATGTTTGCATGCATGAGAGCGTGGAATTGCATGAACCAACGATGCCTTTGACGATCAAACGACAGCTGCCATTCGTAGATGATTCGACTCAATAAATCGACCATTGAATCTAATAGATTGTTGAAGAATATCCGAAACATCGCCAGCAACGTTGAACCCAGAGCTGAATCACCCTCGATTGAAGCAGTCTCAAGCCGCCAGCCTCAAAATGCTCAAGACTTGTTCCTTGTCCAACTTGATCGGATTCTCTTCCGTACACCAATCATGCAGCGCGACCTCGGCCAGGCTATCAAATTTGTCCTCACCAATACCAAAGTGCCCCAGCGTGGTCGGCAGGCCAAGCGCAGACACAAAGGCCCCGACCAGATCCCCGGGGTCCGCGCTCTCCTTCTTGAGCCCCCGTGCCTCGAGCACATCCACGATCGAGGGATCCTTCCAGAACACGTCAATGATTCGCTGGAGATTGCGCCGGACATGGGCATCGCCGTGCTGCCAGTTGTACTTGAGCACATGCGACAGCATGACACAGCTCGTCTCACCGTGGCCCACGCCCAGAGGTCCCAGCTGATGCCCGATGCCGTGGCTGGCACCGAGACCATTGTTGATGGCGCGCGGGCACTCCCTGACCACGAGCATTTCTTGGAGGCGGGCCTCGGGATCCTCCCAGCTGGCCTTGGTACGAAGCAAGTTGACGAGCAACTTTTCGAGCGCCGCCATCAGGTCCGCACTCGTCTCGGGCGATGCATCTGGCAAGTTCTCGTACAGACCTTCGCAGCAGTGGTCCACACCGCGGACGCCAGTCGACAGCCAGAATCGCTCCGGGGTCGATACAGTCAGCGCCGGGTCAAGGATCACGATATCGGCGAGCATGGACTCGTGCTGGAGGATAGTCTTGTGCCCGTCGCCTTCCGTGTCTGTTGCGCCACCAATTTTTGTGTACTCGCCACCCGAGAGAGTCGTTGGGACGTTGATACAGGGGATCGTGGCCGGCTTGACCTCATCCTCAGAAGGGTGTGGAGCCCATATCTTGCACTTTTCACGTATTCTTTGGATGTCTTCAAAGTGGGTGATTCCGTTGGCGGCAAACAAACGTGCAAGCTTTACACCATCTGTCAAAGAGCCACCGCCTAATGTAATGACCAGATCAGACTTTTTGTCTACAATGTCTCGAGTTACCTCGAAAACGTCCTTCCACTAAAACATTCTGGGTCAGTAAACTTCTTCAAAATGAACGATTGGGCTTCCAAACACCATGAATTTCTTACCGGCGTGTGTGGTGCCATGCCATGCCGAACGCCAGTAAGACGCGAGCCTAGTGTTTTCTGCAGATCTGAAAACGCCTGCGTTTTGCTAATGGAACTGGAGACCACCACATATACCCGCAAAGCACCAAAGGTGTTCTCGGCGTGATGCTTACAAGCTTCATGGAATGGTAACCCGTGAGAGATGTAAGGTTTGTTGCCCTTTCCAGAAGACGAAAAGTACTTTTCGTTTGGTGCCGCCATGGTGCTCAATCGGGCATAGAAGCCAAAGTGAATTGATTCTGATGTGTGATTGAGGGCTTTGAATGAATGGTAGTGCGTTTGACGTGCTGTTGTACCGGAGGATCTTTACAAGTGGACCACTATTGCCTCTGAGCCTTGTGCTAAGTAACATGAGGAGGAGGAGCTAGAGACTTTGGATAAGGGCGCCGCGGCTTTTGTTTTAAGTACTGAGAAAATGTCAGATTTGGAGATCAAAGACCCGTGTCACCTTCCCCATCATTGATTCGGAGATATGGGGCTTGGTACGGTCGATTTATGTCATGATAGGGAAAATTGCTGCATAGGCGATGGAGTGCATAAGATGATCATGTCGTTTCATGGGTCGCAGTAGTAATACTCCCCGCCACTCAGGTGTAACAATAGTTGTAGATCGACATGATTCTGCTGACAGACGTTCTTTCATGAAGCAAAACCCGTCGGCGGAACTGCCTATATCAGTGCCCACAAAACGCTCTCTCACATCATCGTCATGGAGCATGGCATGATAAGTCACTCAACGTGAAATCATCAAAATATTCATGTTCATCAAACTAACTCAACTAAAGGGAGTATCATAACGCTCATGATTCATTGCCTGCCCCTAATTCGTGCTTAAAAATGAACTCATTGCTTCTCAGAGCCAGGTACTTTCGAGGGGATATCTCCAGTGGGCGCAATGGGGGTGGACTCTGCGGTGCCCGCCTTCGGGCCAGGCTCTGGGACACCAGATGTCGAGGTAGATGCGGCTGGACGAACAAAAAAACAATCAGCAAAACAAATCAACCACCAAACGACCAGAATTAAGGAAATATGGGTGCTGGAGTGCTTCCAGCCAAAGCAGTCTGTGGCAACGCTGGAGCCATGTTGACCTGGTTAGGAGCAACTGCCTCCATTTCCACAAGCGCACTTTGACTTTTCGCACGAGCACTCGCTTGGCTTTCCGGAGCAACCACAAGTTGTTTGTCGTTCTTTGAACTTTGGGCAACTGTCGCAGACACACTTGTCCTTCTCGCAGCCACAGACTCCTTGGTCACCCTTACAACCACATGTCGTGTGGTTATCAACACCAGTCGGATATGGTTTGAACTCACTTGTGCCTTCTGGTCCTGCGCCAGCGGACTTGTCCTTTCCAAAGACGCGCTCAAGGCCAGATGCCTTGTAGGCACTGCCGCCGTGCTCGTCCTTCTTCAGATCTGCGAGGCGGCGGGCTTCGGCGTGAATGTCCTGGACCTGGCGGGAGCCCTCTGTGTAGAAGCCGACAAGCTTCTTGCCAGTGGGAGTGTTGGTCTGAACAAATCTATGGTTAGCTTGGTTTCCAATCGTAGAATACAAATGCCTCTCGAGGTGGAAATATCGTTTGTGGTGACTGATCACTTACGGCCTTCTCAAAGTATGAGTTCAGGCCACCCCACAGGGTGTTGGCTCTCTGCGTGATACCGTACGACTGGTCTGCCGTCTTGGCTCGGTCTGTGGCGTGGTACTTGGTATCTAGGTTCTGGAGAGTCGAGACGAAGCGGGTAGAGACGCCGTGCTTCGAGTCAAGCTCGATAGCTCGCTGGAGAGCAGCATCGCCGACAACGTAGCCATGTGCAAGGTACTCAGCAAAGATACGGCTTCTGGGCTTCTCCTCTTGGGTAATCTCGTCGCTGTCCCGGTCGAGGTTGGTGGTCGGGGCGTGGTCGTCGGCAGAACCCTCGTGGGTGACGGAAATCTGGTTGGGGCCGAGCTTTGTGTTGTTCAAGAGCTGAGCAGTCTTGGCAGCGGTCTCCTTCTCAAAGACGACGGTGGCCTCCTTGGTCTTCTCGGTAGGGGTAACCTTGATGTCAGTGATCTTGCCACTACTAGATGTTAGTCTGCGCCCTCAAAAACGCATGTTTTGCGTAAAAGAGACACCGACCAGAAGCTGAAGAAATCCTTGATTTCCTTGTCATCGGTCTCCGCCGAGATGTTGGTAACGTGGACAGTCAGATTGGCAGCCATGTTTGTAGGATATGAGAGGATCTTGGTGAAATGTAGATGATTGTTGTTGTAGCGGGGTAGTAGTGTGAGGTGGTATGTCGTCAATGGATCTTTGTTGGTAAATATTAGGTGGAATGTGGAATGTCAAAGAAAAGTGGTAGGACCCCTCAAGTTGTTTTATGGGCAGGAGAATAGGAGGCAACCTCTGGCCAGACCAGAAAGTGGGCAAGGGCTCATGAATGTTTGGCCTAGAAAGCACTGGCATCTGCTGGCTCTGTGACGCGTATGGCGAGCGGAAAGCTGCGATACTTGCTTGCTTTGGGGGGGTAGCTCACAGTACCTTGCTCCAACCTAGTCTTGCTGTGCTGTAATTGATCCATACCTACGACTTAGTACCTCATTTCTCAGCGGTGGGTGGAGGGGCAATAACCCACGTCATCGTTTGGTGGCTTGCGACGGCACGTAGCAATGTTTTAGACTCGGCTAGGCCTGCGTCGGGGAGGCTGTGCACCAATAGGCCACCCGTATACTTGAAATTGTGTGGCGCAAGATGGCCAACATTTGGGGGATGCCGGGGCTGGTAAGTAACATGTTGATTCGATATTCTTGTGTCCTTGGATAGCTCTAGGCTTCTACAATAATTTTTTATGCTTGCGTTGTCCTTTTCGCAATTTTGATTCTCGAACATTTGTTTCGAAATAGACGCATTTCCCCTAGGCCCCTGTCCACCTATACTACGAGGTACATTGGCGTCGACGTTTAGCATGTGATCCACCTCAATACCCATTGAAACCCGCTTGCCGCCTGTACACAATTGCGCCCGTTGGAGTTGACCAGGACAATATACACCAGAATTTGGATGTTGAAAGGCCATATTTATCCTCATTATTTACGTGTAGTCGCTGTCTTGACATGATTTATTGCACCAGCTTCTGAAGGTATGGTGTGATACCATCTCATTGGTCACAATGTAGGCAATATAGGAAACATTCGTAGAGTGCGGGGTACTTTGATTTCATTAAAGGTACGGCCTGTACCTGCTGTAAGACGCTCTATTCATACACTTTAGATTGTTCATTCCATCGTAATAGTTTATGTTTATCTCCCTTGTCGCCATCGAGTCATTTCTCGGTCTTGGTGAACTTGGAGGCCAAAGCATCATCGAGGGCACCCTTGGGGTTAGACTCGAGGTTCTAAGCATGATCCAGTTAGCATCAAGTTGCCGGTTTACAAATGGAAGATTGCTTCATATGGCTTACCTTTAGCTGATCTTGCTGCTCGCCCTTCTTGTTGTCGGTGTTGATCTGCTCGAGGCCTTGTCCAGAGGCAGGCTGGTCCTTCTGGGCGCTGGTCTGGCGCTCAGGGGGAGGGGACTGACGACCTTCAGGCATTGTGGATGGTGGTTTATTGAGGGTGAGAAAGTCTATACGGAGGTTTAGTTACTTCAACGCGCCATGTCAGTAATGATTAATAGAGCAAACGTACATTCGTTGAAAGTGGTGGTGAGTTTGAAATCGTTTTGTGATTGCTTGTTGACGAACAGGATAGAAATCAAGGAGGATTGAGTTTGAGATTTATGTATTTGCGAAAAGAGCTCCTCAACTGCTAGCTGCTGATTAAGTCGTGCAGTTGCTTGCTACTGAATACAGATTGTCTTACAGCAATTGACATCAGATTGTCCCTAGATGAAGTCATGGTCCATATTAAAGACCCTCTACGTCATATCGGCCCTTGATAGGTGAGAGCTCTGGATAGTGGAAGGCGCTTCAAGCGGGCTCCGGAACAAACACAGCGGGCAGAGTGGGTCAGCAACCTTAGCACTTGAACCCTGTGAGCTCATGTGGGGTGAGTGAGGGGCCGCAATTGCGACATGATGGCCTTGACGGGCAGACTTGAGTGGTTAAGGTGTCGTGACGGTCTTGCAGATCATCAAGAGTAGACCTAAAGCCTCACTGAAGCGAGTAATATCTCGCCATGAGGCTGAAGCTTTCATATCTGATCTCGATGCAGATAAGTGCAAGCGCAAGGTACGGATTTCATACACCACCTAGTACCTTGATGTAAACTCCAGATGCCCGAGATGCCCTGTCCAAGTCTCAAAGCCGTGCCAGACAGTGGCGGTGAGTGGAGACAACGGCATCTGCCTTAGTGCTGCAGCCTGTTGCCATAGGCTGTTCGGGGTCGTGTCCCATTAACACTCGACGCGAATCTCCTGATGCGACCACTTTGACGCGACCGCATGTTCATGCCGCTATCTTGGGGTTTGTGCCTTTTGAAACCTACAATTCCCTTTGAGTCGCCGCGCACCAAAACACGGCCAAAAACAACACATGGAGAGCACAACTCGCACCGCCTACGTTTATCACAAGTAGCAGCTCCCAAGGCTTTACAAATGAATACAGTCACGATTCCAGTATTTGCCTTGTGATCACCCCGCCTAAGAAGAACGTCTTGTATCCAACAGCCAAAACTTGCGACTCTCCCCCGACACACTGTTGACCTTGTCCCCATTCAACCTGCGTTAGAGCATCGAATCACTCACTGCCATCATGCCGGACGTCAACTCGATCCCGGCGTCGCCCTCGAGCATAAGACGTCCATCGGCTAATGCCTCAGCCCAACCTCATGTCGCTGCGCCAGTGCCCCCCGCCTCAACCTCGCCGACACTGAACATTCTCCCTTCGAACCAACAGTCGTACCACCAAGGCGTTCCAGGCTCTTTACCATCGCCGTCGCTCACGACCGCAGCCAGTATCCCACCCCCAGCGGCACCGGGTCAGGATAATGCTGGTGTAGGCGCTGGTCCTGGACCAATCCGCCATCCACGACCTTTGACTGCTGCTGAACTCCATCAGCAGCTGGAGGCCGAACAGGAACTACTGGTGAGCTTGGCTTGACGTGCCACATATCTGCTTTCCCTAATCAGTCTTGCCAGGTTAATCGATTGACTCGAGATTTACAAACACTCCGAGCAGCTCACAACTCTTCTGTTGCATCGAATGCCTCATCGGCTTCCGCTGCTACTTCGACAGATCAGGCGCAGTCCTCATTCGTAGACACGCATTTATTGTCTGGTCCCGGATTCCCTCTACCCACAACCAGTGCCGACCGTCGGCACCAACGCACAAGTTCCAGTACCAGTGCAAGAAGCTTCAGTCACCTTGCGTCTGCAGGCTCAACGCCAGCACCAATCCCCATCAGCCATGCACCTTCTGGTAATCCAGGCTCTGTCCTCGAGGCTGCACGGAATCCAAGAAGCAGCATGTCCATGTCGCGCCAGAATAGTACCGCTTCCCACCGGAGTGCAAGCAGGTCGCGCAACAGGTCACCACGTCCTCACGGCGGTCCTGGATCATATTCGCAGCCCCATGGGTTTCCTTACACTGAGCATCCAAGTGGGTCTGGATATTTCCCACCCCGTAGTCACCCGACGTCCAATAATCAGAGCACTGCTGCTACACCTGGATCCGAATTGTCACCCGGCCTGATGCCTGCGACCTTGAGATATGAAGAGACGGCATTCTATCGCCAGGAGCTTGACACAGCGAAACGCGAGAATGAAACCCTGAAACGACGTATCAAGGAACTTGAGAAAATGGTTCGTGAGCGACGAGAAAGTGATGCCTCTAGAACTAGTGGAGGTGGTGGTGGTGGTGGTGGTGGCGGTGCACGGATCAGAAGTGAGAGCACAAGCACCACGGCAAGCGTCAGCGTCAGCGAAGCAGTAGGTGCAGGTGGAGGTGGCACAAACATCGCCGGCGGCCGGAGAGACCCTCCTGGCCGAGGTGGAATGTCCATGGAGAGGGCTTTCAGTACCTTGAGCATGGCTGGAAGCGTTGGCGTCGGTGTTCCTGACGAGGAGTTGCAAGTCGGCGAGAGCGCATCCAATACGGGTATTAAGTCCCAAGAGCAGAAGTAAAATCGTGATATCAAGGGGTAGAGAGGTAGGAGGGTATAGGTTCTGGCTTACTGACTGCAAATGAATCAACAGCCACTGAAGCTGTGACGTGTCAGAGTATTAGGATTGATGGGTAATGAGAGAAGCTCATGGACTGGTAAGTGTCTTGTTGACACACGTCATGGGGACCATGGCGATTGATGGAAAGGATCAAGGCAATGTTATGGTCCGGTTGGCATTGATGCAATGTTTTGACTTGGTACTTGTGTACCTGGTAGTTAGACCCACAAAGCGAAAGACATGCTTTTTAACCATCAAAAGATTCTTCTCAGGATCGTGACATCTTCTATTGACCAAAGTACGATCCACATCATAAAGACATTCAAGGAGCACATATACGAAGCTAGCGAGGCACCCATTCCTTGTCAAGTTCCGAGCCCCTATGTAATTGGACATACCGCGGGCCACTTCCTGTCCACGTTATCAATACTCGTCATTATGCCATTGTCTGAAGATGAGCATCACCAATGTTATTCTTGACGTGCTACTTTTATAGCATCACTGGTACCAGAAAGGGCAAAGGTGCCTTTCTGTTCAGCTATTCAAGCAGTATTCGTGTAGCAAGACACATTTTTGAGCATTTATCCACCTTGGATAATGACTGGGTTAGACTTGAATCATGAGATGCATGGCAATCAATCAACGGTAGAAGTCCGTCTCTTCTTATTGCCATCTATGGGTCTAAATACCAAGATTGTCCATAATACAGTGTTCATAGCCTTTAGAGTCGTCATTGAAATTCATGGCGAAGCCATAGTTTGCTGCAATCCATCTACCTCAAATATAAGAAAGCAAAGAACTCCAGTAACAGAATCGCGTAAAGAAAGCCCTCCACGCCTGCACCCACCAAGAACACTTTGGCATACATCTTATAAAGCCGTAGCCAAATGCTGCCATTCTTCATGGATTTATATGCTTGAGTCATTGTGAGATATCCCGTCTCGTGCACTCCTTCAACACCAAACGTGCGATCCACCTTGACAATGGTCTCCTTCTCAACTGGCAAAAGCGACGCCTGCACCCTGACTAGGGCAGCCTGTGCCGGTATATAAAAGACAGCCAGGAAGGCGTAACGGATGACAATATAGACGCCAATTTTCCACGCTTCAACCTCTGGAGCAAACGTCTCGACTGTTAAGCCGGTAGGATATTGAGGGAACAGTGGTATTTTGGCCATTTCACCATGCAGCAATACAACGGCAAGAATGGCCACGGACTCTGCCATGGAGGCTGCAAAGCAGGCAAAGAGTGCGGGAATGGCAGTGGTGTGGAACGCCATTCGAAAGCCAGGCAGCTGGATTGGTGACGCCTTCTTGTTCTGTCTGATCATGGCACTGTGAACCCATGCCATTTGCAACTGCAAAGTCAGAATGGTTATCACGACGTCGCTGGCCAAGTCGGGCACCAAGGGCACGGCTTTCAGAATCGCAGCCAGTGTAGCTTGAGCTGTAATGAGCAAACAAAAGCTACTACTCGCTTGAAATAGTGACGCAAATCTACCGACTGACCATAGGAGCCGGTGAACGTTGCAGATGCTATCGGTCACAGGCCTGGCATCAGCGTCGTGAGATGGTTCCGTGGCAGCTCCGGGCCCTTGCCTCTCACGCATTGGAAGTGTCTCATACTCGTGTTTGCTCTCGACTATAGTGAGGACTGGAATCACACTCCCAAGTGTGTAAATAAGCTGCGACAGTCAGCATAGAAATACAACGCCAAGCACGGCGAGCGATGACTTACATAGACCAAGCCAGAAACAATAAATACAGCATTGACAACGGCTGCCCCGAGAAAGATGAACCCGTTGACCGAACCAGGATTGTCGCTATTCGCTGGCGGTACCTTGACTCTGGCGAACAAGGTCGCGGCGACTTTAATGTCCAGCATTGCAGTGCTTGTAGATCCGACCTCGACTTTCGTGTGAATATCACTTGTAGCATGGACTATGCATTGTATTGGAGTATTCCGAATGCTCGAGAAATCAGATATGAAGAAAGGAAACCTGGAGCTTGGCCGTGAGCTAAAGACGAATTTTGGCCTGTCTTGATCCTTCGGGAGCTGGACAGGGCGAAGCTCATCAGATCATAGCATGTCGGCGCCCACATGGCACAGCCTAGCAGGGCGACGGTAATACGGCACAGGAAGCTTAGCGTTGCATTGTATTTAAGACTCCTTGTCAACGTCGAGAGTGCAATGGAGAAAGGTAGTATGTGTAGACATTATTCTGGTCCTGCACGCATGTAAATATTTTCGACAGTTCTTGTATCATTTACTATTCTCGGGAGAGATTTTTTCTAATTCACTGTAGAATTTGTGAGGCAGCCTGTTTCAATCTTTCAGGCGATCCACTCATATAGGTGGCCCGTTGAATTAACACGAGTTTGACGGACGTAAGAGAAAAGAAATAACCTTGAATCCTTCCAAAGAATCGCCGCTAGCGCAGGGGTGGTCCTGAACCTCATCAGGCGGCCGTATAACATCTGCCTCCCCTGCTAGAACAGATTTGTAGCTTTTTAAAAGTGATTGAAATTCATTAAAATACATTGCTGCACCCATTCTCCAGGACAAATAACAACCAGCCCTGAATAATGGCGGACAAGAGTAAGAGTACACGGGCTTCCATGTCAAAATGGCTATCCTGGAACATGCGAATCATTATTCCTGCCCTCTGTCTAGTCATTGAGATGCTGATCTGTAGTCACAGCTAGAGTCATCATCGGGAAGCCCACTCCATTGAGTATCCAAGACGATTGGCGCTGTTTCTTCAGTAATCCTGACTGTCAAAGTAGGATCAAATGTCGACATGGGTGTCCCTCCGATAGTCGCCTCTGCCCTTCCCTGAGCTGCCAGCCGATCCAATCGGGATTTTCGGCCAGGGATAGTAATCAACTTGTGGAGAGGCGGCAAGCAAGATGCAAAAATGCCTAATCCAGTCTCTACAGTGGAACAAATAACGATGACACTAAAATGATCTTCATACATGCATTAGCTCGATTGAACGCCGGAGTGAATATTGAGGATACTCACAAAGGCTGTCTTGTGGAACTCTATAGTATTTCAGGTAGGGCATTCTCACGATAGCTCCTATACTGGCAAACGCGCCCAATCCCAAGACAACCATGATTGAGCGCTTCTGTCGTTTATCCATATTCAGCTTTCTAATCATCAAAAGGGGCACCACTGCACAACCCCAATCTGGGAGGATATTTATTACACTGAAAGGCCAACTCATGGTAGGAACAAATGTATAAGACTTGCAAGTACCAAGAGAAGGGTCAAATTGTGCTCCGGGAGGGACACATATGACGAGAAACAGAATGAGACATATCATGGAGACGACCATTTCTGCAGCCATTAATGTCCAAAGCACGATCGTATATCGGCGGTCGGTGGAGATGCGCATCATGGCGAGCGCAATAGAAGCCTTCACCAGATTGAGGGATACCGCATAACCTATGCACCAGCCACCCAAGTCGTTGGCAGCCATCGAGAAGTTGGTCTTGTTCAGCTTCGAATCTAGGGTTCCAGCACCATGGAATCCAGCTAGAATCGCGAAAATCGAGCACGGAACATATGCTGCCTGTATCATAGGGGTACTCTGATTAGATGGATTGTAAATATGCAATGGAAGAAATGGAAGAAGCGGTTTTCAAAGTTAAGACAGAGAGTGAAACCACTCACATAGCCCATACAAATCACTGTATCATCCCACCCCCATGCCTTCTTAGCATCAAACAACCCAGAGCGTATCCAAATTCGCAGCGCGACGACGACGACCGTATTGGGAACGAGTAATATGAGAGTCGTGATAATAAGTGCTAAAGCCAAGCCTTCCACTTTTGGACATGGAGGATCGGGGTGCATTGCAAATAATGCCCGTCTTGCGGCGAACTTGACTTGACAAGCAGAACGACTAGAGAGCCTTCCAAAAAGGACGTCTTCAACAAATGGGCTGAAATTTTGAGTAGTAAGTGGGTCATTATCTTCGAATGCGCGCAGAGAATCCCATTTTTCCCACCAGGCACTTTTAAAGGCTCTAATAGGAGTCTCATCTCGGTGAACATATATGCAACTTCGGTGAGTAAATTGTATTAGGATTGTAATTGGCAGCTAAACCCGAGGTCAGGCCTCGTACTTGCCGAGAACTTCTATCCAATCCCAGTGTGTATATAGCAATCGCAACTCGTAATGGAGGGTGGGACAAGACTTGATATCGGGCAGTCTTGTGGTTCGTTGGAGTTGATTTGGCCAAGAATACCCCCAAGTCTATATCGCAGATGTCCGTAGAGCTAGGATGTGTGTCCCCGCAGTGTGTCTATTGTGCTCTGTGTTACCCCATATCCGGCTGTGTCTCTGGCATCTGCAGACAGAGCGGGTGATTACTGAGCATACTCCAGAGACTGAAAACACGGCAAGACCGAAAGTAGAGGGTGCGTTGTCACCCGCACAACCGCACTTGTTTTCATGCAAGCTTTACTAAGTATCCCAGGTCACATATTGCTTTCTGCGTATTTTGCGCGAGTACTATAGGTTGATACTTATCAGATCATCAATATGCAGCCCAATGGATGGGCAATATTCCGCAATAGGGAAGTGATCCGATACAGAACCGATTGCAGTGGCTCACCACCAAGAACTATCTATACTCGGTACGGTCCGCAGACAGTCTTGTGCGGGGGTTCAAGAATTTCCTCCGGGTCGCATATATCAACCAGGCTACCGCTCAAAATCCCCCGAGAGAAAAGTCCGTCTCCAACCTGTTCAAGTCTATCCATCTTTCCCAAACAGAAATCATATTGTGTCAAGTAGACATCATGGATATTGCTGCAGCCGCCATCATCACTGCGATTGAGTTTGTCTTGGTCCGCAAATGGGAAGACTCGATCGCGACAAATCTCAGCTCCGAGCATGTCCTCAGTCTGTTTTTGACGCAGTACTTGCTGTTGAAGTATTATCGCATGGTCCTTTACCCAAAGTATTTCTCGCCTCTTCGACACTTTCCAGGTCCAAGCGTCAGTCTTTGTTCCTTGGCAGATGGTGTCAGGCCTGTGACTAATTCAAGCAGGGCGGGCACTTGTTTTTTGGACAGACGATCAATATCTTGAGAGCCGAAACTCCAGTGACCCTTTTCAATGAGTGGATGCATAAATGGCCTGATGCTCCCTTTATTCGGTATCTAGGTGTTGGAAATCAGGAATTCCTCCTCCCCAACAGCCCCAGTGCGTACAAAGAAGTTCTTCAGACACATTGTTATTCATTTCGCAAACCCGATTGGTTTATCCGCATGACCAAGGAAGTACTCGGCGTCGGACTGGCCAGCTTGGAGGGCGAGACGCACAAGAAAAATCGGCGAATGCTGAATATCCCATTTGCTGGGCCAAATGTGCGCAAACTTGAGCCCCTTTTCAAGGACAAGGCCCGCGATATTGGCACGGTCTTTGACTCTGCCATAATTTGCGGTGATGATGGGGGAAGGACAGGCGTGATTGACTGTACCGAAACTTTTTCCAAAGCTACACTGGATATTATGGGTGCCTCAGTCCTAGGTGAGTAGTGACCTCTGGTCACACAAGACGTTGACGCATCAAGTGCCTCGCTCTAATCACTGCAAATCAGGAAAGGACCTATGTAGTCTCAACACTGTCCGATATAGAGGAAAGAGCACGGAAGATTCCACGGCCACAGAAGAGTACTCATTCGCACAAGCCTACCACACATTCTTTGCTCCGGGCCCTGTCGGCAAATTGCTGACGTATTTCAATGGCTTCTTTCCGCTGCGATGGCTGCCACTCGAAGCGAACCGCGAGTTCAAGTTTGCAATGAGGTGGCTGAACGAGACTCTCACCCAACTACGCAGAGATCGTTTCCGAGAGATCGAAGCAGCCAAGGCCAAGGGAACATATGAAAGTAGCGAGTCGAGAGATTTGACTACCTTTAGTAAGCTGATACCAAGCAATTTGTCCAGGAGAGAGCTTATACCAAGTCTTTAGTGGTTGAGGAAAGCCTCCCAGGAGGCTCGATAGCTGGCCTATCGGAGGAAATCTTTGTCGGTCATGCAAGTTTCTAGACCTCTTCGGCACATGTCAAAGACTCAGTAACGCTAACATGTTTGAAAGTTACTTCAATTCATGGTCGCAGGCCACGATACATCAGCCAACTTCTTGTCCTGGAGCCTGTTCGTCATGGCTCAGCATCGCGATATACAGGACAGTCTTCGCAACGAGATAACGAGCCTATTTCGTGACTTTTCCGAGCCAGCATATGGTCAAATTGACGAATTAACATATCTGGATAATTTCGTCAAAGAGACTATGCGCGTGTATTGCCCTGGTAAGAAACCTCTTCTCGTGATGGAGGAACAACCCTGCTCATATCGATAGCCGCTACGATCCACAGACAATCGCTTCGAGATGTCATTATTGACGGCCATCACATTCCCAAAGGGACCTGTTTTGACATTGCGCCCTCTATGCCCATGTTCAACCCACTGATATGGGGGCCCAACAGCCACGCGATTGACCCGAATCGTTGGAACAATCTGACCAGTGAACAATCAAACCCATTTGCCTTTGCGGCATTTTCCAACGGACCACGCATCTGTATCGGCAAGGCCTTTGCACTGATGGAAATCAAGACGATACTCATTGAGCTTGTGAGAAACTACAGATTTTTGAGCGTCGAGAAGAAGCACACGGTGGAGAACCCCAACTTGACACTACGACCAGCGGGCATGGAGATTCGGTTGGAGAGGGTAAAGCAGTAGAAGAGAAATAAAGAAACATCTATCGATGGTTGTCCTTCAACTCCAGTACGCTAAGCCATGAGAACTATGCCAAATGCAACCAAATCATCTCCCAACTAGAGTGAATTCAACTAAACAGTCCCAATGAAAATCAAAAGAAAATAGGGGAAGAAAAGTCATGCCCGGCTCAGCCGAGGTAATCGTACACCAAGGTGGCGGAAGCACTATCGCCCAACCCATTGGTCATCTGAATCTTGCCCGTGTAGCGACCGTCGAGGATGCCCCAGACCTGCTCGGAGCGCCAGGCGTCCTTGCCTGACTTGCCATTGGTGCGGACGGACCAGCGCACGACGTGGTCGTCGGGGCCCAGATCGGTGCGGGCGAGCCAGTCGGCCGCGAGAAAGTCGCCGAGCTCGGCGCGCTCGCGGGCCAGGTCGGCCACGGTGCACAGGCGCATGCGGATCGTGAGGCTGCCGACGACGGGCTCGTCCTTGGTGAACTCTACCCCGTCGAGGACGTGCGTCTCCGTGTTCTTGGTCTTGACCCCCAGCGCCCGCAGCGGCGCCGTGCTCATGATGCCCAGCCCCGAGATCTCCGACGTCATGCTCATTTGGTACAGCTCCTGGTTGTCGACCGGGGCCTTTTCGGGGTAGTAGCGATCCATGGAGAAGCCGAGCTTGATCTTGGCAATCTTTTGAATCTGTCGGAGCGCGTAGGGTACACCTTGCTGCACGACATTATTAGATGACTGAATTTCTGACAAGAAAAAGAAAAACGGGCGGAAGATGGGGAGATACTTACCAGAGCCATGATCTCATCTTGCGAGTCGCTGAGCTCCTTGTTCTATAGAGTAAATAGGTAGTTAGCAATAGCCATCAAGATTCCCAAGGTCCAAGAGCAATTACCGGAACAAACTGTCCCTTGAGGGTTTTGATAGTTCTGCCTTGAGGAATAGCCATGATTGCTGATTGATTCTACGATAAAGGTTTGATTAGAGGCGCTGGGATTATGTGTGGGTAGTCAGTGGCTTTCGACAGATCAATACACAAGTGGAGAGATGTTTGGTAAAGTGTTGCTGCTTAAAACCAAGAGTATACACCAATTCTTATTCTCTGTGCTGTATATATATACCGACCATCATATTATTTGATCTTGTACGATAATACGACTTGTCAATGTGGCTTGATGCCTCGGCAAGGGTATACCATACCACCAAGCCCACTGCCGCCAAGCTTACTATACTGTACGGCACACGCCCCAAAGACGTCGCACACAAGTGTCGCGGGGTAAGCTCGACAAAACATGGAACCTTTTCAGGATGCGACGACCTAGTAATTGCAAGAAACCGAGGCGACTTGATTTTTCAGGCCACGAAATAAACCCCGTCATGTCTTCGCGACTGGATAGCTTGTGGCGTGTATGTGAGGCTTTCCTCGCTCATCTGTTCCTGCTTACTGCGAATGGCAACACCTAATTGGGATAATCCACCAAATGCGGGTGTGGGGTAAGATGCTCACCAGCCGAGGCAGGTATCTTATGTTCATGTCGGGTTCGCTCAGCATCCTCCTACTACAAATGTAACACTTCCTTTTCGTGTCGTTGAGTAAGGGTAGCGAATCAAATTCAAGCATTAGAAGACTGATTGTCTGCAATGTGGAAGAAACGTTTTACTCTTTCCAAAGAGCAACAGACAATGAAACTCTGCCCAATACCACTCAAACCAGAGTGCCAATAGCTTGAGAATTCCGTCATTTATCCGCACCCATGAATCATAGAAACCAGCGGAATTCCGGTACACTCGGCCCATCCCGCAGTTTATAAGTAGGAATATCGCGCGCGAAAGTCTTGACCCCGGCCTTGCGGTTCCTCCTATGGTTGTCAAAAATCATATAAGTGCCCAGACAACCCGCCACAAATGCACCCACGGCACCAAACGTTGCCGTAGTGATGAGCGCCGTCTGGTACTTGGGTGCCTCTCGCGAGAGAAAGATATTGCTCGACACCAAGCCCATGAGATTGGCCAGAGGAACACCGACCGAGGTGAGGAGGACACGACGACCCTCGTGAGCAATATTGTTGTTATACTGTTGAAACATGTTAGCTTCTCAATATTCTCTTGATCGTGTAGCAATTTCCAATAAGTGGTCAAGATGTAGCTATTAGGTAGATAGGTATTTCCCAGGACAACAATATGGGACTGGGAAACAAAATTCTCACAGACAGACTGTCTAGAGAAAATGCAAAAACCAAGAATGCCACAGGATTCGAGTACTTACCCAGGTGGAGAGAAGCACCGACGGGGCCGACGTGCCCCATACCATCATGAAGCAGGCATAGTAGGCCAGGTGCAATTGGGCCTCAACATCGGTGATGGCGGCGTAGATGATGAAGCCCGTAAAGGTAAAGATGAAACCTAGCATGATAAAGGGAAAGCGGAGACGCAAAAAGTCGGAGCTAAAAGCCAGTATCAAGAGCATTGCGGCACCGCCGACGTTGGGAGCCACTGTGTACAAGTTGGTCTTGACCGTATCGTATCCAAGTCTCTGGATGATCTGGGGCATGAAGAGCGACACGGACTGCAGAGGTACGCCGAGGCAAATCTCAATCAGGAGAAATCCATAGGTCGTGGGGTAGGAAAAGATCTTGAGAGCATCCTTGAGATTGAATTCCTCCGACACAATAGACGAGGAATCAACAGCCATTCGGTGGTAGGCTAGAGCTTTCTCCTCCTCATTCAAGAATTTGGCCGACGCTGCGTCGCGTGGGAGATACCAGAAAGCAAAGACTGAAAACAGCACCGACGCTGTCCCCTCGATAATGAATAGATAGCGCCACGACTCCAGATGCGACTTGATTTGGAAAACACCAAATGAAAGCAGACCACTAAAGGCGTGGGCAACATTCGAGGCGGCGTAGAAAATGGCCAAGCGTCGCGCGAGCTCGCCACGACGGTAGAATGTAGTCTGGTAATAGATCACGAGTGGGAAGAAGCCACCCTCGGCCACACCGAGGAAGAAGCGTAGAGCAAAGATGCCCCCAAAGTTGTAGGTGGCGGCGGTACACAGGGTCATGGAACCAAAGACAAACATGAGAATCGGTAGGACGCGGGCAGGTCCAAAACGCTTGCCAACCATGGCGACTGGCGGTGCAAAGAGCACATAGGGTACGAAGAAGATGGAGACTATGAGGTTGTACTGTTCTTTGGGCATGCCGAGATCTGTACTAGCTTGTTAGTATGATGCGGGCGGTGATTCTTGGAGGCATGTATTGCTTACCGTCGGTGAGACCTGCTGTCTGTGCATTTCCCAGATTTCCCTTGTCCAATGCGTTGAAGAGGTCTAGATATTGTGAAAAAAAAAAAGAGTCAGTATGGATGTTCAAGTTCGACCTCTCGTGGCGCACTCACACATGATTGCCAGTACGGGTAGAAGCCGGACATCAAACTTTCGGCAGAGACGCCTCTCGGCGACGGGGTCAACGACACGCGCCGTATCGGCAAGCGGCGCATCGTGACTGTCGACACGTCCAACAGCGACGCCATCATCGCCCTGCGGGTGTTTTTCATCCTTGGAGTCGTCAATCATTGTGTGAATCTCTGCTGCCGGTTGAGTATCTTGGCTTGAACAATGCAAGCCTCAATGGCAAAGACGGGGCAAAGAGAGAGCAAAGGGGAGACTTTGTACAATCCATATCCCTTGCATCTTTGCTCACGACATGGGTGGGTTTTGACGAGAACAGCAGATCCGATGATAAGCTGGCCTTGGCTTTGTGATACGTAGTATCGGTCCTATCCAATCATCCCGAGTCAGAATCATGGTATTGATGCTTGATCAGCGAGCACAACCCTGGATAAGGCGAGGGACTGATATGTGAACAGTGGGGTAGATCGGCCCTGCTGGAATAGGTAACTTCGGATCATTCGCCGACGCCTGCATATCATGGCCGTGCCCTGCAGACAGACAGACAGACCTACTTTATATTTGATCATGACAACCACCAAAACCTATAAATCCTGGGACTTCTTTATAATTAAACCATATGAATATGGTGGAAGCCCATGTAGTAGTGCGTCGCTTATCAGCCTCATGCTAGTAGCCTGGACCTGAACTGCCGTTAGCGGACCCGTCCGAGAACGGCAGTGACTATACGGATACTCCGCACGTCGGCGGACCCCCCGTCTTCTGCGACGAGCTACTTCTTGCCCCCGGATCCACGCCACGGCAGGCGGGAGGGGAAAGACGTGAGGACCGAAACTAACAACTCTTCACTTTGAGTGACTTTTTGGAGTCACAATTCTGGATTGGGAAAATATCATTCAACCTATCCAACCTCCAACCATCCCAACATCTTCACTGACAACCGCAACCCCACTCGGAATCAGACGGACACAATGGCAGCAGGACAAAACCAGCCTCCGTATCCTCTTCACGAGTCGACCAAGGGTCGCATCAATGAAGAGTACGCCGCCTTTTACAACAAGCACATCATCGACAAGCAGCAAGTGCACCTGCAGCCAGTGGAAGCGTCCAGGGCCAGCGGTATCCTGATTCCTGGAGCCGGCCCGTTGCAGCCCGTCGCCAGCACCGTCGACTACTCCATCTCCCGAAAGGAGAGTCAGGGTCCAGACGTCAAGGTGCGGTGTTTTACTCCCGAGGGAGACAAGCCTGCTGCCGGGTGGCCCGTGTGCATCTACTTTCACGGAGGTGGCTGGGTTCTCGGCACGATTGATACTGAGAATGTCATTGCCTCCAACTTGTGCGCCCGGGCGAAATGTGTCGTGGTGGCAGTAGACTATCGGTAAGTGGCAGCAAAATGCTGTCTACATGTCACGTATTGGGCCATCAATCTGATACAACCTCTTCTAGGCTGGCTCCAGAGGATCCATTCCCTGCTGCGGTGGACGACTGCTGGGAGGCTGTGCTATGGGCACTCGGCGACGGAAAGAAGATCTTGGGTATCAACGAGACCAAGCTGGCTACGGGAGGATCCTCGGCCGGAGCGAACCTGGCAGCCATCATGTGCCAAAGGGCCGCCGACCGTGGAGGTCCCAAATTCCTCCTGCAGCTACTATCCGTGCCGGTCATGGACAACACGGCCGACGTTGGCAACAACGAGTCCTGGGCAGAGAACCAGTTTAGCCCTGCGCTACCCGCTGAGAAGATGCTCTGGTATCGGCGCCACTACCTGCCCAAGCAGGAAGATTGGGCCCACCCCGAAGCGAGCCCCCTGTTCTGGAAGGGTGACTGGTCCAAGTTGCCTCCGGCGTGTTTCGTACTTGGTGAGCTTGATGTCCTTCGAACAGAGGGCGAGCAATTTGCCAAGAAGTTGGAGGAGGCAGGGGTGGCTGCCGACGTTAACATCATGAAGGGCCAGCCTCACCCCTTTATCGCCATGGATGCAGTGCTAGAAGCTGGGTCAAGAGCTATTACATTGTTTTGTGATGCTTTACGCAAATCTATGTATGCTTGATCATCTTGTATCGAATGCAATGAATGAATTATTAGTCGCCCCAGAAGGGTCTATACTCAAATCTTGATGTGTATATATTCGTGAAGCTATTCCGTGGGGCAACAAGTACTTGCAAGTGCGTGAATGAACCCTTGATTAATGCTGTCTCTAGGTTTGATGCTGAAATAGGAAATGTCATGAAGCCTCCACATCCTCCGATTGGTCAACGTTGGTACTCTGAAGATATCACGGCTCGGCCACTCTGGTTCAACCATTACTCGTGATCTCCCGAATCACAAAGCCATGATTCTACTGGACCTTCCTACAGTCTTCTGCTCACCCTTTACCAACACTTGCAACAGAAAGACAACTATCTATGGTCTAAGTCTAAAAGTACACTAGAACTATTGAATGGCATGGATAAAATTGAGACGTCCACCTCATTATTCGTGCAAACCATCCCCGTCATTTCCACGTAGTCTCGTGGTTCCTGTCACTCGTCATGACATGAGTGCTATAGAAACATCAGTGATTAGACGCTCGAGGGGATATTTGTGCCGTAGCGCCAGCATGGAGAACCTACCTGCAGTATAAGCCTGGTACCACGTCTGCGATACGCCACCATCTAGCCATGCAGGGTCAAAAGTCTTTTGTGTGAAAAAGTTCCAGGCGGTATTTTGGTCCACAGTAGCTAGATTGCCGTAAAGAATGCCCCTCCAGCCGCCTTCCACTTGGTCAGCTCGCCCGTTGCTGAAGTAGGTTTGCCACTCTTGTTTCACGAAATTGGCGGACCGAGTGAGCTTGGAGCTGGGAAGCAGCGGCAGCATGTGTATGCCCTGAATGTACTCGAGATTGGGGCCAAAGTATGTCGTGTGGTCAATCTTGTTCTCGAACAGGATGCCTGCAACCCGGTTTCCAATAAAATTCGCGGGTTGAACTTTGTTGTCGGAAGTATAGAGGTAGTAATTATCGAGCGAACGGGTGAGAATCGATAGCATCAAATTACCACGGGCCTCCATGTTGACATTTCCTGTGACCTTGCCCCACATCTTGATGGCATATGCATGCATGGCATCTTCCGAGCTTGATTCTTGGTCCTTTGCTTGAGATTAGCAATAGATCTCGGCCACTTCGAATCGCCACTTACCTTGCCATCAAGAGTCTCATATAGACCATGTGCCCAACTGTGTCCATGGTACCAATCGAAATTGCGCGACACAGGAAAGTACTTGTCCTGGCTGTTAGGGTTGGCAATGTCCCGCACAAGAGTATTCACATAATCAATGTTCGGCTTCGTCAACCAGCTTGGATCGAGATATCCAATGATGGCAGCGGCAAGGATAAAGTAGCCATAGTGGAAGTGATGGTCGTTGTAGTATGTGTTACCAAAATCCGCGCCGTTATTGCCGGTCTGGTAAGTGGCCGAGGACACTATCCCTCCCCAAGCAGCTGGGTTGGTTAATCACTAAATCATGTCTGCTCAAATGGAAGTGCTGGCTTACTTTCGTAATACAGGGGGAACTGCTGTCGGTTGAGCGCAAATCGAGTAAAAGCCGACTTGAGGTTGTTTAGGCCAGTCTGGGCCAGATTCTTGTTCCCCAGGAGATCGTGAACAGTATAGCACAGATGGGCAAACTTTGCCAATGCCTAAAGAGAGATTAAATACTTCTTCAGGGATCAGGTTCCTTCCATCTCACCTTTCCACTAAAATACATTGAGTTCTGGTTGGATTGTTGGTCGACATTCTGTGATATCTCTTTCAAAGCTATCGGGGCAATCGTGTCAATGTATTGCGCCTTGAGCGTCTTTCTTGGTCCTGTTTTTGGATCCCAGGGCGCAAAGTCCATGGCTACTGGCATGTTAGGCTCAACCATGGTCCAGGAGTCTCCGACAATAGCAGTTGCTATCCCCTTTGTCGTGGTCTGCAATTGAATCGTCGTCTTTCCCCCATAGGTTGCAGAATCGAAACAATCCAGATGGTGCGGTAGAGCGTACATTAAAAGCTTGGTGTTGGCAATACCCTCCTTTGCATAATTAAAAGTATAGGATCCCTTTGAACCAGACACGGACCCAGCCAGCGTGACTCTAGTCGGGTATGCACCGCAGGCTGCATCCAAAGTCTGCTCAGCCCCGCCAGGATCCTTTGCGACCTGTATGATGCCATTGAATGGCTTGTCGGCTCTGGCATACCCGTTGTTGACGACAGTTAGATCCAAGCTTTCGCCCCTGGAAGAGTAAGCATATAGGTGCCACGTCTTTCCGTCCTCCAGATACATGGTGTATTTGGTAACCCCAGTTTTGGGGCCTTTGATCGACTTTGTGACCTGTTTGAAGAACACCCCAGAGTTGATGACAGGCGTCGACCCCGAGTAGATTGCTGTCACGAATGCCATGCCCTGCACCAAAGGGAATTTGATCAACACATTGCCATCCGACTTGTCCAGCAAATTGACGTTGACTGATTGCGTGTCCATATTGTCCAGTGTCAATGCTGTTGTCTTGTCGAGTTCTGCAGCTGACAAGCACAGTGACTGGATACCGACCGGGTTGAGGTAGTACTTGACAGCATTAACACCCGACACCTTGGACTGGTCGCCGTAAACCCTCTGGCTTGCCTCAATATGTGATATGGATAGTCCCCAGCTGGCTGATGCCCCTTGACCTTTTGCCCAGGCTACCGAGTATGGGTGCACGTATGCAGGCGCGTTTTGGTTACCCAAGTTGAAATTGCCATAGAACTTATTGGTTTGGTGTGGTCCAGGTCCAGAAACACCTAGGCGGGGCACTGGATGAGCCGACTTGACTGTAAAGATTGCCGCAGGGGCGTTGACGGCGATGGGCGCCCCAAATATGTTCTGAAAGGCTGAAGCTTGGGCCATTGTGGATGTAGCTGTCGGTTTGGTGGCAATGTTGGACCCTGAGCTTGGTATAAGTGAAGTAGGAATTGGAATCCTGCTCGTGGGGAACGGTTGAAGACTCGGTCTTCCGCCGGTTTCGAGGGTGCTCACAAGGGTTCCGGTCGTGTCGGGTTTGATCGCAGATGGCGATGCAGGTATCTGAGCGATGCCTCCAGATATACTCGTCGTTCTGACTGGAACTGTGAGATATCCTTCTCTGTCAATGCTATAGGTCGTCTTTTGTGCAACGGTGAGGTAGCCCTCTCTATAGCGCTTGGTAGCGGTAGGTAGGATAGCAACGGCACTGAGCTGAAGGTATTTTTCGCGTTCTCTTGTGCCCAAGCGGTAGTCTTGTCTCGTATGATGAGAAGGTAATGGCGCGCCTTGGCCGAGGCTGACCTGAAGTACGATTAGTAACAAATACAACAACATGACGACACGAATGAAAGGGCCTGGATCAGGGGAATAAATTAAAGAGACTGTAGTTCTTCAGATGGACGTTGATGTCCCATCCGATGCTTTTATAAGACTTCTTGAAGTGCCGCGAGATATCGTGTCAAAGTTTGTAAAATGTTGAGTTGAATATACGAGTATTGAACATGAAATATCGATGATTGTAACATCAACTGCTTTTGGTGAAGATTGAATGTTTGAAAGTTTTGAGAACAAGCTACACTTGTGCGCTGTCGTGACAATAAATCATGGCAACCAGGTCCCCGAGGAATGGGCACCGGTGCTCGAGGCGACGGTGTTGTAGAAAATAGATTGAGACATTGCCTCGGCCACGCGATATACGAAGCAAAGAATGAGAATGTCTTGAGAAGGAGAGCTAGCTACCTCTTGAGTGTGACAATGCAAAAAGTCTGGAACTGCCGCAAAGTCAATGTCAGAGGCTAGAAGGCAGTCGTTGTAATACCACGAAATGAGTTGACGGTAAAGATGTATATGAGATATAGGTTTTTTTGGAGGATCGAGGGGAGGGAGTTTAGGGCGAGGCGTAGGCAAGGTAACAAGTAATGGTCAAGCACTGTGCTAGATGAATTGCGACATGTTGAATCTGTACCTCAACCCGGCGCGAACATGGTTGGCCAATTTCCGGTGCAAGTCTCGGAAGCTCCAATACATACCTTTGTGATCAGTTCCTGCCCCAATGTATCGAATTGGGAAATGGTTGTATATAATGTAGCAGTTGCGTCGTGACACGGCGGGTTGCAAGTAGTTTAGCAGTAGCAGCACAGCAAGGGCCGGGACACCGGCACCCAAAAGAGAATGACGTGGTGTGTGAGCTAAGCCCCGCCCCACTCTTGAAGAAGAGCATATGAATATTGAATTTCGTAGCGGCATGTCAAATATCGTATCAAATTTATGCATCTCTCCTCATAATCCTGTCTGTGTACTAAAAGTTGAGCTCTGTGACGGAACTTGTGAGCGTTCGATAGACACTCTTCTCCAGGTAGGCCGGCGAGCCTACATGGGGAGTTCCCGTAAGACTCTGTTGGCGAGGTGTGGTAAGCTGGATTGAAATGATCTTGCCGTGCACTTTCCATCCTGTAATGGAATTGAACAAATGCACAGGTATCTAAAGCCCAAGGGCGTCGTATTGGCCATCTTCTGCAGCCGTCACGGAGCTCAACTTTGAAGGTTTGTATGACTTCTTCTGGATAGTGGTTGCACTTGCATGACTGCGATGCTGCCGATGTTCTTTGGATTCCTGACGACTGGATTCCGCCTTCATCTTCTTGCGTTGGCTTTCTTTCTCGCGGCCCCTGGCATCGGTCCTGTTCTCCTTCTCGAGTCGTCGCAGGACCTTCTTCTCCAATACCCATGGCTTACCGAGTATATCGGACCGGAAAGACTTGATCTTGTTCCAGAACTCGACCTCCTGGTTCGTCGACTTGACTTGCTGCATCTTCTGAATCTTGATCTGCTTCTCATCCCGAAAAAGACTCAGGTTGCCCTTGACATCGACCACCATGCCTACATCAATATCTGCGTACGGGTCCAAGGCCGCCTGTTCGGCAGCCTGCTCGGCATCCTTGTCCGCTTTCTCGCCATCTGCCGGCGCGGGCGGGGAGATGCTAATGGTGCATTCAATGCACACACCAGTACTGTCATCAACAGTGTAGACACGACGCGCGTAGAATGAGTCAATCGCCACGACCAACCCAACGACACGAACCCATCTGATGGGATGGTTCAAATGAAAGAATGTATCATCTTGACCTGCAAAACATTGGTAAATATGGTGAAATCAGGCAAAGGACCAGGACAGAGCCAAGTTACCTTCAAACCCCGGGTGCCACCTTAGCTTGGCGATATGGCTTGCCTCCAAGGGGCACCATTTGGTGATGGTTGGGGATAAATGATAGCAATATTGGGGATACTCCTCATATTCGGGCGTCAGCGCACTTGTCATGGCATGTTGCAAAGTCTTGGGCGACAGGAGAGCGAATGGTATTGAGTGTTTTGGTTGGACCAAATGCAGATCTAGGCTGTCAAGTGTCTTGCTTGAAGAATGATGTGGGGGTCGGATTCTTCAACAGCCTGGTTACCACCTACGAGGCGCCCAAATGGGCAATCAAGAGTTCAACGCGTCGGGAATCAGGTGGTAGCCTCTGTCAGGTGGCAGCCAGGTGGTTTCAGACTGACGCACCGATTCATTCGCCGGTTTTGGATTCTTGGCTTCTCTTTTCAACAAAAAGCAAGTTCTATACTTTTATTTTTCGGCTATCTCAATGACACTTGGGAGAATACCTAGCAGCCGATGCGATAGAGTAAAAATGAAGTTGCAACATGTCGGATTTACTTGATACATTGTTCATTGGTGAGACTCTATACCCTATCTCATACACTGGCCGCGGCTTTAGACTCGCCGGACCTTGTAATTCTGCGACTATAAAACAGCAGCCGTTGTCACAACAGTACGATATAGAGGCCGGCGACGCTGTAGTATGTAAAAATTCTCAACACATGGCGTTGACACCAACTCAATTGATATAAGCATAATGAGAGGAGACAAGACACGATCGCTTCAACGATCGTAGTGCGTTCAACGAACTGAGCCCCTATGGCTTGAGACTAGCACATTGTACTCCGGAGTCCGTAGTACGTACCTGCTAATTGGAATGAAGCCTTACATTGCTCGTATTCTGATCCTCGGGTAAAAGCTGAGCTGATCTAATGGTTTCTCATGCTCCATTTATTTACTTATCCCTTTCTTTAGCTCATGTCTTCCTATTATCACGCAAAGTAATGCGGGCAGCATTTTGAAGCCCTAGTCCATGTTCATAAGCACGCTTCTTGTCTTTTTTCTACGCTTTGTCTAGATATCTCTTTGTCTAAATGTCGTTCACTTTTACTCACACTTGCCTACGACACCGAGTCCAGACGTGTAATAATACCAGATATTTGTTTTGCAAATGACTTAAATAAATAATTTCTCCTTTCCCCCCTCATTCCTATTAGCTGTCCCATGTCTTTCTCAGTGGCTTCTTTCCACAAGTTGGTTGCATCACGGTTGCGCATTTTACTATGCCTCGTGACCGTTGCGCTTACCTGGGTGATATCAATCCACTACTTTTCATCAGGTGAACACTGCATTTCTGTACAAAGAATCTTGCATCCGATGGTCGCGGCCGAGGGAGACCAGCAGCCATCTCATTCAACTACTCCCGTCACCTCGCCGCCACATGCCTCTGCCTCTGCCCCAGGCTCTTTGCCGACGCTGCCTGGGCCATGCCAGTCACTGCATGGATTTGAAGACATATTTCTAGTTGTGAGGACTGGCGCAAGTGAGGCTCTAGAGAAACTCCCTGTTCATCTCGAAACGACCCTACGCTGTTTGCCAAACGAGTCATACGGGATCTGGTCTGACCTGGAGGAAACCATTCAAGGCCACCACGTTGGTAATGCTCTCGACGAGGTCAGCCCCAAGATCATCGAGCAGCATGCCGATTTTGACTATTATCGACGCTTGCAGGAAAAGGGGCGAGCAGCATTTTCAGTCGAAGAGCTGGCCTCGTGGGCATCTGCACCAAACTCTGCCAATGGTCGAAATACCCCGGGTTGGAAGCTGGACAGATGGAAGTTCCTACCGCTGGCGAAAAAGGCCTATAACCAGCGCCCAGATGCCAAATGGTTCATCTTCACAGAGTGCGATGGGCACATCAATGGCGCTCGTTGTTATTCTGGTTATCACGTCATGATCCAGTGATACCCTATGTAGGGATGCTTATGATCCTTGGAGATCTCAGGTTCGCGTACGGCGGTTCCAGCTTTGTCATCTCGAATGCAGCAATGAAGTCTGCTGTCGCACGGTACACGGCCAAGATTGATGTATACGAGGATTATACCAGTCATACTTGGGCAGGTGATGGTATTCTTGGCAAAGCTTTGAAGGACGTTGGAGTCGGCTTTACCCAGGCTTGGCCGACGTTTCATGGTGAAAGTCCCTTTGATATGGACTACAATGACTCTGTTACGGGGCCAGACCCTTCTCTATGGTGCTACAATGCCATGACATGGCATCATGTACCTCCGTCTGAGATTCGTGAACTCGCCGAGTTTGAGGATAGATGGAACGTAGAGGTGAGTTTCCACATATTCCAATCTCGCCTGCCTGGTTAACCATGGATAGCACTCGGCGTTACTCCGTCACTCGGACGTTTTCCGCCATCTCGTGATGCCTAAACTCAGGTCTCATTTGGATGACTGGGACAATCTGTCTTCCGACAAAGAATCCTCGGACACGCTGCAAGGCTGCCGCAGCGCATGCGAAAAACAGCCCAATTGCTTCCAATTCTCGTTCCGAAATCATACCCAAACATGCAAAACTTCCTCCGTGGTAAAACTAGGTCGTCAGCAAAAGCAGAGAGACGGTGATGCGATAGAAGAGCATATAACATCCGGCTGGATAATAGATCGAGTAGAAGCATTTGCAGCGGAGATGGATACATACTGCCACGGAAACGGCTGGGTGATAACTTAGAATAGGTTGGACAAGGTAGAACAGGATAGACAAACCATGATCAAAATGGAACGATTGTTTTTACGACGATAGTGTCCCCTTTTGGGAAGAAAGCTTTATTCTTTCAATCTTCAACGGAACCCGAGGCTTGAACTCTTTGTATACCAATTTATCAAAATACTGGAAACCCAAATCTGCTGCAACCATGGACCTTTCGTGACCCTGCCAAATGAACTCCTGGACGCCATGCTGAGTATATCTTCAAAGGTTCCATTACGCTTTGGACCTTTTGCTGCGACCAGATTTACTGGGTTTCGGTCCATCATCCGCTGGCGACTTTCTCTTACCAAGCTTCCTCGATGCGGCCTGAAACTCCTCCTCGGATGGCATACCAGACGGCCCACCTCCGTATTTCGCTTCTAGGCTGTCAAAGAATCCTGCCCTCGACTTTTGTCTGCTCTGAATGAGTGCCGCAAGACCGGCCTCGGGGTCCTTCTTTTCCTTCTTGCCCTTCTTCTTGTTGAACAATTTGTCATGGACCCCCAACTCTTTGGCATACTCCTCTGCTTCGGTAGCTTCGGCTCTGGCAGAACTGACACGAGCATCCTTTGACTTCTTGCTCTCGTTGGTGTAAGCCTTGAAGGCTTTCACATCCTTGCTGGCAATGGCCTCGTCAATGATGGCCCGGAAACGCTCGTCGTCCTCCAAAACATTGCTAAGCATGACAACTTCGTAGACCTTGTCCATGTTGCCCTTGAATTGTTCATAAGCGGCAAGAACGTCATCCTTTTCCTCGTCCGAGTTCTTGTACTGGGCAGCAAACTTCTTGATGGCTTCTTCGGAGATGGATTCGCGAAATTGCTCGGCGTAAAACTCGGCCCACGAAAAGTCGGAACTGCTAAGGGTCTCGGAGGTGTCGCCGGTGGCATCGTAGCGCTTCCTTCGTGTTGGGTCGGACAGGACTGCGTATGCCAGAGCGACCTCCTGGAATTTCTCCTTGGCGGCCTCTTTCTCTGCATCGGAGCCTGAGATCTTGTCTGAGGAGTCTGAGGTTAGCTACGTATTTTTCGGATGATAGAGGGTGTAGTCGTACCAGGATGTGTCCTCAGGGCTTGCTTCCGGTATGCCGACTTGATCTGCTCTGCAGTTGCTTCACGGTCGATTCCCAGAAGCTCATAAGGGTCAATGTTGCCTCCTTGAGGAAGATCTTCCGATTCGGAGTCCGACATGATATGCGTGATTCTTTGCAAGGGGTTTGAGTCGCGTTTCTTTCGAGATGCGATTGTGAAAAGGTTTGCGATTTTGTTTGGGCGATTTCTTACTTGTCAGCTTGAGACAGTTCAGCGCGACCAGTTGCAGGATCGAGCGCGTCGCACGCGTCAGTGGATTGAGCGCCTAAACGTCATGCAAAATTAAAGTGGTTGCCAAGTGAATCTGGGAGCCGCGGGGTAGCTGTTAGTGGGCTTTGGCGGGGCCGCCGCACTAATTCCGGGGCGATGGTACAGTTCTCACGAGTGAAGCCGCTGAATCTCATCAACTCAAACCAGACCTAGATTGCGTTAAATATACGCTCGAGCATCTCTCATTTTGCTGCGCCGTTTCTTTGGATCAATTGTTGCGTGATGACAGACTCAACGACCAAGCCCCAGATTGAGGCGGGCAATCATGAAGCGTATCTGAGACTTGCTTTATCACTCGCAACACAATCTCCGCCAAAGCCAACAAACTACAGAGTTGGTGCCGTGCTGCTAGATTCAAACACCAACGAGATACTGTCTACGGGATATACACTGGAGCTGCCCGGAAACACACACGCAGAACAATGTTGTTTCGAGAAACTCGCTGCCAAACATTGCCTGGACTCATCCCGTCTGTCTGAAATCCTGCCAGATACTGCGGCTCTGTATACCACCATGGAGCCGTGCTCCTTTCGGCTGAGTGGCAACTTGCCTTGTGTTGATAGAATACTTGCACTTGGGAGCAAGATCAAGACGGTTTATGTCGGCGTGAAGGAGCCGGAGAAGTTTGTCAACAACAACTCGGGCAAGGCAAAGCTCGAACAAGCCGGGATCACTTTCGTTCACGTTCAAGGTCTGGAGAATGACATCTTGGAGGTTGCTACCGCTGGGCATGGGAAATCTGAAAACGAATCATAGAGTAGCGAAACGTTCTTGAGCATGCGCCATGACAACCGACGAATGTAGATCACGTGGATGCTGCTCAAGGTGTAGCTCCTCATCCACTCGCCCAGAGTTCAGAGAAATCAGAAGTGCTAGGATTCTCCAAAAGCACGAGCAGCATAGTCGATCGGCACAACGGGATCGTTTTCCCTAGGTGGCGTGCCGAGCATCGCCAATGCAAATCCAAGAACTCAAATGATTAGCATCTCGGTATGCTAACCGAATTCAACCCTCAACATGAGGGGTTCATGGTTGTGATTGGAGGACCTGCCGGATCCAATTGAGTGGTACTACAACGGTCAACTTATTTCCAAAAGGGGTCCTCGGGGCATTATCCCCCGCCACCATTGATGCGGTATAGTCAACCAATGTGTTCTCTGAGGCTCAGATACTTTTATAATCATGAGAGTCGCGCAGTTTAATAGATTCTTCAACCATGAACGACGCTTGAGAGTTTGTACGATTCATCAATTAAAATGAGATCAAACATTGCAAGCGCTTTGTTGCTGGGCCTTCTTGCCAACCAAATTGAGGCCCGGCCCTTTGGTGGAAATGGAACTTCTCCAAAAGGTTTTGTGACCACAAAGGGCACAAAGTTTCAACTGGACGGAGAGGATTTCTACTTTGCTGGCAGCAATGCTTATTACTTTCCATTCAATAATGTAGGTGATCAAAACTGGTCATGAAGGGGACACCAATGGACTGACAACCTTCGATAGAATGAATCAGATGTACAACTGGGCCTCCAAGCTGCCAAGGACGCTGGCCTGAGTGTCTTCAGAACATGGGGCTTCAATGATAAGAACCGGACCTATGATCCCAATGGCCTACCGCAATATGGCAGTGAGGGTGCTGGCGCCACTGATGTTGTTTTCCAATGGTTTGAGAATGGCACTTCGACCATTGATGTCAGCGCCTTTGACAAGGTGGTCGAGGCTGCCACCAAGGTTGGTATCAAGCTCATCGTAACCTTTACGAACAACTGGGCAGACTATGGAGGCATGGATGTCTACACTCTGAATCTTGGAGGACAATACCACGACGATGTAAGTTTCAGAAATACATGTTAGACAAAACGAGCACTAGTACTGACAAAAAGAATTTAGTTCTTTACTCTGCCCAAGATCAAAGATGCTTACAAGCGTTACATCGAGACACTCATCACCCGCTACCGCGACTCACCAACCATATTCGCCTGGGAGCTGGTCAATGAGCCACGCTGCGGCGCCGACGGGACGCGGAACATCCCTACAAGCGGCAACTGCACCACGGAAACATTGTCAACATGGATCGATGAAATGAGCACCTATGTCAAGTCGCTCGACCCCCATCACTTGGTGACTTGGGGTGGTGAAGGCGAGTTCAGCCTGCCCGAAGGCTCGGACGACTGGGCGTACGCTGGAGCCGATGGCGGAAATTTCGATCACGAGATCTCGCTGCCCAATATTGACTTTGGCGTCTTTCACTCATACCCCGATTGGTGGTCCAAGACTGTAGAGTGGACCAACCAATGGATCAAGGACCACGCAGCATCTGGTATTGCGGCGAACAAGCCTGTCGTCCATGAGGAGTATGGATGGCTTACCCCCGAGAAGCGGCTCGAGTACCTCAACAAGACAGCAGGCGCCAACGAAACCAGAGTTGCGGTTCTTGGAGGCTGGCAAAGCATCATGGAAGAGTATGAGATGCCGGATATGTACTGGCAGTTTGGCTTTTCCAACTATTCCTATGGTCGCAACAATGATGATGGTTTCACCATCTTCTTGGACGATGCTGAGGCGCAACCGTTGGTGTATGAGCACGCTGCAAGAGTCAATGCAGCTTGAGAGTGGTTAGGACACATCTGCTATTAGGCATATAAATCTCCTTAGAATCGTATGAATCACTTTCCATGTTCATCAACGTCTGTACAGGTACCATACAACACAGCTTCTCAGCGTCTGTTTTCACACTTTGGACGGTACACAACGCAGGCAGGCTCTTCGATAATGTCACATCCGCAGTGCAACATTTTTGAAGAATAGTCAGCCAAGGTCTGGTGGTACTCCGCGTCAAAGCCTCCATAATCACTCTTGCCTTGGGGATGCCGCGACCCCCAGGGTTCTGTTTGTCGCAAGCACCTAATATGACAACAAGTATGTCGAAACTTGAGTTTCTCAAACACTAAAATAGACAGCACTTGTTCCACATGGTCGGGGTTTTCGTGTGGCCTGTACAACAGCTTTTCATGCAATGATCTTGACAGATCCAGCATCGGTTTGTGATTCCTCTCTTCATGCTGGTCATACTGTTTGACAGTGATGGAGATGGGAGTGCATCCATGGCGAGAACAAAGACAGAGACATGAGTCATGCCACATGTTTGCACCATCCATAAGCTGTTTCATAAGATCTTCTTGACAGGGCAGTCTGTTTCGATCATGGCGGAAATGAACTCCAGGATAGGCCATTCTCGCTGCGAATAGATGAAGTCCATTAGGTAATGGTAATTGAAGCTGACATATTGGCGGTAGACAACCACAAGATAATGTTGCTTTGCTTGTTTTCAAGTGTATTGCAAAGCGCTATGACTCCCTTGCACTTTTATGTAGCTCGCAATGAGTGCCAGCTTCGGCGGATAATTCCAGTGCCATCTGGCTTGGTGACGATTCTCACAGCTTTAAGTAACTGTTCCATTACAGTAATGTAATCTGCAAGTGTTTAGTCGATTGTTTTTGAGACCGGAGATGCAGGCGAAGAGCCATTCCGAAAAGTGGCGTGGGTCGACTGCACGTACTTTGCAATGTCAATTTGCTGATCGATGTCGATTTCCAGACTTTGCAGCTTTTCTGGGACATCATGGACCTCCTTGTACAGGCTGCTTAACTGCAAGGTCAGCCTAACGGCAATGTCCAGAAACTGGACGACCGCTGCTGAAATTGCCAAAATGTCTGCCATTATTCTTCAGACAGGCATGACCTTGACTACAGCCCAATCCAAGCCGTCGGACTTGATCTCTTTTCATATTGAGAGTACGATGACATGGTTCAAGCTGGCACATGGAGAGTGACTTGGTGCGCCTTTTGAAATATCACAACAAGGCGGATTGCTGAGGTTGGCCTCGCCCAATTTTGCATCTAGGCAAAATGGGCAGTGGTGTCTGCGTTATTCCGAGACGGACCAACATGATTGGGTCGAGTTTTCGCATGTTTCTTCATGCAATAAGTAGAAACTGCAGCCTTACCAAGATGATTATTCTCTGGGAAATCAGCCCCTTGACGTTGGTTTGGTAGCAATGTGTGACTTCTGCTGGTAGGTTGACTTGAAATACGAGGTAAATTCGACACGAAGAGAAAGAAAGCAGGAAAGTCGCAATGGGCTTGGTGGTTGTAGGGGTGCATTACGCATATCAGCCTTCGAGTTGAACCAAAGGTAATTCAAAGCCGTTACTAGTCACCTTGCCACGAAGAACGACCTGCTCTCGGCCTACCATGAATCCATCTAATTTGAGGATAGAAGGACCGAATTATAAATATGGCGGGCAGATACAGTCTCTCACCAACTGTCAATTCCCGTCACACGAATCTAGTGGTAGTCGCGGGCCAACATAATTGAGCCAAAGTGAGGGAAAGCTTAAACACATCATCTGTATAGTCCTGCACCCTTTGGTGAGATCTTTGTTATCCATCCGCAATGATTCCACATACTTATGTAGTTGCATTCCGTAGCTCATATGCTGACAAACCTTTGTCAATCAATCTCTGGGCTGAAGTGACGCGCAATTCCCGTCACATGTGTGGACCCTAAAGTGTAGATAAGGTGGCTTTCGGGTAGTGGGAGGGCATTCAAATGGATGGCCAGGAGTCTAGGACCCTGATGATCAAGTACTTGCCCTGTACGACATAGTAGCTACCAAGTAGTACTACCTAAGGTATTGTCAGAGCTCGACCTGCTGTGTACTAGGAGGTATGTATGAAGCCAAGGTCCCCAGTTTTGCCCTGCAAGGCACTGGGTGACTGGCCTAACTTTTTGGGGATGGTCTCCGAAATATAACAGTGATAGCTGAGAGAAGCTCCGCTTAGGTAAGGCCTTGCCTCAACACATGAACCGAGAAGTGAACAGCCTCCTACCCCTTGTACAAGACTGAATTTGTGGTCCGTTTTCTGGTCCAACTTACGATATCAACGGGGAATTGTCTGGTCCCGATTGAAAATGTACTATTTGCCCACTCATCCGCTAGACAAGTCTTTTTTGACGCTATTAGAGCTTGTGGATGAGGAGCCGATGCGCCTGAATCGGCCGGAACGTGGGGTTATGCGGGGTTCTCGCTCCCGAAACGTTGTGGACCCTGAATATTATTTCAGATTGGCATTGAGACATCGAACCGTGTATATACATTGAGCACGCCCAGTTGTATATTGATGAAAACTCGAAGTGATGAGCTATTCTATCGAATTCTGCAATTAAGCTGTCAAGTGCGGAAAAACATCCTCTTCACGCCTCCGCCACCATCCTATCAACAGTAGACGCCATGGGTGATATCAACGCCTTGAACACCAGCACCCTCCCAATAGTATACAGGGACTCGACGGACCCTGCAGAGTTCCACGAGGCCGCTTGGGGGCGTGTCTTCAATGAGAGACGCGACTTGACCAGACGGCCCAAGGCTGTCGTACAAGCCACCACATCGGCACACATCAAGGAGGCCGTCGAAAGAGCCATTCAAGAAAATGCTCGCGTCTCGGTGCGTAGCGGCGGCCACAGCTGGGCAGGATGGAGCGTGCGAGACGAGGCCATCTTGATCGACCTGGGAAACCTGAGAGAGCTTCACTACGACGAGGCGACGCAAATTGTCTCTTGCTCGACTAGTTACACTGGTCGCGTGCTCAACAAATTCCTCAACGAAAGGGGTCGAATGTTTGCTGGTGGACACTGTCCTGATGTTGGGCTGGGTGGTTTCCTTCTGCAGGGCGGTATGGGCTGGAATTGCAAGGTTTGGCCACCCGATTCGTCTTGTATCTAATGGTAAGCTGACCTTTTGCAGAATTGGGGTTGGGCATGCGAGCAGATTGCCGCCATCGATGTTGTTACCGCCGACGGTCGAGAGCTTCACTGTGATGAACAGGAGAATGCAGATCTATTTTGGGCTGCGCGGGGTGGTGGTCCAGGTACAACATTGTTGATCACATCCTTTCTGATGCCAAAATACTAATGTTCTTGTTGCAGGCTTCCCTGCAGTGATAACGAAATTCCACCTGCGCACTCGCCCTATGCTAAAGATGTTTGACTCGACATACCTCTATCCCATTTCAGAGTACAAAAAGGTCCTGCAATGGGTGATTGATGTAAGTCGACTTTGGTCATTCGGTCCAAGCAAAGTAACTAAAGTGGTATTAAGGTGTGTCCGACGGCAGATGAGAGTCTGGAAATTGTCTCTGTTGCCTTGTATCCGCCCGGGTCGGATGAGATCCATATCGTCGCCGGGTTCACAGCCTTCAAAAAGGACAAGGCAGAGGCAGAGGCAGCTCTGAGACCCATTCATGAGTCCAGACCTAGTGGCGCCATTGTGGTCGACGCCTTCTGCCAGCCAACGACTCTAGAGGAGCATTATACAAGACAAGGAGCGGCCAATCCAGATGGGCATCGTTACTGCAGCGAGAATGCGTATATCGAGAATGACGCAGATGTTCCTGCCGTCCTGGAATCTGCCTTTACAACATTACCAAGCAAAAAGGCATTTGCCCTCTACTTTGCCATGAATCCTACGTCTAGGCGTCCCCTGCCCGACATGGCACTCAGCATGCACTCGGATCACTACTTTGCGCTGTACACCATTTGGGAAGACGCCAAGGATGATGAGCGTTGCACAAACTGGGTCCACAGCAATATGCGAAGCATTGAGCGAAAAGCGGTGGGCAGCTACCTCGGTGATTCCGACTTTCAACACAGACGGACCAAGTTCTGGTCCGACGAGAATGGCAAGAAATTGATGGAAATCAGGAAAAAGTGGGATCCGCTTGGCCGCATCTGTGGATATCTCGATGTTGGCGACAAGAGTGGTGTCGATGGTCTCGAGAATATCTTTGAGTGGAAGACGGACGCATAATGTTGATACGGTCAGTCTTTGGGTGGACCAAAGATCCGGCAATAGCAGGATATAAGGCAATGATATCGGTCGCAAACAAGCTGTCCGTACTTTGAACAAATTAGCATATCCTCATCAATGAATAGTAAACATTTGTGGCATCCATGCATATTTTACTTAATCAGGCCTTTGGTGTTGCCCTTAGCCCAACCACCATGGCTTTTCACAATATCTACCGAGACCTTGAAAGATTTAAAGTCCAGTGTTTTTGCCTTGCACATGTCATGACCTCTGGTACTTGACAGAGATGACATTATTTTGGGGCATTACATAAGACGGTGCTCCCCATGTATGTTATGCATATATGTCGACCACGTATACTTTGTTCTAGAAAATGACGACGCCGAGACCGAATCGTGTGCCTGCTGTCCCGAGCTTGGTAGGCAAAGGGTCGCGGCAGATACTCAGAGTGTCCAGGACTATCAATTGCCCTTACTCATGCTCGTGGCCAATCAAGACTCGTCCAATAGCTGTCAGATATCCCGAAGTCAAGTCCCAACCCCACGTTGACCAATGTCTGACATATTCCTCCGCCCTGTGCTGGTTGCGCCTCATACGTCCCACCCGACTACCGTTTATTGGCTGGTAAAATCTGCCGAACGACGCTCTTTGGTTGTGGCCGCGGCAATCGGCAAACCAATAAGTTAGCGTGCACCCACTATCTGCGTGTTGTAGTGTCCCGGCTGCCGGTCTCTAGACGCCTCATCCGGAGGTCCCAAGTGGTCCAATTGGGGGGGAGTTTACTGACGTTGTAGAGCTCAAAACTTGGGGCTCGCTTTCAACCATGGGGGTTCGCGCCTTGAATCTGGCCCCACCCCCTCATCGGCCCCATGGGGTGATCCGCCAGATTTCATCCACTGAAACCGTAAATAACAATGAACCCTCCTTTGGGCTATATTTGACATCATGACTGTCACCTTTTTTGCACACACAAAGATTGGTGGTTGCTCATGGTTAGACGTGCCAACAGCCCAAACCCTGACTTTTGTCATTTTTTTTTTCGTCTACGTGGATGGGCTTGACTCGAAGACAAATCTGATGGAGCAGCAAGATGTGCCGACCCAGACTAACACAAAGAAAGAAAATCATTTCGTATCTATAAAGGTTAAATAAAGCCGAGGGTGGAACTGCCCTCTGGGCATGTGGGGTCTATACACTTGTAAAACCATTATCCACAATCCTCATGCGCCATCCCGAATACCGACCCCCGTGACCTCTAGATCAGATCTTGTCAATTCTTTGGATAAAGCCATGGCTCTTTAGGTAGATAAGTAGGGTGCCATAACTAGTCTCCTCTACCGCGATTTACTTGATTCCACTCGGGTTCTACGACAACACAAATAGGCAACCTCTATTCACGACATCTCTCAACGCTATCTGTCATATATACAACAGGGTTTCAACAACCCTGGCAACTTGACAGCCTAGCAACGATGCATTCCGTCAAAGACTCACTGATAGTCAGTATCCTGACTCAATATTGGCTGCCACTGTCAGTCGTTCTGACCTTGGCATGGCTTGTCACGAATCGATTTCAACGTGGACTTTACAAATATCCAGGACCATTCCTAGCTTCGATCACCGACCTATGGAGGTTCTGGGATGTGTATAAGCAGAGACCAGAGGTCACTCACCAGCAACTCCACGCCAAATATGGAGATGTTGTGCGTATCGGTCCAAACACACTTTCCTTTGCCGACCCGAAAGCCTTGAAAACCATATACGGACTCAATAAAGGCTTCATCAAGGTACGTAGAGTCTGGGATGTAACAAGAACAGCGGCTTACTCTGGAGATACAGTCGGACTTTTACATTGTCCAACAATCAGTAGTCAAGGGGCACCGTCTCGCTTCCCTATTCAGCACAACCGACAATGATTTCCACTCCTCGTTCCGCAGATCTGTCAATGCAGCGTTTAGCATGTCAGCATTAGTGCAATACGAGCCCTTTGTAGACAACACTACCAAGCTGTTCCTCGACCAGACGGAGAAACTGTTTGCAAATAATATTGACGGCTGTGACTTTACACGCTGGCTGCAATTTTACGCTTTTGATGTGATTGGAGAGATCACCTATAGCAAACGACATGGTTTCATTGAGAAGAATGAGGATATTGATGGCATTATTACCTACTTGACCAAGCTATTCCTCTATGTGGCTCCGGTAAGAAACTACTTTATCACGTGCCCTGTTTACTATTCTGTGGTAAAGTCACTCATTGTTTCTAGATTGGGCAAATTCCCTTTCTCGATTTACTCTTCCTCAAGAACCCTCTCTACCTCAAGCTGTCTCAATGGGGTCTGGTCGACTCTACCTTTCCAGTGGCACGTTTCGCACGAGCACGCATGGCGGAGCGTCTAGGCGCCGAGCTCAACGCCGACGGCTCCAAGAAGCAGCCTCTTCTGCCCGTATCCGACGCCAAGATCGAAGTCAAGTCGCCAGACCTGCTGTCCAAGTTCCTAGCAGCGCGCGAGGCCCGCCCCGACTTCATGTCCGACGCCCTGGTGCAGACCATGGCCGTGTCCATGGCGTTTGCGGGCAGCGAGACGACGGCCATTTCCCTCGCCGCCGTCTTTTACTACCTCTTGCGCCAGCCCGCCGCCCTGGACCGCCTCCGCGCCGAGATTGATGACTTTGGCCGCGCCGGCGGCTTTAGCGACTCCGAGTCTGGTCTCGTCACCTGGCACGAGGCGCAGAAGCTGACCTATCTCGACGCCTGTATCAAGGAGGCATTCAGGCTGCACCCGGCGGCCGGTCTGCCTCTGGAGCGCATCGTGCCCAAGCAGGGCGCCGAGATTGCGGGACACTTTGTCAAGGGCGGCACCATTGTGGGTTGCTCGGCTTGGATCATTCACCGCCGGCCAGAGATATTCGGCCAGGATGTGGACGTCTACCGACCGGAGCGCTGGCTGGTTGACGAATCCTTGACGGGCGCGGCAAGAGAAGAGGACGAGAAGAGGGTCAAGGAAATGAACGGTATGATGTTCCACTTTGGCATGGGATCCCGGACGTGTCTTGGCAAGAATATCAGTCTCTTGGAAATCTACAAGCTCGTGCCCAGCCTGCTGCGACGCTTCGAGGTAAGAGAATCTATTCTTTTGACTATAAATCAGCGGAACCCCAATGACTGACTTCATTATAGCTGCGCTTCAAGGACCCGAACGAAGAGTGGCAACTGGTCAATGCTTGGTTTGTCAAGCAAAACAACTTTCAGGCAATGTTTGAGCCTAGGGTGATTGTCAAGCCTGCCAACTGATTGAATGTAAATGAATATACATATCACAATAAACCATGCATGATTTCCAATGAACAATTTCATTAGTCATTTGAGCATTGATTTGAACTCGTGCAGCTGCGACTATAATCATGCTGGCTAGGTGTATTAGTCCTCTGTCAGCCATTTAGACCTTCCATCTCAGCAGGGTAAAGCTGTGTCTTTCAAAGACAAACTTCTTTACATTTTCGCCCTTCAAGGTGCTTTCCACAATCGAAACCGTCTCTTGGCCCTCCTTGTTGACATCCTTTAGGTTGAATTTCTCTCCACCGACTTTGAACACCTGGATATCGCCAGAAGCTGGCGCTACTCCGAATAGTTCAGTCTCGTAGCTGTGCTCCTCGTCCACATTGACAACGGCAACGTTGAGCCACTCGCCATCGAGGGCGGCACTGACATCAAGCTTGGGGATATCAACGGTACTTTGGATCCACTTGGGGTTCGTCTCGCCCGTGTAGACGCCGGCGCGGACGTGGACGGCGACCGTCTTGCCGTGCATGTAGCGCGAGAAGAGCAGGAGCGGCCAGTAGGTGGTCTGGCGGGTGATGCCCGTGGGCGAGGTCATGAGCGGGCTAATAACGTTGACGCTCTGGGCAATGGTGGCCATGCCCAGGTCGCGGGCGTTGCGGATGAAAATGTTGAGCCAAATGGCCACGGCCAGCGCGTCCGACAGGTTGTACAGCTCCTCGGCGCCCTTGTCGCCGGGGGCCCGGATCGGGTCCCACACGTTCCACTCGTCGAAGCAGATTTTGGGCCGGTGCGCCGTCTTGGGTGCTGTAGTGATGCGGCTAAAGTCGGGGAACTCGGTCAGGTCCAGCTCGCACCGGGCGAGGTCAATCAGGGATGAGGTGATTTGGATGGCGCGCTCGGCGGCGTACGGTCCTGAAATATTGGGATAGTGCTTGGCGTCACCATGGTAGAAATGGATCGAATGCATGTCAATGTATCGCGAGCATTGCTGGAGGACATATCGGTCCCAGTCTGAAACACCGTCACGTCCGCATAGAATAAGCTGAATGGACGGGTCAAGCAGTTTCAACGCTATTACACTTGGTCAAACTTCTGGTTATGCCAACGACGGAAGCGGACTCACCCTTTGCCCACTGGATTGCCTTTTTGGCATAGTCTTCCTTGGTGGCCTGTTCTACTTGCCTGGGTTTTATTAGCCAGAAGTCCTCAGACCCTGATCATAGAGAACACCACTTACCATGGACCCCAAATTTCATTGCCCAGAGCCCAGTACTTGACCTTGTACGGCTCCTCGTGGCCATTCTTTCGTCTCAGGTTGGCGTAGTGCGTGTCCCGGTCGCCATTGCAGTACTCGAGCCAAGCAAGTGCATCCTCCAGCGTGCCCGTGCCCATGTTGAGGCAAATGTACGGCTCCGTCTTGACGATGCGGCACCACTCAATGAACTCGTCGGTACCAAACTGGTTGGACTCGACGCCGAGCCACGCCAGCTCCGGGCGCTTGGGGCGCTGATCCCGAGGTCCGATGCCATCCTGCCACCGGTACGTTGCCACAAAGTTTCCGCCGGGGTATCTGATGACCGGCACCTTGAGCTCCAAAATAGAGTCGATCACGTCCTTGCGGTACCCTTGCTCTGTGATGAGGCCGTTCTTGTTGTCTGGGTCGTAGATGCCACCGTAAATGCACCGGCCCATGTGTCTGGATCCATACAATCAGTCAAGAGCTTGGAAATATGATCAAGACCACCATTTACTCTGTGAAGCCTCCATAGATCAGAGGGTCGATATCGGCGACGGTGTGGGTTGGGTTTAGCGAGATGAGGGGAGACTTGGCCTCCTCATCGGATAGTACCGTCAGAGTAGTCATTTTGCTGAAAAGAATACAAAGTGTCGGGATTATAGTTGAACTCTGTATTTGGAAATAGGTGAATATGAAGTGCAAGTTTGAGATGTTATTCCCTTGGTTTTTATTTCCTTGCAAGTTTGTATTTGTTTTGTCTACTCTGACCTCTATAAGCGCTCGGTGCCCATTCAGCCCGAGCAATGGCATTGGCGGAACAATAGCTATCGAGATAACGTGCTATCGGATTGTACAATGCCACGCGTGCAGAGGGTATCCACCTAACTCCCGACTCCCGACGTCGGGTATATCCATCGGGGCTTAGTTTGCTGCACGAAAGAAGGTTTACCACCATGAGGCGCCGATAAAAGTGTGAGAGCCGCCATCACGTGCAATATATGTCTGTGATGATGAAGAAATGTAGCCTCATCAGTTATTCATGGTGCGAACATATTCCGAGGGTTGAAGCAGCTCATTTCACATAACTCACGTTGACCCAGGCAACTTGCAGAACTGCCCATCAAGAGGCTAGGAGGGACGCTGTCAAGTAATTGACGAGCCATTTTTACTATGTTGGGCACTTGCATTTCCTAATGATGTAGGAGGAAATGTTTATATTCAAAAATGTTTCATGTTTGGTGCAGTTTGATATTATAAGGTGTATCCAATAATTTTACATGGCACATGAATTGACTTGATTGTACCAGCCACGCTTTCTGTGGACGCATGGCTATGGATCTAGTCTAGCCATCAGACTCGGAATGGTCAGATCACTACAAATCGACAAGGAGACAAATGGATTGAATGGACATGTATCAGACCATTTTTAAAAAGGTCAAAGAAGCTTTTACCATATATCTATCCTAAGTATGGGTAGCTGCGTTCGTCAAGTCATTCGCTTGCCTCACGTGGATCATGAGTAGTGCTAGCCTCCTGTAGCTTCAGCGGTGAGGCGCCTGGGAGACAATGCTGCTCCATCTTTCACCCGCCATACCTAGTCCTTCTAGAGAATACTATGTATAGCGCGGTGCATGATAGTGGTTTCTAGTATGAGATTCGACCTATATCGAGTTCGCGTCTTGACGACAAGGCATGAAACCGACTCGCCGGGCTAGCCAACTATCGAATGACTACCAGCTGGTCGGGTCATGGCAGATATAGCGGCATGGCAGCACAGATGGAGAGCCAGATCATTCCATGAGACTCTCGCCAAACCAAGAAAAACCGTGCACAACCACGAGGCGGTAACGTCTTGCTGCCTCCCTTTCAATACGGGATACGTTCGTGCTCATGGCCAAATGCGGCAATTTGAACCACCCGGCTCAAAGCGAGGGTAGGGGTAGTTGCTAGCTGGGCCAGCTGGGCGTACTAGCTGCGAATGCCACGAGTTCAAGAACTCAAAACCTCGGCGGGCGTTTCTGATCCACATTGGCGTATCCGAGAATCAACCGGATCTAGCGAAAGGAATCATGGGCTCTTCGCGAAATATCCCAGAAGCGCCTGGCGACTGGGTTCACGATGGCAAGGCAGCCTTGATTGGTTGTGGTACACCGTATACGGATTCCGAACTTGCCCCACACATCGGAAGTCAAGAACTCGATACGGAATCTGTCAGAGGTTAACTAACAACGCGGTCCAATCTTCAACGGGAACTATACCCCGTAACAGATCTAGCCAGAAGTTGTCCGTGAGGAAATCAGGCGCATGTATTCAAAGCACCATCAAAATGCCAAATGGCGGAAGTGAATAGTGACTGATTAGCTTGGGCTCGTGGCTTTGTGCCGTCTGAGTGATCAAGCAAAGAGGCACGGACGCGCAGCTGAGCATACCGCCAGGCCGAAAGTAGAGCATCGCTATATGCAGCAGCAGACTGAGACTGATTCAAACACAACCAGAGGCTGCAGTGACAACAAAAGAGGCAGAGGAGGAGGAAGACGAAGAGCATAGAATGACCAACAATGACTCGATAGACGGGCTATAGTCGAGAGAATGAGTGCCAAGTTTAGTCAATGCTACTTCCTAGATATCTACAATGCCAGGCCATTACCAAGGTGTCTTCTGGACGAATCGCACTGCCTTTGACGTCCTGTAAAAATATGTAATGTAACCCATCATGTGAAATACAAACTTATTCTAAACTTTCAGGTTCTAAACAATTGACGGAGCTCGATCGGCACGGGTATCAAGGCCACATCCCTGTTTTGCAGACGAATGCTGGGGTTCAATTGGATGGTGCGTCATTGTGAGTGTTTATTCCGTTCTGAGCTGCTAGACTGGGGGGTGGAAGTCGCATTTCTTGGGGAAATTATGGGCCCGAGAGGTTTTGGGTCTTGACGGGCATCCCCCCAGGGCCCCACTGTCCACGCAAAAGCCACGACCTCGGGATCATCCAAGAGAAATCTGGGGAAGGTCTTCGGAACTATTTCCACCATCCCAGCAACCAAATAAGTCGAGATTTTTCTGAATCACCCGTTCGAACCGCCCACAAACCGCCGACTTGTCACTCAGCCGCACAGATGACAAGGACGAATGAGGCAACATTTCCAGCAGGCCCGATTTCAGCCCAGTCGTTGCCATATCCGCTTCTCACAGCCCTGGGATAGGAGCGGTTGGCTGATCTTCGGATGTGATGAAGGCCTAAGAGGCTCACATGACCTATGAAAAAAGACGAGGATGCCATTCCCAGCGCCGTGACGCCGGGGAAGACCCCACAGACCGCGCATTTCTCCCCCGCATCTGTCTCATTGCTGCTCTCCGCACTTCTTACTGCGAGTGGCCTGGGTCGGCTATCGAGCGAGGAGTACCGACCCAAATTCCTGGGATAATGTGAGAAATTCCTTGCTGACTGCCTGCCTGCCTGTCACCCGAATCATGATGATGGCTCATTGCATGTTTCATGAATCAAAAGCTGCGCCTTCACAAAGTGGAATTGAGGATCAACGTTCTCATTTCACTAATTTCGGAAGTGCCGTCTTAAGTATGGGATAGCGCCCTGGTCGTGTCTGTTTCCTTCCATCGTGTCGGCAGTGGATAGCACCAGAAGGAGGCCCCAAAAAGAATTCTCCAAAAAAGTCTACAAAGATTTCTCGGTACTACAACTGCCGACTTTGTCGTCTGAAACCCAGAACAAGCAGGTCACCACCAACATATGGAGGGGTTAGAGAATCATGCGCCTTCGCAACATGCTCACTCGCGATGGCTTCTTCTTCCACGGGTGAATATCGGAACTGCTATACCATAAAGGTGCCGGGGTCTGGCCGAGGGATCCCTAACCAAGTTAGATTTCCCAGTTCACCTGTTCATGCTCGTTCGATAGAGCCAGCCCTTGCCAGCCTCTGGCCCGATAGTCTGTAACTACTTGTCTGCATTGGATGTATGTGTGTGGAGATCCCACCTCAGCAGCCTCCACACTTACCCCGGTAGACGAGTGCCGTGACCATGTCCTGGCAATGGCCTCCAGGTCGTATGGGGTTCCCTTAACCGACTGCGGGTCGAAACGGTCGAGGCTCTTGAACAATGGATGGATCATGGAGCAGATCAGGGCAGGACTAAGCCCTCAGAAGGCGTTTTGCTGAACCTGGAAATGCTCGTGCGAAGCAAAGATGTATAAAACAGGACTGTCTAGCTCTGTCCTAGAAGGATTTCTACTACCCCGGATCTCCAGATTTCCTTCCCCAGATCAAGAGGAGCTCGTTCGAGTCAGAGTCTCGACCCAGTCTGATCACACTAAGACTAGCACAACGGTTCTTGTGTCCTATCTTTATACCCATCATGTCGGATGATGTTGTCAACAAGCACGGCTCGACACAAGATGTCTGGGCTGAGCACGTCGACGATGATGCTGGCCACGCCGCCAACCAGGAGGAACACGAGTTGAGTGCCATTGGTGCTATTCGCAAGCAGCCCAAGGTATTTGCCTGGTGTCTCTATGCACTCTTCACTTGTCTTCTCGTCAGTTTCGAGAACCAGGCTTCTGGCATGGTCTTGAGTATTCCCGAGTTTCGAAAGGATTTTGGACACGCATACGAGGGCTCTTACGTTCTGGATACAAAATGGCAGAGTGCTTTCAGCGGTGCCCCTTTGGCCAGCACTATCGTTGGCACCTTTGGCGCATCTCCTCTTGCCGATAAGTTTGGTCGCAAGCCAGTGCTTATTGGATCCATCCTCGTCTCCTTTGCCGCCATTGCCCTGGAATTCATCTCGACCACCAACGAAATGTTCTTTGGAGGCAAGTTCCTGAATGGATTCACAACTGGAATCATCTTGACAGTGGCACTGGCCTACGTTGGAGAGGTAAGTAGACTCCAAAAATGGCTCACGAATATAAAACAACAATTGCTAACAGTCACAGATCGTTCCTCTAGCTTTGCGTGGATTCCTTACCTGTTTGAGCGCGCTCATGTTCACCATCGGTCCCCTGACTGCCGCCATCATTGTCAACTTCACCGGTGCATTCGAGTCGAGATGGGCATACCGATCAGTATTCTGTGCGCAATTTGGCTTTGCCGGTATTTGTGCTCTCTTCATGTTCTTCATGCCTGAGTCGCCCATGTGGCTCACCAGCGTCGACAAGACGGAGAAGGCGGGTCGCTCTCTCCGTAGGCTGGGCTTCAGCGACTTTGAAGTGACCAAGAAGATCTCTCAGATGAAGATTACTCTAGAGCAGTCCAAGAAGGAGACGGAGGGTGCCAGCTACCTCGAGTGTTTCAAGAAGTCCAACCTCCGCCGCACAATCATCGCGATTGCACCTCTCTCGATTCAGGCTCTCGGTGGCGTGTACTTCATCGCTGCTTACGGAACGTACTATATTCAGTTGGCCGGATACAGCACCGAGGACAGTTTCAAGCTCCAGATTGGCCAGCATGGTATGAGCATGGCTGGCAACATCATCTCGTGGTTCCTGGTTGACAAGGTCGGCCGTCGCCCATTGACGGTCTGGGGTACCGTTATCGTCACCGTGATCCTCATGATCTGTGCGGGACTCGCCGTCCAAGGCTCTGATGGCGCCATCAAGGGATCGGTGGCCATGATTCTGATCTACAATTTCTTTTACAACATCACCATTGGCGCCACCGCTTACACCCTGCTCACCGAGGTTGCCACGTCCAAGCTTCGAGCCAAGACCATATCCCTCGGTGTTGCCCTTCAGTACATTGTGAGTACTCAACTCTACGCCACTCCTGCCCCCAATTTTTTTTTTCTAACTTGAATATTTGCAGATCTACACCCTTTGGGCTTTCGTTATCCCATATGTTTTCAATCCCGATCAGGCGAACCTCGGAGCGAAGACTGCATTCATCTACGGCGGCCTCGGCGTTCTGTGCATCATCTATCTATACTTCTACCAAGTCGAGACCGCCGGACGAAGCTACGAGGAGCTGGACGAGCTCTTCCAGAAGGGTATCAGCGTCAAGGACTTTAAGAGCTACGTCACGGAAGCCCAGACTCGGGGCCAAGAGGCCAAGGAGTCCAAGGCGGAAATGTAAAGCAAAGTCATGGATGAAAGTATGATAATCCGCCACAGTATAGCAGTCTGGCTTTTTTTACTAGTGGCTCGTTTTGTTCTTTTAGCGTGGGGATAATGAATTTATGAAGATATGCTGTCCATGATGGCGATCAATGGCAATGCGCTGGAAGTTATGTGAATGTGAATGTGAATGTTACCATATCCAATGGGATACCGGAAATATACAAACAATCTTTGAGTATATGATGTGCTCTGGAAATATCATCTATCTTTTTGATTCTCGAAAACATGTGCTCCAACATGTCGCGCTTGCTGTAGCGTGTTCTTCGTTGTATCAAAGCTCTTTTACCATTGGCCTAAGCACAATTAGTCAATACAGGACCCTCATATAAGCAGCAATATTGCAGGATACATGTGTATATACTCGCCTTGGATATATAGCACCCGCACGTGGCCACAGAAGTGAAGAAAATGACGAAATAATACTTGCCAGGTAGAGTAGTACTTCGTTGATCCAACTCATGCTCGATCCAATTCTTCCACACCTCCTGGACATGGTGATTTCAGTATATTTGGAAGATATGAGTAGCGTATAAGGACTTTTACGGTACATACCAGATCACGCGTGGTTGCATTTATAATATAATCCCGGGTGACGATAGGACGTCTGGCAACGGATCCCTCAGGTCTGGCGGCAGCGGCGGCGGCGGCGGCGGGTCTTTGTCGCACCACGATGACAGAGTCGGAGTCGTCGTTATCATTGTCATCTTCGTCTCTTGTCTCCACGCGCGCACGCTTGCGACTCTTGGGTTCACGGGGTTCGGAAGTACCTAAAAGATGATGACGATTTTTAGTATAGCATGAAATTTTACCCCATGGAAACACTTGTCAGATTGCAAAGTTTTGAGAAACTCACCTCCATCATCTTCCGCACTGATCCGGAAGGAACATGAACCATTACGACCAGAGTAATGGCAATTAAAACATGCGCCCTTGAAGCGCTGCGAGTCTGCATAATAAATTATTGGTAAAACTGTGCTTTCCAACTGAGGCGCGCCGGAAGCAAACAAGCAAGCACATGTAGACGTACCGGCACGACATGTCTCGAATGGGCCTTTACTTCGACCTACATCCCGACATTGCTTACACGGCTCTTCATTGTCCCCTGTGGATGGTGCAGTTTGCACTTTAGCACTAAATCGTTTGTCTTGAGCTGATGGTAAAGATATCCCTTGCCTTTGAGAATAATGTACGCTACAGCAGCCACGGCACGCTCCTGGCGATGAACGGTGAAATCGGGTAGTTTTGGATAGAATGCGCTACCGGTATTCTTCAACTTGATGAGACGTACAAGGTTCTGTTGCGAATAAGTCAGTATTCAGTGAAATGGAAGGAGAAGAAGAAAAAAGGATCGGAGGCACAGGACAGGAGTCAAAGGATAAGAGGCAGACTTGCATCACTTAGAGCCAAGATGTCCTGAGAATTCGCCTTGCCATACTGTCGTATGTAGTCGACAACAAACGCCGTAAGATCTCGCGGGTCGTCGCTGGCCATGCACTCCTTTTCTGTCTTATACTTGGGCTTCTCGAGGCTCCTTGTCTTGTATCTCCATCGTGATAATGGAGGTGCTTCCGCCTCAGCGTCTGCTGGCATACTTGTTGATAATGGCCTCAATCGAGAGTGTCTCCTAGTGTATCTGGCAACAATATAGCATTCCCATACCAAGTCAACACTGCGCGCGTATGGGGATGTGCATTCTCATGAGCCTGTCGTTAATTTTTCCCCCCCTCCCTTTTCGAAACCAACACCAAAAGCAGACAAGCTTATTCCGGTGGTCGCACGCTTGATCCTAGTTGTTTTGACTCCAAAGCAGGGCACCAAGGTAGCGACTAAACTCGACTTTGGTGGGCCGGGACAAGGTTCATTCTTTAAACTCAAGGACAGCCACGCAAGGGCTTGTACGTAGTACGAAACCGGCCGTCTCTCCAAATTTCTGCTTGAAGTGCACCGTTTTCAATTCAGTATATTCAAGTGATCTATGAATTTACAGCTCAATTTTTCTTTTAATTCTTACAGAGAAAACTCCTTTCTAATAACAAGCATTCAAAAAGATTTCTAGATTCCGTTATTTGTGGTAGTCTATTGAGCGAGCTTACTGGTAAAGCAATCGGTTGCTGGATTCGAAGGCTACGGTCGATCCACCGTTGAACTAGCATAAACTTCGTGTGCTAGGTAGCGCACCTAGATGAGCGGCATGAAGATATATTCACTTTTTACACACATATGAACCCGAGACTCAATCAGAGTGGTTGACGTGATTCCGCTATGCTCGATGCATCGCACTGGCGTTTGTGAGTGCATGATGGAAACGTATTTATCAGTAACCGCTTTGAGTGAAAGATCAAGCGTGAATGGCTTCTGGCTTCAACTTGTGAAACTCTGACCTGAATACCTACCTAGCCAGCAAGGTCAGGCGTCTAAACTTTGTATATCCCCAATGCATAATTATACCGGGATATTTCATTCGTCAATTCCTTTTCGGGGATTGAGCTTCTGCATATATAGATATACAAAGGTGGAGCTATGGCCAGCTGCAGCTCTTTATGGAATAGTCTGACGTCACAATAGCGTTTGTTACCGTCACCTTATTATGAACGAGAGTGATGATGAATGGGCACTTGCCCGGTGGAATGTTTTGGATGTCGTCAAATCTGCTCGAGCTTCTCCAATAAATCCTACATAACACAAACTTTAGGTTTCTTCCCACCGAGATAATCGCAAGAATACATCTTTACTGATTGTTCCACCATCACCACTACTGAAAGCAAGTCCGGGGACATCTTTTATACAATTAACAAAACATCATGTCGGCTCTCACACCCCTCCGCAGCGCCTTGCGCACTCCGGCAGCCGCTCGCATATCCTCCCCTCTCGTGAGCAGCAGCGTGCGGAGATTCCAAACGCACCGTCCCGCCCGCATGGCCTACAAGGACAGCCAGGACAGGGAGTCACTCAAGCCCACGACCCACGAGTATACGGAGTCGGGCAGCGACGACCAGGCCGCGGCCAACACGGACGCTGCCTTCAACCGGCACAAGACGAGCCCCGAGGCGGAAAAGGATACAGCAGGCCAAGCGCCCACAGAGGGCGCAAATAACCCGCTGCAAAACAGCCCGGCCGACGAGAGCTTCGCTAAGGCCGGCCAGCACCCTGGCGAAGACAAGACGCATGGCGGCAAGAAGAAGAGCAGCGGCCATGGTAGCCCGCCCAAGGGAAAGAAGGTCTAGGGGATCAAGGACTGGTGCAGAGGGCGGTTTTGAGGTACAAGGCAGGATTTTGACATGGGATTCCCATCATCCGGCTATCAACCAGACTCGCAATATCCTTACCACAGAGCAGAATAGACGACGGCCTCTGTCTCTACAGCTACGAGGCTGCATGTCTTTTGGAGTTTGGCTTCGGTTTAATCATGTTTCAGGTTTTGAGAATTCAAAAGCATAGCAAGAAATCATGACAAATCCTTTGAGAGAGTTCCAGTGAGCGACAACCCATTTGTTTAGGTGTGACTCTTTGCTCCATATAATACATATTGCTTGCGAATGGGTATGTATTGCGTCTCAGCCTTGAACCGGTAAAACGCCTTTTCAATAAATTCATAAACCAACCAACCGACTAACATGCTTGTATGAAAAATCAGCCATAAAGACCGTCCATATCGTCCTCTTCGTCATCCTCTACAATGACGGGGGCCTTCTTCTTCTCTGTCAGGTCCTTGCGGCACAGAGGACAAGTGCCCTTGCTCTGCAGCCAAGGGCCCACGCACTCGAGGTCGAAGCGATGCGAGCCGTGGCAAGGCAGCTCAACGACCAAGGGGTAGGGGTCGTCCATGTACTTTTCGGCGCAAATAGGGCAGCTGTCGTCCTTGAGGCTCTTCTTGGGCACGCGCTCCAGGGTGTCGAGGTACTCCTGGGTGACGCCCTTGATCTCGTCGGGCGGGTTGTCAACATCGGAGCGCAGCATGTCGATGAGGGAGACGAGAAAGTCGCGGTTCGTGTCCGAGGGGGCCGAGTTGGCGAGCGTGGCCATCTGCTCTTGCACCATGGAGAAGAGCGCGGCCGCATCGACCGGAGTCGGGCCGGCGTGGTGTGTGGATGTGGTGGTGGAACCGGCATCGCGAGAGATGGTGTGTAGGTGTGATGTGAAGGAGGACATGTCGGGACGGCGGCGGTGGGGCGGGTTTGTAGGAGCCTTGATATTGTGCTCGACTTGCATCGTGTCAGAGATCAGCATTCCTACAAACACTCTTGGAGGCTGCGAGCGGCTTCACCTTCGTAGGGATTGGACGCCATGATGGGCGGAGGGGGGTTGCGACAGCAACTACACAGTTGACCTGCTTGAACTGATCGCAATGCTGAGGATCCAAGTACTTTAAACAATGCGATCGTGGTGGTTCCTCTGGAAGAATTGAGAATAGTAGCTGATCGAGGATGTTTTAGTTGTCCAGGGCAGAGCTTCACTTTTTGGTACAGCGAAGATTGATGCTGTAGGCGCAAACCCCCACCAGGCAAACGTAGCTGACGACCGTCGGAAGGACAGAAGAAGACTGGAGAATCAGTTTGCGGGGCGATCCAACCTGCCAGTGTGGGGTTTATCCAAGTTATGAATGATTGAGCATAATTGTACCGAATAGTACTGACTATTCCATAGTACTCCATACGACAGTACTTCCGTACTCGGGCGGTCCCTCTACCCCCGCGTTGTCAATAAAAAGGTACAAGAAATAGCGCTGGGAACATTCACGCAAGCTTGTCAAGTTAGCATAATTCAAAGTTTACATACAACTCTAATTTGTGTCGACAAACTCTACATCTTCGAGTCACTCTATAATGGCTTCCCAACCCCCATCAAATGAGGATGTACGCATCGAAGTCATTACAGACCCTTCTGATTTCGAGGCGGCGTACGATGTTACCGCGAATGCCTTTGGCCACCAGACAAAAGATGGAATCTGGATGGCCATGAACCCAGACTGGGACCAACCAGCCGGAAAAGCCAAGAACGTGGCACAATTGAGAGATCGTTGGCAGGCTACCAAGGCGGGCGGCAACACCACTTTTATCAAGGCGACCTTGCCGGATCCCGCCGTTGAAGGCTCTCGGGTCATTGCTGGCCTCGCCATCTGGCTTCACGCCTCTGCAATTCCTGGTCAAGGCGAGGTTCCCGGAAAAATAGACTTTACTTCAGTCTACCCAGACAACGAGAGGGAGCGGAGATACGTGACGCAACTATTGACGTCTCTGCACAAGAATCGCTACGAGGTTCTCCGGCAGATAGCACAGCCAGAGTCGAAGCAAAAGTCCATCATGGTGCTCGACCTGTGCGTGACGGACCCGGCGTTCCAGAGGCGAGGCGTTGCCAAGAAGCTGGTGCAGTGGGGACTTGACGAGGCAAAGCGGAGGGGTGACCTCGATGCCATCATTGAGGCATCAACCATGGGCCGCCTCGCCTACGAGAAGGTGGGATTTCACCAGGTGGGCGAAATCACATACGATGTGGATGAAGAGTTTCGAGACCGCCGAATGCCGCCAAATGCATTCATGCGTCTAAGACTGCCCAACTAGCAATAGTTGACATAGGAAGCCCGCAATGAAAGGTATACTACAAGAGCGAAATAGCGGGGGCAAATCTAATCCCATTTTCTTTCTCGCTGAATATTGCAGTCCCTCACAAGCCAGAGATACTGTGGCCTTGATGGGTCAGCATGGGTTAGTATATCCGACGTAGCAGTGCATATGTCTTGCTCGTTTGCCCACTAGTTACTACTAGGTACACACAGTCCCCAATAACTCATGAGGCATGCAGACTTCTGAATGGTGCATTTCACATTGAGCCGGCAAAGGAAATAATTGCAATGAAAGGTCACTTATGCGGGGAAATAAGAATCAGACTGAAGCAGCCGTGATCAACTATTACATTGCTTCTTCATTCCCTTCTAGCATTCAGTTTTTTGCTTGTTGACCTACATTATAGTCCAAGGCCATGATTCGTTGGGTAGGAAAATTACTTTACCTCTTTTTCTTTGTGTCCTTTACAATCGGACAAGATGGAAACTCCGGTCAGTACGAACATTAATTGGAAATGCTACGAGTTGACAAGCATTACGAATGGGGGAAGAAAAATTAACAAAATGCCTTCTTCTAGTGACTTCACCGATTGCTGAAAAGGTTCTCCATAGCATAGCGGTATCCAGTGTGAAGTACTTTGACTACGAGACCATACAGTTGACACCCAAAGCACTCGACAACCATCCTGATATTACAGCATCATACGATTTCGCTAGCGCTCAAACAAGACTGAACGGGAACATCTCCACTCCAAAATGCAAATTCATGCCTGGCGATGCTGAATGGCCGACAGAGTCTCAATGGCAGAACTTCAACATTTCTCTGGGAGGCGCACTGGTTCAAGGAGTACCGTCTGCAGCAGTGTGTTACCCCGAGTGGCCCCAATACGATGAGGCGAAATGCGCAGAGGTCACTGAGCTTTGGTCGGATCCCGAGTGGCAGCAAGTCTTTCCGCTTTCAAATAATCCTCTTTCAGCCTTGTTGTCTGTGCTGATCACATTCCAGAGCCAATGATCCTACGGGTCTGAATTTTCCCCTTTTTGAAGGCGTCACCTGCGTGCCGCCGGCATTCGCACGCCCAAATGCGACTTGCATAATGGGAGGTAAACCAGCTTATGTCGTCAACGTGACAAATGGTAAGACGTATACCTTGTTATATTATGTTTAGCAGTAACCTAAATGTCTTTCTTGTTTTTAGTTGCACAAATACAGTTGGCCATCAACTTTGCGCGAAATCAAAATCTCCGATTGAATATCAAGAACACTGGCCATGATTTCATAGGGAAATCGACCGGCGCCGGGGCCTTGTCAATCTGGACACACTTTTTGCGCGATATCAAGTATTTGGGTGATTCCTTTGTCGACGCATCAGGTCGTAATGGCTCGGCATTCAAAGTCGGCGCTGGTGTCACTGTCGGAGAGCTCTACAAAGCCGCCAACGACACGGGAGTGCAGGTGACGGGTGGCATCGCACGCGTGAGTATTCTCAATCACCGCTTCGAAAGATGAACTCGGCTTGTGTGTGCTCAAACACTGACGCCTTGGCCCCTAGACTGTTGGTGTGGCAGGTGGATATATAGCCGGTGGTGGCAATGGACCTCTCATCTCCAAATACGGCATGGCAGCCGACCAGGTCGTATCACTCGAAGTCGTACTTCCGAGCGGGCAGTTTGTGTCCGTTGACCAAGAGAACTTTCCAGACTTGTTCTTTGCCCTCCGCGGTGGGGGCGGCAGTACCTGGGGCGTCGTGACATCCATAGTCATCCGAGCATATCCCAAGACGCGCATCACCAAGTCAACCTACAGCTTTGGGTCCGGTGTTCCTCTCGATACTTTTTGGGCCGGAGCCGAGGCCTTGTTTGCTCAGTTCCCCAAGTGGCCCAAGGCCGGCATCTATAGCTATTGGTCCTTTCAGTGCAGCAATTCCACCGGTTGCGTGTTCTCCATGGCACCGCAGCTAGCCCCAGATCTGAGCGCCAAAGAAGTCCTGGCTCTATCGCAGCCTCTATTTGATCGTCTCGATGAACTCGATATACCCCTCGACAACTTGACGACCGTCGAGTTTGACGACTATCTTTCTGCGTTTGACGACAGCTGGCCCGAGAGCACGAACACGGCGGGCAGCTGGGCGTTCCACACTGGCTCCCGCCTCTTTCCCGCGTCCAACTGGGAAGACGCCGAAACGGTCGCTGCCCAAATGGCCATATTCCGTCACACGGCCGAGTCCTCGGGCTCCTTCTTTGGGTACAATGTCCAACCGGCGTCGAACCCGCTCGTCAACCAGACCAACGCCGTCGACCCGGCGTGGAGAGGCACTTGTCTGTTCCTCATGTCTGCCGCCTTTTGGTCGCAAAACACCACCGCTCCAGAAATTGCGGCCGCGAACCAGGAACTCGTGCAGCGGTTACAGCCCTGGCGCGAAATCGCCCCAAACGGCGGCGCCTACTTGAATGAAGCCGACGCAAACGAGCCCAACTGGCAGAAGACTTTCTGGGGAGACAATTACGATTATCTCTACGGCTTGAAGCAAAAATATGATCCTACTGGGGTGCTCTATGCTCATACGGCAGTGGGCTCAGAGGATTGGTATATTACGGATCAGCTTGACTACTACCCTACGCAAAATGGAAGACTGTGCCGGGTCAATTGAGGCACCGATTGATCGAGGCTGAGTTGACATTCACCTCAACCCTTGTTTATTTGCGTCATGTTTCAATTGACGTAATCAATACTCTTAATATAGCTGCGTCTGTAAAAACGAGTGTGATCGTGACATGATAACTGACTGCAAAATGATTTATTTGACTCCGACCAACGCTGTTCCAACCCAGTAATGCCCCAAATAACCCTATTCAGAGTGAGAAATAAGAAAGTCATAACCCTTTAGAACTGCCTTCCAGCCGTCAGACCTCGGGTCGCTACTCAGGTCACAGATATGGGGCCCGTCATCGAGGAGAACGAGATCCGTTGCGACACCCTTCTCGGCCAGAGTCTGGAAGGTTCCACGGCTCTGCTGCCACGGGATCAGATCGTCACTCGTACCATGCACGAAAAACGTTGGCACCTTGTAGTCGCCCTGTCTAATGTGAGCCCGCGGACTGGCGGCCCTAATAACGTCGAGCGACGGCTGGGGGAGGGCGCCCCAATCTTGTTGCTTGTCAGCAGAGCATTCGGCATTCGCCTTTTGCTTGCTCGGCAGCCCGTTGAGAATGACGGGCAGTGTTTGTGCTTTCCAATTAATGTGCAATACAATGCGGCATCGCGCATCGTGCCAGCTCCGCGGGTCCGAAATGGGCTCCTCCCACGCTCCGACCATGTCGTAGTTGGTGAGGGGCTTGTCCCGGACACCGTCAAGAACGTCGTACTCCTGGCCCTGGTACGCCGCTCCGTTGGGCTGGATGGGATGCTGCCACCATTCGTCCTCGTAGTCGGTCGGCGCATAAAAGATGAGCAGGGATTCGGGAGGACGAAGACCTCGCGCTGGCGCAGTCCAAGCCAGGGACATGGCCAGCTGTCCTCCAGACGACCATCCCACGACCACGACTCTGTCTCCATCAATCTTCAATCCGCGGCGCGGTAGTTGAATGTTGGGCAATTTGTTGCGCGCCCAATCGAGAGCGTCGCATACGTCTGTCATGGGACCCTCTTGAAGGGGCACTTCAGGACAAAGCCGGTAATCCAGACTGACGGGCAAGAATCCCTTCCGCATCAGGAGACGTGTTTGTGCTGGTCGGACATCCTTTCTGCTGAACAACATGTGACTACCCCCATGGATCATCAACGCTTATTATTGTTAGCGATGATCAAGATTGAGAGCAATAAATGTCTAGTCACCTACCAACTGGAAGACCCTTGTCCGGAATCTCCATTTCAGTGGGATAGTAGATATCAGCCTGAATTTCGAGATCGTCAATCTTCTTGTAGACCACAGTCTCCACTGCAGCCTTTACGGGTCTGTCGGGGACTGTATTGCCAGTCGGAAAGGCGGCAATGACCCGTACTGTCTTTGACTCTGGTGAGAGACCATCGCTCCACGAGACTTGCTCAAACCCTGCGCCCTTCATCCTGCGCTCCCAGTGCTTTTCGTCGACGAGTGCGTGCTCACGGCCATCGTCAAAGAGCCACCACCCTTCCAGCAACCCAACCACAATATCCAACCAAAACATGTTCTGAGTAATCTCGATCAAGGTCAAGGCTCCATCATCTCGGAGCATCTTTCGGATATTACCAAGCGATACGTCTAGGTTCCTTGTAGCATGGATGCAATTGGTCGCAATAATGCAATGGAACGCGCCCTCGTACTCTTGCTTTGGTGGTTTCTCAATGTCCAACACATCAAAAGACACCTCGGGAACCCCCTTGAACTTCTTGGCCGCGGCATTGACGAGAGAAGCACCAAGGTCCGTAAACGTGTACTCGAACTCAATGCCCAAGCTCTGGAGGTGATTGACAATGTAGCGCGTCGTGCCACCGGTACCAGCTCCGATCTCGAGGATGCGGAACTTGCCTCTGCCGGTTGCCCTTGTCAGGGCCTTTTCTAGAAACTCGCCGAGAACGAGCGTGGGAGTCCGCATGAGTGGTGAGAACTCGTACATTTCCTCAAGTGTCTTTTTGTTGTCTCGACTGCCAAACACAACTTGGAGGCCCTCCTTGTCACCCCGCAGGCACGGAGCCAGTTCAGATCCTACTGCCCGGACCAGCTTATTCACGCTGGCGTGCTGCGGATATAGGTCGATGATTTCATGGTAAATGGATTCCGCAGAAGACGAGTCGGCTTGAACGCCGGTTCGCATGAATGTTCCGTCGTTGTGCGAGGTAATGAGTTTGCCGTCTTCCAGGACGCGGTAGAGCTGACGCACGAGCTGCTTGTGCTTGGCGAGGGCAGCATCGACCTGGGGCACCACATCCCCCTCTCGCAGCTTATGCATGTCGCAGCCGAGGTCGGCATATGCCTCGACGACGTATGCCAGTACCAGTCGGGCTTGATGAGGGTATGCCTTTTCCCAGAAATCGGTGGCCTGTGTAATCGTGGCCAAGCGGTCATAAGCGAGGCGCGATTCCTCAAAAGCGGCGGCTGCCGAAGTGATTGTAGGCCGTTGCTCTTCAGGCTTCAAGAATTCATCAATCGGTGTTGATGGTGTCCTGTACCCATCTCCGTTCTCGATTGAAGCCGAGTCCGAAAAGCTAGAGTCCTCGCTGGACGATGCTTCGTGGAGTGTACCTTCACCTCCGGCGACAAGGCCAAGCTTGTCGTTGACATGGTCGATGAGGCCTCGAATATTTGGCAAGAACAGGAAAGTTGACAAGTCGATAGTTAGACCCAAGATTGAGCGAATATCATTGAGCACTTCTGTGGCCATCAACGAGTCTACGCCAAGTTCTTCCAATGTCGCGTCATCCTTGAGATCGTCCAAGGCGAAATCAGTGACGTTGGACAGGATCTGGAGAAGCTCTGTTCGCTTTCCCGTAACAACACTTGGCGAATCTTGAGACACCTTCTTTGGCTTTTGTTCAGACACATATTCTATCTCGGAGCGAGAAGATGGTTTTTGCTGGACCTCTTGGGGTTGCTGAAGCGCGGACTTGTTGACACTCTTTAGCATTCGGGCCAACAAACTTTGTGACATTTTGGAGAACCTGAATCCCAGGGCAGTCATAACCAGCTTGTTGGTCTTGGCGTCAAAGATATAAGCATCGGCCGTGGCATCTGCAGTCTCTCCGCCCTCACCCATGGTCGCGTAGACAAGCCACTCTCCGGCATTGGGATCAAATCCTCCGGCAATCTCGATATGCTCAATCTGCATACAGACAAACACATCTTCTGTGCTGGGATTATTAAAATAATTGACCAAGAAACCGGCGAATTGCATGAAGCTGTCCGTCATTGGCGTGTCGCAAAGCCGTTGATCAATTGGGTCCTCCGCCGAGGGCGTGATGCGGACCTTTCCTGCAGCCTCGGAGCCGACGCAAGCAACCTCCTTGATGCCGCGGAATGACTCCCCGTATGAGACTACGGTGCTGAACGCACGATAGATGTGGTGTCCTCGCATCTTTTCTGCGTCAGGGTGGTTAATCACCTCCTTGTACCGCCGATGCCCAGTGAGCGTCTCGATACGTTGGCGCTCTCTTGCCGCCTGCTTATCATCGCGGTTCTTGAGGTAGACCTTGCCGCTTGCATGCTCGAATGGCTCGGCTGATCGAGTCTCCATGTCTTGCGTGGTGATAGTAAAGGTCCACTCGGGATGTCTGTTGTCATTGATCCTCTTCAGAGATAGCATAATCTTTTTGGCAATGTTTTTGCCAATTGGGGATTTCATCAAAAGGTCCTCAGTGCTGGGAACATAGGTCTTCGCTTCCGTGTCATTTTGGAGGAAGAGCGCTGCTCGAGCAGCAATCTCAAAGTACAGAGACGCCGGGGCCAAAGTTTGACCAGCCATTACGTGCCCACCCAGCATTTGCTGAAAACGATCAGCTTGGGGATCAATCTTGAACACTGCTTCAGTCTTGGAGGAGTCGCGGAACTCGAGAAACTTGAGTAACTCGTGCGTTTCTGGAATATTTGCAACATTTTCTACTGCGGGTTCTTCAAACTGGCGTCTGCCAGTGAAGCCAAGCCAGTGTCGAGTCTTTTCGAACTGAATGGGTGGCAGACTGAGGTGCTCATATGCGACTTTTTCGGCTCTGTTAAATGGCCAATGCTGAACCATATGACCGCTCTTCCAAAGTTTGGCTGTGACTTCGGCCAGTGCATCCAGTGCCTTGTCTGTAGTCAACTGAGGAGAATGAAACTCGTGGCGGTCAGAGTTTGCTGTAGATTGCTTGACCAGCTGTATCGTCGAAGAGCCCCGTCCCGCTTCGATCCATGTCGAATCTCCAAGTCTATTGGCGAGCCTCTGTACTGCTTGCTGGTAGAAGACTGGGTTTCTCGTGTGCTGTGCAACCATCTGATGATGGGGTTCCTCTTTGCTTTCATGCTCCAGCGTCATCTCAAGATGGATTTGTGGACGTTTCCATTCCAATTCAGCGGCAACGGCGCCGATATGCGAGAGCAGCGGCTCGGTGAATTGAGAATGGAATCCATTGGTCACATTGAGCTTCTTGGTGCGCACTTGAAGGTGTGTCGCACCTGTGACATTTCGCTGTAGAACCTCAATGGCTCTCGAAGAGCCCACTACAACATGGCTCTTGGGGCCATTGTAGCATGCGATTTCAGCATACAGACCGTCGTCTTGCGAACGGAGGGTATCGAGGAGTCCTTCGACGGTTAGGCGGTCGGCTTCCAAATACAACATGGAGCCTGGCTCAGGACCCCAGTACTTTTGCATCAGTGAGGCCCTTCCAGACACCAACTTCAAAGCGTCGGCAAGGGATAACACTCCAGATATGCATAATGCTGTAAGTTGGCCAAAACTGTGACCCACGACTGCATCGATCTTGAGCCCGTTATCGATCCAGGTTTTTGCAGACGCATACTGTACGGCAAAGAGCGCCGAATGCAAAACCACCAAATCATCAATGGGCCAAGAATCGAATATCGAAGGGTAAAAGGTTTTCGACATGGAAGACACCAGCAAGTCATTGACGGCATCAAGGTGTCCGCGGAACACCTTGGAGGATGTGTATACATGCTTTGAGAGACCGATAAAGTCGCTTTCCTGGCCTGCAAAGACTAACACTACAGGCTTGGGCACTAGAGGCCTGCTGATTCCTGAACCGGCTGATGCTTGCTCGAGCTTGGCGATGAGGTCTTCTTTGCTATTGACGACAGTAGACAGGATATGGGGTAGCTGATGATTGCCTCTGTCGGCAAGGTTGAAAGCAAACTCTGCAAGGCTGTCTGAATGTCCTGCCGATCGGCGACTTTTCAGCCAACCCAACAGCTTTCTACTGTATTGAGACACGCTGTTGGCAGATCCGGCTGAAATAAACAGTGGGAACTTTGAAGCATGAAGCAACGCTGGTTGTTTGCTGATGCGAGTTGGCTTTTCGCGCACCATTACAGCCGAGTTACTGCCAGCAGCGCCGTAGCTGTTTACACAGGCAAGTAGATATGGGGCCTCCCAGGGAATGATGCCTCGAGAGATTTTCATTTGCGACTTGTCAAACGCCGGAATCTTTGGATTGACGGACTGGTGACTGGCTTGTGCCGTGATCTTCTTGTGCTGCATCATCAGGAGCACCTTGACCAGACCGGCAACGCCAGCAGATGCCTCAGCGTGGCCTATATTGCCTTTGATGGAACCAAAATGAAGGATTGAATCTCTTTGTGGACCTCCAAAAGCATCACGGATGCTGCGAACCTCGATAGGATCGCCGACGCCAGCTATACAAAGCCACAAGTCAGTAAAACGGGTACGATTATGCCTACGGCGATTTTCAATGGCAATGGAGCAATCGGTCTTATTTTGCCGACCAATGCTCAAGTTCTATTCGAAACGATGAGAGACCAACAAATTAAAAAGGTGTACTTACTTCCAGTGCCATGGGCTTCGACATAGGAAACTGACTCGGGTTCTACGCCACCGAGTTTCATAACATTTTGGTACAACTCGACCTGAGACCCCGAGTACGGTGCCGTAATGTGGCTAAAGTTGTGGTTTTGGTTGGCAGCAGAACCGACAATGACTCCCAGGATATTGTTGTTATCTTGGATCGCATCCGCAAGCGGTTTCAGAACGACAACCGACACAGCTTCGCCGCGACAGTACCCGTCGGCACCAGCGTCGAAAGGTTTGCATTGGCCAGACGGGCTCAGGAAACCGGCTGCGGACAGGTTGAGATAGTCAAAGGGGCTTGTAATCACGTTTGTGCCGCCTGCCACGGCTCGAGAGCATTCGCCGGACCAGATTGCGCGACATGCAGTATTGATGGCCACCAGGGACGATGAGCAGGCAGTATCAATCGTCAACGACGGGCCGGTCCATCCAAAATAATGGCTCATGCATCCACTCAGATAACATCTCGAGGTTCCTACTGTAGCGTACGCAGTGCCTGGATGACAAGAGAGGTTGTCGTAGTAATTGTTCATGACCGCCCCGATGTAACAGCCATAGTCATGAGGCTCTGGCTTGGCTGAGACGCCAAAGTATCCTGCAGACTCCAAAGCCTGGTAGATGACTTCGAGTAAAATCCTCTGCTGCGGATCCCAGGAAACGGCTTCACGGGATGACTTTTTGAAAAACTTGTGATCAAAAGCGTCGGAGTCGTTGAGAAAGTTACCCCACCACTTGGTATTGGCATGGTCTCCGGTAGTTGGCAGACCAAAGCGTTGGGTTGGCGCAGGCTGGACTGTTGTTTTCCCTTCCATGATCAAATCCCACAACTCGTCGACCGAATCAGCACCCGGAAATCTCCCAGCCATGCCCACAATGGCGATAGAATGGGGAGGGTACTGAGACAAGTCGTGAGATTCATCGACTGCCTCAATACTATTGATGCCGTCAATTTGACCATTCACAGGGATATTGTGGTTTGGTTTCGGATTGGTCCATGCAGGACTTCCGAGCGTCATCGTTCTCAAACCCTCATCTTTCGACAATGATGACGGGATAATGTTTGGATAACCGACTAGTCCAGCTGTACGATGAGACTTGGGCAGCTGCTGGACCGCGGACTTTAACGTAGTGTGCCAGTCGGCGACCTTGACAAGAGTATTTTCAATGGCGAAGCGGGCCAAATTCCCCTCTGTGATGGCCTTGCCTTGAGAAGTGTCGCGAAGCGGAACAATCAAGTGTTTTGCATCTGGAAACTGTAGCTCGCTATGCAATGAAACAAAATGTACCAGCTTATCTAGCGCGGGTATATGCTTTGATGTGTGGAAGCGACCATGAACATGGACAGCCTTTGTCCGCAGTCCATTCTTTTGAGACGAGCTGATAAATTTTTGGACATCACTAGCTTTGATAGTGACAGTGACACTCGTCTCATCGTTGATGCTAGAAATGTATGCCTAATGAATGTCTTGGATTAGTCCACGGACGCGGCTGCATGTTGAACAGGACGGACTTACATCTTGAAAGTACAGAAGTAGCTTTTCGACCTCGCTTTGGCCCTCTGACTTTTCTTCTCTCCATCGTACTGCCAGTGTGGAGTATTCTGTAGACTTTGTAGAATATTGGCCGTCTTGGTCGACATAAGCTCCGATAGCTACAGCAAGACGGAGGGCAACAGCAGCAGCATCCCCGAATGCCACTTGGTTGGCGGAAAAAGCTACCGCAGTGGCACTCAAGAAACCTGTACAAAAGCCTTGAATGCCACCATGCTTAATGCTCTCGAGAATCTGGGATTGGGCATCATTGCCTAGTTGGTCCAGATAGGTTGTGTACTGGACGATTTGTAACAGAACAGTGATAGGAAGGGCAAAGTGATTTGGCACATCGCTTGCCCTATCAGCGAAGGAACTACCATCTTGGAGCCAATTCCTCAATTGACTCAGGTATCTGTGTCCCGGGACTGTGTGTAGATCCGAGTCAAAGTCTATCAACCTTTGCCAAAACTCGGGCAGGGCGACGACAGCATCCTTCAGCCCTTGCAAGTGAGGGTTTGTGAGAAGCTCCTGGCGCAAATTTGAAATGACTTCATCCGACGGCAACTCCGTTTGCGGCCCAAAGACCAAGAGTGAAGGAAGTGGAAGGGTTTCAGAGGAAGACATTATCAAAATGTGCGACCTAGTTGATTCTGGGCCCTTGATGGTGACCAACTTCGACTCGGCTGTGCACCGGACAGTCTACGAATCTGTTGTATCAAAAGACTTGGGTGGAGAAAGTAGTACTCGTAAATGGTATGTCAAATAATAATGTGGATGGAGAAGGCAAGCAACTTCGGGATTTGTATAGGCAACCAAGTGGCCTCTTGCGATTTGATGACTTATTTGATTGTGAGTGTTTCCTCCATCCGGATGGGTGAAGAGAGGGGAAATGTTGACATGATTCGTAAGCATAGAATAACTATACGATTAATAGACACATTCCTATCACCTCTTTGAGGCATATTATGGTTCCATCTTTCAACCTCCAGGGTCCGATTGTAGAGCAAATGGCTATCGGCAGACATGGTAAGATTCGTTTGTCATGAAAGTCACGAGGTATACCTACATGTAAAACTGCCGTTGTTATCTTGCATTGCGATTATGTACTTTTGGACAAGGAATCTTGCCTAGGACCAATGATACTTACAGAATACGAAACTAGGTATGCGTTATGCTCAGACAACATGCCACATTGACCAGACTGTTGGGTCAGTCCCGGCAACTTGGCTGCATCATGGAGAGTGGGCGTACTGATGCAGCCATGCTGCCTCGTGATTGATAATCGGGCTTCAACCCAAGTTGTGCTAGATTCTTGGAGACAGAGCAGAGTCCCATGCTATCAAACTCTTGTTACGTATCTCCCTGTAGTTATTGTGCCAAATGCATGCAGTCGTCCACCGACTCACCCATACGGCCGGGTATCAGTCTCGGACGACGAGCAACATGAAACAGGTCAGTATCATTTTGGCAAACATGACGGTGCTTTCTATCTCTGATCGGCCAGAGCTCTATATTAAATCACATCATTACTGGGTAGATAGTAGCACTGGTATCTGTGTTTCAGCAACGGATAGCGACTGAAGGTGATGCGTACAGCATCAACAGGGTGTGGAAAGTATTGCAATACTTTGTCGGAATTGCCGGAACCTGCTGAATACTGAAAACAAGTGGAAAACTCACAAAAATCTAGATTCTCATGTGTGTCTGAAAGTGCGGCATGCGGACCTGATTCCAGCCGAGGTGCTGTCAAGCCACAATTTGAGGTTCCATTGCAGCAAGCTGTAAACACACAACTTGAATTCGCATTCAGGGCTTCATCGGTGGCTTTCGAGTTGGGAAACCTCTCCGGCTGCGCGTTCAATAGTCCTGGGAAGGGAGCCTGTAATCTTGTCACGACAAGGGTACTAAAGCAAGGTATCGAGCGGGGCTATGCGTCGTATTCAATGTATGTTATGCAGGGTCAAAGAGAAAAGGGAATGGTCCCAGTCGAAAAGCCACAATCTAGATGTATGATCTGATCGTGGGGCAGCATAGAACATATCATGGAGGCAAGGAATTTTCTAAGCGATGGAGTTAGGTAGTAATTATTCGTCCCCATCTGAGCTTTTGCCCGCCTGGCCCTTTGGACTCCACTTCATGTTCGCGAGCACGAACTCGCTCGGGACCCCCGCCGCCTCTCCCACATGATCCCTGAGGTCGACCCGTCTGTCCGGCCCGACCTGTTCAAACCCGAACTTCAGGTAAACGGGACGACCCTGCACCCCTGCCTCGAGGTATGCATCCACACCCATCTCGCGTGCGCGCTCCAGGCCCCAGCGGATGAGCAATCCCGCCGCTCCCCGGCGTCTCTGGCTGGGACGCGTGACAAGGTGCATCAAGACCCAGCACGGATGGCGGTCCGGCACCCACGTGGGTCGGAACGAGTCCCTGGATGAGAGAATATGATTGTGCAAGGCGAGATTGAAGTTGGGCGGGGGATACACATTGTCATCATCATTGTACCCCTCCAACCCCTCCGAACCCTCCGGTCTGTCTTGTGGGTGGTTATCGTTTGCTGTTTCGCCTTGGCGCTTGGCCTTGTGTCCTCGTAGATATGCCATCAGTGGTGCCGTGGGAGCCATCTCCCAATGCGCCTCGGTAGAATAGTCGTATCCCTGCGGGTAAAAGTGCCAGCGGGCGACGGCGATGATATCGCCCGCCGCAGCAGCGCCGTTATTGTCCACGTCCACGACCTTGACAAAGTTTGTCGTCGGATCTCGCAGGAAGCGGCGCCTCTGCAGCGCAAAGCAGTGCCGCGCTCTCGTCTGCGCCTCGGCTTGCGTGCTTACTGGCCATGCCACTGGGTTTGGGGGTGCGACGAGATCGTCGCCTGGAGGATCCGACGATGCATGTGAAATCAAAATGTCAAAATCTGGAAGTTCAAGCGGCTGGACTTGTAGCGGCATACTGGGCAATCTTCAGTACTACCTGATAATATTGGGATTCTATGAGCTTCAGGTTTTCTTTTCTTTTCTTTTCGAAATGGATTGTTGGTATTCAAGCCAACTCTAGTTGTTGGATTGATAAGCAATGATGACTCTTGAAACGACGATATCGGCCATGGACTAGGTAGATTATAGTCACTGCTTACGGGTGCTAGGGCTTATCCGCTAGACAAGGTACCTGGGTGCGGGTATAACCGTTGGTTAGTGGCTAGTCGAATTGCGCAAGTGATATACTCCCTTGGATATATCACGGACATTTTCTTGGTATACAAAGAAAACAAACAGTCATGTGCTATTCATTGTCACAAACCACAGCCATCTCAGCTGTATTTCTACCACCACAAGTCTGCCCTTCGAATTGAACCTGTTAATTGTCGCGCCTTTGCCAAAGCTAGTAAACTTTTGCTCGTTCTTCTCAAACACCAAATCGTAGCTCTCCCATCGCACTATCTATGTCGTCGCATAGTCATAGAGTATGATGCCGAGCCAAGGTAAAATAACTTTGCCGTTTTGTCGCTTGTATGTGAGCGCCTGAGACTCTGGCAGTCTAGGTTGGGCTGTCACGGGCCGTACTTACACCAGGCTGAACATGCTCCTGGCCCGACCATTTCACATATTCGTGGTTCAACTCTACCAAATGCGGCTTGCGCAGATCTTTTCATCGAGTCTGACTTCATGTGGTCCTTAGAAGCTTGTCAATGACTTTTGATCATCTACTGGTCGGCCTGCTCGATACCGGGATACGCCGACGTATTGACTGGGCAAGTCAGAGTTATGCACTGTAGGATCCAATCAGCAAAGTTGTAGCAAGTTCTTTTTTCCAACTTGAGGCCTTACCAAAGCAATTGGGAAAGTCGGCAACTGCTATTGCCACATGGCGTAGGTAGTCACTTGCATCGGACCAAATGTCTGTAGCAGGAATCCTCCCGGCCACTGATGGGGAACCTCTATGCATAGGGGTCGAACTCTGTGCCGCAGACAATGGTGTCGTATCTCCGGTACCTCGCATCGGGCACATATGTGTGTCATCTTACTGCCAACACGTCTTATTGGTTCGGCAATGAGCTGCACAAGATCTTGATCCAATGCGTCCGGCCCCCAGGTACCCGTCAGCCAGGGTAACACGTTGACACCCTGCCTTGTACGACATTCGGCAGCAACGCCTGTAATGTGATTGGATCGCCAATCCTGCTTCTCATATCATGTTTCTGCTGAATCTGTGGGGCTTTCTGCAGCTTCAGAACGAGTCCAAACCGCTTCAGAGCTTCCGGCAAGCCGTCTGACATGTTGATCATCGTGTAACCATAATTCTAATTTTGGACTGTTTAGATTCACCCAGACACGTCACCGTCAAACACTGAACAGAGCCGGCTCCATTACCGGTAATGGTAACATCTTTTGCGGCATACTTTGCAAATTTTCTGGTCAGTCCGCAATGTGCAAGACAATACCCGCAAATTAATCGAGACCTTTGAATTCTGGTAACTTCCAGTGACCCAGTCTACCTATAGCACTGAACAAAACATCACATTTGATAATTGTCCACTCTGATACGTCCTCGTCCCAGATGGCAACAATTTCATCAAGTATCGAAGTTCATGTACTGCCACAAGTTGAACGGTGTGACCGTTGACCCGGCGTGCTCCAGCACCTCAGGAGCCACAGTATATGGGTGAATCCACTGTGGATTGGTATCCCAGCTGTATTATCAGGCATGAGACGAAATATTGTAGGCGAATCCTCTAAACATTAGCGTTTAAGTTTTCTTTGACGACAATAATCTTACACTGGATCATATGCTTCATCGCAACAACCAGGACCAAAATCGGTCCACCGAGCATACCCGCGCGCCTCTGCCGGAAATTACCGAGGAGGTGAACACCAGAGGTCGCGGCGCATGTGATGCCATTGTCAATTTTCACCTCACATAACTTACGACTCGAGTTTTGGGTTCTTCTTGGACGAGTATGAAAGGTTGCAATTGCCAAGGTTGCCATTTAGAGTGTTTAAAGTCTCTTGACAGGGGTCAGCAGAGATATATTTCTAGTCATGGTTGCAATGGCTCATTGCGAATTCCAAAGTATTCATTGTTATTTGGCCATGTCTTTTTCGCCATCACCATCTACCTTGGTATTCTTATTCACGTCTCCCATCTCCACATCTTCCTCTGATGGTGGTGTGCTAGTAGCCTTCTCGATCCTCTTCCATCGCAACCCGAGTCCCGCCACAAAAGCTGCCGCGGCCATGGCGACACTAATGTAGTACGTATTCCGCAAACCCATCGTGTAGGCGCCAAGAACCGCATCTATTGCATCTGCCTGTCCCATGGATATGAGTAACTGTCTGATTTGGGAAGCACCAGAGTTGATAAAGATCAATGGGTCGAGTTGTGGTGCATCCCTCGTGACTCCTTCAATGAGCCCGTTTTGAAATACCGTCTGGGCCACGGCAATGAACAAGGCCCCTCCAAGACTCTGGAAGAATTGAACGCATGCAGTGCCTTGGGGAACGAGGGCTTGCGGGAGCACGTTCTGTACCACAATGACGCCAGCCTACTCAAACAACAAGTATTAGCATTCTAGCACCAAGTCGGCCTACTCCAGAGGAATAGATCGCGAGATTTGAAAGGATCAACTCGGAATCATCGTCATTGAGGTCACTGACCTGGAAACAAACACCGGTACCAAGCCCAAGAAGGACCTGGTACCCAAACCATTTGGAGAACGGCGTATCCAGCCAAAATGTCGAGATAAGTCCAGCGCCGGCAGCCAACATTGCAGTCTCCACCTAGTGAGTCGAAATATGTTAGCTTATCAATCTTCTCTTTATCTGAAGAACTTGCTTCTCGAGCATGAGGTGACGTGTTTCTAGGTGTTTCCCGGGACAGAAAATCGGGACCGGGAAACAAATTCGCAAAGACCGACGCTACTGAAAAGGCATGCGAAGAATAAGAAATTCCACAGATTTTGAGAACTTACCAGGATGAGAGGATTGTAGTAGCCAAACAAGGTGATAAGGGCACCGCTCACCATGGAGCTGAGGACAGTAGAGATGAGCATAGGTAGTATTTTGATACCCGCCTGCACGGCAGAATCGCCTTGAACTGCCTGGAAGTAGAGAGCTTGGTCCTCGTCAGACAATTTTCGGGAGCTAAGAAGACTGTTTCACCACTCACAGAGATAGTAAATCATGGCGAAAAAACAAGCGCCAAAGAAGAAACTAAATAGCATGGAACAAAATACATCGCGGTTCTTGAAGAAGCGAGGCGGGAGAAGTCCCTTATCCTGCTGCCAATGCTCGACCCATGCAAACAATAGAATCATGACTCCAGCCCCGACGAATAGGCCGATGATGCGAGAGTCATTCCACGGATACTCGGCGCCTCCCCACTGCAGAGCGAGGAGTAACATGACGATGGCGGGAATGAGTATGCCGGCACCGAGCAAATCGAGCTGAAGGATGCGTGAGAGGAACGATCCAGTGTGATCGTCACCGGTAGCGTGCGGGATGCCTAGGAAGAGAAAGACCACAACCATGGCCGCACCGCCAATGGGCAGGTTGACATAGAAGCACCACCGCCAGGTGACATGGTCGGTAAAGACGCCGCCCAGCAAGGGACCGGCGACGCTCGCGATCCCCCACATACCGCCAAAGAAACCAAACATGAGGGGTCGTCTCCGCAGCGGCAGCGTGTACGACATGATGACAATGGACCCGGAAAAGATGCCGGCCGCGCCCAGTCCGGCTATGGCGCGGCCAATGATGAAGACCACGGAGGACGGGGCGACGGCGGACACGAGGCTCCCCAGCTCGAACAAGGCGACGGCGCCGAGAAAGGCGAGCTTGATATCAAATAACCTGTATATGGTCCCGTACAGTGGCTGTAATGCCGTGCTGGTGAGTAGATAAGAAGCGCCATACCATCCAATGTCCTTGACGGATCCATACTGGGCCGTGATGGCGCCTAATGCCGGCGCGATGATTGTCTGGTCAAGCGCGACAAGGAATATTGCCAGACACAAGGAAGTTATGATGAGGTAGACTTTCACCCCAGAAGGATACTCAATGTCTTGCTTGGTCGCTGGCGAAATATCTGTGTCACTTTGTAGTCCGCTCCGTGTCGCAGTGGCTTCTGGGAGCGCATCACCCTCGGCACTCTTCTTGCTCGCCATGTTGCAATCTCAATACATGCATGTATCAAGAGCAAATCAATGCTATAAGTCTCCTGTATGCGTATTGTTGTTGAGTGGAGGCACGCAGCTCGTCAGCTTCAAGAGGTGTGGCTGATTGAAGACGTGCACGAAAGGACAGTCGCTAAAAGGCCAAGCTGCATGCATGCACAATGTAACATCCGTTTATCCAACAGACCGCATTGGGACAAATTGGGAGAGAAAGTCGTCATGGCGCAAAGAAGAACCGAGTACAGCATTCATCATTTTAGACTCAAAGTCACACAGTCTTCAACCATCATCATGATGCATTTCTAGCCAAAATACTTGCATTAGGGTCACAATGACTTGGCGCGCGGCGGCTGAAAGTCACAAAATATAGCGTTCATCAAGCTCCTGCTTCGGCCTTCTCTGGATGTCCGAGACCATGTATCATTTACCCCAGCCTTGGCAACGGCCCGGGGCATTTTTAGAGTTGATGTGACAAGCATTGTTTTACTCCAATACCTACGTTGCCAGCTGCCCCGGGCAGAAGACGTTATCCATTGATGGAGAGATTGCTTCCCCGAACTAGCTACCAGGTAGGTACTGTCGAGATCATCTTAGATGAAACTGGACTGCGCTGGCTTTTATGTATCTTTCAACAGGTGTCACTACCTTGATGTCGCTGCAATGATTGAATGTCGACATGTTTATTCATCAATCGAAGACTTTGCAAGCAGAGCAGCATACCAAGATATCGCCATTCTATTAAAGCTTCACGAAGTGATACATTTTCGACACCCTTTCACGCACGGATGCCGAGCTCGTGACCACATTATTTTGGGCACTGCGCAAGATCAGTCACTCAATTCACTCATCATGTGAGATGGGCATTTCGGGACATATTGACACTTCAGGGCACAGATTGGGTTGGGTAGCCATTCAATTCGCTATTTAAGATTGGGGTTAAAACAAAAACTACGTAAGGTAAACACAGCAAAGAAACAACCGTAGAGGCCGAGACCATGCATAAACAAAGTAAAGACAGACAGTGGAATACAAGACATGACAAGGCCTTGATTCACTGGTGTTCAAGGACAATGCCACAAGAGCAGAGCCAAATATCCACGTTCAGTTGCGTTGTTGCTGCTGCTGTAAAACATGTTGCCATCACTTTTCAATAAGACATACTTGTAAGACAACAGCTTTGGGATCGTCCATCAGGCGACGGAGCTCCCAGATTCCCGTGTCGACATGTTTGTCGCACAAAATTCATTCGTATCTCTCATGCCTTGATCAGATAAACTGATGAGCACTGGAAACATCTGCACCCGCCGCAGACCACAAGCCGCATTTGTACTAAATGTAGTACATGGAGTCGTGCAGCTTGCGGTGCACGCTCCTCGACGTGATCTGCGCCGCAGCACCGGACGAAATGGTCGAAGCATTGTCCGACCCCTCAAACAGTTCATTCATGTGCACTCGCTGACGAGTGCAAAGAATATCTGCGTAGTACGCAGGGGGACAGATGCTCACGGCCTTGGTGGCACGGCCAAACAGATAACACATTTCATGGGTTATCTTTTCAAGGTTGTTGGCCGCCTCGCCCTTGAACGTGTGTCGAAACACCTCGTCCAAGAGGACCGTATAATGCGCTGGGCGTGCGGTGCCTGTAATCGGGTTAGTAAATCCGTCTTGAGAGTAAACATGCCATTGGGAACATACCCTGAAGGGCAGTGTGCGCCGTGAGAAAAAAGTCCCAGATCCTGGCCAATGTGACACCCCGATCAACAACAGTGCCATTCTTGATGTTGCGGGAGTTGGTCATGTTATTGGGATCTGTGGGGTAGAAACGCGTCTGGTGGCGCTTGACCGACACAATGACAGCAAGCTTGGGCTCTGGCTTACAGAGCTTTCTGCATGCCGCTCGTATCATTGGCAGCTCCTTTTGCAAGACCTGCACAAACTGACCCTCTGAGACTCCATCGCGGTAGATCACAATGTTGTCAAGGGATTTCCCTGGGTTATGTCGTTGCCATAGCCGGATCCGCTCCTCAAACTTGGCCTCCAGGTTGCTGTCGAGCATCTCGACACGACCAGCCTGAGCCCAAGCAGTGCCTGGCCATTGAGCCAACTCAGCGTCGATGCTCGACACCATGCCAACCATGCTGGGAACATTTTCTGTGTTTCCCGACATGTTAGTGGGGTGCGTCACATCATAGCCTACCACCATGGTTTTGCCCTCCTTGACGAGTGTCACGCCGCCATCCAGTCTGTGGTTGGTTCCTCCGGCCTTGAGATTGACCTTCAAACCAACATTGGCGTAGTACTGATCCCGGCCCCTCTCCTTGAGAATGTTGTTTCGTACAACACTCACGGTGTGAAAGCCGTACCTGGTGTCCGCACAAGTCTTCACCGCATTGTAAACTTCGGTACCCTTATCCGGAAGGACAACGAAAACAAACTCGGCGTTCGTGGGGAACTTGGAGAAAACAGCGTCAATCACCTGCACAGGCAGGGCACCCCTGGGAATGTCGATTCGGACACCGTCCATGTTGTCCGGCCGGCCGGGAATGGCAATACCCATGCTGCGCCAAAAGTCCACCATTCCAGCTACAGCTGCTTTCAAATCGGCATGAGGGAAGGGACGGCCGTCCGTGACAATGTAGACCCAATTCCAAGTTTGAATGGGTTTTCCAGGTTTCACAACCTTCACGTCGCGCACTATATCAACGCATGGTCAACTATCGGTACTCGATGGCAATGGGTCGAACGCGACATGCGCGGTGTAGATATTGATATGGGACAACTTACTGTTCCAGCTACCCTCTGCCACGCGTGGCTTCTGAGTCTGCTTGGGATTTCTGAGGCTTGCATAAACAACTTGCGGAGGTGGGAGCTCTCTTCCGCGCACTGTCAAAAGACCTTCAGAGAGGCTGATGCCAAAGGATGTCTAGAGTTTGATTAGTACCGAGAAACTGAGCCTCCACGATACATTGTTTCAACTCACAAGTATCGGATTGTTCGAAAGACCTAGCGCTGTACGGCCGGTTGTCACAATTGATGTGGCATTAGCTACCGGCGACCGGCACGCAAACTCAATCATGTCCCGAGTTTCGTCAGCAGTCAACTTCCGCCGAAGTGGTTGGCTCTCAACTAGCTTAACTAACTCTGCTGGTATGTGCATAGGATCTGCCTTATTGCCTGTGCTGATGACCGGAAGAGTCTGGTCAACTTGGTAACCATACTCTGCAAAGTATTAGTTCAGCTCTCATACGGGTCAAGACTGAAAACTTACTCGTTTGGAAGTATTGTGCCACTGTGACCAACTGTCCATCAGTGAACCCTGGTGGTGCGGGCGCTTTGATGCGGAAAGACACCTCATGAGGGCGGGCACCAAAACGAGTCACCTTGGTATTCTTCTCACCTGCACCACCTCGGGGAATTGCAACACCATGGCAAGCAGTTTCCTTGATTCGGGCTACACCGGGCGGCTTGGGGGGAGCCGAGCCCTTGCCCTTTTGAGGGGCCTTGGGGTCTTTGCCTGCAGGCTGGTTCTTCTCCGCAAGAATTTGGACCTTCACGCGACGACCCAAGATGGCCTTGTTGAGAGCGCGAAGTCCAAAGTCGGACGAGAGATCAAAACCGCGAAGGTAAGTCTTCATTGGACCATGGAATCGGAAAACGCCATGCGAGGTGTTCACATTGACCAAAACACGCCCAGTGGCCGGGCGTACACTTTGGAAGTATCCTCGAACGATCTTGTTCTGTTCTGGGAGGCCAAGATCGTACGTCTGATCGCTCATATACAGGGGAAAGTGCCGACTACTACCCAACGAGGCAGTGTCTGGGTGGGCTCGGGAGCTGTGGCCAACGGCAACGTTGATGGTGTCAATAACTTCCTCGAAGAGAGGAAACGAAGATGACATGGCTTGCATGGTTGACAGAAAAGAAATAAGCTCGGACAAGGGCACCTCGTTAGGACCGTGGAAAGATACAGTGAATGTATCATCACGGCCTTCGTCAGTGTAGAGAACCTGGACAACTCCATCATTCGGAAGCGCCAAGGGTTTGAGGGACACCACTTGGCTTTTGTACTCTGATACCACGGGAATCGCATTGCCCAACGTGTTCAATGCGAGTTCAATCACTCGCTGTAGTTTCCGGCCTTTGGTTTCTGGAATCTTCACGTTCGCTTTTAGTCCTTCACCAGGGATCTTATTGACCTTGATGTTGTACTTGTAGAGAACCTGGTCCTTTAGTTGCATGTTGAAGTAATTGGCCCAAAGAACAACCTCCTTGCCCTTTGTGCCGAATGAAGGTCGTAGCGGGATGAATTCTGTCGTTGTCGATGATCCTGACAATGAAAGTTGCGACATCGAGGATATTAGCTGATTGCTTTGGATCAAAGAATCCTCGATCTTCGTGATTCTGGCATCAGGTGCAGGCACCGCGTTTGTGCTTGAGAAGTCAGTATGTATAAAAAAATGAAGGCACAACGGTGAAAATACTTGAATGCCAGATCTTCGCCAGCGAACTTTTCACCACGTGGTCTGAAGCCTCCACCACCACGGCCTCGATCACCACCGCGAAAGCCACCACGATCACCACCACGGTAGCCGCCGCCTCCTCGGTCACCGCGAAAGCCGCCGCCTCGGTCACCACGGAAGCCTCCTCCTCCACGGTCTCCTCGGAAGCCACCACGGTCTCCGCGAAAGCTGCCGCCACCACGTTGAGCACCAGCATCACCCCCACCGCGACCGCCTTGAAAGTCGCCGCGTCCGCGGCCACCTCCACGACCGCCACGACCTTGACCTCGTCCACGATCAGCCATGGTTGATGTGATTCGTGCTGATTGGTGTTGGTGGTGGGAATTTTGCTCAAGAATAATAAAGTGATAAGCTACAAGGCGAATACGGACTGGACATGAAGGAAGAAACAGAGTTCAGAATTGGGTCGAATGCTCAGTACAAATACTTTTCTGGTCGAAGAGATGCTTGGTGGTTTGGCTTTTTGTGTGTCAGCATTTGCTTTGTATCGACTTGCCCATTTGTTTCATCGTTTGCTCATGTAGCCATAAACTAATGACGTGGACAGTGAAGTATGAGGAAAGTGCGTCAGAAAAGTAAAGAGCAGATAGTGGAAGGGACGGCGACAATATTGTTTCAAGGCATGCAGTTTTGCCTCCCATAAAGTGGCAACTTCAAGAGTAGCTATCCGACTTGAGCACAAGTGGCAGAATGCTGATTGGGCCTTGAAAGTGCAGGAACAAACAGAAGATGATCTATCCGAGATGACTACCTAAGCAAGACATATATTAAAGATGGAAGTCACCAATATGACGTTCACAACCTGTGCAGTTTGCCCAATGGGAAGTAATGATTGTGAGAAAAGATGCAGAATAGTGTTGGGGCAAGGTGCTCAGAGCTTCTTGGCTCACCGAAGCGTTTGCCCAGGAGAGGAAAGAACGGGAAGCAGCAGAGAATTCTAAGAATCTTTCAACTAACCGTGATGTAGGTGAATGGTAGTAAGGTGTGCTCACCCTCCGAAAGAGATGTACTTTGGAAGGCCTAAGAGATGCTTGCTTGGTGGCCGAGGTGGGTGATGTAGTGATGCTTGTGAGGCCAAAGAAGAGCCGTCAAGACAGCGTATCAGGAAGAAACAGTGGCCACCACACACACACATATACAAGGAACGTGAGCTCGAATGTTCCCGACGCTCTCCTAATCTGACCTGGGAATTTGATGCCCGTTTGTCAGAGAAAGACGTCAACCAACAGAGAATCGTGGAGGGATAGAAAGCGTTGTACGTAGCTCCAGCAGCTGGTGGATTTGCTTTCGGCCAAGTGGAGTCTTTACTTGCGGGAAGCGGCACTGGCGCTGCTGCTGCTTCAAACCGTCGACTATCAGAGAAAAAAAGGTATCCACTGATTACCTCTAGTTTGGATTTGGATGCTGGGATTGGATTAGACTGGGGAGGATCCCGTCGTTGCTACAGTTTTTGTGACTTGTCCGATTGTGTGTGGGGGCTTTCTCAGTCGCGGGTCTTTGCGAGATCAAACGCGACGGCGAGAGTGAGAGAGAGAGAGAGAGAGAGAGAACAAAAGTCATGGAGAAACGAGGTTTGATACTTCAAGTTCAATTGATCAAGTCTTTACTGATTTACATTGACATGTCCAAACAGGGCCTAACCAGCTAGAATCTTCTTTCGAGAGGCCCACCACTCACTCGCACAAACAGGGCGCTTCTTTGAGTACCACGGACGTCGGGCGTCGCTCAACAATTTCCTGACAAAAGAAAAAAAGACGTTGCGGCAGCCAGGGAATAGAGGGAATGGAGGAGGACAGACATGATTTCACGTCACAGGCCGACGCGGAATCGACGCGTTGTCACCTGCCTTGAGGGCCCTTGCCTCAGTGCTTGCATAGCGGTGTGTAACCTGGCACGCGAGTGAAGGCGGGGTAAGGTTAGCAGGTACCTATACTTCTGTCGTGCACCCATTCTTATCATTCGCCTAGCGTATCCTGTACCTACCGTTGGTTATACTCATCCTTTATCGAGCGTGGCATTTTTTCCACTTTGTCGGGCTGAACACATGGCCGTTTGCCTTGGCTGAGAAGAGACTTCAGCTCCGATGAAATCATTGGCATTCCAATGCAAATACAATCCTCCCAACTGTGTATCTTGTTCCAGGATTCAGCAAATTTACGCTTGGCTGCAGATTTCGTTTCTCTTTTCCAACTCGACGCAGCTACGTAGCAACAAAGCACCTCCTCCTGAGAAGTGTTTGCTTTTCGTCTTCACAGCCACACCGCTGGTGTTGCTTTTATTCGGAAGCAGTCACTCGATAGCTTAAATTGCGAAGTTTTGACCTGTCAGTCTGTGGGTTGGCAAGAAAGCAACAATATCACGCAAGTTGAGAATGACACCACGTTTTCCTGAGGTCGGCATGCAAGAGTCCGACTGCCAAAAAGCCTGACCTTTTGTTTTCAGCCAGACAAGAATAATATTTCCAACGCATGACAAACGCACACAAAAAAAAAAAAACAGCAGTATCTGGATTGACTCGTCTCATGCAGTTGCCAACACAAAGATATGCCATGAGCTGACAATCCCTGCGATATCAGGCTTCGCGGTTCGTGGCATTTGGATCCGTCAAGCTGCAAGGGGGTCGAGACATGGAATACTGCAAGTTGACGTGGGGGGACATTTTCAACTAATATATGTACCAACCGAGCAAAAGAAAAGCATATGTAACCTGCATGGTAACCTTGAGTTGTTCACGGCTGCGTGTGATGTGAGTGGCTAGAAGCGTCATTTCCGAATTGGTTCTTTTCTTCTGTTTCAAATTGTCAAATGATGGCAAATGTCTAAGAGACAGGCATATGGACAAACGAAAGCAAGTTCAGTTTAATGAAATTTGTCCGTGAATTTCCCTGCAATGGGAGAAGAAAGAGAAAAAGAAAAGCAAGTTGCTTTTTGGCTGCATGGGCGTCTTTGATACCTAAAAGTTTGTGGATAAGCAACGAACTCTGGGATGTGTCCAGCAGTTACCTAAACCATACACCATACTCTGTACATGCTCGCAAACCATGCCACAAACCAGCTTTCAATCTGACTCTTGTTCCGATAAATAATTGTTCTTCTTAAAGCATCATGGATGTCTAAGTTCTTGCTTTTAATGTCATGCGGCATTCTTGCAATTGAGAATTCTCGTTGTAGATGACATAAGCATTATACTGAAATGCTGAAAGTGGAAAGGCTGTAGCGGAAGAGGGCCGACTAAAACTTCCAACCTCTGCTCATTATGAAAGGCTTTCAGTTATGAATTTTGATGTCTCATCTCAAAGTCAAAAATGCATTTACTATCTCTCTTCCATAAGTTAAATGATCAATCAATCCCAAAAGAGCTGCTTGCCATATCCGAGCAATTATAGAATAGTTTCTCTCGTCACAAAGCACGGGCGTATACTTACGCCATCCTCCCCCGAGTTCCTACGGCTCGGCTCGAGCCGGCGATCCCCACAACTGCAAATTTGCAAACGGAATGGCCGGCACAATCAAAATTATATAAGACTCAATAAAAGCACTTTTCACAACAAGAAGCACTTAGCTCTTCCCGCCCGGTTAGCTCAATCGGTAGAGCGTGAGACTCTTAATCTCAAGGCTGCGGGTTCGACCCCCGCATTGGGCTCAATTCCCGATGCGTTCTGTTCAACAGAACAACTTCGCCTCTTTTTTGCTTTTTTCTTCTTCTCTTTTCATTTTTTTTTCCTCTTTTTTTGGGATTTCCATATTGTCTTTCCTAGACCGGCGTGGTATCCCTTGCTTGTCAGTGATCTTGTGACTTATTATATTGTATTTCGCCGAAATACTTGATGTCTTCCGTTACATGTACTTTGTTTTTTCTGTCAGTTGCACCTTTTTGTTCTTCCTCTCACAGGTGGTTTGGCAGTGCTTATTGTGGCCATTTGATGATTTCGCATCAAACCATTGATATAGTCTGGATCAAGATCAAATAATCAATGCAAGGTACAAAAGTACACAGTCGTTAGAACAGTGAGCACTCTGCTCTCGTATCCAGCGTCAGCTATCATGGTTTCGAGAGACATTTCAGATGCGTATTCAACTCGAAGGTGTTGGAGCATATCTGAATGTCTGGGCTTTGGTGGCGCAATATTCGACCATAACCTTGAAACTGGTTCTGGCCTTATGTATAGCTCAAAGGCACTTTTGCTGCAAATACAACAACCCAGAAATATGACAGCACGATAATGACGACACCTATGATTACACGTTGAACATTGCCTCTTGCCTAATGATACTCTATATCGCGTCTTTTAGATAATGCGTGGGAGAGAGGTTGACAAGTCCCCAGAAACTTTTGACGGATGAATCTGGGACAACTACATGGACGATGAATCCAGCAAGAATGTTGGGCCCTCATGACGTGTTCGTAGAAACCTTGGGATTTGAAATGCTCCAAGATATACATGCTCTCGCTGTCATTAAATCCAAGTCCTCAATCCTTGATTTGCAACTTCCACTGACCTTTTTGGTGTTCATAGAAACTCGTATACCATTTTTCTTTTTTGGACTTGGTCAACAAATGACATTGTTGACAGGTCAGTAAGTACGGACTCAATTCTAAAGCTTTGTAAAGCAAAGATGATCCGTAATTAAGCATCTGTGAGCATCTTTGTCAAACTACATCTGTTATTCCAGCCTATCATGAGGATGAAAGAGCTAGAAATTTATATGGACACCATTTTTAGAGACAAGTTTCGTCGTTGTACAATTCCGAAATATCAATTTCCAACACAAGAAGACTCAATCATTTTGGCGTGTCTCCAGTGTAATGTTCATACTGATTGTGAATTTTGTTGAAACGGGTTTCAATGTTAATGTCGAGCGCTTGTAGTGAGACATTTTTGTGCAAGGCCGCACGCGCTTTGGCTGTCACGCACCTGCGCATGCAGCTTCACTCTCGACACTCATACAATTACACACTAACAACATGTTTGATATTGTTAAGAATGACGTGAAAAGAAATGGAAAGTCACATTTCAACATCTTCTTCATCCCAAGGGGAGCTCCATGAAAGAGCATGCCAGAGTGCTACGCAAGTTTTGCTACGGTCAATCATGACAGTGATTCGTGAAAATAGAAACAGGCAGGTAGATAGTATCATGCAATTGGATCATTGGTGTATTAAAAAAAAAAATAAGCATTATGGATGGAGACCCGACACATCGGTTCCAAAACCCGCCCGAATCTGAGCCAATTCCGACGATCCGCTTTTTATTGCGTGCCGGCGGAGGGGAGGGAATCGTCATCGAACCCCTGGAACTCGGTGGAAAAGATAAGCCCCTCCTAATGCTGCGCGGGGGCGGGCGATTGATTACCTACCAGTGCCAGGCAGCGCGCGCAAGGCACCAGCACCTACCTCCGACCCCCCGCCGTTGTCGCATGCATTTGTTAATAATAAGCGTTGGTTTGGTCTCCTACATCAGCAACCGAGGGGCTGTCGTGGGCAATCTTTGAGAAATAATTCACTGCCTTTGGGATTTTTGAGCTCGAAACTTCCTACTTCACTTATATATACACAAAATAACAAAAACATACGGCGTCCCGGTGTTCAAGCGCTTTCTTGTTACCTATTCTTTTGCTTCTCACTCCTTCGCATCCTAGACTCGCGCTTATAATCAATCACCATCCTAGAATCTCACCTCTACTGTTGTCATCCTGTAGAAACCAAAAGAATCCCAAAATGGCAGCAACCACAGCCAGACCTCGAGTCATCTACTCAGATAATGGCCCCGAGTCGCCCTATCCGTTGCGCATGGAAGGCACCGTGATATCAGGATTCGGACGAGGATCGAAAGAGGTACGGAAAGATAAACTCAGCGTCTCCCCTCCCTTCTTCCCACCGCTCTTGAACCGAACAGAAAACTGACAGAATCCCCCTGTTTGCATTTGTAGCTTGGTATCCCGACCGCCAATCTGCCCGTGGACTCGGAGCAGACGCCCTGGATTGCCGAATCGACTTCGGGCGTCTACTTTGGCTACGCCTCCCTCGCACTACCCGCCACACACCCGGACCGCTCGGCGGCGTCGTCCTCTTCCGACTTTCAAATCTACCCCATGGTCATGTCCATCGGGTACAACCCCTTTTACAAGAACACGGTGCGGTCGGCCGAGGTGCACGTGCTGCACAAGTTTGCCCAGGACTTTTATGACGTACCCATGCGCCTGCTCATCCTTGGGTTTATCCGCGAGGAGAAGGACTACAACGGCCTCGAGGCATTGATTGAGGATATCAACATTGACTGCGACGTTGCCCGCCAGAGCCTGAGCCGCCAGGCGTGGACACCCAAGGAGGGCGTTGTTGGTGGAGGCACAGGTACGCTGGACGGGACTTGGCTCGTCAGGGCATCATGAATTTGAAGCGACATGTCCTCTGGAAGAAACTACCAGGAAAGAGTTTCTCGGCAAACACTATAGCATGTAGGCAGTCCGTCGGACTTTCGAGATTTTGCATAAAGCAGATGGGCGTTCTTTTTGGGTTAGACATAGACAAGGAGAAACGAAAGAATGTCACGAGTTATGTGGTTCATGTTGTCCTGCTCATTCGAATGATTGCCAAGGGATGGAAAACAAAATATTTTGAAATCTATAAGCTTGATGAAAACCAACTGGGTATATGTAACGTGATCCCATGCCACAAAGGCATACAATTGCCCAACCATAAAAATGCAATCGTAAACAGCCCGCCTTGCTTGCTGGCGGAGCGGCTCACGATTCGAGCTTGACCCACAAACGCCGTCCGTGCCCATTGCCTTGATATCAAATGGCCCATATAAAGTTATGATGTATCGAGAAGACATTGCCCCATCAAATATCTAGATGGCTAGTTGATCCTGGTTTCGGTAGTAGCAAGGTAAAAACTAAATGACATGTCAGTAATCGTAACTCCTCCATCTCCTTTTACTAAAGCATCGGAAGCAATAGACTTACGTTGATGACGATCAACATGGGAATATCAAATACATCTCTTTTGATCGTCCATGTATAGCTACAATCCATCTTGCCGTCTTTCTCGATCTTGGAAATGCCATGCTCGCCATCAATTCGAGTGACCCGGCTACTCAATATACTATGACGTGGATCCTTTTGCGGCGGCGAATCTTCGTTGTTGAGCGACTCCATGACCTCTTTGGTACGGTACTTGAGAAGTCGACACTTGCGAGTGACATGACCTCTGCTGTCTCCAAATGCTAGTTGAGCAAAGTCTTCATAAAACTGAATCACACTATCGTCGTCCATGAGCTCAGCAATGAAGACAGGCTGCGGTTTGTCGCCCGTCTTCACGGGCTCCATGGCTTTCAGCTGAGGAGTAGTAAGTCCACCCTTTCCGGTATTTACTCCACTCGCCGAACCGGAGGTGTCGCCCGAGTTGACGTTGAGGTTAGGCTGTTTCCCCAATAACACATCCTTTGTCCATCCAGTCAGGGCAACGAATTCCTTGTTGACGGCAGCGACTTCGCCGGTACGACGGCATACGACAGTGGGCGCGGAGCAGTGTCCCATGAAGTCTTCATACTCAAAGAGCGTTCGCTGTAAGCATTTTTCCATGAATATGAGATCTTGCCGGTTCAGATTCCTCGTGCAACTGATGAATGAAGGTCGAATACTAGCGAGCGACATGGCGATCCGCGTTGTCTTGGCACTGGAGAAGCGCCTCTTCACCAGGGCAATCAGGTTGTGGAAACCCGTGAGATACTGATAAGGCTCTTTGACATTTTCGTATATGGCCGATGGATCGCGTTGTCGCTTAGTCAATATGGACTGCGGTCCAAACAATTTGGCGTTTGCATTGGCCGGGGTTTTGGTCCTTGACTTTGGCGGTCCAGCCAAGGATTGCGAGTTGACAGGCGTAAAGTTCCCTGTGTTCGGAGAGCCGTCAAAGGTGAGGTTGGTGGGTTGTGGACTCGAGTTATGATCCGTGCCCGGACTTGCAAGACTGCTGGGAGTCGGTCCCGCTGCCGCAATAGCATATGCATGAGGCAAGCCATGTTGGAGGTTGCCTTGCGAATACAGGTTGTTGGCTCCATTGTTCTGATCAGAATTCATATAATTCTCAATCATGCCATCATATAGTTGGTTGTACGAATTGAGTCCATTTGGATACATCTGGCCACCGTTGTAGTTGACTTCGGAATTGCCCTGTTGCGATAGCGAAGCATCTCTCGGTGGTGTCTCAGCTGCCCCTGAGGACATTTGGCCTAGTATTCCAAATTCCATGGCACCGTAGTGGCTGCCGAATTGAAGCCCCTCCAGATCGAAATTAAAAATTGCTGGGTTACTTGGGTCAAAGAGAGCATTCGGGTAGCTGAGCTCGCTGGATGATGGAGTCGGCATTTGCATATTGCCCATTTGTTGGCTCCTCTGAGCAGTCTGTTGCTGGAAAGACGGAGAGACTGGAGAAGGCTGGGCGAAGAGGTTGTCAGGCATTGACACCTGAGGCTGGCCGCCCGTAAACAAGGGGTAGGTCTGAGAACTTGTCGTCTGCGGATAAAAAGCCGACGCTTCTGAAGCGGAAGTGGCGTTGGATGGATGTCTACCATTGGCCGACTTTGATACCATATTTGGGTTGTAAGTTGGCCCAAGCACTGGTCTCAGGGCCTCGGGAGGTGCATCGTGGAGGTATTTTGCCTTTTTGCGCACACCATCTTGACAAGCATCGGCTAGACCACGCTTGATACACCTTTGACAAGGCCTTTCATCTCCTGCTTCACTGTTAGCCACACGCTAGACAATGGACTGACGGATTGTGATTGTGATATGTCAGTTCTCGATAGCCGTGCGGAAGAGGCATTTCGGTCTTGGGAAACTACGGATGCAAGAGCGTCCCCATTCATCTAGTCGTCTTGACTTACCACATGTCAGATGTGCTCGCTGACAGGCATAGCACGCCCGTCTAGCCTTCTTTCTCCTTGGCCGATGTGGATCCTTGGGATCATACTTCTTCTTCACTTCGCCGGAGCCTCCCACTCCAGGCTCTGGGGACGTATGCTGCTCAGCCATGCTTTCGTCTTCGTCTTCTTTTATAGGGCGATCAGATTCGTCGTACTCGTGCTCGTTCTCAGACATTGCATCTGAGACCTCTGCCCCGTTGGCTTCAACGTTGTCCGGCATCTTGTCTTAGTTTTATATAATCACGTTCGACAGACTGTCCTTGGAAAACGATCTCGCACGGAGAATGCAGATACCCCCCAGCTCTGCACGCAGCTTGGCAGACAGAGAATCCTTGACGAGGAATTGCTTGCGAACTGGTGCAAGAGTGTCACCGTCAGGGTCAGGGTGGTGCGGCTTGATACTGGGCCAGCTATTCTCACACGAACGATCCTGGGAGCTGACAACAGGCCCCTTCCCAACTTGCCGGAACCCCCTACGCTGCTGCTTCCACCGCCGTTTGGCTCCACCCTGGGGGCTGACCTCGGACTTGCGTCGTGGACCAGTGACAGCAGATGTTCAGACGTATGCAGGCCAATAAGGTTAATTGCTCGCGGCTTGTGTTCCTGTGTATCTCTAGGCCAGCTCTGGGCAAGATTGACTCCAGAACGACAAGATACAGCAGCGAGCCAAGCGCCAGCACAATGGACCCCGATGCGGAGGGAAAGGCGCTATGGTGCTCGTGCAGTACAATGGGACCCCGGCTGCCTCTGGAAGGCAATAATCCCAAGGGGACGTGTTCCAGAGTATTGCACAAAAGCGGCGGCAGTAGAAGGCGCTCTCGTATTCCGGTATTTGGTCCAGTACTGTCGCAATGGACTGCGTATCCGTGTAAGTGTGGCGCCTCTTGTGCTACCCAGACAGGATGGCCGCTGGGATGGGCGAACGGTTCTATCCGCCCCCCGGGGGAAACCTGGAATATACTACTACAGAATTGATCTTCTTGTGCTTGACGTAGCCCTACAGGTACGGTTTACCTAGAGAAGAGCTAGGCTCATGGAGTCACGCGTCGGCGGATAAGGCACTGGGGTGTCTGGCTAGGGTGGTAGACGGGATAGTCGATGCTGCTGCAGCTACCCGCGACTTCTGAGCCTGTTCGCATCGGTATCAGGCGCTCGTGGCCCTTGATCGGACAGAAGAAGGATATCGACAGCACTGGATAGGTGGAAGTGATTGTTGCGGTATCGCGCTGACTCCCACTCAGACGGCTTGCATTTCCTATTCGGTCTTTTCCTGGGCGACAATCGCAAACGCCATGCCCCTATTACTCGAGCCTCGTCGACTGCGGCTCGCACCGAACAAACTCGTTGGGTGGAAGGACGGGAGGGGTGTGCAGGTGTGAAGACCCGGCCGGGGGCACGCGACTGGCCGAGAGCGGATTATGCAGAAGCCGAACAAAAGCTGATGATGGACGGTGCTGGCTGGCTGGAAGGCTGGCTGGCCGGCGCAAAGCAAGCGCGCCCGTCTGCGAAGATAGAGAAGCTAGCTCCTGGGATGCAAGCGATGCACAAAAGTACAGTCCGCAGCAGTGTCACCTCAAGAAGCAACGCGACACGACGCAAAGAGCTGAAGGTGTCGTCAAGGTGAGAGAGTGCAGTGTACGTATGTATTCTAAGTTCAGGGTAGGTAATGTAGGTGGTAGTGAGCAGCATCAGCGGCAGCGGCAGCACTGAAGCCCGCTGAACACTGCCCCAGTCTAGACCAAGAGACGGCGTCGAGGGCCGAATTGGACCAATCAACGGCCGGTGCTTTTCTTTTTTTTTTTTTTCCTCCCTTCCTCTTCTTCTTTTGAGTGCGGGCAAAAAGTTGGGGATTGGCAATTGGGCGCTGGCCGCTGAGCCGAGACACTGCGGGGTTTTTTCTTTGGTTGGACCTGCGCCGCGGATGCGAAAGCCGAAAATGTGGGAGGGACACGGAAGGAGCAAAAGCTGGAGCTCCATGATGATCATTCCTCAATGGTGCTCCTTTTACTCTGCTGACCTTGGACGTGAGCATAGTAGAAGTTGAGTCATCGAGAGACGATCAATTCAAATCAACATACCTAGTACCTATTCTATTTCCTTGCATATTTGCATAGGTACAATATACTACTTTAATTTATGTGCCTATGTATTGTTGCGTGCGCCTATCAAAGTCAATTAAGCTCAATAGCAACTATACAATGCAACAGTCCTAGACGGATGCATATTTGTGGTCAAGCTCTTTAAAGAAAGAAAAAATCTTGTTTATCTGTTTTAATCCATCCAAAGTCTCTCTAGACAGGAACCAAAATAGCCAGTCATCCTATACGGACTTGGTACAGAATAACAAATATCCTTCGTGCCGTCGGCTTGGGCAACGGCGTCAGGGTTTGAAACTCTTCGCCATGTGTCTTTGATGGGATCTCAGCTCGACTGCAGCCCACGAGGCACGGAAGGACGAAATGACCCTCGAACCGCACACCCGCCCGCCTTTTTCTCGCCAGGCACAAGAATTGAAACAGACATACATGGCTTGAGACCCGACTGTCTGGTCCAGGGGCGACGCCTCAATCTCTCTTTTGCACCATGTCTCGGCAGTGCTTCCTACTCCCTGTTTCTTTTGCGTCCCATTCGCTCCAGCTGTTAGCAAGACGTCTAGGGTCTTCTTCCGACACCGTATTCGGACTTGAACAGAAGCTGTATAGCAGCATATCTCCTATACGAAGCAACTTTCACTCCAGAAAATAGCCGTTGAGTTCGACTGTCAAAATGCCATCGCCCGGGAGACGCGACATATTGCAGACTACTTGCATGGCATCACCGCTTTCTTTCAGTCACCCGTATAGAAGACACCTTTTTCCTGTCTGCCAGGTCGTCCATCTTGCATAATTGCGGCCCAATGCCGACCTCCCTACGCTTGTGATTCTGTATCCTCCCAATAGCGAGGCACACACACACCCTCTGCCTGCACTACATGATCCTCGGCTACGAGGTATCCGAGGTTCCGGCCGCTTGACCTTTGTGGTACCTTTGTCCACCACAGATGTTGTTCCTTGATTTCCATCTTGTGCAACGCTGCTGATTCTGGCTACCAAGCTGCGATCAAGCGGTCTCTGGGTATATGCTTTGCTTGATTTGGAGCCCTCTGATGTCCGTCGACCTCACAAAGCTGTTGATCATTATGACTGCGATCATGTGCTTCTCGCAACTATACTCACAATAGGCTGGCATTCATTTCCGCAAGCGCCGGCACTTTCTTTGCAGTACGGACCACCTACAGTATACATACACGAATTGGCAGACAATGGCTTGTTGTCCGTCATTACCCTGGTTCTTTGGATCATCCTTGCTGTCCGGCCGCGCTGATCGACTGGTACCTGCCTTACCCGAGATGCCCTTTATGTATGGTATGTGTGTACCTGGGGAACATCGATGCAGGTAGGTGAGTCCAGGGCAACGTGCATACCGGCATATGCAAGAGAAGCTGGAGGTCGGCGACCATTTCAATCTGAAGCGCTTCTCATGAGAGTCACATAGATCTGCATAGTTGCAGAATGATAAACTGCACGCAGCCGTATCGCTATCCAGTTCATGGCAATTTTGAAATATGGCCTGTATTCGGCCCTCGTGCGACGAGATTGGCAAGTATTCGGTAGGTCTCCTCGAGGCCAATATATCTTGCCCCAGATCGCTCACTCACCTGCAGACTTGGGCGCCACTCATCTCCTGCCACATTACGTGCATAGATATCCCTGGTCTCATCCCTGGGCTCATCCTCAGGGTTATGGATCAGGGGTCTTGAGAGCCTCATCGCACTGCAATCCTCCTCACCACGACCCACAACTAGGCGCCTGACATGCTGAAGAAACAGGACATCATCATGATGACTTGTCTGTCATGACGTGTTTGATTGCGTTGTGAAGGTGCCGTGTCGTCTTTGGGGGTTCGTATCTCTACACACCTCTTCAAATGACCCTGGCAAGTCGGACTGCTGTTCAAGAACAACATGATAGACGACCAGAGTCAACCTCTCTGCATATTGCCAGCAAGGAGCGGTGTAGAAACGAAACCTATCATCCATCACGACGAGCTCGACCTGGACGACAGAAGCATTCATGCTCATCTCAAATTAGTAACAATCGACGTTGGACATCACTAGCTGAACGGATAAGAGCATTGTGCGACGTGAACCTCACATCCGAATGCACTGCTGCTGCTGCAGACCTTTTGGTCAACCACAGCATGTAGGTAGTATTGGGGACGAGCCAAGCTTTTACATACACAACGGCTTATCGTCATTGGAAGTGCGCCCTGGCCAGAGTATCACGGCTTGGTCAACCCCCCTTCGGCCCTGGTGCTACCTACTGTGCCTAGGTTCAATAGAACCTTGGCCAGCTCTGCAGAAGCAAAAGTCTCAGCAAGGGTGAGTGTTGCATCCAGTGAGCGCGTGGTCGGCGCATGCAAGATCATACGAACTGCAGACGCTCAATAAATCGTTGCCAAATATGTAGGAATGATGCATCTCCCAATGCTTTCACAGGGCCTCTCGTCCACGCCGTTCACCACGTTTTGAATCTCGCATTGCCTGTCCGGGTATGCTGGCCTCATCCCAGTCCTTATGGATCGAAGTATGCTGCGATGCTGCATGGCGTCCACAGTCGTGTCCAGAATGGGACAATAGACGCTTTGCTTTGCAGGCACGGAATCGTCATTGCCCACCTGAAGAGACCTATGAGCTACTGAGAGTGATCTCCGGAGCATATGTTCACCCGTCAGTCTCTACGCGCCAGCTTACACATAGCGACGCCTGTTATCGCTACTGCAAGCTGACTCACCAGCTGTATTCGCTTGCTCATCATCATTGATCTCTCGTATTCCATGAACTGGTGGCTTTTGAGTTGGACGTCTTCGATTATTCTTACACTGTAGCCAGCAAAAGTACGCAACTTGTTCCTCTGATGGGCAGAGTGGCATTCGAAGCAATTCTGCGCCAGGGTCTGAAGTTCTAGCTTACATACATCAGTATCTACTATACAACCCAATATAGCACGTGGTGTAAGTGACAACTAAAACGCCTCTGCGGTGCCAACCGGGACATCCCAGCAAAGGGTCCTGCAGCGACAGTTGAAGAGTCCAGGTTTGCCTGGTCTCCAACGAGGTGTAATCCACCCAACAATAGGCGACGTGAGGCTCTTGTCTCATGGAGCTGAACATTTTGACTTCTCAAACGTACATTTGTATTCAGCCTCTGTAAAAGACAGCTCAGCTCTCCGGGGAATTCTTGTCAGCAGCAAAAAGGTGGCCCTCCAGGCAATTTCCAAGGCTAATGCCGCGCATCAGTCACGTCACCTGAGCACTGCTCTCCGGAACCAAGTGCCGGATAGTGCTCGCCAATCTAGGCGTCAGATTATTCTTATGTCGGCTGATATTAAGCCAGGGTGGGTATAGACTTGGGGCCGACCTTTTTCTTGAGTATTACTATCGCATTGATTATATGTCTTGCTACTCATTGTGATGAGTTTGTTTTTGATATCTCAGCAAAGTCAAAATTTGAGTCAAATGGCAGGATATAGAAATCAAAGAAACTGGCCAAATAGACGCCATTTCTCTCGTATCATGACCAATCAGACGGTCAACATGAGTCCTAATCGAGTAACCTAAACGTATCGCATTAGAGCCGGCATACATATGCGTGACTCTTGCACTTGACATGTTTTAACGCTGGCTGAGCAACTCTTGCCGACTGACAAATCCGTACTATCGGGGTTTCGGGAGGTAAAGCCGAAGCTCTCTTTTGATAACTATACGCGAGATGAGGAAGATGCAACTCGTACTAGACATATGTCAGGAACGAGCTGTTAGAATAATGTCAATCTTTTCCCCTTATTGTGGCAGGATTAGTGGGCCCTCCAACCTTTTCGACGACGACGACAACAACGGTACGAGAATAATAATAAAAAAAAATGCAAGGCTTGTGGGAACGAAGGCCCGTGGTTTGATGGCTTTCCTATGGGCGCCGCTATCATCATGCACGCACAGTCGAAAATGTCCTACAGCTCGTAATATGTGACTCTCGTCAGGGATGAGTGTGGGAATAAAGAGAAGAACACAGAACAAGAAACGGGAATCACGTCATGTCATGAAACCATCACTCGTGCTTGACTTTTCTGGGACGGCACGCCAACGACACGCGACGTTTCCAAAAATAAATCTCCGTGGTTGGTAATCTCTACGTTTTTTTTTTCTCACGAGCTTTCGGCCCGCTCGGCGGGCTGGGTGTGTGTGTCTTTGAAGAGTGGCCCCAATAGTCTCATGCTGTGGCTCGAAACGCCCGGCCAAGCCGGAACATTTTTGTTTCGCAGAACAAAGGCGTGGGAACATCGTGATCAAGCCGCATAATGATACCTCCTTCCTCGCTTTGTTCTTGGCTTACATGGACATTCGAAAGGCGACTTGATCATTGCGCCGGCGGTGTTCTACACACATACACGAAAATATCCACAGAATTTGCCAATGTAGAGTCGGAAGTTTTACTTCGGATTTGTCGCGTTCGTCACTTCCTGATTCCAACCGATGCCCGTATCACTGGCTCTTTGAATAATCACGAGATTCTATAAATGTACTAATAACCAGGAATACAATATTACGTCTATATAACAAACTGTACATTCTCGTATCTCAAAATCACATGACTTCATGTACGTTGCATGTCGTACTCAGTAGAACTCGCTCAAGCCAGCGCTCGCAAAATCAGGAACATCGCTGTCACAGCTAAAGTCTCTCTCGTAAGCCTTGGCCGGCAGGATCCCGGCGGCCAGACCCTGCTTGTAGCTCCAGAGCGGCGCTGACTCGGTGTCCCAAGTCCAGTACCACCAGCCCCAGCCGTACTCGAAGCTCGTCATCTGGGCCTGGGCGAAGAGGAGCAAGAAGTCCTTGTACTCGTCCGAAAAGGAGCCCACGTCGGCGTTGGCCATGGTGCAACTACAGCTCGAGTTAGTCGTGGGACACCGCGGCGTCAGCGCTTCGGTCGACGTGTTGCCCGAGTCGTATGTTCCCTCCCACCGGTTGCCCCAGCCAACGTTAGTCACGTACTCGGCACAGTCCGTGTCGGCCTGAGACCACTCGGCAAACATGGTCGGGCCGTAGCCTGTCGTTGTGTCCAGACTAATTTGTGTCTGCTGCGTCCAGCCGTCGCATGCGTACGTGACCTTCTTCTCATGGGTGTAGACGATCTGGTCGTTGTTGAAGATGACGTACTGGTGCACGTCGAGCACAAGGCCGTCCATGTCTGTCAGCTTGCCCTGCCAGTTCTCCAAGCCCATGAAGCCATCGCCAAAGACGACGTTGGCAGTGATACCATTCCCGCGCACCAGATTGTACGCGTCGGTTGTCCAAGAGACAACAGCGTCTGCGTCCAAATTTACCATGCGTGGCTCATTGGCGAGACCGTAAAACGCTACAATGTTCTTGTAGCGATCTTGGGCAAAGAACTTTGACAGACGATCATGAACATCCAAACTTCGCTGTCTGTTTGTGTCTCCATCTGTACCGTTCAACCATCGGATTTCTCCCTGCCGCCCGCTGTGGTTCCATCCGTTCTGTGAACCGGGCAAGGCGTGTAAATCCAGGTTCACGCGAAGCCCATACTTTCGTGCCCACTCGATTCCGCGAAGAAGGTATCGCCAGGAGGTTCGGAAAACGTAGGGATCGTCGTCATATGTGATTACAGCCCAGTAGGAATAAGGGATGCGCACATGGTCCAAGCCGGCGTCGGCAATCTCACTAAACGTCGACTCTGTCACAAATGTCGCGTAGTGCTTCTCGATGGTACTGGCAGCAGTCTTGGCGCCTAGGTGTTGACAGAGAGTATACTCGTCGATAATCTCTAGCTTACTGTCATAGTTGAAGAGGGACGGAGTGATGAAAGGTTCCAGACTCAGCCAACCTCCCAAATTGACGCCCCTTGCTGGCGTCGAAGCATAGTCACCCCAGGAGTCACCGAGGGCGGGCACCTTGTCGTTGGCAGCCGCGGAGTCGTCCCAGCTGGAATATAAACCCATGATGGGGAGATCACCCACAGTCTCATTGGTGTATGTCACGTTGAAATCGGTTGTATCGTACCATGTGAATGGATCAAGGTAGGTGCCACGGGCGGCTGCGGGAATGTCGCTTTCACTCATGTCATCCAGCGATGAAGTTGAACTGCCGGAATTGCTGTTCTTCTTGGACACCACCACCGCCACGACGATGACAACGATGAGAATGATGAGAACAATGCCACCAATAATCCCTGTAACATGTTGTATCAGTATAACTTGAACATTCTCAAAGGTGACTGGTCTTGGGAGCTTACATCGCTTCTTTTTCTTGTTAGCAGGTGGCTTTGTGCTTTGATATAATTCTTCCTTTTCTGCAGCCACGCTGTCATAGCTGCTATGTTTGCTTGCTGCGCCGCCGCGCATGCGCATTTTCGACGATGCCCTCCCTTCTTCGACTACAGCGCCACTGACGATGCGCTTCTTGCGTTTGTCGCGGTTGCGATATCTCTCCCAGCGTAGTTCATCCTCGTCGTTCGGACCAACATCCAGTAGTCGTTGCTCTTTTCTTCTAGAATCTGGATCTCTCTCCGAGTCGGTTGCCACCTCCCTGCGTGTTCGACTTTTTCTAGGCGCCTCATGTTCTCGCTCCGAGTCATGAGCTGCCCCTCCCCGGCTTCGATTTCTTTCTCGTCTCAATGCCAGTGTTTCGTATTCATCATCGGTAAGTGCTTCCCGTCGCCTTCTTTCTCGTCTTGCAGCTCGTCGTGCTTCTCTTTCTTCGTCTGTGTAATCACGCCTTCGCCGGCGCTCGGCCCGCGGCGAGTCTTCCTCGGGCTCTACAATAATGTAGTCATCCTGGCGCGGCCTTCTTTCTCTCGTTTTCCTGGGCCGCTCGGCTCTGGGCGGTTCCACAGTAGGATGTGTGGAATTGTATTGATTCAGTTGCGACAGCGCATTGAGAGATAGTCTCTGTCCACTGCTGGATGGCGGACCACTAGATGCGGCTTCAGAGTCCGTGGCGGGCCTGCGCGATGAACGGTCTCTAGACGACTTGTGGCCGCGATCATGTTTGCGATGTGTACCCGATTCTCGGTGCCGGCTAGTACTGCTATCCCTCGGAGCCATGGGGGCAGGAATGCGAATTGAAGATTCGAAACGGATGGGATGGTCGGTCGGGATTGACAGTGGCGTGTGTGTGGCATGCACGCCCTTTACAGAAAGAATCGACGTTTAATTTAGGCGCAGCTGTCGTATTGCTTGGGCTGAAGGTATGACAGTTGACGTATGGTGCGTTGGCACAGCAACGATCTCGCCAGTGGCATGGGTCTTGCCCCACGTCCCCGGTTGGCTCTCACTGTGATTGGTGACGGATGGGAAACTGCCCAACAATATACTCCGAACTAGATCTTTGATCGACTCCATATATGCGGGACTATCTCGATGGACATCTTGACTAGATATTCAATCGTTACATGACCAATTTGTGGCGGGATCGAAATCGCTTCATCAAAAAAGTTTTCAACAAAATTCGGTGCGTCAAGGTAGGTACGTGCATACATGACAGGTAATGTAGCCAACAGGCTTATCTGTGATCTGACCCGGGATCCGCAGCCATCCCCCAGCGCTACTGATAGCTTAAGCCGAAACCTGGGGTTAGCGACGGATACCGCAACTAACCGACTTCTTCTTTACCTACTGCTGGACATCACCTGAACGTCGATCGCCCTGGCCGCCTCCTTTGAGACAATGCCACGACTTTTGTTCCTTGATGCCACTTTGGACTCTCAATTACTTTCTGTATGAGCTCCAAGGGTGCTGATAGAACGAATACACTGCCATGAAGTCCTCAAGGTCCATACGGCTCATATCGAGGAGGGCCGCCTCATATGTAAGCCGGCCAACCTCCAGGCTCACCACCACTACAGAGCGGCGACAGTATTCAACGCACCCACCCAATGCCCGTTTGAATCTTCCAATTGACTACTCAGCGACACCTCTGCTGTCTCACAGCTCCCAGACTGCGCTGGCCACACCAGATCTGCCCAGCGAAGGCAAGAACAGCACAACGAAGCGCATGAATCTGTTTCAGGCTATCAACGATGCTTTGTCGACGGCCTTGACCGAGGACGAGAACGTCATCATTTTTGGCGAAGATGTAGCCTTTGGCGGTGTCTTTCGGTGTACCATGAAGTTGGCTGAGCTCCACGGCGGCGAGCGTGTATTCAACACTCCCCTCACGGAGCAAGGGATCATGGGTTTTGCCATTGGTGCAGCTGCCGAGGGCCTCCGGCCAGTGGCTGAAATCCAATTTGCCGACTATGTATATCCTGCATTTGATCAGCTCGTCAACGAAGCGGCCAAATATCGATACCGCGATGGTTCGTGCGGGAGGAGTGTCGGTGGCCTCACGGTCAGAATGCCGTGTGGTGGTGTGGGGCATGGTGCTCTGTACCACAGCCAGAGCCCGGAATCTCTCTTCACACACATTCCTGGCCTCCGAGTTGTCATGCCCAGAAGTCCTTTGCAGGCCAAGGGCCTATTGCTGGCTGCCATCAGGAGCAACGACCCAGTCATATTCATGGAGCCCAAGATTCTGTATCGTGCCGCGGTAGAGCAGGTTCCCACGGCGGCTTATACCTTGCCTCTGGGAAAGGCAGACGTCATTAAAGAAGGCAAGGATGTCACGATTGTATCCTATGGACAGCCACTATATACATGCAACGCCGCTCTGGAGAAAGCCGAAGCAGACCTGGGCATTTCCGTCGAGCTGATTGATTTGCGAACAATATATCCGTGGGACAAGGAGACGATTTTCAAAAGCGTTCAAAAGACTGGAAGAGTGTTGGTGGTACATGAGGCCATGGTCAACGCCGGTGTTGGGGCAGAAGTTGCGGCTGCAATACAGGAAGACCCGGAGACTTTTGTCAGGCTGGAGGCTCCAGTGCAAAGGGTTGCGGGTTGGAGCATACACACGCCACTCATGTATGAGAAATTCAATGTCCCAGACGTTGCGAGTAAGTGTCCCGAGTCCAAAGAGCATAGAATTGGTGAGCTGACATCCCCAGGAATTTATGACAGTATAAAGAACACCCTCGAGTATTAGTTAGGTATGAGTCACCATGAAAGCCCCTCTACAAATCCTCGTTGTACTCAAGGAATGGGGGTGAGGGATTCGAAAAGGTCGGTAAAGTTGCATTGGTTGGTGTTTATGTACGAATGTATATATTTCAGGACTTTAAAGAATAAGTCTAGAATTGCCAAGTTGATGAACCATTGCGAACTCATGGCACAGAGGCTGACTGAGTTACAATCTTGTTATTTTGATCAATATCCATATATTGTGCCCACATTGTAGAGATTCGTTGGAGAAATTGTTGGACCTTGGGCATGATATCTGAGCTATTTCACTCGGTGCGTGCTCTACTACCGCTGAATTCATTTGAGTTCGGATTACATCCATATTTGATTTTACACTGGTGTCCATGGCTTCACGTGGTGTTACTCAAAGCGAATAGCGATTTATTTATTTAGGTCCGACCTTGACAAAGTTGATGGGACATCATGATAAGTTACATCTTTGTAAAATTGCTCATGTACGTGGGAGAAATACATAGCATAAGAATAAATTCAAAAAGAAGAAAAAAAAATTGAAGGAGAAGAGAGAAACGTCCATGGATCAATTCACAGGTTACAATGAGGTCGATTTCATGCTATACAGGTACATTGTCGAGTCTAGGAATGTTTGGTCTGCATTTTATCAGCGGCTGGTCTCAAGAGTCCCCTTGTTCTGAGAGTAGCAGCCCACTTTGCCCCGCGGTCTATCCACTTAGCTTATGCAACGAAACACCTCGATGACCCCCCATAGAGAATACAGTAACTTTTGACGCAAACGAAGAACAATCTCCCCAAGCTCAATACAGTCATCGCAATCAGCGGGAAAGGAATCGTCATGTCAAACCTCTCGACGGTTGAGTCTTTCGTCGACGGCGCGCCCCCGGGCGAGGTACGCTGAATTGCCCAACCTCATACCAGCACAGCAGAGCCCCCCTTGACCGATCTCTCCTATTCCTTACGCAACCTCCATCCGCCCTGCAGACCGGGAACGTGAGAGCTGACACGTATATACCAAAAAACAGCTCGCAGATGTCATCGCAGATATCAAGTCTCTGACCGTGTCCGACCCCGGCCTGGTGTCGAAGCTCGGTCCCGCGTTCGAGAAGTACAACGAGGAGCAATTCGCGACGGTCAAGCTGCCCGGAAGCAGCCAGCAGGTCATTATCAGCTCGCATTCTTCGCTCGGAGACGGACGGTACTACGATGTCGAGAGCTCCAGCAGCTTCAGCTTTGATCACGCCACACAAAAGGCTAGCGGTGCGCAGAGCCACGTCTTGGAAGGCAGCCAGACCGACTTGGTGTACGTTTCATCCAGAGCTCAAGAGGCATATACATAAATGGCAGGAGGCCACTTGCAGAGTGCTCATGCTGACCATCCACTTGCAGAAAGTCCATATTAAAGAGTATCTCGACATATGTCTCAGAACATTACCCCAACGCGGCATACGGCGCCTACCCGATCGAAAACGACTCCAAAGTGGCCATCATTATAGTGTCGAACAAGTATAGCCCAAACAACTTCTGGTAAGCGATGCAAGACGAACATGACTGTACAAAGGCAAGCTGACCAAGGCAGGAATGGTCGCTGGCGATCTCTCTATATCTTCGATCCCTCGTCGGGCACCTTGGAGGGTAGCATCAAGGTGGATGTTCACTACTATGAGGACGGCAATGTGCGACTCTTGACGAACAAGTCAAGCACTGCTTCAATCTCCTCTGGCACCGGTGCCGGTATTGCAAAGGAGATTAGCGCCAACGAGAAGAAGTATCAGGAGGAGCTGAACAGAGGTTTCACAAGTCTGAGCGAGGGCGCCTTCAAGTCTCTCAGGAGACAATTGCCCGTAACGCGACAGAAGATTGAGTGGGACAAGGTAGCCAGCTACCGTGTCGGTCAGGATATTGGCGGAGGTAGCTCCAGAAGATAGAAAAACAGTCTCCCTAAAGTATTTCAAGGGGCGATAGAGTAATTTGCAATGTCAGCGTACCGGCAAACATATACCTACTACCTAGAACCAAGTCATGGTAACAATCGCGTAATTAAACATTTTGGCATCCGATCGAGATATCTATAGCGCCAAGACAATCAGCATTCCCTAGGGATCCCTTGTAGTCATTTGGTGGCTGGCAGCTCAGGTTGCAGACCCGCTGACAAAGGATGAGACGCTCCCATCCACCCGCCTGCCCGCCTATCTTTAGGTCCATTGGTGAAGTGTGACAACTGTCTCGGAGGATTTTTTTCATTCTTTCTTTTTTTCGTCCACTGTGCTTTTGTTCTGAATAACATCATCACAGTCGCCATTTGTTTGTTGAGTTTTCTTGTTTCAGCAGCTCCAAACAGAAATGGTTCCGCGGATGGACATTTCATAGCGGTTGGAATGATGTGGAGCCCGGAATCAGACCGGAATCCCCATTCCAACATGTCAGCATTATATGCTTTATACCTACGCAGATTTACTTTTGTACTTATCGGCCAAATCGGACTCGGCCTATCGAACGATGCTGACACCATGCTTGACCGCTGCCGCTCAATTGCCTATCTGGCCCAATCCAGGAATCATTAGCCGTAGAAGCGATGGTGCACATACCGAAAGCCGAAGAGACGCGAGCAAGCAGCAAGTCGTAACCCAGGTGAGTATAGTCTGATCTTCTCCAACTCACTGTCAATCTGAATCTGCATACTACCTCTAATAAGTACCTGGCGTAACAGCCGAGAATAGGACCCGAATTGAGTCGTGACAACATTTGCATAACTCGGGATGGGGAAGACTGCTAGACCCGAGTCGCTGCTAAGCATTTCTGCAACACCGGGGAAGAACATGGGAAGGGAGATCGCATCTTACATTAAGCCCATTAATCCCAATTGTGCCATACCCAAATAGACACGAGGGAAAGAAAGGTTTCTCCGAGATGAGGTAAAAAGGTGTCCAACGCAACAATCAGATGGCAATAGTAATACCTAGTAGCCAGCCCAGCACTCGTCCGTAATCGTGTTGGCCGGGACCCCCGCACTCGAAAGTCCGCGCTCGTGGCGAAGGGATGGAAGGATGGTGGAAGGGGCTTCGGGGGGGTGGTGTAAATGCCCCATAATAATTGTGTAGCGCTGTACCTAGAACTACCAGACTAGCCTTGCTGGCGACTCGGGAAACATAATTATCTGCACGCCGATTCGCTCGCGACTCAAGCTGGCAACAAGATTCGGACCCTGGCAGGGGACTGAGGGACTGGTTGTTGAGGCCGGCGCCCAGCCAAGCAAGCAAAGTACAATTCGATTTTCTCACTGAACGCTTGCCATCTAGCCAATTTCCCAGCGAATCCTCTATTCTTTCGCCAGCGGTCAACATACAACGTTTTCTCAGTTGTTCTTTTGCGACGTCCATCTTCACTTAATAATTTTTTTTTGCATCGAGCATCTGTTGTCTTGCGACTTCTAGATATAGAGAAACCCGCCCCTTTTCCCGCCCCGAATCTCTCTATCATTCACGAAGGAAGGAAGGAAGAAGAAAAAAAAGCATAGTCAAAATGGCCGACAAGGAGTATACCTACCAGGACGTTGCCGAGCACAACACCAAGAAGGACCTGTTCATGGTCATTCACGACAAGATCTATGACTGCACCAAGTTTGTGGACGAGCACCCGTAAGTCGACCCCCGCGAGGCAATGGATGGCGCAACTCCCCGTTGCATCGGACCCAGCTCTTTCCGCTGCCTTCTCTCAGCTTCCACTGCTTCCCCGACCCTCGGGATTCCGTACATCACACCCCGACACGGAAGAGATAAGAGCATTGTATACTGACACGGTGTCCATAGCGGTGGTGAGGAGGTGATGCTCGATGTTGGTGGTCAGGATGCGACAGAGGCTTTCGAGGATGTCGGCCACAGTGACGAGGCCCGGGAAACACTGGAGCAGCTGCTCGTCGGCACCCTGAAGAGACAGGTAAGCACCAAAACCCTCCCCAAACCTTCTCACATTGGATATTCCCCGGATGCCGGCATGGGGCTTCTTGCCAACCAATTGCTGCTCGGCAAATGCGCACATCTGCCGTGAAATAATCTATTCGCTTTCCCCCTCCACCTCGTACTCGCATTGCAACACTATGTTAACGGACTTTCTCTGCAGCCCGGCGATCCGAGCCCCACGGCCTCCAAGCCCTCGCTTTCGCCTCAGGCCAACACCAGCTCTGCCGGCCTCGGCACGGTTGCCTATGCTGTCGTCTTCATCGGTGGTCTGGCCGCCTTTGGTGCCTACCAGTACCTCCAGAGCCAGCAGGAGCAGCAGGCTTAGAAGAATTGCTTCTCACGTCCAGATGATCACCTTAATGCCACATGCTATGCTTTAGAAAAATATGGAAATTGGGCGTTGCGACGGTTAAGGGCCCATTGAGAGATGCGTCGCGCCTGCAGGAGAGCCTTTTTTTCTGGCTGTGCCGATTCTTGAAATATTCTGGGGGGAGTCGTCACATAGCTTTTATTGATGTTTAATAGATCATGCCTTGATGCGCAGTCTGTTTCCGATGACGATCACAGTCTGTTCCATTTCCCGTTCCAGCAAAGTCTCTCACGTTCACGCTCAATGAGATGGTGACTATGATATGGAATACATGTCCATCACGTCGCCTCGTCTTGGCTGCTGGGTTCGGCCTCTGATCGCAACCAATTGTGATGCATTGCATCTGCGTGCGCACGATTGGCAGGTTGTCAACCCTTTTGACAAGAATCAAGGATCGATCAATACAAATAACGACCACCTCTTCTATACACAGACTGATGGAAGATAGCCGAGAAGTCGTACCGCATGCAAGGGCTGTTAGTGGCATGGAAGGAATACGTACTGATGCGGCATCTACTCGTGGCAGAGGCAGACCATGTGAAGCTGGTAGAAACAAAGAACCTCATCCCGGGTTAGATTTCTATACAACCCTGGAATATGGCCTGCAACATGTGCACTTTTGACATTATTCAAGTTCGGCCTGCAGTGCCCTGAATGGCATTGCGAGGTGTGTACATTGAGGTGTTGTGGTCCTTGACGTCAAATTACATTCTGTGTACTCATGCCAAAGACTCAAGTCGGGTTCAAGTGATACTATCGTGCATTGCGCGAATCCACGCCCAAAATCAAGCGAATTTTTCACAAACCGATTATCACAAGCAGACGATTATGATGCCGAGGTGATCACGTAACCCGGATTGACCAATGTGAAGTACGTACGACGTAGGTACTTGTTATACTACCACATCCGTATCCTTAGCGTAGGTAAGCAGCTGTCAATCAGCACATAATCTGTACATGTAAGCCCTGAGCTTCTGGGGGACCCACCTACCGTCACCTTTCTCCCTACCTTAATGTAAGTGGTCGCCTGGGTTGGGGGAGCTTTAACTCAACACTAGACTTAGCACAGGCCTAGACGGCCCCGTCTTGAATCAACTTCATTCCATCCCCATTGTCCTCACATCTCTAGAAGACAGCACCATCAACAATCACTTGACAAAGAGGCATTCCGAACGAGTCTCTTGCATCTCCGTTCTACGTCGACGCCCGTCGGTCCAGTTTTGGGGTGCATCGAGGCCCGGTCGCATACATCCTCCGGCGCAGCAAACCCCGACTTTCAACTAGAACTTTGCTGCCTGCGCAACATCAGTACGCAGCCGTCATGGCCTCGAAACCTGTCATGGGCGCGAAGCGCGCGCTGGCACCGCCTTCCCCCTCGCCATCGAATGCATCAAACGCTTCCCATGGCGGTACACCGTCCAAGAAACAAAAGCGCGAGGACCGCGCACGAGATGGAGCGACCCCGACCCCGACCCCAGCCGCCATGGCTGCCTCCATTGTCAGCTTTGGTGCCGACGACCGGACGCAGAAGCTGTATGCTGTCGAGTTTCTCAAGGCCAAGGGCACACCCAAGACTCTGCAGGAAATCCTCGACCATTTGACTTTACAGCACGCTCAAGAGAACTTTCACAAGGAGTTCGCAAAGGGGCTGCGCGAGCACGGACAGGTCACGTTCCTTCCTGACCCTGCCGCCCGAGTCAAGGACTTGAAGGAGAAGGGCATTCCGGCATGGCGGACGGGTCGATATGAATTCAGAGCCAAGATTCCTGGTGTCAAGAGCAAGACGACGCTGCTCGACTACCTACAGCGTAAGACAGACGCCAGCAAACTCGAAGTCAAGGACTTGAAGGACGGCTGGCCTGATTGCGACAAGGCCATTGACGAGCTCGAAGCAGCACACAAAATTTTGGTGGTGCGAACCCGCAAAGACGGTCGCGCAACGCACCTTTGGCTCGACCAACCCAGTCTCTTCCATGCTGTGGACCCCGAGTTTCGAGTCATGTGGAAGAAGGTCAAGCTGCCCGATGTGGACGACATGGTTCGTCGACTGACAGCCATCGGCCAGAAGCCAGCAAGCGATGATCCCAAGCTGAACAAGGTCGCGACAACCGAGAAGAAGCAAAAGAGGCGCGTCAACCGTACCAGCAAGAAGCAAACCAATGAGCACATGAAGCACATTCTGCAAGACTACAGCCATCTTGTTAGAAAATAGAGACTTGCAACAGACGAGAACTATTTTGGATGCGACACCTCCTTCCGATAGCACAATATTTCTTATGGCTTGCATTTGCATGATTGGCGTTTTTTAGATGGCACGACAGAGCTGCTGAGTAGTGAGAATCGTTTTGCTTCACACGATCTATTTTGCAGTCTCACTATCGCGTTTAGTTTAGTTTCATTCGGCGTTCCGGAAAGGAAATGCATGGAGATTGAAGGGAAATGGCGCGGCGAAAAGGGGAGTTGGTCCTGATTTATTTGCGGTACTCCCAGCCTCTCGTGGAAGTTGAACCACATAGGTATCATTCAAGATTGTTTTCCCAACGGCGTCATCCCGTGCTGTGCTCCTGCTTGAGACGTCATGACTTGCCAAACCCCGAATTTCGGTAACCGGGAGCTTGACGTCAAGCGCCCACCGACCGCCGGGACTACTTGCCATGATGTTCATTCATGACTTGATGCGCAAAACTCACTTTAGGGCTTTGTGATTATCTTCTCACCACCTCGGAATAGGGCACGTTGATCAGGCGTAGATCATTGCAAGAAACCCCCGGGCATGTGGCCAACGATGGCGAGAAAACCTCAGCAAAGGAATTTCGGATTCGATGCGCAAAGGGAGGTGACATGATTTTGCGAGAACTCAAAAGGCCCTGCGATCATCTAAAAAAGTGATCACTGCCTCTGTGACACAAAGTGTCGTCGGCTTGGGTCTGCTGCATGAATATTTGTCAAACAGTCGTGGTTATCAATTTTAAGCGTTATGCTGGCAGGGTTTCGATATAAAAAGCAATTATATCTACCCGCCTAGACCTCAATTTAATTCCGCCCGGAGGGTTATTCCGGGGGGGTCTTGATGCAGCTTCACACAGCACACCCATGGTCAGAATCAACTCTGTTTGTTCATCTCAACTTTGCAACTTTGACATGGTATCGTGTGTTTGTGCTCCTTCCATCTCTCTCCACCGGGGAAAGTCTCGAGTTATGTGGTCTGATCCTACAGGCGGAAATACGGGCGTGGATACGGACGCTGCAGAAGACTTTCTTTGCATGAGCGGGTCACGAGGATTCTTCTGATCATATAATCATATAATCAGATCAAAACATTTCTTTCGTCAGAATTTGTGGGACGTCATGTCCGGGAATAATTGGAGACTTGATCATATAATCAGACACGCATTTATTCCGAAATACCCTTATTTTTTCTGGGGGGTCCCGTTGTTCTCATTCGGATGGTGCTGGTGATGATTTGTCTTACAGGTCACTCTGCTTTTGTACAACGTTCATGTTGTGTTTGGCGATACTAATCACTTCTTTTTTGGGTTCTTGTCCAAGACTCATGCATTATGCAAAATGATTGCTGATCATATCCGACTCGCGATATTATTCCGCGGTGGAACAGGCCGGGTCTAGAGCTTGAATATCAGCATGCCTTTTTCTCTGCTCCCCTCAAGATCTGCTCCATTCTCTAGCATACAGTTTTACAAAAACTGTGAGTGATCGTCCGGGAGAGAGGGGGGACCGTCGGTCATGTGGTCTCTCTGTTTCTAAATCTAGCCCAGCCTTGTCCCAACACCTACGTGCAAGTTACTTGATTACTCATATCCCGTGACCCGAAACCCCCGGCATCCTTGCTTGCTACACATGTGCGGAACAGACCCTTTGTATGGCGAATACCACGGGACGGACAAGGAAAACCGTTGTGGCTAATATGCAGGGCCCATTCTGCATATGGCAACGCCTCACGTAAAATGCCATCGTGTAATTTTCCCAGGTAGGCAATGGATCCCAACAGTGTCCGCTCTCGCCAATCCTTGCCATTGAATTTTTTGTGTCATCATTCTCCGCTTGTGATATTTGGTCCTGTCGCTGCATACACCATGTTTTTGAATACTGGCGGGTGGTGAGGAATGGGGCAAGTCTTGGTATTTTGCTACTACATACTACCTGCAGTTTTGCAACAATGATTAATGATCAATGGATCCCCCTCTCTCAATGACTTGTAACATGCCTCTACCTCCAATTAATGGCCAGCACATGCTTTCGGGCACTGTGCCTCCCGTATGCAGCAGACCTGCTGCATTGTGATTAGATATTCGCCCCATTAGCAATGTCTGGACTGTTTACAGAGGGACCCCAAGTGGCCCTTTTCGACTAGACTTTGTTTATTGCGGCCATTATACGTATGTAGGGGTGTGTGTGTGTGTGTGTGTGTGTATGGTATCATCGTACATTGCATCCCCCTGCGCTCCGAACATCTGACGGCCCCTGCTGCTGCTGTTGTCCAGCTCCACGAAAGACGCCCGACTCCCACCAACCTCCCCCCGGGGGACTCAGCGTCATGCCGGGAGCATTGGGCTCGGCGACGCGGATGCGCTCAAACACCTCCAAGAACTTTTCGGGCGACTGCCAGCCGCCCGCCACGAAGCGGCCCTGGATGACAAAGACGGGCACGGCGTTGAAGCGCTGGCGGTTCTGGTCGCTGAGCCGGTCAATGGCCGCGTCCCAGGCCTCGCTCTCGAGACACGCCTGGATCTCGCCGGGCGGCACGTCGGGCAACAGCGAGGTTCCCAGGCTAAGGAGCCAGGACCGGTTCGAGACGTCGCGGTTGTTTTCAAAGTACTCGCGGTATATCGTCGAGACTAGTTCCATTTGAGTTTGTGGTCCTCGGGCGCCTGGTCGGCCTTGGGTGGTTTCTTCCGACGTGGACGGCTTAGTGTCGGTTGCCGAAGTGGAGGAAGAGGAGTATGGATGGCCTGAAGGTTGTGTAGCTGTAGATGAGGAGCTCTGGTCGATGGCAGATGGCCATGGGCCGAGCGCAAGGCGTAACAGCTTGTGTGAGTCTCGAGAGTTGCCGGTCCAGCCGCCGAGCCAGTCAAAGTTGATGCCAATTTCAGCGCCTTGCCGCGTCCACCTTTCAATCGTAGACGGTGCAAAGTGCCGAGTATGTTGATAGTAATTTCCTTTTATATCAACTAGAAGCATCTCATGGTCAGCAGAATTCTATAATAAATAATAAGAAGCAGTAGAGTTGAGTAATTGGGGGGCAACGAGCGGGAGCTTCACACTTTGTAAAGACGATGTGCATTTTCCTTTCCACAGTGAATGTGCTGACACATACCGGAGTATCAATATGTATTCCAAGAGTTTGGAAGAAGGAAAAAAAGACTCGTCATCTCGCAAAAACAAGTCCTGTCAAGTGAGACGAGTTCTCGAGCACTTACCACTACGTCCCGCAACGGGATTCAAGATAATGGGCGAGCAAGTGACCTCAAAGGTAGCATTGGCATGTTGCTTTTTGTAGAGATCGATGGCCGTGTTGAGATTGCGAAGGCCAATGTAACAATGGGGACATATTGTGTCGAGGATGAATTCTATCGTAAAGTGTGACGTCTCGTTGCTTGTGCTGTGTTGTTTTCTGTCTGCGGGCGGCGAAGACCCTTGGGATGTCTTGGACTCCACGGGGGATAGCAGATCTTGAATACTGGTCATGATCGTACCCTCTTTTCTTTTGCGTAGGTCGAGAGATATTGTTTTTAATGACGATATGTCGGCTGGACACAACGAATCGTTCACGACAAATCTCTGAAATGGGAGGTGGAATATTGGTGGTCATCGACTATCGAAAGATATGTGGCAAGTCTTATACTGGCTTCCGATTGAAGCAACAGCTGTGTTTGCCACTGGATCGTCTCGTCTCCAATATGCACAGCGCATGAGCCGGGACGCTGTGCGTCTCCTGATTTCAAAGCTCGTCCGCGACCACACGGTACTGCTCCCGATGCGGCAGCAGCCAGTAGGTTCTTTGAATTACAACAGCCTATATCAAGTATGATGATAGATATATGGCTGTCGAAAAGCAAATACGGATCATACGATTATTGAAGTTGCGTCGAAATGATATTGGAAGTTCCAGACTCCCAAGGCTTGTCCAGTAAAAGAAAGACAAGAGAGGTGCACACAGTATTATTGTCTTCTGCTCGACATGGTACTGAGAAAAATGTTGATCAGGTGAGTCGGATGACGTGAACCTGTTTTCCCAAAGCGCCTCCGCTGGCTGTATGTCAGGATTATAACAATAGACAGACAAACAAGTGGCCGCACGACAAGCAACACCGCCAACCTCGTAGCCGAGGACAACAAGTAATATTTCAGCAAGAGTAGCCACGTATGATATACATGATTATGTATTATTAAACATTTTGCTAATTAATGATTTTTTTTTTCTGGGACGTCGTGTTTCACTGTAGACTTTTGCTGCCCACTGGGCACTTTTGCTGGCAGGTTGAGATGTTCCCGCCATGAATTTATGATTTGTGATCAAGCTATGCACCACGGAGGCGTCGAGCCGGCGCAGAAAGTAGCTCGGCATTTGACCCCAAACGACCAAGGCCAGGCGGAATGGAAGGGGGAAGGAAGAAAAAAAAACCCACACCCACACTCTAGTCCTTCCTTTGCCTGTGCTAGGTTTAGATTCTCTCTTCCCTCGCTCTCTCCCATGTCCAACGTTCAGTAATCGTGGCCCCTGTTGACGACATTTCATCTGCAGTCGCCGGCTCCCTTCAATATACGGTCCTGAGTGCCGGCAGCCACGTCGCACAGATATCAGGCCATTCGAGCAACCAAACCATGCCTAGCAATAGGTAGCCCGCCGCGGCTGAATGGGCATCAGGCCATTTGGGAAGGTATCGATGCGGTCGAGATCGAGTTCATCATCACCATCTGCTCAGCAAAGGGAAGATATGACATGGCCTGTAACTCATAGCGTCAGGATTGGGAACCCTCCCGAATCAGGGACCTTCACCGACGCCGTGGCTGGCTTTCATCGAGGCCCGTAGTCTGGAGTAGTAGAATCTACGTACTTGTAGTAGTTAAGTTGGCCTGGTCACCTGTCAATGCGGGATCGATTTTGAGCTGCGCACCGAACTCGACACTTTTTCTGTAGGCTTCCCAGAGCTGCACGCCCGTTCCAGCCAGTAAGCATGCTGCGCATAACATGGAATACCACATAAAAATTAGGTAGGTAGTCCCTGTGTGGAGTATGACGTTAGAACGCCGGGGTTCCCTCGGCGAACGTGCTTCTAGAAGATCTACATTGCAGATTTTACTATCTACATAGTAGTAGTATAGCTGATCCGGGCTTGACTTTCTCGAACAAGGAAAGGCAAGCTGACTGCCTACGAGGTACCGGTCTACGGGACTTCCCCGACTCAGCGTAGCACCTGATAATTGTTCGCAGGAAAAAGATATACATAGACACGATGGGCTGGCCCATGTCTTGGTTTGATTCCCTGAACAACCCACGTGGCTATACCCAAGTCGCACTACGCTACGCGAACAATCTTCAACTCAAACATTATTCGACTAGACAGCCACATCAAAGCCACTCGCATCCAGAGATTGTCATGTAGCGCCGGAATCAAAATACCCGTCCTGTATAGTAGCTAGGTATGCAATAATTTCCCACTGATGAACTGGATTACACACGACTCCCTAGTATGTCACGACCCGAATCATAGTCACTTCAAGTCCTCAGTTTCTATATCATTTTTTTCGTATTGATCTCTATAAGCTGCCTGTACCACCACAAGATCCATCCCCAGTGTCACGATTCCTGGTATCATTTGACGAGCAGAAAAAGCAGAAAAACTTCGCTTCATCGTCCAGGCCCCAAAGACCTCCTCCATCGCTTTATGCAATTTTCAAGGCTCAAGAGCCATCTCAGTCTAATGCGTGATTATTGCGAGTGAAGCAGAAAAAGAAGAAGAAAAATCAACGATGCCAACCACAGCTCGGTGATTGAATGACAAAACCTCTGACCTTCCCTCTAGAAAGCGGCGATTCGGGGGTGTATAAGGTCGACGCTTGCCATGCATTAATAGCTGTACCGGAAAAAAAGACTTTTTTTCTTGTAATTGAAACCAGAAATCAATGTGTGGCGCAATCCGGTTCTCTCGAAAACTCCGTAAACGCCAATCACAGTCCGTTACAAATCCATCTCAGGATCTCCCTTCAGATGGGTGGGTATTCAGCACGCCGAGAAAGCAAACTGCTCGAATGACAAAGGAGATCTATTCTTTGAGAAGGGTCAGATGCCAATGAGCTCGCTCACATGGCGCCCTTTTAATTGAACCACGACGAAGGTTCAAAGTCATCGTCTTGAGTGTTATTGGTGTTGACTGTGCCATCCTACTGCGCAGGTGTCGACCACATATCTCCAGCACGTGGCTTTGTATCGAAACCATTGATGCCGGGCTCGGTGCTTTGAGGGCGTCGGATTTGCGCGGCATTGCCGTAGTACATCTGACCCATTTGTCCCAAGCCACCCGTGGCAAATGCTGTCTGGTCAGGGTCGGGATATACATAGCCATTGCCACTTGGGCTATGTGTCGGCGAGGCCATGTGAGTGGGAGACGCCCAACCAACGCTGCCCATGTGCGGACTACCGGCAGCACTTCCTGGAGCTGACTGGTGTGACTCGATACTGGGCTCCAACGTGGTTGGCGGTGCAGCAAAAGTCGTGGGGTGCGAAGTTGGGCGCATGTCCGCACCATAAGTAGGTGCCGATGTGGGAATCTGATGCATGCCACCGCGCAGGTGCGCCGGGAGCGAGCCTCCGTTGTTGCTCATGTAAGAGTATTCGTTTTGGCGCAGAGCAGCCGCCGAAAGATCCGGAACCGGCGAGCCAGACATTTGGCGATGAGCAGGCGACGGAGTGTTCAGCGGAGATCCGTGCTTGGATGCCGGATCGCCATCGCTGCGAGATTGGCGGCTGGCGGCGGTCTTACTGGCCTGAGCGGCAAGAGCAGCGGCAGTAGCAGCAGCAGCTTCCTCGACCGTGCCAGTGTGGTGGTTCTGATGGCGCGTTAGGGTTGTGCGTCGAGTAAAGGTTTTCTGGCAATCGGCATATGGGCACTTGTAAGGGCGCTTTCCCGAATGAATGCGGCGGTGGCGGGCCAAAGAACTCGAGTCGCTGAATGGCTACAGAAACATCATGTCAGTTTGATTTGGTCTGTGACTCATACTTTCGGAGCGTACCTTTCCGCAGCGTTCGCACATGTGAGGCTTCTCGCCCGTGTGAACTCGCTGGTGTACAGTCAGCGCAGAGCGCTGGATGAACTGTTTACCACAGTTTGGGTAATCGCAAACGTGAGGGCGGTGGCCACTGTGAATTCTCTCGTGCCTCGCCAGATCGCTGCGTCTGGCAAAGCCCTTACCGCACGTGCTGCACGGGTAAGCTCTCACTGGGGGCGGGTTCTCAGTTTTCGGTGGCGGAGTGTGGCCATATACAGGCATTGGTTGTCCGACGTGGCCCATAGGTGGCATGCCCGGAATCATCATTCCCTGAGGAAGATGGGGATCTGACATTGGGAGAGGCGTGTTCATAGATGTGGGAGAACCATAGGGACGGGCATTGCCCATGCCATTTAGGCTCTCCAAGGCGCCGCCCCCGCGGGGAGCTGAGTAGTGTGAGCTCTCGGATCCATGTGGTGAGCCAGATCGATCGATGGCTGCAATAAGTTGGGGATGCGGTAGACCGGGGTGTTGCTGGTGTTGCGGATGCATGTGGTGCTCAGGCGTTGCTGAGTGCTGCATTCGTTTCTCATCCATGACGTTTGTTATATTCATAACTGTAGGAGATAGAGACATAGCCTGTCGCTGTGAAATGTCTGGCTGCCAACAATGACAAAGACCCGGTGAATCGGGGCTGGCTAGAATGGCTATAGTTAGCAAATGCTTGGTAGTCGCCAGGAAGGTGAGTGTCAAGCTATTTTTTGAAGAACAAGGCTCACGAGACAGTAACACGCTTCGTACTTACATTAATAACGTTGGCTTTTGGCGGCGCGTAACTGCTATCAATTTCAGGCGTCCGCGACAAAGCTTCACTGTTGTGCCTAGAGCAGCAAGCAAAGTTTGACCTGTCTGTTCCAGCAGACCTTGATTTGCGTCTCGGGCGTCTGGCGTTTGCAGAGAAATATGGCCGAAAGACGTGTCAATAGACTACTATTAGATGCAGTTGCATGTATCTTCGGGTCGGTAGGTCGAGTATTGTCGCCGCGAGTCTTGTTTTGGTTGCTGTAGACAGGAAAGTCAATTAGCCTGGTGTTTCTGGAAGAGCACTGATCGGATCTCGCTTGTTAGTGGCTAGGACGAGGGTAATTTGCAGGAAAGAAGCCCGTTTGTCGTGTGGAGACTCATCAAATCCGTACGGAAGGAGCGAATTCGATCATTATTGCACATCCATCCTCGTTGCCACTTGTGCTGCAGCGACGACATGACTGCACCGGAATTGCCTTGAAGCTTGAATGGGGATGCAAGCAAGCCTTCCTTTGGTAGATAGCCCACAATGCAATGCTTCGGCCAAAATTGTCACCAGTCGCCGACGGTCATGCCAAAGCGTTGCAGCTCAAACGCTCAAGCAAACTCAATTCCTGTCATTGTGGTGGTGACTGCTTGCTACTGTTGACCAGTATCATCATGATTGATATACTATCGCAGCAAGCAGCAGCACAGCAGAGCACTGAATGGGATTGTTGGGCGTGCAAACGAGCGCTAAACAGGAAACAGGGCAGCATGTGGTCCTTACCTCGAGCTTTTTGGATGGTGAACAGGGCGATTATGGATGGAGACGCGTCCTAGATAGGGAATGCGTGATGGTCGTGTCCGTCGAGGAAGGACAAACGAGGTTTTGAGGGCGAGCTTTTTCGGCGCACAGAATGTTGTTGTTGTGTTGAAATTGTTTGGGATTTCGGGGGAAATAATAACAAAAAAATTTCAAATCGAGTCACGGCAGAGACGTCAAAAGAAAATATTAGACGTAGGTGACATCGATGGTAATGGCCCCCTAGCTTTGATAATAACTGGCGAGAGCATGGGAAGGAGAAGTGCCTGGGTACTTAAGTGTTGGACAGAGCTTTCATCAGTGCTTGATGGCTGCTTTGGGTACTAGCAACCCTCTGGGATTGGCGCTGGGGGGTAGAATGGGATGCATACGCTTGGGTACAAAAAAGGTGTGGACATCAGTGGCCCGGGTGGGTCGGTGGATTTGGTTTTTTTTGGGAGACGAAGGAAAAAAAAAAGGGCAACGCAAAGTGGGTCACGGACCAGTCGATGACCCTTTCCATTCCACGTCGAGGTTTCCTCTTGCTCTTGCTCAAGGGCAAGGTGAGGGCCCCAGCCAAAATAAGCCCCGGTCCGTTTCAACGAGCTCCCTGTCACTTCCCCTAGCATTCAATTGGGACTTGTATTTGCTCTGGTGTCTCTCATTTGTGCTGCGAGAAGACGGAAGTACCGGTACTTGTTTCGAAGACATGCATTCATCTCGGTATGTAGGGGCGCGTTGAATGGCTGGCCGCCTTGGTTGTTTGGCTTCTATTGTCGGGCATTTATATTCTCGTGCTTGTTTGTTGCTACATAATAATTCCCGCTGCTCACAAACAGCTGGAATTGGTAATAGGTAAACACGATGGATAAACCCAACAATGCAGCGCGAGTCGGACTGCACAACTTTATTTTCTTCCTCATCCTCTCAACTTGGTGCAATTTGTATAAACTTTCCAATTGATAGAGCACGTACCTGCCAGTATAGAGCTCGTCGCATTGACTTCTTGGTGGCTGTTGCGGAACCAATGAACTACACTTTTGGAGCACTTGTAAACTTCACAATTGAACCGACATACCTTATTGGTTTTTTTTTTTTAAACATGCTGCACCAAGAATCAAATCATATACGGGGTAATTAGGCCTGGTCAGCCAAATATAATGTCCCCTTTGATGCATTTGCAATCCTAAAAATAAGCAATTGGCCTTTTCACTTGTTATTATTTCCCGCCATTTGCCATCAAACAGGATATTTTGTTAGGCCCTCTTATTTCGATGTTCTGGTCCATTGAACTTGGCGTCCTCTGATACCCATCGATTCCCCTTTCATGGTGGAGCAGAATTGAGACTTGTATCCTAAACATCCGTATTCACGGTTACCTAATAGAGGTGCCGCCTAAATAAATGATATTCTCACCAGTGATGGATCAGCTCTACCTGCGCCAATCTGGGGCAAACTATTACTGCAGACTGGCTCGGGTACCTGGGAAGAGCAACCGGTTTGTACTAGTGATATCGTTCGAGGGGGCGCAGACGCCGTCCAGTAGCGGCCACCTGTACCTACCACCCCCTTGACATTGGAATTTTTACACTCGTCACCAAAATGGTCGTTTTTCAATACCACAGAACATCAGCAAATGAACCGATTTTGAAGCAGGAAAAAAAGGAATATCAAATTATAGTAGCACTTCAAGGTCAAACTTTTCGAATCATCTTTTTTCAATTTTTTTGGGCAGACTGTTAGCCGTGTGAAGTTGGAGTGTATATTCACGAATGTAAAAATTCCCATGTCTAGCTCCTGCTACCTCATTACCCTGATGTCTGCCAGATGCTAGGTTGCTGGCTTTGCTTGCAAGGAAGGTAGATAGGTACCTACTGAAAGAGCTATCCATTCTTGTACCTGTACTTGGTGATGATGGTGATGATCCCCCAATTGTTGCTCTGTCGTTCGTTCTGACAATTCATTCATTCGGAGCAATGTGACGGACAAGAAACTTACATACCTAGGTATCTAACATTGATATACACATTGATTGGCAATCAATGTGCTACTGCCCATGTCCTACTGTCAAACGGTCAAGTACCGACAGATAATGAATGCATGTGTGTATCAAATGGATGATGGCCCCTGTTGTTGACATTTGTTCAATTACACAGTATTTTTCGCGTCCTCGTTTGGTGTTGACCGGGCTAATTTTAAACACAGAGAGGCTCAACGACAAAACTTTGATTTCATGTCCATGACCACACACAGCATGGAGACAAGAGTGAGCTCTCGAAGTTTCCGCCCCGACATGTACAGCTAAAGACAAGTCCGGGAATTACCAGTCGGATCGTCGTCAGTCAGCATTTCACGTCAGCCTAATAGCAGTTAGCATGGCCAGCTAGAGCTCTTTCATAGGGCATCATGTGCTCTCCGCCTCATTATGCCCTACGTCCTGCACTAGGATATGGTCTAATTAAGAGCTGATGGGATAGTCCATATTACACCCCTCAAAAAATGATGGCCACAGCTCCATTTCCCTCGAACTTGGATCGACGGCTCGCGGCCAGGAGCTGGGATGTACAATGTTGCACCTACGCCCGCTACGCAATGGTCGCCTTGGGCGGCTGCATCGACAAACCCAAAAACACAGCTCTTGGGGGGGAAGCTTGGGGCAAGTGCTTGTTACCAAGAAAGCATCGACAACCACACTGAACACTATATGCCCTCCTGTCCTTCATGTCAAAACAGTAGCTACAGTAGCTGCCGGCCAGTTCTGCCAGGTCCTGGACTCCGGGAGCACCACATCTGCCCTCCGTGTGTCCCGCTGACACGGCCAAATTTCGTGTTGCCCACGCCACGGATGCCGGGAGATTGCTGATCGCAACCTGGCCTGTCCAGGTGAATGATGGCCAACTACAAAGCGCTACACGCATAGCACTAGATGTACATTGCCTAATCTCCTTGGCGCTACCTATTTGACGCGCCATTGGTTGGTGTTTATACAAGATTTCCTTTTCGACCATTGCCAACGGTCTTCTTTTCTATTGGCATGATGGGATATCTCCAAGGCATGACGGCAGAAAGAAGTCCAGGTATCAGGTCTTGATGACGGCAACTCTGTACGCAGGCGCCGTTCTTCTGAAACACACTGGCTTTCTTCGTCATCTCTCATGTTTGCTCCAGAAGATCAGATTATTGGCGAGATGCGGTCCTCGCTGAGGCAGTACACTACAGGGAAAACGCTTGGACCCAGTGTTACTTTCATTTTGGCGAAACGCAGCGCCAATAGAGGTTGTGCCGCTCGTATGCGAGTGGTCACTTCTCCTATTTCCCATGGCCAGGAAAGCATTGTTTTCTGCCTGCATACTATGTACATACACTACCTAGGTAGGTAGCCGTGAACTCTGGCGGATCTCGTCAAAGACTCATGCATGCATGGGGACGACTAGGGCTCCTGAGTCTGCTCCTGCCGGTACTTAGCACTCAATATCCATTTGATGCGGCGACAGCATCTTCTGTTCGTCGCGGATTCTTTTTAGCGGGCTCTTGTACGATATCGACCGCTACTTTGAACCATATCTTTGCCCAAACCGGAACCACGTCTACAACACTAGAAGTTTAGTGACCCAGATATTGATGCTGGCTTCTGGAATGGATTTACAGGGTAACCCCTTTCGGCAACCCTGAACACCATGATCGCCCTGGGCTGATGATGGACAGCTAGGTAGTATTCATGTTCACCAGAGGGAATGCCCTTGTTGTACGACATACCTACGACAACCTGCCCACGAGTTGGAATGCAAACAAACATACAGCGTCTGCCACCAGGAATGCCTTTCCTGATCCCTTCAAGTCACCCGTGGTGCTCAAAGAACCAACAGACTACGAAGCGATGCCGCGATTCCGGATAATAGTCCTGGCCCACTATGCACAATAGCGTACCAAGAACAGAAGAGCGGATGGATGCTCACCGCCCGGCGCTGTGCTGGACGGACTGGACCCCTCGCCAATATTCTTTCGTTGG